TACTTAATACAATTGAGGATATTGTTTTTTTTTTTTTTTTTTTTTTTTTTTTTTTTTTTTTTGTTAAAAAGGCGCGAGTCAGTAAAAAATTGTTAAGAATTTTTTTCGCTAAAAATTCACCAAATTTATTATTAAGTTTTGGTGCATCAAATTTTTTTTTTTTTTTTTTTTTGTAAAAGCGCGAGTCAGTAAAAAATTGTAAGAATTTTTCGTAAATCACAATTTATTATTAGTTTGGTGCATAAATAGTTTGGCTTGCCGATTCGGTTAAAAGTCAAAGCTTAGTCTAAAAAGTAAGTTCCCTAAATCGAATGCCAAAGACTTTTTTAGCACGCCCATTGACGTGATAAGCCAATCAACGGGAGAGAATTTTTTCGTATACAAATTATAGACAAGTATTTCTAAAAGTAATTAGGGTACGATTTATATACATACCGTATAAGGCTCACCCACGCACTTAATCAATAACTCAGTATCATATAAGAAAAATTGACAATTTGATAACTATTTTATTAAGGGGTACGCATTCAGTTGATTTGGATCTAAATTTTAATTAAGTTAAATAGAGAGTTGCGAAAATCAAACCACTTAACTGAATTTAAACCATCAATTTAACTGAATTAATTTTGCAGAAACCGAGCCAAAATAAAAGAAATTGAAAATCAAATTTAACTACTTGATTTAACTAAATTTTCATTGAATTGGTGCTATTTTTGAGTAAATTTAGATAATTTCGTTTATTATCTAATAAAAAACTAAAACTGAAATCAAGTAAAATAATAAAATGAAATAAAATTAGATCGATTTGTTGATTTTTCAATTTTAACATATCTATATATATATATATATAGAGAGAGAGAGAGAGAGAGAGAGGTATATTAAAAATAGAGATGAAAGTATTATCCTGGAAAAAGAAAGAGAACAATAACACATGCTTGTTTTGAGAATAATGATTCAAAGATAAATTGTGTTGATAAAAATTCTAGGTAGATTAAAAATCTATGTAATTTCTGAAATAACTGTGCACAACTACAAACAAGGAAAGGAAAGCAATTGGTTTTTAACTGTGGATTAAATTTATATTTATAGCTAGAGTACTATAGAGGTCATTTTCTCTCTTTTCTTTCTTCTTTCTGGTCATCTAATTTTTTCTTCCTGGTCGTCTAACCTTAATTTAGTTTGGAACTGCCGCTGATTATCATCGGTCCTTAATTCAGATATGTATTTCGTATAATAAACATATTTTTCTTTGTTTTGGTTATTGTTATTTTCTTCATATTTGAACTTTTTTATCCCTTTATTGTGAGAGTTTGATCACTTCTTTGTGTATTTATTGCTAAATAAAATTATGATATTTGATTTTATTTTGTTGGAGATTTTGAATCTTGATTTACAGTTGCAGATCTTCAATTAATAGAGCCTAGTAGTGTGAGTTGTTTCTCCACTGATAGTATCAATATATAGTGGCGGAAATTCATTTGTAATTTCATTATTTGTTGGGAGTTTTTGGAAAAATAATCTAGGTATAAAAAATTTAGCAAAATATTATCGTAAAGATTTATATCCTTTATCAAGTTCATCTTCCAATGAAAATATTTAATATTATATCTTTAATTTTAATTTTATGGTTCAAAAGATTTATTAAATTTTTTAAAAAATAAGCAAAATTTATCGCTAGTAACAATAAAATTTTATGTATAAGTATTTATAAATCTTATTGAAAATTTTATGTATAAGTATTTATAAATCTTAATATTATTTTCAATAGGTTATATTTTAAAAAAAGAATCTAGATAGAATTGTCACTCCAAGAAAATATCAACTCTATCGCATTCACATGTACGACTTGTTTAAAAATCGTGAAACCCACGACAAACCAAGGACATTCATGTCATTTAATCCACCAAACAGAAAACACCGAGATCCCATCTGCCACCTCGTCCACGTGGAGTCTCTTCTATCTATCTCACCACCTCACGCTATTATTCGGTCACCGGTAAAGCCGGTCACGGAAAAACATGGGGCGGTTTCTTTTGTACGTTTCACGAGATACGCCGTAACTCACAATCCATCCATCACCAGTTACGTGTAACGATATCGTGGATCGAGGCCCACGTGGCTTAATCTACGGTCGACGTGGAGCTGTGCATGAATAGAAGCCGCAGACACTGGTGACTCGAGTTTCGTGACAATTTTTTAAGATTAAATTCCCTAAGCCGATTTCAATTGTCGGCGCCGCTTCAAAAATCGGCTCAGATGGAAAAGCTAAAGCTAAGCTTAGCAGTTGTTAGAGTGGGGCCCAATATTAAAGAGATTTGCTTTTGAAATTGTTGAACGGTTTTTTTCAGTTTTAGTATTGGAAGGCGTTCTTATTAGTTATTACTGCTTGCTGAGGAAGGTTGAGGTTGAGGGGACCAGATCAGATCGGACCCACAGGCCACAACGTTGACGTAACAGTGGGCCCTGTTAAGAGCAAATCTGAGTTGGGCCCCACTAAAGAAAGGCTGATACGTTATTCCGTAGATGAAATGAAATGCATTTCGGATACACCATAGGTTTTTCATGGTCAACGGAGAAGTTTAATATATTTTTTTATGCGAACAAGCAAACCTTACGATAGTCAATTTTATTGGTTTGTTTGGATAATTTTCAAAACGGAAAATGCTTAAATAAAAAAGCTTTTCCATTTTGATTGATCCGCTGTCTAATTTTCCAATTATACATTTTAATTTATTTCAATATTTTATTATATAAATAAAAAAAATTCTATTTCGATTAATTCAATATATAACTTTTTAATGACACATTAATTTATATTTGTTATTTTAAAAAACTAGAAAATTCACATATGTATTCTAATATGATAAAAAATTAAATATAGAAAATTAAAATAACCCAATCCGCTAAGAGAATGGAAAAAAAAAAAATATTCAAGCTCTATCTAAATAGACAAATCTGATACATAATTTGCATCATGTTCCATTTTAAAAATTATCTCTATTTTAAATTAAATATGTGTTCCGATACGAATAGAGATTTTAAAATGAATGATTTTTTTTTTTTTTAAATCACCACTAAGGAAAGTTATCTAGGGCAATTAAGGAAAATAAAATCTAGAAACATCACTAAAAAAAATGGTGAGAGACAGCTAGATTATTGAAATTCTATTTTTATGTAAATCCATATAAAAAATGAGAAAATAATGTATAAGCGAGTAAAAGTGTGTAATTTAGCATGATTAAATTAAAAGTCGAATTTGTTTGATTTAATTGAATTGATTGATTTAGTTTAGGATTTTAAATAATTTTCAAATTTCAATTTTGGATTCGATTATAAAAAAATCTATGTAAAAACGAATTTGATTAATGAAATCGGTCAACTTTAAATCAATTTGGTCTAATTTAATTCCATATTTAAATCGATTTTAGTTGATTTTTTAAAAAACATACATAGTATATAGACTCCGTTTGTTTTTGAAAAATAACTTACACTTAGAAAATAATTTTTAAGAAAAATATTTTTCTTTAAAATATTTTACAAATGACTTATTTTCCATTGTTTGGTTGCAATTTGAAAATTAGTTAAAAATATTAAAATTTTTAACTCATAAGACCATAAAAATAAAAAAACTAATAATCTAAATTTCGTATTTTAAAAATTTTATTGTTTGCATTTGAAAATTAGGTTTAAAAATATTAAAATTTTTTAACTCATAAGACCATAAAAATAAAAAATTAAAAATATTAAAATTTTTAACTCATAAGACCATAAAAATAAAAAAACTAATAATCTAAATTTCGTATTTTAAAAATTTTATTGTTAAATTGAGAATAATGCATAAAAAAGGTAAATTATGAAAGTTCTTGGTGACCGTAGGTGGTGGACAATGGTGGCCGGTGGTGGTAGTTGAAGGTGGCCAGTGGTGGTGAACGGTGAGTGGTAGTCGACGGTGGCCAGTGATGGTGAATAATGAATAGTGGTAGTAGCTATTAATGATTAATAAATTAATAAAATATAAATTTATAAAGTTATAATAAATTTATCAAAGTTCGAAAAATATTTTACCCTTTTGAAGATGAGAAGTTATTTTCTTGAAAAATGACTTAATTTTCTTTTGACTAAAAAAAATATTTTTTATTAACTCAAAAATTATGAAAAATATTTTCTTATAAATTATTTTTCACAAACTAAGGCAGCCATAGTTTCAATTGATTTGATGAATTGCATACTTCTAATCATGTTATTTGTCCATGCAATTCCTCTGTAATTCAATTCAAAAAAGAAGAGTTGATGTAGATATATATATAAGTAGTTGGTATTGAAGTTAAGTAAAGTTAATAATTGAAGTGCCAATTTAAATTCTAATAGTTATCTATTAATTTAAATTCAAATTTTCATCCGCCCACAGTTTAATCTTTAATTATTGAAAATCTGATAAAGATCCTATCTTAATCTTAGGTTGTTAGTTGTCACCTTTATCCTCTTATAGTGGGTTTGATTTGAATTTCCAAACTGCCTTGTGAAAACCCCCAATTTGAGAGAAGCCAAAAATACACAAATCAGACAAATATCAACCATCTACCTTCTAGAGACTAGGAAATAGCTAAACATTTATTTCATCTGAACAAAGAAGATGTCAAAAATCCAAAGAATCAAAAAAAGAAAAATACAAATTAAAGAAAAATCTAAAACAAACAGCGAAGCAAATACACCACATGATTACACAAACACTTCCCCTTCCCCTACCTCGGTGGGCCCGGGGCGGACTTCAAATTCCTCGATTAAATTTAGTTAATTGACAGAAAAGCAAAAAAATCCCACACACCAAAAATATTAAATAATAAATTAAAGAATTCGAAAAAGCGAGAGGCCCGTGATGTTGCTTTTAAAGACTCCGCTGTGCACGCTGCCATGTCACTATCCTAAATATTTTTATTTTTTTTATTAATAAAAGCATTATTAGCCCTTTCTTTTCTCACCACTATATATATATGCTTCTCATTTCTCTTTCCCTCTCGCCTCACTCTTCGTATTTTCTCTCTCAACACGCCTCTTTTTGTTTTTCGCTCTCCCTCTCTATAGGCTTTTCCTCGTCAAACAAACACGCCCTATCTTCTTTACACTTCACTGTTTAAAACATAATCTTTTACTTAGATTTTGTTTGTCTCCTTGGAAACTCAAAACTGTTTCATAATGGACCAAGAGTCTACAGAGAACAAGGATACCTGCAACAGGAAGCGAGTTAGGGCTGATGACTCAGAATCTAACTCGTCTAAGTTGAAACTCATCTGTCTTGAATCGGCTCTTAACTCGGGTGATTTGGATACAAACCATGTCGACTCGGGTAAAAATAGTGAAAACGAGGTTGCTTCGAATGACTCGGGTGTTAACTCGCCTGAAGCGAAGCGGATCCAAGATGATTTGCTTAACATTTTTGATGAGTCGGATGATCCGATGATTCAAGGCCTTGACTCAGTTATTAGAAGCTTTGAAGAAGAAATCCTTGTTCCGTCCGGTCCCAATACCGAGGTTTCGGATGTGACGACTTACGGCGGTGGTTCCCAGCCGGACCTCGGTTACCTTCTGGAAGCCTCAGATGACGAGCTTGGCTTGCCGCCGACGTTCTCCGGCGAGGAAGAAAAGGTCAGTGCTGTAGATTTGGATCCCGAATTAAGCGCATCTGGTGCGACTGGTTTCGGAAATATGGCAGGCTTCGAGGATGACATACCGAGTTACGACTCGTTTGGGTTCGGACTCGGGGGTGACTCCGATAGTAATAGTTACAACGTTAGTTATAATGACGGTGGAGATTTTGTCTCCTTAGGTGGATTGTTTGATTACGCGGACGAGAACTATGTGCCGGCCGATATATCGGCTGTGCAGTGGCAGCCCGAGTCACTATCTGCCTTGTAGGTTTAAAAAATGACACAGGGAGGAAGAAACGTTTTGTTGTATCCGGAATTTTGACGGAAAACGAGACGATTCCATGCAAATTCGTTGTCCATATTAGGTTGTAAATTTGGAATTTTGCAAGACAGGAAAGGGAATTAAAATTGGAAATATATTTGTTCTTTTAATTATTCTTTTCAAAATATAATTCAACACGACAAAAAATTGCAGAAAAATTATGACCTAATTGATAGCAATTTTAATTTTAATTTGAAATGGTGTATTTAATGTTTTATAATTAAATTTACAATTAATAAAAAATGTTGCTACTTGTATTGTATGGGTCTAATTCACTAGATATGATATGCCTCTTAAATTATTTATATGTCCGTATCAAATTTATGTGAATGAAAGGATGAGTTGTTGATTTCTTAATAGAGACTTAATTAAATTTGGTCAGTCCAATTTATTTATAAAATATAAGATATGTGACATTAATATGAAGTATCTGATCATCATTTTTATACAAGTTGGATATGATTAGTTTTAAATTTTTTTGGGATAAAAAATTAATAATAATGACTCAAAATTAGATCTTATAATAAAATTATAACTTAATTAGATTTGAGAATAAAACTTTAAGATATGGAGGAAAATATAATAATTCAGATTTTTATACAGATAATTATTTACAAAAATTAAATAAAAAAAGAAAAAGAGGTAAGTAAATAAATAAAAAAAAAGAGAGGTGACCACCACTCACTTAGCCGTCTGTAGAAGAAAAAAAAAAAGAGCTTTCAGAAGAGAGAGGTTAGATTTTTTTTATATATAAAATATAAAATTGTTAAATGACGAGTTAAATCATTAATGAAAAATGAAATGAACGTCTTGACGGGACAGTGATGTGGAAAAGATATTTAAGCTTAATGTATAAATAATTAAAATGTATATCTGTTTAGTTGGTTTTATTTTGAACGGTCACAATCAAGTTAAAAAATCGTTGCTAATGGGTTGGATGGAGAGGCGTAACTTACGATCTTAAAGCTACTTCTTCTTTTTTTTTTTTTTTTTTTTTTTACGGCTCCACAATCAAGTTAAAATAATCGTTCTGCTAATGGGTGGATGGAGAGGCGTAAACTTTACGATCTTAAAGGCTTACTTTCTTCTTTTTTTTTTTTTTTTTTTTTTTTTAAGTACAAAGTTTATTTTTATATTAGCTTTTTTTTTTTTTTTTTTTTTTTAAGTACAAAGGTTTATTTTTATATTTAGCTTATTATATTTTGAGTAACTCGGTGAAATTGCTAAAATATATGTTTATATTATATAATAATGGGCCATGTTTGTACAATATATTTACATACGAGGTGAATTTATTAATATATACACAAAGCGGAAAAATGTAATTTTACCCAAGATGTTTCCTTTTTATATTGATCTGAATGTAAATATTAAATTTTACTCATAAAATAGAAATATAAAATTTTGTATTTTCTACGTATAAAATTTCTTCCTTCAAATAATTTACAATTTCTTACTGAACTATAAGTAATTTTACTTTCTCTTTCCATTGTAATCTATGTTTGTAACAACATAATAATAATTAATAAACAAACGAAAATATCATTTTAAAACTCTTAAATATTTATTATTCAACTCTAATTATTTTTTTGAATTTCTATTCTATTGAAGAAATTCTTTAACAATGAAAGCAAATTTTTTAAGAAAATTGTGATAATTAAATTCTAAATATTTTAAAATTTTACTTAATAGTTAAAAATTCTTAAAAATTAAAATCACAAAAATAAATTTTTTATTGATTCGATAATTTTTACAATAAAATTGATGAAATAAAAGAATTGTTGACATGAAATTTATTTTTACGTAAAAATTTAAAAAAAGAATTGAGATCGCAATAGGAAGCAATCATACATCTTTTCATGTTAAAGTAGTAATTTCTTGTTGGATATTTCATGTTAAAATCTCTGTTTTTAAACTCAAATTGGATTAGATCTCTTTGATTCTTTTTTAGAAGATTTTTTGACTAGGGATTGATTTTGAAATTGTTATTGAATTTTCCAGTAAGAATCCAATATCCCATGCCTCCATTTTCGTGTTGTAAATTATTAGTTGAAAAGAAAATACATCATATGACATACTTTTCACCTATAATTATAGTTCAATTGGCAACACAAGCTGAACATGTAGAAAGAGCTCTCAGATTTGATCTCCACTAAATATACATGCAGAAATGTGCAAAGGGCCATAATTGTGACTAAATCTCGAGCCGGATTAGACTGTATAATTAGTGATAGAGTCTAAGTATCGATTTCGGAATATTTCTATAATAAGTTCAATTAATCCTTGTAATTATTAGTTAATCATACCAAATAATTAACACGTCGGCGTTTAATAAGTTTTTTTTTTTTTTGATCAACACTTGATAGCTAACAGGAGTATTAATTTAGATTAATTTGATTTGGTATAAAATACATACAATATAACCAATACACTAATTTGATACTTAAAAAAAAAAAAGGTGCAATAATAATGGAAAATCCAAGAAGATAAATATCCGAAAAAATAAATACGGAAAATAATCATAAACAAGGCCAAAATTTAAAGTATTGGGCCTAAAGCCCAAGTACACAAAAAAAATAAGATCAGAAACATACATATAAATCTTCATTTTATCCATTGAAATGAAATTTCTCTCATCCACTCGCTCATGGCTCTCTCGATAGCTAGTGGCAATGGCAGTGGAGGCAGAATCGTCTTCACCAACTCCACCAGACACCACTCTCAAATCCACCGTCCTCAAATCCTACTTCCTCTCTCCCCGAGAAGATCTCTCCATATAGTATCAGCAAAGAAGCTATCTTCTTCTCGAACTGGCCGTTTTGACAGCAGGAACAGGAGGAGCTCCATTACAACTAGAGATAAGGAAGATGAAGAAGAAAGGACAGCTGAGATTGAAAGAACAGGTGGCAGCAATGAAGATTTTAGTGGCAGTAAAGTTGAAAATGTGAGTACAAGTAGTGTTGATGCGGAAGATGATGGCTATTTCTTGCCTCCGCTTCCCGGCGATGAACCGGACTTTTGGGAAGGTTCGAAATGGGATGGTCTTGGGTTCTTTGTGCAGTATATGTGGGCTTTTGGTGTTGTTTTTGCGGTAATATCTTATTCTTTATCTTCTTTATTGTTATTATTATTGTTGTTGTTCTTGTTGTATGAAAAAAGGCCAAACATGGTGAATGATGCTAAGAAGTTTTTTCTTTTTCTTCAATGTTTTTAGTAAATATGCATCGACTAGTGGTCAAATTTGAATTCATATCTTCACTGTCAATACCACTTAAGAAAAGTAAATTAGTGATGATAAGAAGCTTAATTTCAATCAACTAGATGTTTGATTGGAGAGACAAAAAAAAAAAAAAAAAAAATCTTCACATGTCATATTACCACTTTAAGAAAAGTAAATTACGTGATGATAAGAAGCTTAATTTTCAATCAACTAGATGTTTTGATTTGAGAGACAAAAAAAAAAAAAAAAAAAAAGGAAATTGATTTTACGCCCTTACTTAAAGGGCTTTTCTGGGTTGATTATTTTTTTTGTATTTTTTTTTTTAAAATTTTTGCAGTTTAATAATTATAAAAAGATGGTACTGTCCAAATGACACCTTAATATACTTTTCAGCATCAGAAGCTTAGAATTGATGTTACTGCCCAATTTAATTAGTTATCTTCAAAAAAAAAAAAAAAAAAAAAAAGGAAATTGATGTTTAGCCCTTACTAAAGGGCTTTTCTGGTGTTATTTTTTTGTATTTTTTTTTTTAAAATTTTTGCAGTTTAATAATATAAAAATGGTACTGTCCAAATGACACCTTAATATACTTTTCAGCATCATGAAGCTAGAATTGATGTTACTGCAATTAATTAGTATCTTCAAAGATTTGCCCTTGTAGTTGAGTATCTTCAAAATGTAGAAAAAATGAATTAGAAATAAGTATAATCCAGCGAAATGATATTAGAAGAGCAATATTTTAGAGTAGTTGTTCAATTATTATTGAGGCTAGCCTAATGTTCTGTACACTTGTTTTGACAGTTAATTGCATGTGGGATCGCTGTTGTTACATATAATGAAGGAGCAACAGACTTTAAGGAGACTCCTGCATACAAAGAATCGATCCAATCTCAGGAGCTTTTGGAAGAGCCTGAAGCATCTAACTCTGATGTGTTTGAATCAAATCCAACTGAGGTCGCTCCTAGTTTGGACTAGTTATTTTAAAATGGATGTCAAAAGCCTTTGCCATAACCAAATTTCCTGGCAAAAACAAAATCCTATGAAAGATATTGTCCTCAATCGTTGATTAGGTAATGCTTCTATGCTGTAACTTGTCAAAACATACAGGAAAGATATTTGTTACTGTGAATTCAGTTTATACTAGCAAGTTGGAATATCTGCAATTTGATTGCTGACAGTTTTCATCATCTATATTTCACTTTCATGTATGCAATACTTGCAAATTGCTAGCATTTTGACAGAAATCTTCAACTGCAAATTGATTTTCTTTATTTGGTATATCACAGGGTTATTCAATATATGTGTTAGTAAAGTTAATGGTATATATGCTGTATAGGTAAAGTTAATTTATTTGCAAGAAACTGTATCTTTATGTTAATTATTTTCAGTAGTAAAAAGAACCTTAAACTCGGTTCATAATGACTCGGACTAACAATCCTAGACACTAGAAAATTTAAGAATACTGATATAGGATAAACATGCTCAAAAGCTACAACAAGCTTGGAATTAGATAGTTTGAGTTCTTTTTGTAAGAAGAATAGATGCCAAAATCGCTAGAAGCACCATAAATCCTTCAGCCTTCAACTTGATACCTGCAGCGCTCCGGCCCAGACCTAATCCCATGATAACAGGCCTTGGTGCCACTTGAATCATTGGAGAAGCTGAATTCCATAAAAACAGAATACCATTAGAAAAGAAATAGCAAAAATTTAAGGACCTAACTACAGTTTTATAAAGATGGAACATAAAAGATCATGTATACCAGCAATAGTAGAATTGATGTGTCTCTCACTAGAAGAATTGGTCTGTGCCCCTGGAGAAACTTGAGAAGTAGGAGAACTTGTAGGAACTTGAGGAAGTCCTTGAAGAGAAAATTGCACGAATTTAAAAGAAGAAAAACAAGATATTGTAACTTTGTAGGAAATTAAGAGACATTGTTATTCTAGAGTGTTGTTATATATTGGTATATGCATATATAGTACCTGAACAAGCAGAGATGTTGACTTGTATGTGACAAAGAACAGGCAGCTGCAGGGCTAGGGTTCTGTTAATTGGGAAAGAAGTGAAGTTAGTGTCATTGAGCAAGAGGCAAAGACAGCCAGGCTGTTGCAAGTAGAGTTGCTTGAGGTTTTCACAGCAAGTTGGTGGTGGTGATTGGGCTGTGCCTTGCACAAATGGTGCACAGGGAGTCAGTGGTAGTATCAACTGTGGAGAGCAGTCAGCTATTTGTGGGTCTTGTGAGAAGGATTTGGTTGGAAGAGAAATGAAGAGTAGGAAACAAAGGGAAGCAACGGCAATTGGAGAGTTAGGATAAAGAGAGGCCATAGTGTTGTTTTGGGTATTTGTTAGAGAAATTAGGGTTGACAAAGGTGATATTACTAGCTAATTATATAAAATGAAAGTGCATTTTTTGTGTGAGCTATTACATGAATGCTATGTGTTTTTCTGCATGCAATTTTTCACTCTCATTGTATTGTACCTACCTAACTACTAGTCCTGGAGATGATTTTACTACCTTTACGTTAAATTTCATTATTATAGGTAGCGTTTATCATTTTTTGTACATCTAAATCTGATCATTGGGCCGCTAAAGCTGAATTGGGCCTGAATCTCTTAGGCCTTAGCCTAGTACAATTCCAAAGATAAGAGTCTGCTTAATTTCTCAATTATAGAATAATAGAATAATCGCTCCACTCTGGAGCAGAAATTACATAAATAATATACTTAATTAATTCGTCATTAAGACTGATTATTAACCAAATGTAGACCTAAGATTGAAAGTTAAGGGGCCAAAATAGATAAAATTTACATTAATTTATAAAGTAGATTTCAAAAAAAGTTTTTAACTTAGGAGTTGATGGCCACCACTTTGCATCCCCTGGTTCCGCCATTGCCATCAACAATTAGAAAATAGTAATTGAATCCAATGCAATTATGCTGTCAGTTTTAATTAGTTTAACTAGTCAATTCCATTTGGTTAAGAAGTTCAAATCTATCTGAATATGTTATATTAATTAACAGTATAAAAGAAGGTAATAGAATGAATCTTAAAGCCGAAGTGAGCTTTAGGTCCGTAGATGGTTTTCCATTAACTAATTAATTAAATGTTTATTATTGCTTTCATTACAAAGATAATCATTAGTCTTCTGCGTCCCTTTCTTTAATGTGCCTCGTTAATCATATGTTGTTTTTCCTATTATTTCCCAGTCTAGAGAGAAAGAGAGAGGTTTGGGGACCAAAAGGTGTCAGGCCCAAAGTCTCCCTCTATTTATTTCTTTTTAATAAAAAGAGAATAATTAACGACTAACTAAAATCAAAGGTTTTGACTTCGAATATTAGGTATAGAGTCTTTTTAAACATTCAGTAGGAAGCGCTTTATCCACCTTTATAGATCTACTCAGATTAGTCGAACCAGTGAGTTTTGAACACTGAAGGGTTAAAACTAAAAAGAATTAATTAAAATCATTTCAAGTATAAACAGTACCCGAGTTATTACGAGAGAACCAAGTTAATAATCCTTGAGGAGGATCTTCAAGAACATGAACACCCAAATTCAAACTGATAGCAGTTTTGAAAGTCAATTTGCACACATATTGGCTTCCCTGAAGATCTCTTATTTGCTTTTAATATTCTATCCATTTTGATAATGAATTTATAATCTGCTTTAATTGCAGCTTAGTACAATATTCCTATAATGTAATGTCTTTAAATATATATATATATATTATTTATTAAAAGAAAATTTGAAACAATTCTAGTTTTTATACATATAGATATGCATACTATCACTATCCATGAATGAAAATGGTAAATATATACTTTGCTCTTATCGTAATCAATTTAAAATTAGTAAAAAAAAAAAAAAGGATTGTAAGTGTATGAAATAATTTTTTTTTTCTCGAGAAAATTATTGAAAAATTTCTTGATAGTGATCACATCAATGTGTATACAATCACTGTGCTGTGCCAACAACCTCTAAAAGAATAAAGATAAATTTTCTCAATCAATCAATACAATAAAATGGTCCAATTTGTTGGTACATTAACATCCACATCATTTCAAATATTTCTTACCACTTATTGCCTCATATTATATATATATGTCATCAATAATTGAAACTCACACCCACTAAAAATCAAAAACCTTATGGCATCCTGGGCTAAGAAGAAGCTTCTTAAAGCCAAATTCAGAATCTACAATAGACTACCCCTTCCTCCTCCAGCCACTTCCCCAGCAATCTCTCCGCCGGTAGGTTCCCTCTCTATACATTCATCAATAATTCCATTTTTCAAATTTTTAATTTTTAATTTTGGTATTTATAATTAAGGGTGTTTTCTATTAGTCCCATTAACTTCTTCTGGTTGTTTTTTAATAGGTGGAAGAAGTTGTTTTAGCAGCTCATTTAGGATGTGCCAAATGCCAAAAGAAGGTGGCTGACGCAATTTCAAGAATTGGTGGTAAGTTAAATGACATACACTATTAATTTCCTTTTGAAATAGAATCTTGATTAGTCATCTTCCTAGCTAATAATAATAATTTTTGCAGAAATGGAATCTATAATAGTTCATGTATTGGAAAAGAAAGTGATACTTACTCCTACATCCATGGCTAAAGGTTCCTTTATTGTTGGGAAAGCCTCCGACCCACTGCTGCTTTATTCACATTCCATTTATAAATAACAAACTTACTTCTTCATCTTGTTTGTATGTGTTATTTTTGGGTTTAATTCTCAGTTGATTCTATACTTTATGAGCTTAATTTTACCGCAGCTAACTATATAAATATATTATAGTAAATTACCATTAAATCCTTCTCTAGGATCCACTTCTCCCTTTTTTTAGTATTTGTTCTGCTAATTTAATTAGTACTATGCTATAAGAAAATAATTAATGAGCTGCTAAGAATAGTCCGAAACTTCTTATTGTAAAAAAAAAAAAAAAATGATAAAGATTTGTTATCTTTTTTTCCTTTTGGTAAATTTGTTATCAAGATCTCGTTTTTCTTCTAGAAGAAACGATCAAAATTAATCTCTTTGATATTAAAATTGTCTTTAGAGTTGAGAATTCTTATTTTCGAACATCAGACAAAATCAAACAAAGAGAAAATAATAATAAAAATGATCAAAGAAACAGTCGAAAATTTTCACTCATTTATTTATTTTTTTGTTGGCAAAATAATTACAAACTTAATTACGGATTAGACTAAAAAAATAAAATTCAGCGCGCATAAATAGAAAAAGTTTTTCATACTTCAGGAAAGCGAAGGGAATTTCCCAAAAAAAAAAAAAAAAAATTTTGGGGGTCAAACAAAGAGGAAAAATAATAACTAAAACATGGATTACAAAGCACAGTCGAAAATATCTTCACCTCATATTTATTTTTTTGTTGCGCAAAATAATTCTCACGATTAGAGAGTTACGCGCACTCGACGATAAAAGAGATATAAAAGTGTCAGCGCGCATATAATTAGAAAAAGTTTTTTCATACTTTCAGTGGAAAGCGAGGGAATTTCCCAAAAAAAAAAAAAAAAAAATTTTAAAAAAAAAAAAAAAAAAAAATTTTGGGGGCGGTCCTCTAACCGTAGGGCTGGGTCTGCCCTAATCTTAGTATAAAGAGTGACATTGGTTCTTCGAGGAGGGAAAAAAAGGGGGACAAAAAAGGAGAACGGACAGGTAGCTTTCCAATGAATGTTGTGCTTCCAACGCACTGCATCATTTGATGTTAAATGCATCATCAAAATGATATCATTTGTGTTAATATCAAACGAGCATAGTCAAGTTCAAACACAATCCAACTTACTCCACAAATAATTAAAAAAATTACTACGGAGTAACCTTTTATAATAAACAAACATATCAAAACATTATTTCTCTCAATTTCTAACGTTATACAACAGAATTAATTATTTTAATAATTATTAATTGTTCTAATATATGTTAATTGTTTTATTAGCACTTCATTAAATATTAAATAATATTTTATAATATGCTATTTCAAATTCTAAATATAAATATAAATGCTATACAACCAAATACGGTAGGATAGTGATTTGACCACGTGTTTGATACATAATATTAATATTAAATTTATCTTAATGTGAACTACTCACCATTTTTAAGTATGTGTGTATATCAATCCAACTGAATTCTTATGGAAATTCTTACCCACATCAAGATGTAACCATATCCTTTTTTGCTTCCCTTGTTTTTATCACAATATTCGGTTGATCAATTTATACAATTAGGGCATATTTAGTAGGTTGAATAGGAATGAGAATGAAATTTCTATTCCTATTCACTTGTTCAGTAGCTATTAAACTCTGAAATGGGTAATGAATTTTGAGATAAGTTTAGTAATAAGATTCTTATCCTACTCTCTGAATCCCTATTACAAGGTTTAACTTTTTATAAAATGCCTTATATGTCTTTGTATTCTCCATCTCAATAATTTTATTATTATTATTATTATTATTATTATGGTCATTTTATCAACTTTCCATTTCATTCCTTCCATTATTATACAAATCAAACACTTGAATGGAATTTGAATTCCTATTCCATGGTGCATACTAAACATAAGAATAAGAATTCTATTTCCTATTACTTTCTTTATTTCATTCCTTACTCTATATTAAACATAGCCTTACCGTAGGTAAGACTTATAATAAGAATTGAATGGTTTTCCTTGCAAGAATTTGGAGTCTCAATTAGTAAATTGTAAAACCTAGAAAGGGATGCTTTCCTGTACTGCACACATACCTTAAACAAATAAACAATACAAACTTAAAGAAGTCAAGAATAATGAGCAAATGCTTTCCTCGCTACCAACATGGAAGTTTGAGAATCAGATTCCACAATAGAAAAAGGAATACAATTCCCACAAATGGAAACAAATATATTTCATCATAATCTTTCATATTCTCCAAATCCCATTCACTGTCTTCCATCCAACATTTAAAAAATTCAAGATTCCAAAAGCATTTCCTCACTCCACCAGCCAATTTCATGACAGAAAAGGCAAGCTTTAAACACCTCAAGAAATTATTGCCAACTTCTTACCCTTGAGAGTCTTACATTCCATTTCTAACCCTATAATTTCTTGCACAAACATTAATTATTAGATATATACATGCAGTTCTACTGCATGGTGATGAGGATCAACATTGATTGTAATGGCTGTTACAGAAAAGTAAGAAGAGCCATTCTTGATATGCAAGGTATGTATATTTGTTTTTTTTATTTTCTTTTAGGTTTTTACGTATTCAAGGGTGTCATGAGATCAAGGAGATAAATTCTATCTTGAGAAAAATTATTGAGTTCATTACTTCCATTATTAAATTAGCAATAGATAGATTAGATGGAAGATTGGTTCCTTACGTATATTGCATAATCTTTTAATTGCCTCTATGTATTTCAATATTAATTGAAGTATACAAGTTTCACTCTTAGCTAGATCCAATTATATCTACTCAGTCCTTCACTAATTTCTCTGCCTTTTGTATGCCTAATGCAGAGTTGGAGACACATTTGATAGAGAAGAAGCAAAGTAGGGTAAGTGTGTACGGCAAATTCATCCCACAAGATGTGGCAATCAACATTAGGAAGAAGACTAAGCGCAGAGTCGAGATATTAGACATACAAGAGTTGATTCCTCATGATGAAAATCAAGAACAAAAGACCTTAGTCAGTTCAGCTTCTTTGAATCTTCCACCAAACCAAAACTAGATAGCAACTTGTGTAACATGAGAAGATCTGAAGATGTAGAGAAGTGCGTTCTTAAAATCGTCGAATAAAAGTATTTACTCTTATAAGTTATAAGCATAGGCTTATTTGAGAAGGGGTCCATACAAACAGAAATGAATCATCTGCTAGATGATGTAGGTAAGAAAGAAAACTTATCATCATCCAATAATAGGAAAAGGATCCAGCATAGCCTCCTTGCTCAATTCATGGGTATGGGAGAAATCGAGTTTTAGCAAGTAAGTACACGTCTGCAACTCCTCCAGAAAGAGAGAACATACTCGATGAATTCAAGAAGAGAGTGGAGGAGGTGCCTGACGGTTGAAGAAGAGTCTTGTAGAAACTTTACAATACGTATTGTTGTATTACTGACTAATTTTCTACTACCTTTAAGAAAATAGATGCAAAGCAGTGATTCCAGAGTAAACGATAAGTATTAGTAGAAAATTAGTCTATTGATGGAGAGAGGGTTCTTACTGTGGCAGAGTTGCAGATTCTCAAAATGCAGTGTTCATAAACAAAAGCATAATTTATATCTGAAACAAATGCTCAAACGCAGAGTTCATATCAAACTTAACCGATATTAAAAATTCATAAACAAAAAATTGCTTAAATTAAAACGAGGAAAAAACAAAAACCATACTGCATTTTTTCAACGCCGAGATTGAGGCAAGAGGAAAAATAAGCTCCAATCTTGGAATCAAGTTCGTCAGATCCTATGAGCCAGAGAGATTGTTGTACGGTGGAGATGGCTGCTCGTGGCGTAGTTGAAAATTTACGACTTGTAGTTGTCTCGTAAAAAAGATTCAAAGCGGCGATACGGCGGAGATGGCTGCTCGTGGCTAAATTAAAAATTCGTATTGAACGATGAAGAGGTTGTCGGAAAGATAGAGTTTTGTTTGAAAAACTTCAATCAAGACGACGTAGTTTTACTAATAACAAATAAAGATAATTTGACATAAAAGGGAATCACCTCAATCTGCTGAATATAATCAATTTGACATTGAGATTGCTAATTGTTGATCAGCTGTTACTAATTGTGTTTTATATTCCAGTTAATTTGACATACTGTTTCTCTGTTAATACATTTTAGCCAATAGAGCCTTTGTTTTATCAGTAAGGGATAAGGTCAGTTAAGTAATTGTGAAGTAGTATATAATTTTTTATATGTTTGGATGTAATATTCTTAGTTAGAATGAATATGCGAAATGTTAAGTGGCTGAATATTTGTGAGCAAGATCAGTAATGCACATAATTGATATTAGCTTTCTCTAATTATCCTTAGAATTATCTCCGCGTATATCTACTGTATTAATACAAAAATGAATGCATTCTCTATGTATACCTATTGTATTGATATAAATATGAATGCAAACTCAATAAATATGAAAGTAATCTTTGCATAGCAAAAACTTTTGTAATTTTTAGAAAAGTAATAATGGAAATGCACAAGATAATTAATAATGTTTTGCACTTTATTGAATTAATAAAAGGATATACATATTTATAGGCTTACAAGTGAATAAAATAAAACCTAAAAATCATTAATCCTAATAATAAAAACATCAAATTCTATACAGAAAATCTGCACTAACTAAAATTGAAATCTCAAAATATTTTTAATGATATTATTTTGAATTAATCCTAACAAAAACAAGCGATCAAAGATAGTTGTGATTCGTTTGGTAATTATGTCTATTAATATAATTTCCCGGTATGTGGGATGAAAAATAATTTATACCCAAATTTATATTCTTCATTCCTTAAATTTAGTTGTTATGATTTTAATAATTAATTTACTCAAATATCTCAAAACTTGTTATTTTCATGTCATTACAAACTATATAAGCAAATAGTTTATAAACCAATAGTTCATTTATAATATAAAACTCGATACAGTAAACATAACATGAATATGTGATAAACCAATTGCAATACAAAATATGTGATTTGATTATTCACAAAATTAGATTTTTCACAAATTTTTCTTGAAATGTCATTATTTTTATTAAAAGAAAAATATTGAGAAAATTTTATCATGTCACTCCGTCTAATAATACTTTCAAACAAAGCCATGAATATAAAATAAACTTGTAGCAATGCAAAATCTGTGATAAATTTACAAAATTAGTTTTAAAAATAAAATATTCGCTGAATCCCATTAACCAAAAGCATAAGGAATTTGTTTCAAATGATGTAATATTCACTTTTCTTTGTTAGATCATTCTGTATGCCATACAGATTTCATTTTAATTTGTTGAACCAATTAAGTTTAGTTTTAGTACTTGTTTTCCATTTTATTTTCCAAAAATTACAAAAAAATAAATAAATCAAATAACGAATTTTATCCTCCTCACTTCAAGTAATGTAAAAATAACATCAGGAATATGTTAAAATATGTCGAATTGAAAAATATTAAATAAAATAAAACTTCAAAAATATAGAATAATAATAATGAAAATTGTTTTTCATAAACACTATATCCGAAGGTGTCCTAATATTTCTTATTTTCTAAGGTCTTATTGATCGTCATCATTTTCATTACTTTCATAATTTTCAATTTATCTATACATATGAATAGTCTATCAGAGAGAGAGTGTGTTAAAATCAGTAAATAACAGAGAAGCATAGCACAGAAAAAACAATAATGCTGCGAATGATAGCAGCAAGAACGTGACCCATTGGGAATAAAATAGAATTGAAGCCCTAAATAGCCTGCAGCTGCAAGCCAGTTATTTGGTTATTGAAAGAGACATATAACTGGTCTTTGACCAATTGATTAAAAAAAAGAAACGGGCATTGACTTAACCCAATTTTAAGGCCCAACTTATCTTCTTCCTTCATCAAGAGTGACTTGATAGCAGTAACAAATTCTTATCTGATCCCTTTTTCTTTCTTGATCAGGCTTTCCAAGTGTGAGATTTCTTTGTCCCGATCAAACTGTTAGATAAAAAAACCAATATGATCAGATTCTTCGACATGGGTAGCTCTTGCCGATTCTAGTTGTTTGATAATTATAATTGTTCCATTATTTTTTTTTCTTTCTTTCATATTGTTCTAATGGATTGTGCTTCATATTCAGTGCATTCTAGTGAATTTTCATTTTACACATGTATTTGTTTTAGATGAATCTTTTTTGCAATTGATTATATCCATTTTGGAGGTTTACAGGTTTGATTTCTCTTTGGTAATAATAAGTTTCAATAATAAGTATCTATAAGTAAAACAGCTCATTATAAATTTTTAAAGAAAATCTATTTGTTTCCATTGTTTTTATTTAGAAATTCCATCGCACCCCCTAATCACCTAAAATATGGTTAAGTATAATGAATGGTAAAGCCACTTAGAACTCCCAAAACCTTAAAAAATTATTTTATGTATTTATTAATTTTAGATATGCTAGTAATTATTTGACAAAAATTTTAAGAGAAAAAGAATCAAGGACCCACAAAAAATACTACTTTTGCTTAATTCTTCAAATTTCTAGTGATTTCGCCTGCAAATTAAAAGAAAAAGAAATAATTGAGATAGACCAAAAAATTTAAATAAATAACATAATTAAATTATTTACAATGATACATCAAATAATTTTATACTCATCCTCCTTAATAGAATTTACTTACCTTGGTCTCCTTAATATTAATCTCTTCAGTAAGGCTTCTTACTATGAATATCTTCAGTAACAAAAGCAAAGTCCTTACTTTAACCAGTGTACCAAATGTTCAAATAGTTATAATCTTAAAATTTTCAACTATTTGCTAAGTAATCTTTCAGGGTTCTTTTTTTTATCTTCATTGACCACAAATAAGACTACATAGATAAAATTTGGCCTTTTAAATAATTTAATATGAATAATATATAGTAATATTAATTGTTCTAATCATTAATACAGAAAAATAAAAATAAAATTCAAAAATTCTTAAAAATGAAAAAAATAGAATGTTGAATAAAACAGTGTCACGTCACCAAATATAATTATATAAATACATAGATATAGATTATAGTAATTAATTTACTCAAATATCTCAAAGCTTGTTTAATAATATTTAACAATATTTTCATGTTAATAATTTGTAAGCTAATAGTTCGTCAATAGCTCATTTCTAATATAAACTCAGCACAGTAAATAAACATAATATAAATATGTTATAAAACAATTGCAATAAAAAAATTGTGATTTTGATTATTCATAAAATTAGTGTTTTCCACAAGTTTTCCATGCAATGTAATAATTATTTGAAAAATATTAAGAAATTTTATCATGTTAGTTGCCATGAATATATGCAATTAAGTAATAGCAATGCATATTTACGTTTCTTCGTTAGATCATCCTCTTACTATCATATTCAACAACTTCCTTACCCTCCTCATATCACTTTCAGCAGTAATGGTGCTCTCAACTTCATCATTCTCATTGTCACCTTCAGCTGCAAGTTCTTCTTCTCTCTCAAGTTCATCCAACCTGGACATTATACATGCTGTCATCTTCATCATCTTCAACCATAATTTTCTCCTTATTTGTCTCTGAAAAAGAATAACATCATATAGCTTAGAAATTTAATCAATTAAACTGATGCACACAACTCTGGCGAGGAAGCCCAAGCCAATATACCAGTGAATAAATTTTAAGTGTTTGCAATGCATAAAAAAGTTTTAAACTATATTAATTAATCATGATACGGGAGTGCTCTAGCAAATGATTTATTTAACCACAGTGCTATAAACTTTTGCAGCCAAGGATGGTGGAAAGTTAATGAGTGGAAGATATAATTATTTCATTATCTTTAACTAGTTAATGGTAGCTGTTACTAGTTAATGTTTCATATTCCACGTCTCATGTAAGTACAGTGGTATTTGACATAAACCATTTTCATATTGTTGCAAGTACCGATTCTTTCTACTGTTCTAATGGATTGTGCTTCCCATTCATTGCATTCTAGTGCATTTCTGGTTTTCCTTTTCCCTTTTTTTTTTTTTATAATTTTTATAAATTTAAGTTTTGTTTTTTCTTATCTTTATGAGATGAAGTTTCAATAATAAGTCAATCCATAAACGAAACGGTATCTTAACTTTCGAAAAAATTCATTTCTTCCATTATTCTTATTTATAGAACCGATATCGTCCCTTAATCACAAGGGCTTTGCCAAATACAATGTATTGGTAAATACATATATAACTCCCAAAACATTAAAAAAATTACTCACTATCTATTTTTTATAAATAAGCTAGTTAATTATTTGACAACCAGAAGACACCAAGACCCAAAAAAAATTATATTCTAACATAAATCTTGGATAAAAATTACTGATTTTTTTATTATTATTCTTGATATTTCCAGTGACTTGGCCTGCAAATTAAAAGAAAAGAAAAATAAAGAATTGGGATAGTCCAAAAATTTAAATAACATAATTAAATTATTTACAGTGATACACACACTCATCATCGGTGATATAATTTACTTACCTAGCAAAGTCATTACTTTCACCAATGTACCAAGTATCCAAATAGTTAGAATATTAAAATTTCCACTTATTGGCTCATAGATCCCTCATGTTGTTGCTTTTATCTTCATTATCAACCAATCAATCTACATAGATTAAGTTTAACCCTTTAGATAATTTAATATGAACAATATATAGTAATATTAATTGATTCAATCAATAATATTGAAAAAAATTAAAAAATTCTTAAAAATAGAAAAATAAAATGTTGAATAAAAGAGTATCAAAGTACCTTTTATAATTATATTAATGTATAGATATAAATTATTAACAGAGGATTGAAGATGTTGATGGTTTGAAGAAGGAAGCCGTTGTTAGTAACGGCTAGTATTAGCCAACAATGTCGTTTCATTATACAAGAAAGAAAAAGATAAGAAAAAGGAAAAACGGCGTTGCACGAGGCAGTGACAAAACACACACTGTATATCTTCTTCTTATTCATAACAAAAACAGTTGAGGTGTTGCAAGTTTGTTACGGAAAATGAAGAGAGAGAAAGTTGAATTGTACCAGATTTTAAGAGCTAAATTTGATGTGTCAATGGAGTTCGTAAAGGTTTATAAATAACTGTATAGAGCATCTTGTGTAGTAGGTTTTGGTGAATCTTCTTTTCTTCTTTTCAGAATTGTAACCTTCCTCTGTTTTTGTTCTTCTCTTGTATCTGTTATTCTCTCTGTCTTCTAATTCAATGAGATGAATTCAATCAAGTTTTATAATTATAGTAATTAATTTACTCAAATATCTCAAAAATTGTTTAATAATATTTAATAATATTTTCATGTCAGTAGTATATAAGCCAATAGTTCGTCTATTTCATTTCTAATAAAAAAACTCAGTATAGTAAACACAACATAAATATGTAATATACCAATTGCAATAAAAAAAATTGTGATTTTGATTATTCACAAAATTAGTATTTTTCACAAGCTTTCTATGCAATGTAATAATTAAATGAAAAATTTTAAGAAATTTTATCATGTTAGTCGCCATGAATATATGCAATAAAGCATAGCAATGCAAAATCTGTGATAAATTCACAAAACTAGTTTTAAAAATAAAATATAATTTCATTCAGCATAAGAAATTCTCATTCATGTTTCAAATGATTTAAAATTTATGTTAGATAATCCTCTCACGATGTCATATAGATCAAAAATTGCAAAAAGAAAATAAATCAAAAACATTACAGGTAGTTGGATCAATTAACGCAAAAATAACAGCAGGTGTGTGTTAAAAAAAAATGTGGAATGAAAAATATTACATCAAATTAAAAAAATAGAAAATTATAACGAAAGTGGTTGTTCATCAGATATCATAAAGGAAATGAAAATCTTATTCTCATGCACAGTATAAAAACTGTGTCATAAGGTTGTTCATCAAATATTTGAACAAAAAATTATTAAAAAAAAAAATGAGGAAGAGAGTGAAACTGAATAAAAAAAGAACACAACAAAAAGGTGTTGTCGATCATATGAAATTGATCATCACCCTTTTCATTATTTTCAATTTATCTATTAATATCAAATAACCAATCAATCAGAGAGATTATGTTAAAATAAGTAAATAATAGAGAAGCATAACACAGAAGTAGGATGTCAATCTAACCCCAACCACAGAAGAAACAGTAACAGTAACAGTAATGTTGCAACGCTATGCATTTATAGGGAATACAAAATAGAATTAAAGCCATAACTAGCCTGCAAGCCGTTTATTTGGGCTATTGACCAATATTTAGATTGAAGGAGACTGAAAGCAGTATGGGCCTGGTCTTTGACGAATTGATTAAGCAAAATAAACGATATGGGCCTAAATACTTAATCTTAAAGCCCAAATTCATATTTGCAAATTCTGGAGGTGGAATTCAGAATTTCAATGTGAATGGTCAACAAAATACCACTCCAATTTCAATCCAGAATGCACCATTAAGCCTTTAACTTTTATGCAGTCAATTATGTTTTCTCTAGTTATCCTCCAGCAAACATATCTATTGCATTAATATAAATATGGACGTAGACTCAACAAATAATTTATCTAAATCCTCCAACACCTATATATTTGGCATTAATATAAATGTGAATGCAAACTCGACAAATATGAATGTAATCTTTACTTAAGAAACATAAACGATGAATCCAAATTCAGCAAATATAAATGTAATCTTTGCATAAGACAAAGAAACAATTATATTATTTTTCGATAATTTATGGATAGGTAGTTCTGATTTATATGAATGATTAAAATGTGTACGTAAAAAATAATTTAAACTCAAATTTATATTCTTAATTCTCTAATTTTAGTTATCATGATTTTAATAATTAATTTACTCAAATATCTCAAAATTCATATCTATTACAAATTATATAAACCAATAGTTTATAAACCAATACTTCATTTCTAATATAAAACTCAATTCACTAAAACATGAATATGTGATAAACCAATTTTAAAGCAAAATTTGTGATTAATCTCCAAATTAGCTTTTTCACAAGTATTTCATGCAATTTCATAATTAAAAAAATTAAAAAATTTTATCATGTTAGTCCGTTTAATAATACTTTCAAAACCATGAATATGAAATAAACTTATAGCAATGCAAAATCTATGATAAAATCACAAAATTAGTTTTAAAAATAAGATATCCGTTGAATTCCATTAACTAGGAACTTTCATCCATGTTTCAAATAATATATGTGCCATAAATATTTAATTTTAATTTGTTGAACCAATTAAGTGTAGTTTTCCTGCTTGTTTCCCATTTTATTTTCCAAAAATTACAAAAATAAAAAATAAATCAAAAAACTATTTTGATCCTCCTCACACAATGTAATATAAAAATTACATCAGGAGTATGCTGAATTGAAAAATATTAAATCAAATTAAACTTCAAAATCATAGAATAATAATAATTAAAATAGTTATTCATCAAATATCAGAAACCAAACAAAAATCTTATTCTCATACACAGCATTAAAACTGTGTCGGAAGGTGTCCTAAGATTTTTTGGTTTCATCATCATTAATGAATTAAACCAATCCCGATATCTGAAAAAAGATAAAAAAACAGATGAAGAAAGTGAAATTGAATCAGAAAGAACGCAGCGAAAAGGCATTATAGATCATATGAAATTGATCATCACCCTTTTCATTACTTTCATCATTTTCAATTTATCTCTAAATATCAAATAATCAATCAGAGAGATTGTGTTAAGATTTGGAAATGACAGAGAAGCATAACACAGAAAAGAACAATAATGCTGCGAATGAATGATATCGGCAAAGCAAGATACAATCGTGACGTATTTATAAGGAATGCAAAATATAATTGAAACCCTAAATACTATAGCCAGCAAGCCAGTTATTCGGCTATTGAGCAATATTGGGATTGAAAGAAACATTGGACTGAAAGCAATATGGGCCTATAATAGGTCTTCCGTGAATTGATAAACGAAAGAGAGGATATGGGCCTAGACTTGACCCAACCTTAGCTAAATGGTTTGAATTTACTCAAAAAATAAATGTTATATAATAATCTATCCAAAAATCAAAATTTAAATTTATAGAAAATTGAAAATCAAAAACCAAATAATCAAACTAAAAATAAAAAAAATAATTTGATTTGATTTAATTTTCAATTTTTTTCAAAGTTTGCTCACGCCTGTCGATAGCAACCACTAGGGCGGGGTAGTTTTTATACTTTATTATGTATTACATTACATAATTACACCAATCATAAAAATATAATATTTTTAACATATTCTATACATTTTTTTAATTACATAAATAAACATGACAATGAAATATTAATTTCATTACATTTTACCAAAGGTAGTTTAAGAATTTTTTGGAAAAAAAAAAAAGGTAGCTTAAGAATCTTCCACAAAAACTTATCAGCTGCCATATTATCTCATCAACTGTGCAGGAGAAAAAGAAGTTAATTACATTATCCCATCATGTCGTTTCCTTAATTCATCAATCAATTGGTAAATTTCACTCTTTCTCTGGTTTGCTGCTGCTAATTTCTCATGCAAAGAAACCATGTCGTTTTCAATAGCTTTTATACATCTCTCAACATGCCTAATTTTAGTCTTGAGTTCCATTAATTCCTTTTTAATTTCTTCTAATTCCTTTTCTCTAAGCTGCCAAATGATGAAAAATGTTAGTAACATGATAAGTATTGATCCATAATTTATTAATTAAATCACATTAATTAATAAATAATTACATTGATTTCCTCTTGTATTGCTTTTTTAGATCCAAAAGAATCCCAAATCATTCCCTTTAGAGCAACATTAGCAATGGCTTTCCTTGTGCATTCCTTCTTTTCAATCACTCCAAGGAGTAAGCTTAGCCAATCTTCATCTTTTCTAATGGATTGCCTATAGCAAAAGAACCACGAAATCTACTCCCCAAAACCCCACAAAACTGGTCAAAAAACATACTCATAAAAAATGAATCAAAGAAAAATAAATATTTGATTACTTACAAATGTTTCTAGATCTTCATTTGACAAACATGAATCCCCAGCTTCTCTTCCTTGACTTTGATCAATCTCTCGTATAAGCTGTTTCTCTTCAGCCGTACTGTTAGTTCCATGTAGAATCTGGAAATGCAAATTCTGCAGGTCCCAAAAAAACTCCAAATTTGAGACGAAGTGAGATTATTTAATTTATGTAAAAAAGATCCAACTATAAAAAGAAATTTAAAGTTATAATTAGACATTGTGTTTGATTATTAATTCTTACATAAAAATTATCTTCTTCCTTGGTTAAGAGTGATTTAATAGCAGTCTGCTGACATACTTTGCTCGCAAAACATGGCTTTTTCAAAGCTTGTTGTATGAAATCTATTATTCTCTTTTGCCAAACAAAAGCCCATCTGACCCCTCTTTCTTTCTTGAACAGACATTCCAGATTTGAGATTTCTTTGTCTCGATCAAACTGTTGACAAAAAAAACCAATAACATCAGATTATTTGACATGGGTAGCTCTTGCCAATTCTAGTTGTTCGATTATATAATTGTTAAATTATGTTTTCTTTCTATATTTAACAGAAAATGAAAGGAAAAACCAAGCTGCGAACCTGTTTTTCTTCTATTTGAAAGGAAATTTCATGCCGTTCTCGAGCCATACTTTGAATGAGCTTCTCAGCCTCTTCAATCCTACATTTGCAAGCTTCTGAGTCTTCCATGGCCAGCCTCTGAAATGATATAAAACACTTGTAATTGAACTATATATAAGATGAAGAGATGGGATGACTAGAGCTGGAGGTTAATCGTTTCAAATTGTAGCTGGTCAACAAGCAACTTGCACATCACGCCAAGAAAAGTCAATGCAACCCATTGGCTTATTAAATAAAACCATTTCCAGAAAATTAAAATGTTATGAAGCATTATAAGCATATGGACAATTGAAATTTTCTTGTATTAATCATCAGTTTAGTTATATTGGTTTATGAAATTTTCTATATATGCGCATATACCACCAACTGATATTTTTTAACACTAACCAATTAATCAAATCCATAATATTTATATATTTCCCTCAAGCAAAATATTAATTAATAGGAAGGAACTGAGTGTTCTTTTTTTGCTGTGAAGTTGTCTTCCTTTATTCTACTTTGTCTTGTATGAGCTTGTTCATTATTGGGTTTTTGACCTTAAGATGGCATCTTATCCAACCTTTTAATTTTTGATTCATTTTTTATTTTCTTAATAACTTCTATAATTACATCACTTTTATCATTATATTTAGACATGCATTTATTTCCTTTTCCTATTTGAATGATTATAATACCATGCATGATTGCTATTCATATGAAGTGAAGGAGAAGGAAAGAGGGTGGAAAAAAAAAAAAAAAATCTAAAATCAACTATTTTAATAGAAGTAATATTTCATAATTCAGTTTCTCCCATTTTAAACATTCATACAAACACTACCCACTAAATAAATAATAGCTAAGGCTATAGTATTAAATATTATGTTAAAAGTTGTTGTCTAATAGAGTCTGCCTCTAAAATATTTCATAATCAATTTATATACCGGTAAAAATGTTATATCACTGAATACAAAGAAATAATAGAGGTCAAACCAGTTGCCTAATAGATTTTTCTCTGAAGTTTCATATATAATTCACTCTCCTAATCTCTAGGCATAGTAAAAATATTTTATCATCAAACACTATAAATAATAAAAATAGCATTTTAATTTTAGTAAAAATATTAAATACTACTTTACAAGTTTTGGCAATCAAGATCTAGAGGTATACCTAGAAGTAGACCTAGAAGTATACCCTCTACTTCTTAATTATCCGATACTTCAATTCGTCAATTAAAAATACCTACATTATTATTCGAGTAACACAAAAAGCTTATTTACTAATTTTCCAGTCAACTTGCAGTGAGAAGCTCACTGGTATTTATTCGTCCGCGGATAATTATTTTAAAAAACGCCCAATTCAGATTCTTTTTAATACTATTTTTTTTTACCTCTCCTCCACCTTTTAATCTTCGTTGTCTTCTACCCCTTTTAATCTTCGTTGTCTTCTACCCCTTGCTGTGACAGCTTGATTCTTCATCTTTGAGTTCATATTTTCCAGCGAGCTACAACAACAGAAATTGTTTGATATTGACTCTAAATATGTTGTTGAGCGTAATTATTTTCTCTACTTTCACGATCAACGACTTCTTTCTACAAATCGAACGAAATACCAAATTGCAAAATTTCATTTGTCTTCTCTGGTGAAAATCAATAGCGTCTGATCATCTCTAGCAATTCAGATAAGTACTAAAATAATACTTTTCCTTCTAAACTACAAGTTTAGTGAAATGAAAGCTCAAGGTATCATTGAGCATCGTTTAGAGCTTTTGAAGGGTGTTAGTGGAGCTTTCATGCCGGGAATCCTAATAGCCCTAATTTGCGCCGGTGCACTGGCAAGACCATTCTATGGATGTCTTGGCCAGAAGAAAAAATGGCGGTTACATTTTAGAAATATCACATTATGTGATATTCGAATAAGCAAAAAAAAAAAAGTTTTGGTCGCATGTCAGAATACTGTAACTAAATCGATATCCACTCCCAACACGTTACAAACCATGGGCTAGTGATTTATTTTGTTTGGATTTAGTTATCCAATGAGGTTAATTCTAATACAAGAAAGTGCTAAACTAAATAGTAAGAAGTAAAGAAAATTTTACTAAAGATTAAAGAAAACATGAATACAACTTAAAATACGAATGAAGGCAAGTTTGGTTTAAGATGAGCATTGATTTTTAGTAAAATTTTAATAACTATTGTTGTTAAAATATATAATAACTGTCAAAGATAGAATTGTTTTTATTTACTAGCTTGTATAATGCATCTTTTTTTTTTTCACTTTGTTAGGAAAAAAATATATCTGAATAGCCTTGATTTTATTATTTTTACATTTTAACAAGAATAGCTATAAAATTTTATCGAACATCAATATTCATCAACTAATCATTATCAGTCACATGCCATTAGCTACAAACAACCATCATTAGCTAATATGAACAATTAAATCAAAGGAGCTCTTAGTTTAAATTAAAAATTGACTTAAAAAATGTATTTTGTGTATATAGTTTAAATGTTTAAAATTTTGTTCAATTTAGTTTCAAATTTTAATAAATTTCCATTATTTTAGTTTGATTTGATTTTAGTGATTAAAAAATAAAAATAATCAAGCCAGTCAATTATTAATTTTCATGAAATGATAAATGTATGTAAGAAAAATATTTTTATATATTATACATCAATATTAAAAAATTAAAATTTTCATCTGCTTATTTTTTATTTTTTCGATTCTTTTTTTTTATATAGGTAGATATTTTTTAATTAATTTTTTAATTTTTTTAAAAAAAATTAATTATTTTAGTTTATGAGAGGTCAAATCAGACAAAATGTGCACTTTGAACCTCATTTTGGCGTCTGGCCCGAAATTATTATTGGCTATTGTTATGAGGTAACAAACCCAATCGTAGTATACAAAATCTCAATATCTTCCAAAAACTAAAAATCTCCAATAAAAACTTTGTGTCAATGCCGCGTCATCCAAACTTTCAGTGGACACGTGGCAACTTTATCTATCGTTCGATCTTGGGCCATTACCGCCATCTCAGAACTTCCAATGTTAGCTCTGTCCCTACCATTTAACGCTGTCGTTTCCATCTTGCATCTACCAACTGAATACCCTCGTCCAGTGCCATATCTCTCCTTCAATGTCTCTTTGTCCCGTCTCTATCAGATTCAGTCCCTTGTTGTTTTATCATCAGTAATTTTTTTATTATTATTATTAACCATTTTTGATTTGATTTCGCTACAATATTCCCAAAAAATTTTGTTTGTTTTTCTTTTTTGTGATTGGACAGAGGAAGAAGAACAGAACAAAAATAACGAGCAACCACGCAACCATGGCGGCAAAAATGGGTTCTTTTAGATATACTTTTGCAGAGAAGCGAGAGAGATTGCTTTCTACGAAGGGTTATTCCGAGATTGGCTTTCCTAATATATATGAAGAACAATATAATTCGAGAAATTGCTGTAGCTATCGTTTCTGGTGCGATAATGTTGCTGGGTTCTGCAGAAGTGTGCAGGATGTTGCCATTAAGGCTTATGAGATGGGTAGGTCCGATCCCAGAAAGATTGTGTTCGCCGCGAAGATGGGTTTGGCTTTGATGCTCATTTCCATGCTGATTTTCTTGAAAGAGCCAATTAAAGAACTTAGTCGATATTCTGTTTGGGCTGTTCTTACCGTTGTTGTTGTCTTTGAATTCAGTATAGGTAATTTGGTTTGTATTTATTGTACGAATTTTTTTGCCTGGATTTTTTTTTGTTTGTTTTTTTAGTATTAGTTATTGTTAAATGTCTTTGTTTTTGTGTGAATTGGTGTCTTTATGAAGTATAGTTTTGTTTTTTCTGTGTTTTTCCTTGGTGGTTTCTCATTTATGGCAGGTGTCTCATGATATTTAATATAGAAAGTTTGGAGTTTTTATAATGATGATGCTTGTAAATTTTTGTCATGGTAATGCAATACAACTGAGATTCATTTTGTTAAATAAATCAAGATAATGCATATTAGTGTTGTTTGTCTGGTAAAATTTTGGTTTCTTTGAGTTTTAGTAACTGGTGTTCATTAATGGATTTTTTTTTTTACACGTACTTGTCTATTTGAGATGTTATGCACTTGAGAATCATTTTCTATGAAGATACATGAATTCTTTGGAATGCATACCACCGGAAGATGCTATGGATCAGATAGTTATTAAATTGGTGAGGATTACAAGTAACAATTGGGATAAAATACCACTTTGTAATGTCGATATATTCAGAAGACTCATTTGTGTTAATGTGTGCGCTTATAAAAAGGTGTCCTGACTTCTTTTTTCGTTTCAGCTATCATATTTTGTTTCGATCTTTTATAAATTTCTCATGGTTTCTACTCTAGTAATGTGGGGCATTTTAATTTTTAACTTCTTCTGTGCACGGCTAAACCATGATCATAGATTTATTTGTTCTTAGCTTTTTAATGAAGGTATAGATAAAAAACAGAATTTTTTCCTTTTCTTTTTTTTCTTGAAGTTTTTTGTTCTAATTTTTCAGGTGCAACTCTCAGCAAAGGATTTAATCGTGCACTCGGGACATTATCAGCAGGAGGCCTTGCTCTTGGCATGGCAGAATTGGCTCAATTATCTGGACAGTGGGAAGAAGTTGTTATCATTCTTAGTATTTTCATCGCAGGTGCAGTTTCACATTATTGTTGTAAAATAGCATGTGCTGCTTTCATTGCCACATTGATTGGTATAAATTTTTTCTTTTCTGATTTGCTCTGTGGTTGCTAGGCTTTTGTGCTTCTTATGCAAAATTGTATCCAACAATGAAGCCTTATGAATATGGGTTTCGTGTGTTCTTGTTGACTTATTGTATGGTCATGGTGTCTGGGAATAGGACACGGGAATTTCTCCATACAGCTGTTATACGATTTGTGCTTATTGCATTGGGTGCTGCAGTTGGTTTGGCAGTAAACATATGCATTTATCCCATCTGGGCTGGTGAGGATCTGCACAACTTGGTCGTGAAAAACTTTATGCGAGTGGCAACTTCTTTGGAAGGTTAGTTTACTTATTTTTCTTTTACTTGCTATATTACACATAGAATTCATTGAATTTTTGGAAGTTCATTTCAAAGATAATGTTTTAGCTTCATTTAACAAGGCTAGACTTATATGTGTGAGCTTATATTCAGGTTGTGTTAATGAGTACCTGAATTGCATAGAATATGAAAGGATCCCTTCCAAAATCCTTACTTATCAGGCTTCTGATGACCCACTTTATAGTGGCTACAGATCAGCTGTAGAATCTACAAGCCAAGAGGAAACATTGGTATTTCTTCATTGTGACATTCTACATGTGAAACTCAATGAATATGGACTCGAATGTTTTTGTTAATTCCAGATTGTTATTTTTATATGTGAAGGTGGGTTTTGCTATTTGGGAGCCACCTCATGGTCCTTATAAATCATTTAGTTACCCATGGAAGAACTATGTAAAAGTGAGTGGTGCCCTAAGGCATTGTGCATTCATGGTCATGGCACTGCATGGGTGTATACTTTCGGAGATACAGGTAAACATGTTTTTCCATCTCTAACTTTCTTATGAAGGCATATTGGTGGAAGTAGGACCATTATATATTTTAGCCATATGTCTTTGCGGTAGTTAAGCACATGAAGTAACATTGCTGTATAGGGCTGTTGCTGTTATATGTCCTCATATTTTGAGTTCTAATTGAATTAGATATGCTTCTTTGAATTATGAGAAAATTAATCTTATCTTGTTTGTTAGTGGTATATCGTTCATACCATCTGTATTGAATTTCAATTGGCTGTGAAAATTACTAATTTTATTGCTATTTGTATTATTAAATCAGATGCGATTTCCATCAACTACAAGTTTATGGCTGAATTATAATTGATTTACTTTTTTAAGTATTACTTCTATTTTCTTTTTTTTAAGAAATCTTTGGCATGTCTATTATATGGACAAATATAATAGCTGTAGATAATTATATAAAATAAACACTCCATATACATATAGTTGATTTTGCATATCTATTGTAACACGATCCTTTTAGTTTTATCATTTGTTACTGCCATCTGATAACGGTTAGGGAAAATTTCGAAATACTTCTACTTGATAATGGGGTCATCAATTTATGGCAGATTAATTTTTCAAGTAATTGTTAGTTTCATAAATTATAAATTTTCACAATTTAAACTATAGGTGTTGGTTAATAATGTGGTAGAATAGAAATTGGCCTGGATAACCTTACATGATGTTGGGAGTAGGCACATGTCTGTTTTTTGACTGGTAGAAGCTATGTATGCTTTCCAATATCTAGCTGTAGCAAAGCTAGTTACATCCTAGCTCAGCATGCTTTTGGAAGGGGAAGGTGGCCTTCAATCTGATTCTTATTGTTACTTCAATGAATCAGACGAAAGATTAGAAAAAATGTCAGCAAAGTGATGCTGCTTTTGAAATTCAAACTTTTCAAACGTCTTTCCTTATTTATATGCTTGTGTTCACTTAAGAATTATTTATATGAAGTTTTCAGCTCTTTTCCTTTTCTTTTTTGTTTCTTTATGTTCTAATTTTCTGCTCTTACATTCTTACCATGTTGGTTGAATTTAAGAGGGGGGGTTCCATGTGAAGTTGGAAATGAAAATAGAATGAGATCTTATTGTTTTTTTTTTTTTTCTTTTTTTTTTTTGGGGGAGGTTCCATGTTGAAGGTCTGGGGAAATTTGAAACACTAGACATGAGATTCTTATGTTTTTTTTTTTTTCTTTTTTTTTTTTTTGTGTGGGGTAGTCGGCGGTTGGGCGTCACGGATGGCACTAGAGGATCAAACTTCTTATAATCGCATGCATATGTATACCCTATTATCCATTCAATTTTTTTTTTTTTTTCTTTTTTTTTTTGTTGTGGGGTAGTGGGGTTGGGGATGGTAGGGGATCAACTCTATAATCTGCATGCATATGTATACCCTATTACATAATACATTGGAAACAACTTAAAATACAAGGGCTGGGATTTGCATGTATTGATGGATGCATTAAAAGCATAAACAGTGTATTTGTGACCTCCTGTGCTTGTTCTCTTTGACAATAGCTTGAATAGACATAGTAGATGGGATAATTTACCTGACAAGCATGAACTCAAAAAAGCTGGATTATTAGCCGGACCATTGATAGAATTATCTCTACATCTTTTGCTGGATTTATTCATTTATCTAAATCAAGTTATAAGCAGTTCCTAAACTTGGATGCCCTACAATCTGCCTCTCTGGTATTCTGGCACCAGAGGATACCTGTTGCATAACCATCATATAACTTATCATAAACCATAAAAAATGTGAAAACTTCATGTCCTAGCCTATGTACAGTGTTCAAATTTATCTTGTACTATGATTGTGCACCTGTAATGAGATATTCCAGTAGTCATCAATGCGTATGTCCCCTTATACTGCAGCCATATGTTATGTACTATTAAATTTCTAAGGTTTAAATGCATAGGCTCCTGCTGAGCGAAGACAAGTCTTTCGGCAAGAGTTGCAAAATGTAGGATCTGAAGGGGCTAAAGTGCTGCGTGAGCTTGGGAACAAAGTGAAAAGGATGGAGAAACTGGGTTCAGAAGACATTCTTTATAAGGTTCATGAGGCTGCAGAAGAGTTGCAAAACAAGGTGGACAGGAAATCATATCTTCTTGTCAATTCAGAGAGCTGGGAAATTGGAAATGCAGCAAATGATATGGGAGAGCCTCAGGAGTTGCTTAACTTTGATGATGGTATAAATAAAGTGTTGCAACACAAATCCCGTAGCGAAGCTGTGCTTGATCTCAGATCATTGACCATACCAAAAAGTTGGGAAGGCATGACACATGTCAATGACTTCAAGCCTCCCTTGCCTCCAGGTGTTTCTACGGAAACCTTGTTCAAGAAACAGGTCTCCTGGCCCAACCGTATCTCATTTACTGCCGATGCTGTCCCACAGTTGGAAGAATCAAAAACATATGAAAGTGCTAGTGCATTGAGTCTGGCAACATTTACATCACTTCTGATTGAATTTGTTGCAAGGCTGCAAAATCTTGTGGATGCATTCGAAGAATTAAGTGAGAAAGCAAATTTTAAAGAACCAGAGGAGCTGATAGCAGAAGCAGTGATAGAACCTACCGGGTTCTGGAAGAGATTGCTCAGAGGTTTGAAGTTGCGGAACTAATTAAATTCTGAACATGATTAAAGATCTTGAAGCGCAGAAAACTCTGAAAAGGATCAATTCCTTGATTAGAATGACATTTTACTGATACTTGTATATTCTAGGTTCTGAAATACAATAATTTTTTTGGCTTCGACTTGATGGAACATCACAATGACCAGTGCCAGAGTTTGATTCCACGGGGTGCTCAAGGGATGTCGATATTTAGGATGATATTGCATGACCGCTCAAGGTGTTCGGTTCAGATCATCTCCAGATAAAGAAGGATAGGCAGTAATTTTGCAGTTTCAAGAATTTATAGTGCAACTGCATAATCAAAGGGACACTGGATAAAAGATGATGCATGCATGGACATGGGACCCTACATGTGGATGTTAGGGCAAGAAATTTGACATGTAAATGTAATTCGTAATTAGAGACACATCTCTCTGTTGTTTTCTTCAGGATGCCTTGTCTATCATCCTTGAATATTTGAACATGTAAGTATGCCTCAACTCCATTCTCAAAGATAACTCTGTTCTCATTCTTTTTTTTTTTTTTTTTTTTTTTTTTAAAAAAAAATTCAGTAATTAGGAGACACATCTCTCTGGTTCCTGTTGTCTTCAGGATGACCTTGTCTATTCATCCTTGAATATCACCCACAGCAAGCTTGAACATGTAAAGTATGCCCTCTAACCTCCTTATTTCCTCACAGAGATAACACCTCTCGTTTCTCATTTCTTTTATTTTTTTTTTCTAGGTCTCTCTGGTTTATTTATATCTTTAAAAAAGCTTTTAGTTTTATCGGTTTCTCCACTAATGGCATTCTTTTACTTTCAGTATTTGCATTAATCTATTCACAGTATGTGAAATATACTATGGAATCTACTTGCACAAATTCATCGAATTATATCTTTTAATTTTTTGTTAGTTTGTATTATTTTTTTTTTTTTTTTTTTTTTTTTTAAAAAAAAGCTTTTTTAGTTTTTAAATGCATCTCTTTTACTTTCAGGTGAAAATATATATGAATTTACTTGCACAAAAAGTATGAATTTATTTTAATTTTTTGTTAGTTTGTATTATTTGATTGAAATAGTGCATTCTGCGTCTATAATATTCAACTCCATTATTTTATTATTATACATTTTTTTACATGCATATCTTTTACTTTTGACTTGTCATTTTTAGCAGATCTAGACTTAGATTTATCGCTAAACAACTCTATACACTTCTTTTCTCAACAAATGAGTTATACAAAATGATAATTTTTGGGTGTCAAAATGGTTGCGCGTATCCGCTTAATATAAATACAATCTGTTTAATAATTATATTAAATATTTAAACAAGTGTAATTTGTTTAATTAATTAGATTATATACGAATTAAAAAAATTCAATCAAATTTAATTAAACGGCTGTATATAAATCAAAAACACGACATGCATAATATTTTAAAAAATCTGCTTAATATATATTTATATATAAAATTACATTTTTATCTTTAAATGAATGGATTACACATGTGAACTCAGATACGATTTTGACGTCCTAAATAATTTGATTGCTTTCTAGTGGAACTTTTATTAATATATACATACAGAGATAGAGGTTTTAATGTTGCAAATGTTACTTTGAAGCATTTCCACCCATTTAAAAAAACATAGTGATTACATCCGCCTAGAAGTCAACAAAAATAATTAAAATCAATAGATTTTTCTCACTTTAGTTTTGTGGTTCATTATTATCATTTATGCTATGCTTCCTCTTTTCAAAATTATACATTGAGAAAAATATCCAACTACATTCTAATAGGTGAAATTAAGCAATGTATCAACAATTAAAAAGTAAATACTAATAAATTAATTCAAAGAACATAATAATAATAATAATAATAATAATAATAATAATAGTAATAATGAACTGTGATAGTTGTGGATGACTATTTGCTATTGCTAGTTGTTAATGAATGATGATAGTGGATAGGACAGTGATTACTAACTATGTGTTTTTCCTTTTATTATAATGAGTTTTTTTAGAGTTTGAAAAATATATCTTTATGTTTTAAAAAAATTAATTTCCTTTAAAATGACACTTTTTAAAAGATAATGTCATTTAGTTTTTCTAAATGCTTCAAATATCAACAAATTTAAAAAAAAAATGTAAGACCCAATATTTACAAATATTTAGCTTTTCGAATTTCATAATTAGCTTTTAAAAATAAATGTGTTCCTGTGTTAGGTTGAGTACAAATGAGAGGTAATTTATTATTATTATTATTATTATTATTATTTTTTAAATAAAACGAATGATGAATCGGGCAAGTGGGCTAAGATTACGGGCCGGGCAAAGGCTTACTTCAGTCAAAATCCAAATCCAAACCTCGAAATTAGAGAAATTCTTTCACGAAAATACTATCCCGACAAAAAAATAAAAATAAAAATAAAAATAAAAGAAAAAGAAAAAATTGCAGAAGCTTTGGATCTCTCTATTTCTACCAGAAAGGTTGTCGCTTAGAACCATTTTCTTAACAGATCGAGTTCTAACAACGAACTCCTCTCTCTCTCTCTCTCTCTCTCTCTCTCTCTCTCTCTCTCTCAAATAAAAGAAAAAGAAAAAAATTTGCAGAAAGCTTTGATCTCTCTATTTTTCTACCAGAAAAGGTTGGTCGCTTTAAGAACCATTTCTTAAACAGATCGAGTCTCTAACAACGAACCTCCTCTCTCTCCTCTCTCTCTCTCTCTCTCTCTCTCTCCTCTCTCTCCATTTTCTAACTCTCTCTCTCTCTCTCTCTCTCCATTTCTAAGGTACAGCACAAGCCTGTAATTTCAGATCTTACCTCATATTCCTTGTTTAAATTTTGATATTTAGGTATTCATTGGATCGTTTATCAATTTTGTTTATGTTTTTAGTTTCAAAGATCTAGAGGGGAAAAAATGGCAACAATTGATGAGCCTTTATACCCAATTGCGGTTCTAATCGATGAGCTCAAAAACGAGGACATTCAGCTTCGATTGAACTCGATTCGTAGGCTTTCTACAATTGCTCGTGCACTTGGAGAGGAGAGGACGAGAAAGGAATTGATTCCTTTCTTAAGTGAAAACAATGATGATGATGATGAAGTGCTTCTTGCAATGGCGGAAGAATTGGGGGTTTTTATTCCTTATGTTGGTGGTGTAGAGTTTGCTAATGTATTGCTTCCACCGCTTGAGACTTTGTGCACTGTTGAAGAAACTTGTGTGAGAGATAAAGCTGTTGAATCATTGTATAGAATTGGGGCTCAGATGAGGGAACAGGATGTGGTTGAGTATTTTATACCGCTTGTCAAGGTTGGATTCTGATTTAAATTATGCTTTTTTTTTTTTTTTTTTTTTTTTGGATTGGTTATCATTCCATTTTGCAATTTTATTTCAGTTTAAGTAATTATGCTTCTATTTAATGATATGGTTGTAACTTCATTGTTGTGGAGATGATGCTATTAGTTCTTTTTCTCCCACTTTATTTATTACGATTTTCAATGTTCAGAGACTGGCTGCTGGTGAATGGTTTACAGCTCGAGTTTCTTCTTGTGGATTGTTTCATATAGCATACCCAAGTGCTCCCGAGACTTTGAAGACTGAACTACGAACAATGTACAGTCAGCTATGTCAAGATGACATGCCTATGGTTCGAAGATCAGCTGCTACAAACTTAGGAAAGTTTGCTGCTACTGTTGAGCCTCCACATTTAAAGACTGACATCATGACAATATTTGAGGATTTGACACAAGATGGTAATGCATATTATACTTGCCATGCACACATTGGAATACATCTTCTTCTGCTCTGTTTTATTGTCAAATGATGGACACACTATAGAATTTGAGTTGTAGGATGCATTCAGTAGTTGAATTAGCATAATTACAACTTGCATAGGCTGCCTTTGGCTGAATCTGGTTGAGAGGGAGGATAAATATATGAAGAGTAAATCTTTTCCTGGAATGGTGTTCAATCGCTGAAAACTGTTCAGGTATATCCATGCCAGATATGTTAATTATTTAGGCATACAATGCTCATTTCTGCACTCTTCTTTGGCTCATCAAAAAGCATTCATGTTAATGTAATTGTTAGAAGAGCAGCTTGGTTAGCCTATGGTAATGTCCGTAGGTGGATCACACACCTCCTCCGCATCTAGAATGTGCATTTAACCAAACCGAAAAGAAAGTTCTAAATCAATTATTTGGAGTTTTTGGGTGACTATATCTAAAAGTGCTTTTTCTATGCTTTTATGTTCATTGAAGTTCAGTTGCAGCTTAAGATTTAAATTTTTAAGTATGACATTAAGATACTCCTCCCATAATTTTTTTTAGAAAGATAGAGTGCTGTATTAGCGAGTGGATTGCATAGCAAGTGGCATTATCTCCTCTACATTGGTTGTGAAAGTAGATGTTGAAAGGGGGAAAAATTATTCAACTTATCTACTGATTTAAAAGGGCAGAAGTTTGATTGTCTCGATATTTCAATAACATACACTCATTATTGATCTGGATGAATTAGCTAGCTTTTTTTTTTTTTTTTTACTCTAAAATCAATTTTTGTTTATTTTCTCTAAGATCATGGGTAACTTGCACCATGTCATTGGTTATTTTATAGTCAAAATTTTTTTCCTAAAAATGTATTTAGAAACTTTTCTGACTTATACTTTGCTTTACATTTCTATTTATTTAATCAAAGCAGATATTGGAAACGAAGGATTCATATAGCCAACCCCAACTAGTTTGGGACTAAGGCTTAGTTGTTACTGTTGTTGTATTGTTTCCTTGTGTTTTTCTTTTTATTTTACATGAATGATAAGCTCAGAAAATTTTGATCTGATAGGCATCAGATATATGTTTAATCTATGCTTAAGTTTTGTTGGTTTATCTGAAGCATATTGGAGATTTCTCCTTAATTTTTCAGCTGGGGGGGAAGTGTATATGAGTTTGAAATTTATATGTCATTTCAGATCAAGATTCTGTCCGATTATTGGCTGTTGAGGGTTGTGCGGCGCTCGGGAAGTTGCTGGAATCCCAAGATTGTGTGGCACATATTCTTCCTGTCATAGTTAATTTCTCACAGGTAAAACATGGTTTGGCTCTGGATTTGTTAGTTTTCTTGGGATTCTTCATTTTCCTTATGTAAAAGGGTTTCATTTTACTTATTATGCTGTGAATTTGCTGCAAGTTGCAAAATATTTGGAGCACCTCTTCTTTCTTGAAATTAGTTTTCTTCCTCCCCAGGTGAATAATGTGTAAATAGGAGTTACTTTCCTCTCACGTTGTATCACATCTAGCATGAGAAACTACAAAATCATGTAGAATTGGAATATAATGCATGATGGAAAATTTTGTCTCATCAGGATAAATCTTGGCGTGTTCGTTACATGGTTGCTAACCAATTATATGAGCTATGTGAAGCTGTTGGTCCTGAGCCTACCAGGTAATTTTGTTTGTTCAGTGTTTTTGTGTGGGTGTAATATTATCTTGCCGTTTATTTTTGCATAATTTGGCTTCACATACTTATTTTGTTTCACATCAGCCAACGAACCAAAAATTACTTTCAGAATTCAAGATCACTTCCATGATTAATCTTTTTAAAAGCTGTAATTAAATGATTATTTTAGGTCCGATCTAGTTCCTGCATATGTTCGGCTACTTTGTGATAATGAAGCTGAAGTGCGTATTGCCGCTGCTGGCAAAGTAACTAAATTTTGCCGGATTTTGAGTCCAGAACTTGCAATCCAACGTATCCTTCCTTGTGTGAAGGTACATGCTTATAAAATGGTTTACCTATGTCAATCAAGTTTCTTGTTTAATTATGCCGTTGCAATCGAATATGAGGTGCCATGTCCATACTGATGCTTCAACTTTTGAAGTTTGCCTACTGTAGGAATTGTCCACAGATTCATCCCAACATGTTCGTTCTGCTTTAGCTTCTGTGATAATGGGAATGGCACCAGTTTTGGGAAAAGTAAGTATTCTGTCTCTGTAATTAAGTTGTTGCTTCAACTTGGCATGCTTTAGTTGCACTCTCACGAAATCTTAACTGTCATCATTTTCGAATAGCATGAAACATATAAAATTTGAAGATTTTTATGGGCAACTGCAAAATTCGATGAATTGGTGTCCTGTGATCTTATTTTATCTTTAATTGCTGAAGAAGAATAAATGTTATGTTTTTTTGGCTACTGTTCTTGTTCTCACCATAAATGGTTTCTCTTGTTTACAACTTGCTGCTTCTACAGTTTGTTTCTTTTCTGTGTGTGTATGTGTGTGTTTTTTAAGTTATGGATTAACTGCTTATCTAATTTAGAAAGGGGAAGTGCTATTGTCGCAGGTTCTTGCAATTGGACAATGATAAGGCTTTCACATTTTCATGATAAGACTATGATTTATATGATAGGGCTTTCACATCTCCTTGTTAGATTTTTGTCATAGAGTTCTAATATCTTGTACCATATGCCATTACAGTTGCCATGCTTGCTGATTTGTTTGTACTTGTGTCCTTGATTTTAATATTTTTGTCCCAGATGATGCAAGCCAATGTTTTTTGCTATTTTGTGATTGACTTAGCATTATTTATAACTGCTATTGGTTGCTATCTAGGTAGCATGTTCAAAGAATTACTGTTTCTATCCTGGCATATAACTCAGTTACTGTTGATGGTTGTAGGATGCAACAATAGAGCAACTGCTGCCCATTTTTCTCTCTCTTTTGAAAGATGAATTTCCTGATGTTCGCCTCAATATTATTAGCAAGCTTGACCAAGTCAATCAGGTTTGTCTAAAATTCTTATATTTATTTTTTCTCTTATCTTTACTTGCTAAGAAAGATCTTGATGATACAGTTGCACCTTTTTCTTTTCTACAATACTGGTTAGGAAACAGTGCACTGCACAATGAATCAATGCAAACAAACATTTTTTGGATTTGTAGTTTGCTTTCATGACATATAGTTCCAAAACATTTCTGGATTCAAATGATACACAATGCTCTTGTACATTTATGGTTTTACTCCTTATATTCCTGCTTTGCGAACTAGAAATTGTTCCATCTTTCATCCTATAAATTATTGAATCATTTGTTGGTAAAATACATTTTTGGTAAGCGATAAATTACTTGATAAACAAAATGTTATATTGCATTTGTTTCTCAAATATTAACAGTTCATTGAACAACTTGAAAACATTCCATACTGAATTGGGGAACTAGAGAACTAAGCTAATGGAATTGATGTGAGATCATAAGCTGATTCATGATTTGGCATCGGCAGAGGAACTTCTTGTTAAAATTGGGAGTCTCTAGCAGATTTACTTGTATCTTCCGACGAGGTTCTTCTTTTTTTACACTTCTCATTAACACAAGTTCCTTTATTCTTATAGGAGATCTAGGGTAAAAGCTTAATTTGGGTCAATATATATATGTAATTCTAGGCCGGAATACATATTGGTAGTTCCTTTTTTCACATTAGTGATACTCATTAGTCTGATTGTTATTTTAATGATCATGCTAATGCCATATGAGTTACAATGCAGGTAATTGGCATTGATTTGCTCTCCCAGTCGCTGTTGCCAGCAATTGTTGAGCTTGCAGAGGATAGACACTGGAGGGTCCGACTTGCAATAATAGAGTACATACCTTTATTGGCCAGTCAGTTGGGTGTAGGATTTTTTGATGATAAGCTTGGTGCTCTTTGCATGCAGTGGTTAAAAGATAAGGTTTGTAAAGCTCTGTTATTTTTTCATAACGTTGATTTAGGCCTATCCTTCAATCTTTGATTTAATGCTGCAGATTTTTCTATACTTTTCTGTGGTCAAAGGTTATCTTATATGCTCATAAAATTATTAATTGCATTCATACATATTTCCATATTAAGTATTAATCATTGTATCATCCTCTCCTTGCAAGTTAGAAGTAGATTTCATTTTGCTGGTTAACACACTGAAAGCATATATGCAGATCACTGTGGGGTGCTTTATAATATTGCTTTCATCCCTTCTACTGATACAATTTTCAGCCCATGTTCATGATTGCACTAAAATTGTATTATGGATTGTCCAGTGTGGTACACGAAGTTTGTTTGTTGTCACTTGGTAAACTTTGTTGTGTCTATTCCACAATTACTGTGCATAATCTTGTAAGACTCACCAATTAGGATCTTTTTGTTTTTTATGCTTTGCTAACTGTATTGGCTAAAATTGCAGGTTTACTCAATTCGTGATGCAGCTGCCAATAATGTGAAGCGCCTTGCAGAAGAATTTGGTCCTGATTGGGCAATGCAGCACATTGTTCCTCAGGTTGATCTCACTATGTGTCTCAAAATCTTTTTGTTTTTAATTATGCCAAAGGGACAAGCATAACAGTGTCTCTATTGCTATTTAAACATGGATAAAGGTGTTTCGCATGATAATTTTAAATGAATACATGATTCTAAAACTATATTTGTTACATGTTTTATTGATTCAGCAAAAACTGCAGGAATATATGTAACATAACATTGTTACCTGGACTACTCTATGTGCTCCCTTGTCTTATATATCAAAACCATTAAGTTTGCACTGTCGTAATGACCTAAACTTAAGTTGAGTCAAGTTTGAGCCTGACAGGAAACAAACTGAGGTGATCTTTATTTGAAAATTTGGATTGCCTCATTTATTTCCCAGGAGACCTGTGTAAGATAGGGAAACATTGTGAATAAAGATACCCAACAAGGGAGAGAGCTATTACAATTGTTGGGCTAAGTGGAAATGTTCTTTAGCCCTTAACCATTGGTTTTTCCTTTTCTTTTGTCTTTTTCATTTCTCTTTGGTGTATTATGCTAACTACCTGGTAATATGTTGACAGGTTTTGGACATGATTAACAATCCACACTATCTGTATCGAATGACCATCCTTCATGCAGTTTCTCTTCTTGCTCCTGTTATGGGCTCAGAAATTACCTGTTCAACTCTTCTTCCTGTTGTCGTCAATGCATCAAAAGATAGGTAAAGGAGCTGGATTCAAAAGTTCAATTGTGAGCAGTAATATGTTTTTCTATTATAACCTGGGTTGTGAAGCTGAGAGTTGCATGTTACAGGGTACCTAACATCAAATTCAATGTGGCCAAGGTGTTGCAGTCACTTGTTCCTATAGTTGATCAGTCTGTAAGTACTTCTGTCAATTAAGTAAACGTCATGGCTGGAATCACTGTGCTTTTGATTTCTAAATACTTTTCAGTCTTGCATAATAATATTGTACAAGTTTCTCTAGTGTGACCTGTAATTCAATGATAATACTAGATGCTTTTGTTTTCTCATAAATACAAATGACAAGGTCAGATAAATTTCAAAGGCTATGTTTAGAATGAGGGATTTTAGATGAGGGAGTTCAGAATTCCATCAATTCTATCATTTCGATGGTAAGGAAAGGATATAAAATTCATGGTTTTTCAAAAATCCCTCATTTTTCAAAATCCCTCTCACATACCTCATCTAAATCCCACCTAGGGTTGGATTTTGCCGAATCCCTCATTTATTAAAAATTGGGGCACTAACAAGTCTGGGGTCCATTTAGAAACTAGTTCTTTCTTAAATGATTAATATTTGGAACTTGTATTGAAGTGTAAATTATAAAAAACCAACGTGACGCCAAATTCCAAATGCTCAATCAGTGAATAATGACTGCTGTCCTAAGATACCCAAGATTTAATCTTGCTTAAACTCTGCAGGTAGTGGAGAAGACGATTCGTCCATGTTTGGTTGAGCTAAGCGAGGACCCAGACGTTGATGTCAGATTCTTTGCTACCCAAGCACTGCAGTCAAGTGATCAGGTCATGATGTCTACCTAGATTGAATGTTGTAATTAGGAATTCTTTTCCATATTCCCATTTTTCACCTTTTCCCAATTCAGTTGAATCATCTTACTGATATATATGTAATATCTGACATGAGGTGCTAAGGTTTCTTTCTGAGACGATCTTTTCCCTTAGACACTGCCTATTTTTGTAGAAAGTTTCTTCAAACATATCACCAGTTAGCTTGTATTCTGTCATGCTAATGCCATTTCATGTTTTTCAATCTTGCTATTAACAAGTTGGATTCCTGGGAGGAATTAGAATTTTCGGTATTAGTTTGGTTCTTTAGTTTTGATTCTCGTTTTGCTGTTGAATTTCTATATTTTTTAAGGAACAATCATAATTCAAAAGTTCTGTTATTTTGATGAAATCTTACTCAAAACTGTGTAGTTCTTCTATTTAGTTTGAACTGAACTGATACAATAAAATTGATTTTTATTTCTGCTTCAACTTAACCAACTTGAAACATCAAATTACATCATAGATCTAAATATTATGTTGAAATTTTAATAAAATCCTATCTAATTATTATTCCTTTTACTTATTGAATAATTAAACACATATAATGGAAAAAAATGCATAAACCTAAATAGCATATGTTGCCTATGCAAAAGCTTTTATATACAATATGATGGTATTTAGTTTGTCATGTTAAAAAATTTAAAATAAGATGGATTATTTAAAAAAAATTTAAAGCTTATAAAAATAAGCTTTTATAAGTTTGGATCGCTTCGGTATGATATATATATATATATATACATACATATATAAAAGAAGAGATGATAAATTAACATATAGTTTGAATCCATACACCATCTTTATTAGTACATAACAATGGAGGTCTTTTTGCATTGCGTACCCATACAGTGTACTCCATACTTCAAATTTACAAGATATCCGTATCATTTTTAATTCCACTTCAATTTGCTTAAATTCGAGTATCTCCATTTATAGTTTATGCTATGCCAAGTGCCAAGAAAAAAAATAAAAGGTATCTAATTTATGTTATTCAGTTAATCATTTTCAGAATTTAAATATAAGCTTAATAGCCTTATCAAGTTCTAGAGAAACTAGAGCTCACTATTTTCTTATAAAAAAATAATCCAATCAAGAATAGAACAAGTATAGAGATAATAGGATTTAATTACAAGTCTAAAAAAACACGACTTTGATAATAATGAAATGATATATTATATATATATATATATATATATATATATATATATTTCCTTTTTTATTTTTTTTTAATTTCTTTTTTCCGTTTGTCATAGCATACAGAAACATGTTCACACGTCTTCATATAGTAAACTGTAGAAGCCTTTATATAAGATTTACAAAAAGAGTAGAAACTCAACTGATTTTGTACAATATTTTAGTTTGCACTCTTGATTGGAGTCTTGTCATAATATCTATCCTTCAAAGAATGGCAGGCTCTTGAATCTTGTCGGCTTCATGCAATCCGATGGCGCCCACCCGATTTTCTTGTTCACATTATCATATATCACCAGTTGTCCGCGCAGCGATATGTCTGCATAATATTGAAATTAGCAGCACATAATATAAAAAATAAGGAGAGGAAAAACAGAAAGGTGCACCAGTTCTCAAGTTATTACTGATACGAACAGACATAATCATCAAGTTATATGGGTTTAGGGATTAGGAGCTTCTACTGTGGCTTGAATTTCAAAATTAACAAACTAGAAGAAAAACTGAACTATATATACCGGAAATAATTAAAAGAGCAATGGAAAAAAAAAAGAGAGGGATCAACTTGAATTCAGGATAGCTATTCGAAATCTTAGTGAAAGACTAGGTTTGTTATCTCATGTTTGATTGCAAAGAGTTTTATGCACCAAACATTTCCATGCTAACATTGCAAGGTTTCTGAAATCCATTTTAAACAAACAAACCTCCAAGTATAATGGTGGATCCATCATGCACTTTGCTTCCATCAAGAATGCCCAAGCACACATTGCCTTTATTCTGCAGAATAGCAGGCTCATTACACAATTATCTGCATGCAAACATAGGGAGCCAACTTGAACATAAGTAAACTGTGCACTAGAATTTAAGGAAATTCTTACACTGATGACCAAGTAGCCTTCTGGAGGAATCCGAAACTTAGTAGAGATAATCCACCATTTACTTCCAAATTGAAGGGTTAAAGTCTTGAAGAACTGCTTAACATCTGTAACAGATCTGCAAGCATATTGTTGTAAATTTAAAAGTTGCAGTTGCATGAAATTTAAATATGATCTTATATATATGTGAGTGAGTACCTGATAGGGAACTTCGCTCGCCAGCAGAAAGGCAATGTTGTATCAGATGTATCTTGTATAAGTCCCTCTTCAGAAACCTCCTTCAGCTGTATATAATTTATCTAAGACTCCGCATATATATTTTCTCTAACCAGCGTTTGATATTCACTGCTGCCCTCGATTTTGCAGAAATCACCTTCCGCACCACTGTGACAAAGCCTCGAAAGGCTATTAATGAACAATTCATACCATTATTAATACAAGATTTAACGGAGTATTTAATGAAGTATATAACTTCGTGTGAGAAACAGCGGGAGAGGTAAATGGTGATGAAACGTTTTATTAGTGAGACATAAATAAGCACCGCCCCCACCCTCAGAAATAGATCAACGTCAAGAATAAAAGCAGAACTTCGACACACTACAACATCTCTATTTCACGTCAAAGTACATCATGTAGTTTGTAGGATGAAAAAATTAAAATTCCACCATTAACTAGAAATCAGAACTCCAATTCAGTGATGCATGCTTTGTCTCATTCGTATTTGTGAGATAAGCTATAGGATCAAACATACCTACGCCCACAAAGTAATCGAAAATCTACTTATTCCGCCCTTACACTGTCTTTACATATAACTCCAGAGCATACTGGTAACCCTCGCCCAACCACCATTAATCTAACTCAAAGTGGGGGCTGTTCTACGACCCTAAGTTTCACTAGCTTCAAAAATTTCCTCGTACCGACTCCTATTGGAATAATTATTTGCTCTGAGAAAAGTAAAAAGAAATATAAATATTTTGAGAAATTTGTACAAGCACAACAAATTGCGCAGGCGGAAAACCCATTGCAGCATAAAATCACATTTCACACTGATAATGGAATAGGAAAAATAGGTTAATTAGCAATTAAATGACTAACCGGAATACGATGTATCCATTATTCCCATGTTTCTTGGCTAAATGCAGCAGAGTTGAACTTAGTGAACCTATCTCTCTGCGAGATATCCCAGGATAAAAACACCCCTTTTTGCCTCCTAGTGAGATTAACTTAAGGAGCGTCAAGAAATAAATAAGCGAGGACTAAAAACGAATCACCAAAAGCACCATATAATTAAGAAAACGCCATATTTGAAGTGAGTGAGTGTTCCGCATCCATAGAGAAAAATAAACACAAATTATATAATTAAAGAGTGCGATGCTATTGCTGATTTGAAGTGGTATTTATTCGATATAGTAGTATAGCTATTTGATGCTTCTTTTCTTGCGTGATATAGAAAAAACATAGAGAAGACAATATCAAAAGCTTTACTTCACTTCTAGATACATGGTCTCCACATACTCTCCTTTCAAGTAATTCCTATTCCTGGTGTGATCTTATGAATCTCTCTCTTCCTTTTATCCTTAGTATAACCCCCGATTATTTTTTTAAAAAAAAAAAAAAAAAAAAAGCTTATTCCTTGTCTGTTCCAACCTCTCTTTCAAGGAATTCCTATTCCTTGTCTATATTCCCTTCTTTTTCCTATTCCCCCTTGGATTCTATTCCCAATTCCATCCCCTGCAGTGAACATGGCCAAAGAGATGGGGGATGGGGGACATGTGCATTGCTTGGAACTGGCATAGCAGATGCTGCATTTCTTCTAAAATTTTCACATACATTCCTCCCCCTCACCTTACATAGTTAAAGACAATGAAAGGTGAAAGATGAAACAATCATGAAAAATAAATTTAGAGAGAAGATAAAAATAATTTACAACATATGTTTGAGAAAATCTCAACAAAACAACTTAAGCTTCAACTTGAAGTGTGTATTGTGCGCCATGAAACAGAAACTATAAAGCAAAAGCAAAAGAAAATCCTGGAGTATATAATCAAGAAAATCTTCAGGTATATTTACTCACATGGAAATACTGTGGAGCATGGGAACCCATGCAATACCCCAGCGTGGTACAAAATCATCACCTAAGAACATATATCCACCACCACCTACATCATTGGTAAGGCAATGACCTAACACATTATTAATTATTCCCCGGCTTGCCAATTGAGAAGGTAAACTGATTTTAGCTCTGCTTAGTCCAAGGATCCCATCTGTCTGTGCCAATGTGTTCAAAAGTAACCCTTGCTGATCATAGGCACACCTTCCAGACAAAAATGTGTGCATATCAGGATTTTGGAATCAAATTGATAGAGGAAAGAACAGAATAATAGCAAACACAGAGCTTCAAGAATTTAATAGCAGGAAAATAAGATGGACAAATCAATAGAAATAACAATAAAAAATTAGAGGTAACAGAGATATACCCAAAAATAAAGTTGAAGTTAGTTGCGGATCCATTTGCCATCATTACATTAAGTTGATCTCTTGCAAGAACTCCCATGGAGGAGCTATGATCTGCATATTCAATCTCATAGTCACATTGCTGGCATGCTTCACAATATCCTGGCTTTTGATTTCTTTGAAGTTCAACACATAGTAAGTCCTTGGGTGGTACAATATTATCTCTCCTTGGTTTGTACAAAGCATTTGCTCCCTACATCAACCATATACATTGGGCTTAGATAATTTGCAAACATAATTTAATGAAACCCAGAGATTGCACCGTTTATCATAATTTGTTAATATGTATTAGCGTATTCTTGTTAAGGATGTAACTCATATTAGCTTTCATTTAATCTATTAAACCTTAGCAGAGCATAGTAACCAATCGCAGTGTAAGTTGCGTTGCAAAATGGTCAATCTCTAATAACAAAAAATTAAATAAGAAAAACTATAGAGCACAATCCATGTTTGCCCTTGATGGTTAAACCTGCTACAGCTGCTTCCAAGTTTCATATATGCAATATGGGAAAGACGGAAAATGCCCCTTTTATTTTATTTTATTTTATTTATTTATTTATTTTGCTTTCCTCACGTTTGCATGATTAATCAACCATTCAGATGAAGAAAGTGCTCTAAAAACTATGGAAGACGGATGTCTGGCCAAACATATATGAAGCAAGTAGCTCAATAAATAAACTAAAACCTGCTATTTACAAGAAAAGCCAAGTGTCATCCTCAACTTTCAGTTAGCCCATTGCACTATTCAATTAATAAAATTGCAAGTATGGTACTTAAAAGTTCACATTTTTCAATTATCAGATATGTGTTCAATAAGTATGATACTTTATGCATCTTTTAATACAAATTATTGACCAAAGGTTTTTACATTTTTTAATCATTTGATAAGTGTTCAACAAGTACAACATATAAGTTAAAATGTTCCGTGTGCAATTTTACAAGTTAAGTGTTCAACAAATGTAATTTTACAACTTCAAAGATTTAATGGATCAATGTAAAAATTGATGATGCCACTACATCTTTCCTGTCTGGTGTCAATTTATGCATTTAGCCAAGTGAAGAATATATAAATAAAAAACTGTGCAGCACTAATACAAAGTAGATCAAAAGCAGATTGCAAGCAAAATTAGAGGCTGCATCTATGTTTCCCATCTTAAACTCACTACTTAAAGGACCAGTAATAATTATATGTTACCTTGGCACAGCTAGCACAAGGAGCATCACATTGAATCCACGTTAAATCGCTAGCAGTATCGACATCAAGATAGTAAGGTCTTGGAGGACTCCCCACAAGAATGTATGTGAAATACAATCTGCATAAAAAAATTTAAAAGTTAAAGAAGAACTTTTAGATAGCATCAGAATTGGCAAACAAATTCCAAGGCATCCAAAGGTGAAAGCAACAAATAAGATGTTGCATTAGAAAATTCCAATAGTTGATCATAACCTCAACCTGCATGTGGATATGACATTCTTCACAGCAAACACCTCCTTAAGTTCACGCATCAGATAGAGAAATTGCAACATAAAACCAAACTTCTTAAATAATAAAATTTTTGAAGTTTTTTTTTTTGGGTTGGGGGGGGGGGGGGGGGGGGGGGGTTAAGAATAACAGGAAAACTAGTTCCTAAGACAAGCAAATCAACCACCAAATTTTGAGTAAATATGCTCTGTTACAGTGGACCACCCAAACAAAAAGCCTCAGGAACCACTGCCTGGGCAACTACATTTATATCAGTCCACCCTCAAGTATCGATTATTTAAAAATTCCAAACATAAAAAGACAATTGAAAATTCCCAAACTAAACATTCTCTTTCCTCTTAATCATAATTCTCACCCCCAATAATCCTAGGACTCAAGGCATCACTTGCTTAGCTCCAATAAAGAAAATACAAGGGATTCTGGCAACATAACAATAAAGCAAATTTGGTCTATTTACACACTCAACACCACACATCCTTAAAACCAATTTCCTCAAAAGGCTGATTTCTGAATTTTCACACATCATCTTTACAGCTCCACAGAAAAAACTACTACTGTTTTAAGCATTATCCTTTCTATCTACGCTGAAGCTTTTTAGGATAGACATCACCAATTCACCGCTTCCTATTCAACCAACACCATCATGGCTATCACCGCAATGCAACATATGGTTCTTCATGATTAATATGAGAGGATATTACTTCTAGGAACCATTGTTTAAACTAACCTTTTAATTTGCATTATCAAAGACAGGCATAAAGCAGGCATGGTTTTGTGTCAGGTTGACGTGTGACAAATTGGAGGAAGAGAACTTCAATTTCCTCCCCCCGAGTACCTTAGAGAGCACATCAAAACGGTGCCTGCTGTTAACATAGTAGATATAACATTGACAAATATTCTTCTTCAATTTCCACCCTTGATGAAAGGATCTTCCTAATCATGGGATGGAATTAAACTTCAATCATTAGCTAAATGCATAAATTATTGCAATGTTTAATATTCACAAATTATTTTTCCCCACACATGTAGATCACTTGTGAGATTTTTAACATTGCACTGCAGCACATTAGAGTTATAATCACATACAGATGTAAACCATATTAAACAGCAGGCATTGGCATGTACTGTTGTTACATTTAAAGTGGCATTTCCACAGATTATGCAGAATGTCTAAGTCACATGAAAAAATTGAGAGGTATTTCCAAGTATTTCTGCCAAGAAAAGCACAAGTTACCTTGAAGTAATCAAGCTTAAAGCACGGAAGGACAAAAAGCAAAGTAAAAAATTGGATTCCAATAAAAAATAACATGATAAAGTAGCAATAGTAATTTTTTGTATATTGCAGCTATTGACTATTAAAAAGCACCTTAAAGGCTAATAAAGGGTGCTTGCTAAAATGCACCCATGGCCATGATTGTTAAACAAATCATCCTAAAGTTAAAGAGATATGATTGGTCCAAAAAAAGAACTTTCCAGTGTGCTTTAAAATTGCAACATCCCATCATCAAGAAATAACTTAAATTCAAATTTGCTCTCTCTGTCTCTGTCTGAAATGCAACACATCCAAAATAAAGAACTAGAATTGAATAAGTTTGACAAATACCCATCTGGATAAACATTGCCCCTAACAGGGAAAATGGAAGAAGATGAATCCAAAGCAGCAGTTTTTGAAGAAGACAACTCGTTATCTTTATGAGAAAAAATAGCCTCATCAGCTGGTGCCGCCAAACTCTCCTTATAAACATACTTCACCAGTTTATGCTGAACATCAATTTGCGAAATCTCACGGGTTCCAAATTTATGATATAACGGAAAGATAAAAGATTTAGGTCTTTGATCATCGTCAGAAGCCTTCAATTCCTGAATAGTACTGGAGAAGAAAGACCTATAAATAACAAGAGCGAAAAGAGAAATACACACAAAACCCAAAACCTTTCTCGGGGTACCAAGATAGAATCTTGAAAATGAGAATTGAGTTTCAGGGTTTTGTGGTGGTTGAGATCGGACTGGAAACTGATATTGTTGATGGGTTGGGGACTGTTCTTGTTCTTGGATATGGGTTTGGTGAGACTGTGAATAGTGATTACCACCAAGTGTAAAAGCAGTGATTGTTTTGCCTAAACAAGGGTTATCTGGTGGTGGAAGTGAAATAATAACCACTCCTTTTATCTGGGGTGATTGATCACACTCCATAACTCGTTCTCTTCTTATTAGGATATTACATATATATTTATACAATATAAAAATTGATAAAGAAAAAAAAAAGAAAAAGAAAATATCAGAAAGAGAGAAGGAGAAGAGGGTTATTCACTCATTCTTCAACTGGACTATATGGATATGGCGTCTGATTTCCTGATCACTCTTCTTTGTCTCCAGAGTTTGGACAGGTAGAGAAGTCAATATGAAAGCTAATTACATCATCCACAGGGCAGAGAAAGATTCAAAGGAAGGACAATGGCGAAATTAAAAGGGAAAAATAATAAAATAATAATAAAAAAAAAAACACTACAAAAGTGTAAAATGAAGAATCTAGGAACTTTACCATTCTCTTCACTTCAATTTCCCATAGCAGAGTTACTATATAAGGCCCACCGGTTACGGTAGATTGAGACTTGGCGTTTGACTTGATCTCATAGTTCATTATTGTCAGTCAAGATAACGGAAAGACGAAAATGCTCCTAGAAAATGCAACGCTCCTTCGAAAACCCATGAGTGTGGCTGAAGTAGTAAATTACATTTGAGTTCAAAAAATAATCCGTGTGAAAAAACGATACTACTATGAATCTGGAAAAGAGAATGCAAGATCGAAGAAATTCCAACAGACTCCAAAACAAAAATAATCTCATTGCCAAAGCTGATGTGGACACTTATGATGTTAAAAAAATATAGGATGACAACATAAATCATTATTTTTAGGGGAAGTAATTATTTCATCTGCGAGGTTTCAAGAAATTAATTAATCCGTTTCCTATATATATAATATTTGATTATCGAAATTTGATTACCTCACATTAAATGATTATTCTGCCCAAAATTATGTTTTTTTTTTTTAATTCACGAATTCACGTTTCACTTTTCTAAACAAGAACCAATATTTTATAAATTTTACATTCTAATGAGTACCATACACTTGATGTGATAATAATAATAAATTTTAAAATAATTAAACTATCAGCACCTTCCAAGAACACAGCAAGTTCATATCTGTGGGAAAAGTAAGCTTAAAAAAAAAAAAAAAAAAAAAAAAAAAGTTAAATCTCTTGTCAACCTTATTCGTTTCGGTTTGGAAAATTTGCCAATTAATTTGAATTCCAAGTTCCCAATTTTCAAGACTTATTACATTAATAATTCTTCATATACACCTTTGGCTAGAGTACCAGTGTTCACATCTAGCTTTTTTGACTTACTTTTCCAAGGCAAGCCCGGATCACATGCATCACAAGCTGTTCAATAAATTGTTGAAATAGTTAAATTGTATTTAGATATATATATATTATATATATTATATATATTATATATATATTCGAATGTATAAATTTAAAATTAAAGCTTTATTTTTGCATTATTCAAATACTTTGTGAATTTGGGATTCTTGAATGAATATATATATATATATATTCGAATGTATAAATTTAGAAATTAAAGTTTATTTTTGCATTATCAAATATTTGTGAATTTGGATTTGAATGAAATGTAATACACTCTGTTTTACGATATAAGTCAATTAAAGTTAAAATATAAATCAATTAAAATTTTTACATACTAAATAAAATTAATTTTTTAAAATTATAATAAAATAAAAAGTAATTTAACCAAATTGTTATTTATCTTAAAATTAAAAATAACTTCTAAATGCAATAATTCTATCTAATATAAATAAAGATAACATTTCAAAAACATTATTTATTACTCCTTAAAATACTTAAAGCAACTTATATTTTGAAACAAAACAATCATCCAAAAATACTTATATTTTGAAAAGGATAGAGTATGTTTTAAACATACTTTAAACACATCCAAAAATATTCTCCCCTTTTAAACATATTTATAGTTAAGTCTAGGCTGAATGCATAATTTTAAACACATCCAAGGCAGAGACTAGTTAGTGGTCTCACCTCCTCTCAAAACAAGTCTAAAAATCAAACATTGAAATACCTTTCCACAAATATATGCCTGCGATTCTACAACATATACGTACCATATAATATCCTGTCTTTCGTACAATCAAATATGGAGGCATCAACCTACTCTACAATGTCAAGCTCAAAAAAGTCGATTGCAAAACAAGTTAATGTCTCTGATAGGTCTAATTACCAGAAATCAGATTAGAAAGCTGTTAAGTATGACACAACAGTCAGTGTTATGGTACATATTACTTTTGATACCCTAAGAAGGCAAAACGGGAGTTAGATACAGGGCAATTTCATCTGACATCTTCCCTGAACATAACTTATCCACCATTATAATCACTTACAGCCTCTTGTCCCCCATCTTCCTTCAAAAAGAAGGTATCAAGGGCATTTTCTTTGTACATAAGAAGCTCCATGCTCTTCATACCTGTCAATATCCACAAATAATTGAGAGTACGAAAAGTCTTTGCTTAACACTGATTCGTACAAGGTATCCTGAAACTTAAATTTAGGAAATTAGATTTAGGGGAGAGAGAGAGAGAGAGACCAAAACTTGAAAATAGACACTCAAAATTAACTAGCTGGAGAGTTTGAAAAGATTAGACTTACTCAGACTTGGAGAACCACATCTGCTGGAATGAACCAAGAGATGCCAATATGCTCCCACCTATCCATACACTGCTTAAAGAATCAAAGCACCATCAGAAGAAAGAGAACAAGAATGTAGCAGTTAAGTTGCGCAATTAAGAGAAAAAACAGATTTATCAACTAATGCTGTATGGCAATAAAATTCAAGTTCAAGGTGTTTCCCCGAAAAGGTAAGTAACTTATTAGTTACCACTTCTGTTATTTGTCCTTTCCGCATATGTTTGTGTACATTCAAGCGAGCCAGGCTAGAGTAGCCTCATAAGAACCTATCCCTTGGAATATATGAAAATCTAAATATAACAGTAATAGTATGGTTAAAGCATGCGGAAACCAACTGAATCAACTTCCAGGTTTGCACCACATAACTCTACATATTGAAAATCCAGCACCATGAACTCAAAATATCAAGGTAGTCAGTATGTTGGTCATTAATTCCCTTATAAGTTTCTAGCAGTATTTCTAGCATGTTCATGCTAATCATTGTGTAAGGAAAAGTAAAAAGCATCTAATTAACAGCTCGTTGGAGTCATATTTGCTTTCACCCAGGTTTTACTTCACAATTTCCAATACTTCCAACTCCAAATCTCTAAAAGCAGCCTTTTTCAGGCTGTCACCATTACGACAAAAAATAAACAAGATGCATTCTATTGCATGATTTACCACTTGTTGCTTATTAAAAATTATGCAATGAACCACATCCACAAACAATGGCAAGTGGTAAAATTAAAAACAGAAAACAATGCAGCCAACTAATCATTCACCAATTTCACATCTGCATTGAATGTGTACATGTATCGAGAGAGAGAGAGAGAGAAAGAGAGAAGGCAATTAATCAAACCTGAATCTTCTTTCAGTTGCATTTCCACTGGCCAGCACTTTAACTCGAGCAGCTTGAGGAGACTCCTGCACATCAATGAATGTTGATTTCATTAAATTGGAACCTGACTGCAATTTTTTTTCTCTTTGTCGTGATGGAATTTCGCTAATAAGAAACCCATTTATATCCAAGTGAAATCCAGTCAGAACACTTTTCCCGTGCAACATTTTTCTAAAATTCTAATATTATTCATCTTCAAGGCTGCGAGCATAGAGTATTGGTCAGGAAGAGAAAACTACAATAGAACAAATTATGACGAACTAATAGAAAATTTCGTAGTAAAATTGAAAAGACAAAGCCATGATTAAAGTGAACAAAAAGCATCGCTTTGCAGGTCTAGTCATGAGTCCAAAACTACTTCAAAACTCTAGCAATTCACAAAACTTCTCTAGTCAGTATTCAGATCATGGACCACTGAGGTCGAGGGCTTGAGCACCAAAAAAATTGAGTTCCCGAAGATTTTGAGCAGATGAAACAATGAACAAATAGAGGTTGAAGCAAAACCTACCTCAAGCAAATCTTTCTCAAGTCGTTCCTTCAACTGTTGCATTGATGCTGTGCCGCCAGCAAGCTAAATCAAAAGAAAGCAGATGTGACTGAATCAGTATTAAATATAAAACAATTATAAATAACAAAGTTCATTCTCGAGAAAAACAAGAGGAAAAAGAATAATGACAAAAACATAGTTATTTGAGTAACATAGACTGGCAAATCTAAATAACATACATTTCTTGCTAAAGCAACCTTTGGGCAAGATTCAAGAAAACTGTCTTAGCCACTACCATTGGCAAAACAAATAAAGTGGCAAAATAAATTCCCAGATCCCAATCGCTCTCATGATCATCACTCATGAAGAGAATTTGTTATTTACATTATTTCCAGAATGCTCACACCAGGCTTAGTTTTCAGCATGATTTACAAGTACATCAATTATAATTGTCTTGTGATCACCAGGAAAGGTACATGCCAACAAGTACATGCATCTTGCACTTTGCATTTGTTTTATATAGCAGAATTATGTCTGTTGGCATTAAGATTGAAAGTGCTTTTTTCAAAAAATCACCTTCTCAACATTGTTGTAAAATGCAGCTCGAAACTGCTGTTTCGGAATATGTCAAATCTACATTAAAAACAATTTTTGATTCCCTCTAATTAACATGTTCAACTTGAAGGTTTTCTCAACAATAGCTAAACCAGACAGACCCCCTGTATAACTAAATCCCCTATGCTATGCTATTTAACTTCGAGAAAAAAGAAAAGAAAGAGAAAAAGAGAGAGAGAGAGAGAGAGAGAGAGAGAGAGAGAAAAGAGAGGAGGGGGGAGAGAAAGGCAAAGGGGTCATATATCTGTTGACATGGACAATTATGATTTCTTAGCATGACGGTAATATCTTTTTCACACAATTCCAATGGTGAATTTCACCAAAGGCAGCTTCATCACTTTAACCAGACGTCAGTGCAAGATTTATAATATCATTGCAAATAATACAGCAACTACGAGTAGGACAAGCCACATCCAGCCAAGATATTCCAAAATGAAGGGGGAAGGCTAACTATCATATTGGCTTTACCAATATACTGCTGAACAATTCTCTCCGAATATCCACATCGCACTTATTAATGCTTTCTATGACCTGCAAACATGAAAAATTAATTAACTAACAATTTCCAAAAGTTTGGAAGCATAAAGGGCATAAATTTACCATTTGTGGCAAACCACGAACGTTAGGAGCAATCTCTGCAAAGCTCTCCATACCAGGAATTGTCTGACAGTCAGATACAAACAAGAGAAAGTCATGTGAGCATAAACTTAAAAATAACTTAGCAATTGAAGTATCAGAAACTATATAAATACATGCCATTTGCACCTCAAGATCATTCCAACTCAATCATTAAATATTCCATAGAAACATCAGAATCATGAGCTGCATGTGCATTCAGAAAGAGTTGAATGACAATTAACAAGTTAAAGAGCAATTAGTTGACATTAACTACCCAATTGACAATTCATGCCTCTTTACGTGTAAAAATAAAATTATACTTGAGAGAATGGGGAACATCAAATTTCATTAACTATCAGCATTCAAAAGTTCCAAATGCTTAGTTCACAAATTTCACAGGAAAAGATCGAAACTTGCAGGAAGCTTAAATATCTTTATTTATCCAATTGAATAATAACATTAACAACAGAGGGGGAAAAAAGGAATTGGATATATTCTTAAAAGGACCAGTCTATTCTCGAGCAAAAAAGAAAGCCAAATGATAAATGGAGAAATTTCGAAGATTCTTAACGACAAAATATAATAAGAAAAGAAACCATTTGACTCTTATTTTGATAGCCATGCAAATGTGATCATTTCATGACATATGACTCATAATACTTCACATTAGACAAAAAAAGGTGAATACAAATAATACCTGAAAGAATTAATAAAAGAAAATCATGTGAGTAGCATTCCAGAAAATTATATGTACACACACACACACACACACATGTATATGCCACCTCCATCTAAAATATTTTGTGCATTGGGATGTAATTGAGTCGAGTCTAGCCGGTGTGGTACTGTGCTTGAGCTCAACCCAATTAGAATACTCGAGGCTTGGAACTCGACTTGATTTGGACTCGATTAGGCTCAATTATCATTAGAAAAATAAATATTTATTTATGTTAATATAAAGCTCCAGTGAGCTCGAATCAGTAAATTATACATTAAATAATACATATATAACATAAAATATATCTAAAACTATATAAAATTCAAATACTCGATTAGGCTCATGAACTACTCGAGTCAAGTATTATAATACTCGAACTCAATTCGACTCATTACTCGAGCTCGAGCTCAACTCAATTAAAACTGAATCAAATTCTGAAATTTATTGAACCAAGTCCAACCAGCTCATGAGTAGCTCGACTCAATAACACCCCTAGTTGTTCATGATCCATTTTTTTGAATTTTCAAATGTTTGTACAATTTGTTTTTTCAACAAGATACTGGTGGATTTTTACGAAATTGCACTGTACCAGTATAGTTTGTGTAGTTAAAGCAAAGAAAAGATGTTGCTTGTGGGAAGTCACAGGAATCAACATAATTCTCCAATGAATGTGAATAAAATAATAGATATTCTCATAAACATAAATATTTGAGTCACAAATCTTGGAAATACAAAAATATGAATGAATGCCATCTTGAATATTCATGAACCTCACACCTGAGCCAAGGATGGATTGAATAGAATATCCGGAATCTTGAATCTATCAGCTCCAATTTCAATTGTCCTGTTTTGCATTAGATAACCCAAGATCGGATAAATAACTAGTGATCATGAATGTAGAAATTCAATTCAACCAGTAGTCATACTAAGGTATAATGCTAGAGACTTACTGGCCATCAGGAAGCTCATACGGAGTCATTGGAATATTAGAGTATGAACTTTCTGCATTTATAAGGTGAAAAAGTTGGAGAGAGAGAGAGAGAGAGCAGAATTAGCATAATGAAGTCTCAATATGTCAATTGCAATTTAATTTTCTAATGGGGAGAGGAGCATCTCGTAAAGCATTGTGCCACCGATGACAGTGAAGCAGACAACATAACTATGAAAGAAACTTGACCCAAACTATAGAACAAACATTACTTGGACATTTGATAAGTCAGAATATTTTTGTGCAGAGATTCGAAAAAAGGTTTGAGCACTTATTTTTTCACACAATAACACAAAGCTCTGTTCATGCAAGATGAAGCAGCAGAAGCTGTAATAAGACTTGGTGCAGGTTTCAATGACCAAATTTTCCACCAGCTTTGTTTGACCTCAGGTCACCACCTCAACCTTCCAAAAGAAATTCCACATAACACAAGAAGAATTCAACAGCCTGATGTCACTCAAACTCAAGTATAATCCAGTTTCGAACATGACAAAATAGCAAACTTTAAAAAGATAACTTTAATGCTTTTGAGTGTCAGAAAGTCACACCTATATCCACACACGGTATTTTAGCTAGGGTCAGAACAAACTTTAAAAACACTAGTGGAGAAATGAGATAGTTTTGCAGTCAAAAACTTTGAAAAACACTACATGTTGAATGAAAGCGAGTACAATAAATTACGACCACATCAACAAAAGACAATAAATATAGACTGACCATAATAAACTTATGAATTGAAGATAAATTATTTTGAACGAATCAAGAAATTTCAACAGACAAAATCCACATGCAAACAAGCATTGGAAAATATGGAATATGAAAAGAGTACTGACCATCATATAATGTATCTGGAGCTCGACACACACATTCCTTGATATCACTAGCAATTACTCTCTGTTTCCAAAGAAAAAATTCAGTACATGTAGAAAAACGTCATTTCCAAAAGGAGAAACATTGTGAGATTACGCAGACCTGAGAGTAAAGTTTGTAGCTTTCAGTTGTATTTGGAAAATCAAGATCTACTATCTGTCAGGTTCAGAAAAGAAAAGTAATGTCAAAAGAAGATACCAAAACCATACAGATACTTCCCTTAATGTAAGGAATAGCTATCACGCCAAACAATGTGGAATTTAAGTCAGACCACACAACAAGGAAATGATAGAAATCGGTGGTTATTTTACTTGAGAAATGAGGGACAAACTAATATCTTCAGAATACAGTTAGTTAATTCGATTAGAACTTACCCTAGGATATAAGGCCCAGTGGCCAGTGTGAGAGATGAGCAACTTTTCCAGATCAATCAAACTCTAGAAACTTATGAAGTTGTATTGCAGTTTCAGCAATTTAATTTCAAGGCTTCATACCCTTAGTTAAAACAGTGTACCAACAATTATAAAATGGAACCACGTTCAGTTTTCTAGAGGAACATATATCTAGATCTTTAAAACAGCTTATTTCTTCAAACCAAGTATCAAAAGTTATAAAGAAAGCAAACTGGCTTAATCAATAAATTTAATATGACTTGCTTACTATTTGTCAAAGTTGTGGAACTGAGATTGGTTTTCAAATCAATACTTGAGGATAATATTCAAAGCATTATACATATACATGCAATATGAGCATTAAATCATGTCAACCCCAAAATAACTACCAGTAACACTTTAAAGTACCTGAAACTCCCCTGGACGGATTTCCTTTCTCTTGAATGAGTACCTGGGTTTTATCTGCAAACGAGCAAAATATTAAAATAAAAAGACAATATAAAAATTAACAAAGTCTTGTTAAATTAACTTTTCATAATAAAACTCAGTATCATAGTCACTTACTGTGATACCTTTGCTCTCCAAGCTTTTCATCAAGCAATCAGTAAGAAAATCTCCTCCTATAGGAGAAGAAGCCACTGCCTATTATCACAAGGGAGAAAAAGGGAAAACGCTGTCAGTCTGTCACAGGCTGATAAATCTCAATTAGGCCTTTTCCATATTAAAAAGAAGACCAAACCATCCAAATTTTTTATTTTCATAAAAAACTCAAGTTTTAAGCTAAGGAATAAAAAGAAAGAAAGAAAGAAGTTGTCGCCTTGTGAAAATGTTTGTTCAGCTACTAAGAAGGCGTTATGCAATACACCTTTCAAAATCACCACCATAAGGGTTGTTATCATTGTATTAATTTTGTGTAATAGCCATTATGGCCATTACACTTTATTCCTCCTAATCTACCTCACTTTTTTCAGTGTTTTTTCTTTTTTACTTTTTATTTAGATTTTCTACAAAAATAGCCCACTGATCACTGCTCATGGGCAATGCTATTGATTGCATTTATTTATTTTAGATGTAATCTCCACTTGTGACACTAGAGAAATATATCCAAGGAATATGGTACTATTGATTGCATTTGTTTATTTTAGCAATACCAGGTTGCTATTTCAAATGATAGATTGTCTAAATTCATTGTAAGCATTAGTGGTGTAGCATTTAGTCAAATTCTCGAAAATCTGTGCATCGGGCAAAATTCGCTATTCTAAAAATAAAATTCACATCATAATAGTAACAACAGTTACATAATGTCTACATCAGCTGTTTCCATGTGCACAAGCACATTCATAGAATTCAAGACAGTTTGCAATCATTGTTCACTGAAAAAAGGGACATAGCATCAAGAACATTGACAACTGAAGGAGATCGGTGAAAAACAAAGACAACCATGCAACACATGCAAATGCGCATACTAAAATGATAAATGGACCTTCAGCTGACTTTTAAAGAGAATGAATGCCACTTAGACACTTGGCAAGAAAATTCTCCAATTTTGATAATTTACAAAAGAAACTTCCGAAACATTTCAAGCAACTTTTAGCAGGGTACAGTGTCATTAACTTCTTATGACAACTGAATCAAAGAAGAATAAGACAGAGTAAAATAGTTAAGCGCTAAAACTTATTGCTGAAAAAATTTAGACTGTACAAACTATCCAAATTATGATTATTTGGCAAGTCATATACTACCCATGCATGTAAATGCTAAATACCTTTTGAAGAACATAACCCTCATGTACTGGAGCAACTGTTGTTGATCCTCCACCACTAGAAATAATACCATTACATCAATGTTAATATGTATCTAATACAGTACAAAAAGATGTAAGCAAAAGGCAGAAGACATTATTATTGAAAAAAGAATTCCTCGAACTTCCAAAAGTAATCTTTAAAGCTTTAAATATATACAACATCCATCATAAGAGCATTGGATACTGATTCTTATGGCCATTATTATGAGCAAGTATATGACCATGTTAATAGATGCTAGATTTCCTACAGCCAGATCTGGAAACCTGTGATTAGTTGCAGATCTTAGCCATTCGAACATTAATTTTTTCCCGCTTTGAATTTAATCACAAGCTCATATTGCAACTCTCTAATGTAATAAAATTTAATTCCAGCATAAATTCGTATGCACTAAAGCTGTCCAGCATAGCCAATTGAATCTTCCAAGCACATATTATCATGGATGATAAAGCTATCAGAGTTTCTTTATTCACACCTTTGTTGTTTGACTTCGTATAAAAATTTTAAAATAGTCTCCGTTCTCTCTTTTGATTTATTTCACTTCTGAAATAAAGGAAGGGAAAGAGTGGACATAGACATAAATTCTCATTTACTGTCTTCTAAAGGCAAGAACCAATTCTTTTTCTTTTTTTTTTTTTTTTTAGACATTAAATTCTCATCTTACCTGTTCTTCTAAAGGCAAGAACCAATTCTTTTTCTTTTTTTTTTTTTTTTTAGAGGATGGCAAGAAACATTCTGATTATAGTTATAGTTCTGCAATTTGCAAGATGTGTCAAATTGCGCAAGAAAGACAATGCTAAAGGGAATTAAAAGGGCCAAATAAACTTAAACCAATAACATGTGAACAAACGAGCAAGAGTAAAAAAAACTACAATAAATTGACCTATCAACAACTAGTGAAGGAGGACTCCTTGATGCAAAGGATGTGAGAAACCCTACATTAAGAATTACTTCAATCATGCCAGACATACTATCTTAATGAGAGGGAACAAAAGTACAAGATTTTTGTCGTTGCTTAAAACACAAAATGCAACAAAGGAGATAAGACCATTGATGGATTAACGTTTCCATACAGCGTTCTTAGCCAAAATAATGGCTGGAACACGTATTTTTCAAAACATAAGCTCTGCAGTCCTGTCAGAAATGCAATAAGTCATTACATCATCCACAAGTATAAAGCAGTTTAATAATTGGCACAAATAAAATTCTCTACTTTGAGAAATTTAAGTTAATTTATTTTAATTGAATTTCAAATAATAAAATAATAACACAAAAAGAATTCTTGTAAGTGTCGGCCTAGTGAGATCCACTTTTGCATTCTATTTTTTGAGTTGATTTAAAGCCACAAAAAGGTAATAATTATTTTAGGAAATTATTAAACAATGCAAATTTTGAAAGTGTAACGTAATTACTATGATTCACAAAAAATTAAAAATGTAGCTTTAAGCCAAAAAAAAATGTTGAGCGGCAAATAAAGAGTGAGAGCCAATTCAAGAATAATACATCATTAACTTTGTCTCCATTAAAAGCAACCAGGCCTTTTATTTCAGCCAAAAAAAAAAAAGTAGAAGAAAGGGTTGAAATGGCCCACTTCCTCAAACAAAATAATATAATAAACCATATTAACTGGCCCTCCATTTACAACAGTCACAAGTATAATCACAACAAGAATGACATAAGCAATAATCAAAGGAACTTGCTAAGTTAGATATCTTCATCACAACACATATATAATAAAATAACTACATTGAAGTACTAAAGTATAAGCTCTGCAACTTGCATGGAAAAAGAAAAAATTTAGTATGCTTCACTGTCAACATGTATGTTTGACAGGATCGCTTTCTCTCTGTGTTGGGGTTAGATTGAAGGTTCTGCAAGCAGCATTGGATTCTCCTTAGGATCAACAACAGACCATTCCCTAAAAGATAGAACGATTTTTAGAACATATCTTACAAATAATCAAGAAAATACTCCTATCTGACAATTAGCTGTTACCTAAACAGCATTTGCCCATTGCTATGCCACTAATCCAGTCAAACCAATCCCATCCTTTATGGGCGATAATTACCTGTGAAAAAGATAAGATGAAGTGAAGAATTGCTACTTTATATGAATTAAATATCCCAACCGGTCTTCCCAACTTAATATGTAGAAAACGAACTCCATTTGCTCCCGACAAATCCTACAGCTTGAGATCCTACATAATTAATTGCGCTGCTCCTGTGCCTTTTTCAGAATTCTTGGATATTGTTCTTAGAAATCTATGGAGAGTTCTTGTCCATTATTAGCAGTGCTCATCAACTTCCATTTTGATCAATTGATCCAACAAACCATGGCCGACTCATAAGCATGTACAGTGTTTGGCAAAATCAAAGAGTTTATTTGATGTTCTCGCTATCACTAAAGCAAAAGGACTTATATAGTGATGTCAATTACGTTTACTAGATGTATAAGCGAAGAAGTAATACTGCACATATAACATATAATTCTACTATGTCCAATTTTCAAAGCTCATTAACTGAAAAAATGTATAACGCACTTACCCTTCCCATAACGAAACTCCATTAAATTTGGAGCACGATTATTTATATATTAAAATGCAAATCTACCACATTCTTTGAAGTTCTTAAACTTTTGTCATTGCACCACTCTGGACCTAACTCACCTCGCATCTATCCATTCAAATCAACCCTCTGTATATCACATCGTTATGGAATTCCACCAAAAGAAAGCATCCTTCTTCATATTTAGGCTTACAATTCAATTCCCTAGTATTACACAAACACACTCGTATTTGAATTAGGGTCCGTTTGGTACTTCCCACAGTTTCTTACCATTGAAAACTAAAAGCGGGTAGAGAGATATTTTTCACTTAAACTTATGTCATAGCGAGCAAATTTTGCAAGTAGAAAATCCTAAATGAGCTTACCTTTTCCCACGAAAATCAACAGCAAACATTATGAACAACAACAATGACAAAAGAATGAGAATGCCAGTGAACTGTAGCCGGAGAGAGACTAACAGAAGGAAAAGACCGCCTTGGGTTTTGCATCCTCCCAGCGTAAACCAGCTTTGCAAGTTGGAGCCAAGGTCAAGTCCACCTATAGCCGATACTTATCTGCGTTCGAAAACAGGAAAATTACACAAATTATTCGTGTTGTGATAGCAAAACACTTGCTGTCGATGAATTGCTGCGCGAGACATCGAGACAAGAAGCTCATGTACTTACCACCCTCACAGTACATGATTTTTGACTTTTTGAGAGAGGAGAGAGAGGGGGGAAAGAGGTTCCATCTGAATACCGATGATTAGGGTTTTAGAAAAGCTGGGTTCAGTGAAGGAAAGCAGAGGGATTCTATTGACTTTGGGTCGGATCTGATTGAGTTTAAATCCTTAATTTACATTCGCTTATGTTGGTCAAACTTTTTGAAACTTTTTTTATACTAGCACTTGGCTTTGGGATAACAAGTGGAAAAGGTTTTTTCTTTTTTTTTTTTTTTGTTTTTTACCTGCTTTTGATATTTTATTTGCGATTACGTCTAGTTTTACCTTTTTTATATTTATACCCTAAAATGCAATTCAGATGTTAATTTTACTCCAAATTCAAAAATTAAGATTTAGGGTTCACATAAAATTTATAATGATGTGGACCCCACAAATAAGTGGGTTATAACTTAATTATTGAGCCTTTAATCCTTTCTTTTTTTTTTTTTTTTTTTTTTTTTTTTAAACACAAATTATTACTTATTACATACTCCCTCCAAAAGTACATGTCCATAATTCCCAAAAAAGTATCTTTATTGTAAATAAAATTAATATAGTCGATTTACTCAATAATTTATTACAAATTAAATAAATTAAATTGTTTTTTCAAGGGATGAGAAAAATATTTTTTATTTTACTATACATATGTTTAAGCCTATTTAGGATAGAGCAAAAGACAAGTTAGTGTATATATATATATATATGGTTAAGCCCATTTAGGATAGAGCAGAAGACAAATGTTAAGCCCCCAAGAGCAAGTTAAATCAAATTAAAATAATTAGTCCATTCGTCTCATATATATATATATATATATATACACATATGCGAACTTTCATTTTCCATTTATCCCAAAATAGTCTTATTTCCTTTTCGAGATGGTTGGGATCTCTAACAGTAACCAAATTTGGCATCTCAAAATTTGGGTCTCTCTTTCCTCGGCACAGGCAAGGCAAACAGGCGAATATAACGTACATAAAATATCAGATCACCAGTATCGGTTTCAGAGTCAAATACTCAAATGCCAAAATTTGCAACCATGCTTCGCAATTTTAGATCTAAGAAGCTCAAGGAATACACTGAAAATAGAAGAAAAACTGCCATTTCTTTAGGGTTTTGGTCATTATACAAGTTTTGATGGCCTTTCAAATGTTACTTGTCATATTGCGCTTTCATATTAGAGGAGGATTGCTAATAAAAGAGTCCTTTGAACAAACAGTGCTTTTCAAATACTATTTACCCATCAGTTGGATATACAAGGCAATTTTCCTATTAATAAAAACTAAGGTCAGTAACCAGTAAAATGACTTCAAATTGAGAAAATTACAGTTCAGCTAATCTCAATATTTACATAACACACAACTAAAACCAAAGAAATATCAAGGACAAGTTGCAAAGTTTATGTTCTCTCGTGTCACTCGATTGATGCTAGCTTCTCCTCATCCACTTCAAAAGCTTTCCTTGCTTGTTTCAACTCTTCTTGCATATTTAGAAGCTCTGTACAGCGGTTAAGTTTTGGCGGGTCCTGCAAGGACAAAGGTATCAATTATTAGTTTCAGGGCATGACTAAACATATACATTCCAAGAAACAAAAAGAAACACTTGAATAGGGAAATTGATAAATGAAAATGTCAAGAGGTTGAAATCTATTTATTGGACTAGTATGTTCTTTTGCACTATAGCTGTTAAGAACAAATTGGATACAATCATCTTTATGATAGATACAACGTAGCTAGTGTTGTGATGTATGGAAATGTTAAGATTTTAGCTAGCTCTGGGATCCTACAAGGTTTAATTAAAGCACGGTTCCCAAAACCTATTCCCTTTTGCCTCTCCTTCGTACACCAAATAAAAAAAATGTTGCCTCACTAGTGTAGAAGCAGGGAAACTGTTGGCCTGTATAGCCAACATTCAACAACTCACAAATTTAGAGGGTAAAAAAGGAAAGAATTAAGCGAATTCAGAGGCGAAATTGTTAACAGTGTGAATTATAAAAGAATTCAGTGGTTAAATACCTTGCGAATTAGGTACAGAAAATCCTCAACTGATAGCTTCCCCCTCTTTGATCCGATATCCTGGGCTTTATGCGCCTGCACAAAGTAGCAGACTGATGTAACTACCATCATGATGTAACACTTGAAGTGTTCATACTTACTAACCTCAAAGACTGCTTACCAAATCTGTAACATACTCCACGACGATATCCTCCACAAGTGCCACAGTTTCTGGAAGGGGCTGATTATGCAGAAGAAAAGATTCATTAAGCATTTCAAAAGTGAACCAAACAATCTAACTTGCAAAAACTGGGCAACATTTTGACAGACATGTCTAATGGAGACAACAAGAGAATTGCTTGTTGATTATAGGAAAGATAAATAATAGCAATGAAAGAGCTGTTTGCAGCAGAAAAGAACAGAAAAAGGCCTGCACAATAATGACAAGATATACATCATGCACAAATATCAGCATGGAATGCCATATGTGTATCAGCTGACCAACCACAGTCTGCCCTTCCCCCTCCCCCCTCTTTTCCATTTTACTTCACAAGGAGAGAGATTTTGCACTACAATTCAAAATCTCAGATACATTGCATTAACATTTCCAGATTGGTTAAATTCACATCCCTTATAATTTTTGATATATTGTACATTGATAATGGCACAAAACTACAAAATACTAACGTAAATGTTGGCCATAAGCTCCTCATAAAAAGGTAAAATACTTCGAAAACAAATTGGTGTTATCACCTCGGAAATAAGAATGCCATCCTACTGGCTTCAGTTTGGCATTACCTCAAAATGAGAATTACTAGGACTTGAGAAACAGTAAATATTGGAAAATTCATAGAAAGTTACAATCCCTACCGCGAAATAGTGCACCGACATGTCAGTGGTGTTAGGCTCACTTGTTTTGCGAATTTTATAGGTTTTTCTGCTAATTTGAAATATCAAATGTATACCTATATCAAAGAATATCTGCATCTAACCATATCATTTTGGGGTACTAGCAAGATTCAAGCACTTATTGAGACCATTTTAATTAAAAAACGATTAGAGACAAAAAAAAAAAAAAAAAAAAAAAAAAAAAAAAAAAGCAACTTAATGAGACCATTTTAATTAAAAAAAACGATTAGAGACAAAAAAAAAAAAAAAAAAAAAAAAAAAAAAAAGAAAGAAAGATTATATGATCAAAAAAAAAAAAAAAAAAAAAAAAAAAAAAAGAAAAGAAGAATTCTATATGATCACAAGCATCCAACAAATGCTTCTCTGCTAATGCCTCTAAAATTTTTGGTAAACGAACAACCTCATTTCATATTTATAAAATCTCATTGCCGCACCTTCCCCCCAATGTATAGACTGAAACTGAGTGCCTATGAGATCTCAGCAAAAATCTGGCAAGATACTTAGAGCAAACTTAATTCTATTTGATTGTTGTTAATTGATATGGACCTCCCATGAAAATGCAGAAATGCTGACCATTGATATCGTGAGAATCATATAGACAGAGGTATAAGATATAAATGAAATAGACTTGATGCTTATAGCATGATATGTAACACTAAATTGCAATGCAATGGACAAATTTTAATCACAAACGACATTATCATGTCATTGTAAGACATGCAAAGTTATGGTATCACTTACATTAGGGTCATCTCCAAAACCATACATCATGTGCTGCACTGTAGCATCCAGAAAATGAAGAAAAATTAACACCAAATCCATGGGAAAACTTGCACAAAAAATTATTCTTTCACTTACAATCTTTCTGAAAGACGCCTCGCTTTCGCTTAAATGAAGTTTCAGAAGGTTGTGAGGCTCCAACTTTTGATTTTGATGAGGGTCCTGCAGATAAATTGTTCATCTTCTATTCGTGTTTGTTTCCCTGAATATCTATCGCAGTAATGAATTTATAGTCACTAGCCAATCAAATAGAAGAACACTCCAAATTCCAAACACCAACAACTCACGTTCTTTGAAATTAAAATAGAAGCTTTCCTATCTTTTGAGTGGGAGAAAAGAAGACAACAAAACTTCTACTATTGACAACTACGAGCATAACTACAGAGCCACCATGATTTAATGATACAATATGCAGACAGCAAAACAACTAAAAGATAAAATTTTAATTATCATATATTAACAAGAGATAACACAAGCACTGACAATAATAGTAAATTAAATTAATTATTCGAAACAAAAGGTTAAATCCCACACATCAAAAAGTACAAATCTTTAAAGTTGCGAACTCGCAAATTAGAAGGTATTTAAGCTAAATATAATAGCAATAAGTTTCTGAAACAGTGAGCCGAAGCCATTCTTTAGCAGCACACAAAAAACATGCATTTCAAAATTCAAGGCATTGTCACATATGAATCTGGTTTTATGAGATGAAATATCAAATGGCATCTATAGCAATTTCAATATACACAAATGGCATCTCAGATGAATACCAGGTAAGAGAAACAAAACAGAAACAGAACCACAAACAATGCAAGGCAAGTGCAGAAGAATGAATTGTATAATTATTAAAACAAAAACCAAAGGCTGCAAAAAATAACAATTTAAATAGAAATTCATCTCAATTAACTAATGAATTTCAACAGAACCCTAAAGAAAAACCAATTTCAACAGAAACAAAAGGCGAAAACCACAAAACCGATAATAAAACCAAAAGTCTGAAAAAAGAGTACCTGAAATTCGTAGGATTTGGTGACTATTGGATTGATCAGGGATTAAAAGGAAAGATTGACCTCGAGTTTTACATAAAACGTGCAATGGATAGACTGCTAAGGAGGGACGATGACTTGAGTTTGGAAAGAGCAGTCAAGAGAGCGTACCAAAAATAGAATATTGGATGAAAATAAAATAGAGAAAAATGTAAAAGAATTGTGCATGAAAGGAGGGAAAGTGATTTTATGGTTTTAGAAAAAAAAAAAAAAACTGATTTTATAATAGTAAAATTATGATTTTTTTTTTTTTTGAAAAAAAAAGTATAATAAGTAAGGGTAAGATTATAATTTTAGTTATTTTTTTAATTTCTCTTTTTAAATTAGAGAGAAAATGACACGTAGTCTCATAATTAATTTTTATAAAATATTTTTAAATAAAAAATTTAGTTTATTTAATTCAAAAATATTTCAGTTTGAGGTTATAAACTTATTGTGTTAATGTCTTTCTTCGCATAATTAGTCATCTGTTTATTAAAGGTTTGATACATAAATCCATTTCTCACTTAAAAGAAAATATTTCTGAATTTTGTTATTTGAAGTTTTAAATTTTGTGGCATAAAATACCAATTTTTTTTTAACTATCAAACATTTTTAACTTGCAAAATCATTTTATTAAAGATTTTAACTTATAAGTATATGTCAATTAAATATTTACTAGATGATTTGAAAATGTGAAATTTATTCATCTAAAAGTCGTGCTAACTACACATAAAATTAATATTTTATATATAAAAATAAAAATAATTAAAAAATTATTATTATTGTCATCGAATAGGTGAGAGTGTCGTATAGTGATGAAAGCAGGATAGAGTATTTTAAAATATACACGATACTCCAATCGAGGTCTCTGCTATATTAAATAGATTTAGCTATAGTTATCCACGAGTATATTCTACCCATTAGTAGAATATGTATTTTAAATAAATTTAACTTTAAATAATTTAAAGTTTATAAATACCCTACCCATTTAAAAAATATTTTAAACTAGTTTGGCACATATACATATAGTAAAATTTTAAATAAATTTTTATTTAAATAGGTTTAGATGAGTACGGCGTATGACTAATAAAAGATTACACACAATTGTTTCTATTTCGAATGCCATTAGATTAAAATTAAAAAAAAAAAAATCAAAAGTGAATATATGAAATCAGCCTTTATTGAAAGAGTATCTTGCCTTGGAATGAATCGAATTTTCAAGGCTTCAACAATCACAGTAATTTCAAATTTAGATAGAAGTTTTTGAATTGTTAGTGATAGGTTTATGTAATAAATTTGGTGTATAATAATTGTTTCTTTTAGTTTACTATGAAGGTCATAACAATAATCAAGATTGAAAGAAAATAAAAATCCCATATATATATATATATATATGCCAAGCTAAAATATACTCCCTCTTTACTAAAAAGATAGTCCATCTTTTATTTTTTTATTTATCTCAATCTTTTTTTATAATTCATCCTTAAATTGTTTAATATACTCTAATTAAATTTTATTTTATTTCAATAACTCTCATCAATTCTTATTTATTATTTCAATATAATAATTGTTCGTGTATTATCTAAGATATGTATAATAGAAAAATTATATAAATAAAATTATTTTTTAACAGTAATAATTGTTATTTTCTTAATCTGTGTTATTTTATAAAAAGTGAACTAATTTTTCGAAACGAAGGTAACAGCAGTCTTGGCATATCTAACCAAATTCATGGAACACTACACACACCCACTTGAAGCATGAATAAACAAAAACTAATCAATCTTGAAAAAAAGCAACCAATTAATTTCCAACTATAAGATTGCAACCAATTGAATTTCAACTACAAGATTTGCAATTAACTAAAAACGGAAATAGACCGAGTCAATACTTATGGACCAAAATTAGTCACAATAAAAATTTTTTAAAATTATTTCGACTTTTTTTTAATATATAGTCATAAATACTCTCATTTCAATAAAAAAAAATATTATTTTCATTAATTTAATCGTAAATAGAGCTATGGATCCATCTAAATAAAATTTTTACCCTAAAAAACAAATCCCACAGAACATATTTTAACAAGATAAGTCTTTAAATAAAGCATTTTCTATTTCCTTCACTCTCCCTCAAGTTGCGAGAAATCCAACTTGACTAATGGCAGATGAGGACGATTACGGCCAAGTGCCTCGGTGAAGATATCCACCCACCAGTGTTGTGAAAATCAATATGGGAGTAATGGTCGTGATTTGAATGTGTTGTGAAATAAAGTCACGGTTTATTTTAATATATTTTATGTGTTTATGAAATACTGGGTTGGCAGCATGATTATCCAAAACAAAGAAATATTAGTAATATATTTATAAATCTATAAAGATATGATTCTTATTTCAAAATATTATTATTATTATTATTTTTTAATAAATAAATAAATACTCTTCATTTGTTATTTCATCGTTAATTGTAATTAGGATACTATTGTTACAAAACATCAAAATTAAACTGAAATTAAAAATTAATAAAAATATCAAACTAAATTGAAATTGTAAATCTACAAATTTCAGTATATTTTGATATATTAGGCAAAAAATTAAAATAATTATGGTGATTAGATATGAGATACATAAATTAAAACTCACGTGAGGAGAGTTAATTTATTTAAATTTTATTTTATTTTATTTTTAAATGAAATTATTATTTTTTTTATCTTTTAAATATGCTATTCGAACATATTCATTTGACCTATATTAGAATTACTCTATATGATTACTCGAACTGCTTTATAGAGTTGTTAAGCCTTGCTTAGATGGACGATTTAAAAATTTATGAAATTAAAAACTAAAAAGTTTATAAACTTTTAGGAAAATTTATCATTTTTAATTGCATAATCTATAAAATTAATAAATAAAATGTTTTATTTCTTATGTAGAAACTAAAATATAAAATAATTAAAATATGGTTGAAATTTCTTTGTCCATATTCGTAACTCCATACTGCTTTTAAACTTTACCGTCTCTTTCCCTCTCGTCTCGACCATGACGTTAGCTTTTTCCCATTAACTCTCTCTTTCTCTCTCTCTCTCTCTCTCCCCTATTTTTCTCTTGATAAAACCAAACTCCACTGCTAATCCCACACACCAACTTCTCTCCTTCTGCAACCTGTAGACAGAGAAAGAAAAATGGCATCTTCAAAGCTATACTTTTGCTTTACCATTTTCCTTTCTCTTTCTCTTTCCTTTCCTTTCACTCTCTCTCGCAACTTACCAGAAACCGCCGCCACCACAACTCTCGATGTCTCCTCTTCTCTTCAACAGGCTCTCTCCATCCTCTCCTTCGACTCCAAGACCGCAAACCCATTTAACCAACTGGGACAACAAACCAGTCCTTCATTTTCCAATTCCTCACTCTCTTTCTCGCTTACCCTTCACTCTCGTGAAACTATTTACAAAACCCGACACAAAGACTACAAAAGTTTAGTCCTTTCACGACTCCAGCGTGACTCATCCCGAGTCAAAGCTATTACCACCCAAGTTGAACTGGCAGTTAATGGCATTTCCAAAAATGATCTCAAGCCTTTAGTGACTGAGATCCAGCCGGAGGATTTTTCCACTCCGGTTACTTCAGGTACTAGTCAAGGCAGCGGCGAGTATTTCTCTCGGGTCGGAGTCGGTAACCCGGAAAAGTCATTCTATATGGTTTTGGATACCGGAAGTGACATCACCTGGCTCCAATGCGAGCCTTGCTCCGATTGTTACCAACAAGCGGATCCTATCTTTACTCCATCGGCATCGTCTAGCTATCGCCCGCTTTCCTGTGCCTCTCAACAGTGTAACTCTCTTCAAATGTCTAGTTGCCGGAGCGGTCAATGTCTTTACCAAGTCAATTACGGCGACGGATCGTTCACTTTTGGCGACTTTGTTACTGAAACGGTGTCGTTTGGAAGCTCAGGGGTTGTAAATAATATTGCTTTAGGTTGCGGTCATGATAATGAAGGACTGTTCGTCGGCTCTGCTGGATTGCTTGGGCTCGGTGGTGGTCCACTCTCATTAGTATCTCAACTCAAAGCGTCGTCCTTTTCTTACTGTTTAGTGAATCGCGACTCATCCGGATCTTCAACGCTAGATTTCAACTCGGGATCGGTCGGTGACTCAGTTATAGCTCCGTTGATGAAAAGTAGAAAAATCGATACGTTTTACTACGTTGGACTCACCGGAATTAGCATCGGTGGTCATATGCTGTCAATTCCAGAGTCAATTTTCCAGCTAGACGAGTCCGGTAACGGCGGGGTCATTGTCGATTGTGGAACTGCCATAACTCGGTTACAGAGCCAGGCATACAGCTCGTTAAGAGACGCGTTCGTGAGCATGACTCAGCACTTGAAATCAACAAGCGGTGTAGCCTTATTCGACACGTGTTATGATCTATCCGGCCAAAATAGCGTTAAGGTCCCAACGGTGTCGTTCCACTTCTCGCAAGGACAATCATGGAATTTGCCAGCGATGAATTACCTGATTCCGGTGGACTCGGACGGCACTTATTGCTTTGCGTTTGCTCCAACGACGTCGTCGCTGTCAATAATAGGGAACGTACAACAGCAGGGCACACGTGTCAGCTTTGACCTGGCTAATAATCGCGTTGGGTTTTCGACCGATAAATGTTAAGTACGCAGTAGATAGATTGGCCATTCCTGTCTTTTTCTCTCTCGTGTTTTTTTTTTTTTTTTTTTTTTTGTAAATCAACAAGCGGTTGTAGCGCTTATTTCGGACACGTTGTTATATCTATCCGGCAAATAGCGTTAAGGTCCCAACGGTCGTTCCACTGTCTCGCCAAGGAACAAGCATGGAATTTCAACAGCGGATGGAATTACCTGATTCCGGTGGACTCGGACGGCACTTCATTGCTTTAGCGCGTTGTGCCATTCCAACGACGTGCGTCGCTGTCAAATAAATAGGGAACGCGGTACGCAAACAGCAGGGCCACACGTTCTGTCAGCCTTTGACCTGAAGCGCTAATAATCGCTTTGGGGTTTTCGACGCCGAACTTAAAGTTAAGTCACGCAGTAGATAGATTGGCCATTCCTGCGTGCTTTTTGCTCTCTCGTGTTTGTTTTTTTTTTCTTTTTTTTGTGGAATTGGGATTGAACCTTTTTATTCCTGTTTAAAAAGGTTAAATCCATTAGTTACTATTCATATGAATTTTAGGAAAAAGGAAAGGAGTTGCGAGGTGCAATGGATGGTTTTTTTTTTTTTTTTTTTTTGGATTGGGATGACCTTTTTATTCCTGGTTAAAAAGGTAAATTGCCATTAGTTACTATCATATTGAATTAGGAAAAGGAAAGGAGTGCGAGTGCAATGGATGGGTGGACGCAAGTAGGGCCCATCTAAATAAATTCCAAATAGAGGAGACTGGTGGAGAGTGTAGGTTGGTGGGGTCATTAATTAACCATAATTGTAATGTTATCTGTTGCTATTTATAATTTATAAGTTCAGTGGCATGTGTAGTAAATTTGTTGAATTTGTTAGGACAATCAAGGAAATTAAAACATTAAAAAAAAAAAACCGGGAGGAAGGAAAAGGATAGCTTGCATGTGTGACACGTGGCGACGAGAAATGGAGGGACGGGATAATCTTCTCTCGGGCGGGAGGAGGTTTGTCTGTCCGTAGGGAATAAGTGATTGGTGGTTTTTCTTTATTTCTAGTTTTTAATTTTTAATTTGATTTTATTTAAATATTACTACTATTAAAATAAAAGAAAGAGGTGGGTGGGGGCCGCGGGGGTTGGTTGCATTGAAGTCCGTGAAATGGCGGACAGATCACATGAATGGGCCCACAGCAGTGGAGGACGGGACGGGACCGAGAAATTAATGTGGGCACACACGAGCACTAGTCTAGTTGGGTCCCACAAATTGGACAAATAGCGTGATTGTCGGCAGGTCTTATGTCCGTTTTATTTTGTCTCCGTGTATGACTATGACTATGACGTGAGGTGAAATTGTATTATGTTCCACGGACTCTGCCCTCGTATATACGTTTTACTTTTCCACCGTTAAAAGGGTTATGTATGAGCTAAATAAATTTATTTGCGAATAAAAATAAGAAAAAGCAAATCTATTTACAATATCCATAAAAAGCTTTGTTAATGACCGTTTTGTAAAAGGTAAAATTACTATTTAGTTCCTTTAATTTTGTAACATTTAAAGAAATTCATTATTAATACATGAACATATTTTTATTCATTAATATAATTCAATACTACTAGTTACTACAAAGTTCAAAAAAAAAAAAAAAGTAATAGTTGGTATGTAAAAGGAGTAAAGGCTAACCTAGTTCCTAATCTTGTTTAGCCGGTTAAAAAAGTTCATATTAGAGCTTTTAGACCAATTTAATCCTTGATCTTGTATTAAATGATTCAAAATATCCGATTTCACTTTTCAAGCTAATTTAACTTGTGAATTTATTTAAAATGATTAAAAAAAAATCATAGTTGACATTTTAATTCAATTTTACCTGTAATTCTCGTATTTATAATGTGAAAATCATTATGATTAAAAGCATCATATTTGACATTTTGAATCTATTTGATCTCTAATTCTTCGTTATACTTACAAGATGAAAATCATTATATAGATATTTATTAAAACTGTAATTGGAATCTAATTGACTAATTTATTGAAAAAAATTAACTAATCATAAAATATAGAAAAATGATAATATAAAGTATATTGTATCTCTTGATTGATGGTTTTGAATTTATAAATATATATTAATTTGAACATTTTAAATTAAACTCTATTATCGCTTATGAAATCTATGTATTTTTCATATTGAATAAATTAAAGCTATATTATATGTTTATAAATTTATTATGACAAAAAATGATATTTTTATTAATTTTAAATTTATATTCATAATTATTGGAAACATTTTATCTGAGTGTTATTAGTAGAGGACAAAAAGTGATAAAAAGTCAATCATGTTAAATTAAATCAATTATTAATTTATAAAAATCAAAACAAGTTCAAAGGTTAAATTGACTTACAAAATGAAATCATATTTTTTTAATCATTTTATACTAATTCAAAGGCTAAATTATCCCAAAATGTCAAATCTGACTTTTTTATCATGCTAACTAAACAAATTCAGGGACTAAATTGACTTTTATTCCTCTAAAAAATTATATTATCTTATTTAATTTTTAATTTCAAACGATTAAAAAAAAAGAAGATTACCTTGGTAATTCTCCTTTACACATTGATGGTATTTCATAAATTAGTTTGGGACCAAATAATTACTTGTTGGACGCAGACAATCATGGCAGAAAATGCTCTTCCGCCTATAACAAGTCAAATTCTCGTAAACTGAATCATCTCCCACCAATATCTCATTGTGCACAACAATTAGGTCAAAGCTTAATTGAGGCATCAATTCTTAAATTATCATATGTTCACACAATATGACAATAATAATTTCTCCATCTATAAAAACTATTCTCATGTGAAACAATCTTATCTTGTTCAACAGCTCCAGGAATTTTCTGGAGAAACTAGAAACAGATTCATAATTTGCTTTTTCCTTTTACAACAAATATAATAATGGAAAAAAAAAAAAAATCAAAAGTACACCTAACTGGTTCTAAATCAATAATGTCAAATGCGCCTGCTCTGCTCTTCCAACATCTCAAACTCCAATTATGACTTCCAAAGCTTGAAAGTGATCTCTTCATTTCAAAAAATTTCGGTTTCATTTCACCTCAAAAGAGCATTTACCACAATATTACTACTAAATGCAGTTATTAACTATATTGCTCCATTGGTTTGGCAGTGTTGACAAATGTTGCACTTTTATTAAACCCTTCGAGTAAAAGAATTCGAATGGCTTGTATACTTTGTTGAAATGTAAAATCCAACTGAAAAAAGAAATGCCAAGGAAATTCAATCTCCATTTCCATAAAGATACCTTTTGTCTTGAGTACGAAAGTAAATTTTATCGTACCTCTTCACGCTCTTGTTTGTTGAAGGGGCGAAGAACAAAATTTACTGAATCCATTTTCCCAGGAGGTCGACCAATGCCTAGAATGGTTTCACAAATACATCAGTAAAATGGGGAGAATCTGTTGAATATAGCTAATGTGATAGAGCAAAGCAACCTACCAATTCTTAAACGAGGAAAATCACGACTTCCTTTGAAGTGATCAATAACACTTCTCATCCTGGATGACAGCAAAACAATAATCATAAACTGCAAGTCATTTTAGCAAGATTCTTCCATGTGCCCATTCATGAAAATTCATTATTTTTCAGACATTCATGGAGAAATCAATTTTTAGTCTAGTTAAAAAGCTCAAAACTAATAGGCATGTCCATGAAAAGGAAAAAGAAGAAAGGGTGAAAATGCCCTTTAGAAAGGGACACGTAATGTAATGCCAGGGTAGAGTTATATATCATTTTTAACAAAGAGACTGCAAGAAATAAAACATGAAATTACAAGTTTCAAATTAAACTGAATGGTCCTAGGTTTGAATCTGGAAATGGAAGAAGAATATTATGGCTGTCTGTTTATCTTGTTTTGGATGATTATGTTTCAGAACACCAAGACTGTGAACGGTAAGCATGAAGCCCATTGATATGATGCAAATTAAAACCAAAATTACAAAAGTTTATTCAATAAGAATAAGAGAGAAGAAAAGTACCCATTATGTCCTCCATGTCCACCTTTTGGCAATAGTCGCAACTTACCGAAAGGTAAATCTAAGTCATCATAAACCTGCAACAAAGACGTACGAGATCAAATATAGCATGACAAAAACATAGTGTGTAAGTCGATAGCAGAGAAACTCTATTGTTTTACCAAGAGTACTTGCTTCAGTGGGACCTTGTAGTATGAGACAATAGCACCAACCTAAAAAAGGAATCAGAATAACCAATCCCTGTCAGAGCTTTAGAAATATAGACTGAAGGAAAGACTTTGACCATATGTAAATGTACAGATCCTACCAGATTAGCTTACTTACAGACTCACCACTTGCATTCATGAAAGTTTGTGGTTTGGCAAGCATTACAGGAACATTTCCAATAAAACCTGGAATAAGCAAATCTTTAGTTTAGTGACTATCATTTGGGAAAATGGAATGAAAATTTACAAAATTTCACATATGATCTTCCTCAAAACTAGGATTTCAGAGAATGCAAATTATATTTAAATTATATACTTCTTAATTTTAGGCCCTTTATCAAAACTTTGTAGCTCCAGCCTCCATGGCCATAATGGGAATGAAAAACATGTTCCAACACCTGTTTGGATCCACAAAGGGCTTGTTTGGTTCACCTTGGGATGAGAATGAGTGTATGTCTAAGTTCAAAGAATCTTTATTCCAAGTTTATTTTTTAAATAATCAAATAGAATTTGTTGTTTGTATTAAAACAGGTGTTCTAAAAATATATATCTTTTCAATATAAATCGAAAATATTCAAACATACAAATATCAAAAAAAAATTTTGGATTCCTTGTGAACCAAACCAAAGTTTGGAATCCTATTCAAAAAATTGCATTTTGTTCCCAATTCCAGAGTGAATCAAATATGATCAAGGATGCTACAATGGTATAGGAGCTCCATTGTGAAGGTTCACATACTATATTTAACTTGTTTATCCCAACTCTTCATTGTTCTCTTTAAAAAAAAAAAGACAAAAAAAAAAAGAAAAGAAAAAAAGAAGATTTAACTGCTGACGGAAATTGAAAATAAACAATTGAACATAAATTTCCAATTATGTGAAAAAGTACATCTGAGAAAAAAGGCCAATCATATATCATTCTCCAGTGATGTTGAATATTAGCTAAACAAAAACAGAAAAATAAAATGCTAAAAGAACGATTTTTTTCCAATAGCAATTGCAATGGCAGTCCTTGATTCCTAAAGTTAAGGACAGCTTCTCCTTAAATATTCCAAATTACAACAACAGCTATACGATCAAATACTGACATGTTTCATCCAGCCAAAACAAATATGCTACATCCACTGAAGTTTCTTTTTTTCTTTTTCACAAGTTCATTCAAAGATTAAATACACTCATTTGTCAACGGAAAACTGGAGTCACTCTCTCTATTCCATCTTTTATGTAAATCAACATTTGCTCACCTAGGGGCAGCCTACGAAATAAAAGGTTTCTGTATCATTCAGAGGGATTAAATTTACCAATTGAGTGTATAAAAAACTTTAGCTATTTTGAACATGCATAACTCCAGCAAAGATGCAATCATTGCCATATTACTTTTCACCACAGTGAAAATAGAATGGAGATATGGCTAACATGAGACAATTTGCAGAAACAGAAACAGCTGACCAAGACAAAAAAGTTGATGCTCAGGGACTAATTTCTCCCAATTAAACAAAAATTTACAGAAAAGCAGGACAAGTTGCGGACTTCATTAAATTGAAATATTAGCTAAATGTAGAATAGCATAAAAAGCAATGGAGTTAGAATTGTAGAAACCTTTTCCAAACAGAGCTTTAAAGGAAACACTACTCATTGGTATTCCTTCAGAATCAGCTAAAGCATCCACCATCTCAAAACCCACCTATTTAAAAAATAATATACATCGGGCAGCTTTATATGTATATAAAAGCTTCATTTAAAAAAAATAAAATAAAATAGAGAAACAGAGAGAGAGAAAGTACATACATTATGGCGAGTGCCTTGATACTTTTTGCCAGGATTACCGAGGCCAACAATGAGCCAAGGCTGTTGCTTTGGCTTGGCCACAGGCTCATCGGACGCCGTATGGATGGTGGCGGCGGCAGGAGAACCGGCAGTAGAAGACAAAGGAGAAGCAGAAGAACAATGAATAGGGATTAGAGACATGCTTCTCTTCAAAGGAAAGAAGGAAACAGAAGAAGAACGGAGAGTATTATTGTTTTGGAATCGTAAGGTGGCGGAGATTGATGATGATATTGCAGCAGTACATGAACCTATTTTCATGGTTGGCTCAGTAATATAATTAGGGTTTTGAGGTAGAAGAGGGAAAAGGAGAGGAGGCGCTCTACCTCCACTGATCCTAAATCCTGACCGGAACTGAACTTGACCAGAGAAAATAATTGCAAAAGAAATAATTAAATTAAAAATCTCAACAATTATTTATATATAGTTTAATTAATTTTTTTAAAAAATTGAAAAAAAATGTCGCCGTTGCCGGGGATCGAACCCGGGTCACCCGCGTGACAGGCGGGTATACTCACCACTATACTACAACGACCTATTGTTTATAAACCCTAAACCAATCCTTACTAATTTATTTCCCCCTTTCCCTTGGCCGTCTCCTCAGGATGTGTTCATACTCGTCTCCGTTAACAGAAAATTATTCGTTTTTTTTTCCTCAATTCGAACATTATTAAGTTTTCTTTTTTTATTTTTTGGAATAAGAAAATATTCTGTCTTTTTTTTTTTTTTAATACAAATTGTACAAATTCTTTCTTTCTTTTTTTCAATTGAATATAACCCTTTTGGGCTGTAGGATTTATTTGCAAAAATCTAATTGAACTGTGTTTTACCAATATCTAATGTTAAAAACAAAAAGATGTAACTGCTAAAATTTGATTTTTTTTAAATCTAAAAAAAAAAAAACCACGTGATTTAATTTTAAAATAACTAAATTAATTAATTTAAAAGACAGTAAAGAAAAAACAAATGCATTCATTTTATCTTTGAATTATTCCAAGCTATTGAACTCAAAATTTATTGAAGCCCATCGCTCCAGTTCCGTGAATTATTGACTTGGATACTACAGTATTTTTAAGAAAATTTCACACATGACTTCCATTACTTACTGAATTAAATATTAATAATTTCTCCACATAATTTGTTCCAAACATAGACACGATACTATTTTGCCGGTTACAAACTTGCAATTACCTACTGATGTTCATGGAAAATACTTATTCTTGCTACACAGATCCATTTGTACACAGTCAATCCAATAAAGCAATTTAATACAAACGAGTCGGTATTATTTCACAGAAAGAGAAAAAAGAAAATAACAAATCGTGATTTTTTTTTTGAAAGAAATGCGAGTGAATTCATGCCCCTAAATTAAAAAATAAATTCCAGTGGCTATTTTCATTGCATCTTCAAACTTTGGCAAGACAAATACAAGTAAATTGAAAAATGTGTCATTTTGTTGTATGTACATTGTATAACCTTTCTATTGATAATTCAACACTAATTTCCATTTTATGAGCAAAAACCAGACAAAATTAGTACAGATGATAAACTAAAGTGCACGAGGTAGGTTCTTGTTTTTATCTCCGATACAGGGTTCCCCTTCGTTACTGCAAATAAAAAAAATGTACAGTTAAATAACTTACATAAAAACATTAAGATGAATATGCATACGAATAGAAGTCGATGAAAAATGATTTACCTAAGATAGCTCAGAGCTGACATCCGATAGAGACAGGCGAACACAAGGATATGTAACCCGATGGTGTAGAAAAATGCAAAAGTTCGAGCATACCTGCAATGGAGTAACTGTGTTAAGAAAAAAAAAAGAAAAAGAAGAACACTCTTTCATTAATGGGATAAAAAAAAGAAATATTAGTATATATTGGCCAGGAAGGCAATTCAAGTATAAGATATCTCAAGTTAAAGAAATTTTCAAGGGGGGGAAGAAAAGGTTAACATGTAGTAGATAATGCACATAGTCAATATTAACTTGCATTTAAAATAAATGAACATCAAATTCATGAAAAACTACTCAAAAGGAGCGGGGAAGAGAGAATCTGAGAGAGAAGAAAGAGGGTTAAGACAGAAATTTGAAAAAAAAGCTCGAAATTAAAATTTTATTCCGATAAATACTACTAATATATTAATTTTTTCAAATTCTGACCATAGGATACAATTGCAACAAACTTATCAAATTAGGGTACAGTATAGTGGTCAAAGAAAAGATTGATTTACAATTATAACATGCGCCAAAAAGTTTGGGATAATTTAGTCTATTAAATCTAAAAGATTAGTTCTTGAAAACATAAGCTAAGAAAAAGATGATCGATGAGGATAAACCATTAGTACAGAAAACAGACAAATTAAAGAAATAAAAATAAGAGCTGTGAAAGAGCAAGGGGTAACAAGAAAACGAGTGCAAAGGAGAATACAATAAGTAAATCTGGTTTTCAGTGAGGTTAGAGAGAGAGTGAGAGAGGGAGGGGGGAAGGGGGCATGGAGCTGGGAAGCCTTGATGAACATAAGAAGGCATTAGTGATGGGAAATAACTAGTAAGAGAAAAATTATGTGAGTAATGCATGTGAGTAATACATACATACATATATGTATGTATGTATGTATGTATAAATTAGGAATGGGAATGAATCATACTTGTTGCCCAGAAGGAAACGTCCGCTACTAAGTGTGATTCTGTCCCTGAAACCCAACTCCTTGTATCTTTGATCCCGTTCCTAATTAGAATTATGAGTTCAATTAGTACATGATAAAACCAAAATCAAAAACAGGATTTCCAGTAAGGCACTATTGAATATGCTGCATATAAACGTTCCAACATATGCATAAAATATGTCTCATAAAATTGATATTTTTAAGTTAATTTCCAACTGCTCCGTCAGCACTGTAGCACAAATCCTTTGGACAATGAATTCAGGATATTTTTTCCCTGAAAATTATATTGACAAACATATTTCTGATTTGTCAATAAATGTTTAACAAATAAAATCCCATGTAAGTTCACATAAAGGCAATCATCTCATCTGAGTACACAGATAAACTAAAAACATAATAATTTCGTATCAATAATTAAACTTACAGGCGAAACAAATCATTACCCATTAATACCGTCAGTCAATTGTGGGTGTTGGGAGTTGAATGAGTATTCTTAAACAAATACAGAAGACAGAACTCAAACCTAACAAATCAGATAGAATATACATTGTGATTTGTGTCCCTTCATTACATGAAATAAAGACCAGAAACATTTAAAAGAAATAATTAAGATTTGATAGGTCTCAAGAAACCACAATATGATCAAATATGCAAGCATGTAATCAATGAAAAACTAACTAGTTCACCAGATAAGAACAAGAATTGCCACCTTCTTAGAGAATGCTGCAAATGGATTTATATCATCTTCATATATCTTCTTGTACTTGGACTCAACATCCGAACTAAAGCCACTTTCCAGATCCTCTGCGTGCTGAAGATAATCAAATAACAGAAAAAATTATATATACAAATAAGCTTCAAAACATTTTAATAAAAAAGAAATACAAATGAAGACAGATATTAAAATGCAGAGAGGTACCTTCCTTGATCCCCTAGAAACTACTTTCTCAAGATTGTAATCCTGAACATAGCGTATCTTGCCATATAATTTCACATTATCAGCTTTTGTCTTCTCCAGCTCTGCCGTTAATATCCCTATCTTCTCCTTCAATTGTCTCACCTCCTACAATTGTTTAAGAATTCTCACATACTGAGTTATGGTCTTCTAGTGATAAGAATAATGCATTTACTTGTAATGCGTTAGACAGAAACTAAAATATATGTAAAAAAAAAAAAAACTTACTTCTTCCGTCTCTCGTAAACGTGTCCTGAATCGATCTCGCTGACTGCAGATAACCTTAAGCATAGAGCTCTGGTCTTGATCTGATGATACATGTTTCTGTTCTGCATTCTGCAACCAAAAACAATTATCAATAAAAAATAAAGCAAATAATATGTAAAAATACCCAACTCATTGAACTTCTCCTTGCATTCATCTGTCAGGGTTTCCACACTTTCAAGGGACTTATTGTTCCTCACTCAGCAAATTATTAAGAGAATGTTCCTGAAGATTAAGAAAGGGATAATTTTACTAATGCCAGGCCATAAATTCTAACATGAAAACTTCATTTATGCGCCAGTGTGGATTCTCTATTCTAAACAAGGCAATAGGGCCACTTAAGACAAAGGAGGGCAGAAATTGTTCAGCAAGCTGATGCAATTGGTGCTTGCTACATGTGGAAATGGCAAGTGGATGAATTTTTCTCTTCAAAAGCTGATCTTCTGTTGACGAATTCCGCTTTTCCCCTTTTGTAAATTTATATCTGAATCCTAAACCTTTAAATATAAATCTAGACAAGTATTACAAGGACTTGCCTTACATCAGTGCTTAATGACTAAAAGTAACAGTGTCATGGCCTAGACATTCCATTATTGCCACAAGACCATGTCAATGAGCATTGACTGAAGAACGTTAATTTTCATTGTGAAGCATGTATTTCTGGAGATTACATGGTCGAATGAGACAAGTACCTCAGATAACTCGACCCCTCCAGCCTCTGAAAGATCCCAATCATCAAATAGACCACCTTTTCGATCTTTAGAACTATACCCCTGCATCAGAGGAAAAACATAAGTAGTTTGGAGAGTTTTTCTACATCTTTTGGGCAGGGCATTTGGCATGGGGAGGAAAATCACAGCTTATAACCAAATAAACCTGAATAACTGTTCTAGCCAATAAGAACAATGTAACAAGTACTAAAGAGTTGCCAAATACCAGACATGTAATATGAAGTGAGAGCTTTAGCATTCAATCATTTGTTTATTATCTTTCTGCGGGATGATCAATTACTTATCATTGAATGCAGTCAATAAATTATGTCCTAAACTAGAATGATTGTGAACTTGATAATGACATATTAATGAACATTTCTAACTCTGAATAACCAAGTAAAAGTATCCAAGCATCTGCAAGAGTCACGGTGGGTTAAGTTGAAGCATGCATAGCAATGAAGTTATTGGACATGGCATTTCAAAACATTTATAGCCATTGATCCGAACCTTCAATATATCATCTTCCAACTTTTGTATCAACTTTTGTTGTTCATTAACTTTTGCAGTAAGCTCTACAATCTTTCCCTCAGCGGTTTCCAGCAAAGATACTTTCTCAGAAAGTTTAACCTGAAAGCAGAAAAAATTTTAAATTATAACAGATGAGAAATAATTATATTATAGATGCACTGGCCCTTAACAACTTCTAAATATTCCCAACATAACCCTGAGCTTGGCTTTGGTGGTAACAGGGGTGAGGTTGTCAAGGACCAATTTAACAGGTGTCAATCTAAGTGTATTCCCTATTCAAATCTCACTGATAAACCAGAATACAAATAACATTTAGTTGGCATTGCATTACTGGTAAAAACAAAACAAAATACCTTTTCTGTTGGGTGTGATTTGTTGGACATAGATCCAAATTTTCACTTTGTTTGATTCCTTAGAATTTGTTTTTACCATTACTGGTGCTATCAAGATACCACTATGTTGTGATATCTTATTTGTCTCTCCTGGAAAAATGGAAATCGCCAGAAAAGTTTTTGAGTTCCATTTTTCTTTTTTCTCTCCACTCGGACCAACCTGCCCACTCCACTTCTTGTATTTAAAGCGATTTGTGTATCTACTCTAATGATACTATTGTTCCATAGCATTAGGGAGACTTCCTTCATCTCAACTTTGACATGAATTTAGTAAGTATAGCAAGGAAAAAGAATAAAATAAAACATGATAACAGAAAAAGACCTCCACAAAATAATGAAAGAAGAATATAATTCAGATCTTACTTTATACCTTCAATTGTGTGAGTTCATGTTCCATTTTTCGGTTCTTATCGAGAAGAAGATACTCCATTTTGCTCATCTCTTCCCCGCTAGTAGCTGCTTCCCAATCTTCAGCCTCAATGGAATTGTAGCCCACTGCCTATAACATATAACGGTGACACTATTACTAAAGATGCACAAAAATATTGCAAAGTGCCGAGGCAGTGATGCATGTAATATTGAGATAAAAAGGATGAAGAAACTAAATCCTAAAAAAAAACAAGCAGTTCTGAATTTTGTCCAAGTCCACCAGCCAACTAGAAAAATTATGGCCAAAGTATAGATAAAGAAATATTGGAAATTAAAAACAGACGAAGAAGAAAGGCCTATCATCAGTTTGGTCTTTGGAGACAAGGACGTTAGAATTTTATTTTCCTTTTAATATCCATAAATACCTGAAAATGCAGACCTGCCTACATGTCTTTGAGACACTGTTAAATCTTAAAGGCCTCAGAAATCAAATAACATGTAAGGGAAGTTTGATCCTACCCATGTAAAATAACATGAACAGAACTCTTAAAGACGTAAAAGTTCCTTCTTCTAAAACGACTAAAAACTTTATAATCAAAAGCTGAGCTGCAGATGGCTCGGATGCAGATTCTCACAGTAGCAACCAAACGAACAGAGGAGTCATATTGTTTCTTTTCTCTATTTTTCAAATTCTTATATTAGATCAATAAGCAACCTACAAACCACTTGAACATATGAGAAAGCTTGATTGAATATTGTAAAAGTTCAGTAACACTTACAAGGCTAGAACCGAATTTAGTGTTAGGAATACTCTTGAATGTAATGGAATTACCTGCAAAATTTTCACTTTTTTACGCAAATCCTCAACTAGCTTTGCAGTTGGCCTTGCATGAAGCTCTTTTCTCATCTCCTCAAGAGCAAGTTCCTGGATGCACAAACAGAGGGATAGAAGCAATTAACAACCAAAAGAAAAAAAGAGTATGCAAATGATAATGTTGGTCACACATATCACACATCACTAATGCATCAAAATATTTCTCTTCCTATTTGTTTCCCAATATCCTCAGTCATATACAGTTACAAAGCACTCAATCTTTTTCTAAATCAGCAGGCTAAATATTGCAAATCTCCATGAATTCCATTGCTTTTGCACCTATATAACTTGAGTAGACCTAGAACTCAAACCAAACGTTGAAGTGACCGAGAGGAAACTTTAATTTAAAAGAACTTCATTCTGCATTGGACTAGATAATCGATAGCCATGCGCAAAACAAAAGCTAGAAACTAGTCACTAGGTAATGACCATCAAGAAACATCTTATAATACAGGCGGCATGGTTCCTCGTTTTAAGAATCATAAAGTAAAAGAATTCAATTAGAATTAAAAATAAATATAAGAAATGAACTTATATTTATATAAATTTTCAAAGTATTAAAGGAGCACTATGGCAACAAAAGTATCATACCTTCTCATTGAGTACCATGTTCAACTTCTTAATCTCATTTACGTGCTGTTCCCGCTCATTCGTCAAGGTGGCTTCAATATTGCGGAGTTCCATGTTAAGTTCAGAAATAACCTTCTCTTTGGAAATCAAAGAATTCTCAAGGACACTATTTGAATCTGCACTGTCACTACAAGCACAGCAATGCAGAATGATCTCAGAACATTAACCTAATACAACACCTCATGGAAGAAAATGATTACTGGCAGAACTGAAGATCAGATCTTTAGTTACCATGGTAAATTAGGTAGAACATAAGTAATAATAATGATAGAGTACCTCACCTTTTCTTATTTCCTGTATCTTCGTTTGCTGATTGTAACTGAGAACGGAGAAGACCCTGCAGATTTGCAAGTAAAATTAGGATCACTAAACAGAAATAAGCCAGTCTTTGCTACCCTTGCTATGAAAACAAAAATATGATCAACACTAAGAAGAGATGAACCCAAAAAAAAAAAAAAAAAACTCTTTCACTGTTTTTTTACCTTTTCTCCCAGCTTAAATTATAGATATGTAACACCCAACTGAGAATTTAGATTACCAAGGAACTAATATAGACACTGATTAGACCAGAGTGCCAAAAAATAATGCCCCATACAATGTGGACTACAGGGTGATGGTGGGGGGAAAAGACAAATAAATGTTTTATAACTAATTAATGCGATATATATATTTTTTTATCCTGGGATATAGAATTCAGCATCCATTGCTGGAAGAAAATAGCCATAAAGACAAGTAAAAATGGATGAATGACTGCTCAGTCTCATCTCTTTAAGTAAAAATTTGCATATATCAACTGTAACTATGAAGATAATAAGAATAATAACAGAAGAAGGGTGAACTAGTGCAGCATTCTGCATTTGTGGGCAAGATAATAAGAACAATATAGAACAAACATTCTTTGTGATTAAAATAGAAACAAAGTGACCAAATATCACAAACTAAAATCTTATTAAAACTATGATAATAATGTTTACCTTATGACACAAAGAAAAAGGGTTAAATACTTTGGTCAATGCAATTAAATTTGATCAACTAACCAATGCAGAAGCTTTTTTGACAAATAAAAATTATCACTGCTCAGATTTGAAGGCAGGATAATGATACTATCCATTAAGGACAAATAATCCTTATATGTAAAACTTTATACACTTCAGTGGAGCCTAACTAGACAGTGGTCTTTGATAAAACTCTACAAACTTAATTGATTCGACAATCCACAATCGAACGTGAAGGAACAATTCATTCTTAGCATATTTAATTGTTGACAGCAGTGCAAACCAGCAAATTAATAATCCTTAAACAACACAAGCAGGTGGTCTAACATGAAAAGGCAAGAAATAGAAGGGGAAGCAGCTAAACTGATGCAAGTTTTGAATAAGTGGCCCATGGAAGGGATCCGAGACAAGTATGATTAACCAAATGTTAAACTGACCTTCTCTCTCTCAAGGCTAAGAAGCCGCGTCTGAGCCCTTTCCACTTCATCCATCAGAAGATTGACTTCTGATTGCTTTGCGGCCCTTTCTTCCTCTGACAACATAAAAAGATGGAAAAGAAAAAGCATAACAAAAATTGAGAGTACATCCATCCAAGATGAAAATGTATAAAATTTGCTATTCTTAAAAATAAGTGATGGAAGCTGAAATAAGAGTTTCTTGGAACAATTTTATGGATGTGATAAATTACTTAACATACTTATGACATGACATGGAATTAATATATCACCTGATTGAGCACGGACTTCAAACAATTGGCTTTGTGCAAGTTCATGCAATTTCTGCATATTGGCAACACTTTCTTCAGCATGTCGTAACTGATCTTGCAAAGATTGCTCCCTGATGAGAAAAGGTCAGACTTCAGGATTTGGGGAAATGCAATAAAAAGTTCAACCCACATCAATGCACAAGAAGAACCTATTCTTCAGAGAAATTTCTCATGATTTATCAGCAGATACCTTTCTTTCAAAAGTTCCAGAGTTTTCTGGTTCTCTTCAGCCAAACTACGTTGCTTCATCTCCACTATTTCCTTCACCTTTTCCTCCATCTGAAATGAAAATCAGAAAGTATGTAAACCATTCTTATCATCTCAACATGAACCAAAGGGCTTACTCATTATAGCTCACATCTACCACGTAATCAAATTCAAAACCCAATGAGTTTGTCAACCAATTTAAGCTAAAGATATTAGTCAACATTTTGTCAATTGTTAATCAGAGAATGAAATATTGATGCCTTAAACTCAGAGGACTAAAAATTGCATAAGAAAAAACTGATCAAACAGATGACTCTAAAGTTTGTGTGAAAGAAAGCTCAACATGCCTCCCAACACTCCTAAACCAAACAAAAAAACGATATTAAAAAAAAGAAAAGAAAAGAAAAGAACAAGAAAGCAAATATCACTTTAACATTGCAGCTCTGCAGTCTACAGAAGCTCAAGTAACTGACACTGGCAGCTATAGCACAACAACTATAAAATCTCACATCTCATTGTTCCTGCTCTGTCCAGAGCTTACCTGTTGCTCCAATTGACGATTACGCTCTTCAAGTCTTCTTATTGTTGCTTGCTGATTCTTTAAGTGAGTTGCTTCTGTCCTGAACTCCTCAAGCTCAACTTTCATCTTCCGGTTCTCAGATTCTAATTCAGACAATTTCAGATCTTGCTCCTGCATAGAAGAAAAGCATGTATAGGAGATTAGATCAACACTAATGCTTAACAGAAGTGTAAAGGAACAAGTCCAAATATTTATGATTTACCACCTATGTTTATGATTTAGCCGAAGCAAAGAGCTAACAAAAAGTACTTGTTCCCAAAATGGTTGCTTGCACCTTGGGGCCTATACACTGGGAGGAAAAAAAAAATCTCCACCTCATTTCCGTCCTATGTGCGAACTCCTCCAGCACCCACTAATCATTTAAAACTTCACTTTCTTGGATAGCATTCACTTGAGATATGCTCTAAATTCTAAAGAGTTGAAAACTTTCATTTTGGGCAGCTTATTATAATAATTGAAACTCATACCCTTATTACATTGGACTTTACGAGTGGGCAAATGATAAATCCTATTAAGCATACGAGTACATAACACAAAATGAGTGCTCAGCAAATGTTGACCTCAGTTTGAGAGAAGGAGAAACAGGCAAAAAAAAAAAAAAAAATAAAAAAATAATTCTCAATTTCCATGGGAAGTATACAGCGAATGTCCTGATTGTTTTCACAAGAGTGGACCCAACTACTAATTTTCGAAATGTACCATGCCTGAAGTTCAATGTTAACGTTGATCTTTGCGGATTAAATTATCAAGAGGACAATATTGGGGTATCAAAGCAATTTCATAACTTCACAATTACTGTCATATCATATACACTACATTCTTCGAATGGAATTGCTGCAAATTTAGCTTCACTTTTAAGACTAAATATAGTGTCATGGTAATCAACACCAATTGAATCATAGAAATTAGGAAAATTAATTAGAAATGTATTTTTTCAGGCTATTACTAGAGTGATAAATAAGTAAGCACCTCTCCAGGGAATAAACAAAACAAGGTAAGAAGAAGCTAGGTTAAAATTAAAAGTGGCTTTATCTTATTGAATAAATCTGCATAAATCCCACTCATTATATCCACCAGTCCCAGTAGACCAGTATAACCATTTAGCATATTACTTGGAGAATGCAGAGGACCTAATTGGATAAAGATATTTCGTCAGAAAATTGCCTTGCGCAGATTAGCTCACATGCTATTGGCCATGCCAAAACATCCTGGATCTAATACAGTCAGCTATATGACATGAAAGGACTAGTGCGAGGGTATATGTTATTGAGAGCAAGCCCACAGCTGATTCATAAAGTTATTTTAATAGAAGGAAGCATACTATTTGTAGAAATTCATAATTTACATAGTAATGTAATCCAATAAAACATCAGAATGGAATAGGCTGGTGCTTACAGCAATTGAAGCAAGAGTTGGATAAGGATCTGGAGCCTCATAAAGCTTCTGATATATATTCAGAAAAGCATTTTCCCCATATTTTGCTCTCTTTGTAAGATTATCAACTTCTTCTTGGTAGCCCTTAAGTAAAGAATTAAACAAACTTAACTTTTCCTCTGCTGAAGCCTTTTTGAAATCTGTTAACAGAACAAAGTTAAAAAAAATGCAAGTGTTAAGCAATCAGACTTTAACTTGTGCAAACACAGTTCAGAAAAATAAAGAACAAAAGAGAAGAGAATGCCAAAGTTCCCTTCAATTACTCCATTCTCAAATAAATGGGAAAAAGAATTATATTTGACAAAGTAAGTTCCACGTATAATTTCACTTCTCTTCCTGCTTCCCTCGTTTTCTCCTTTTCCATTAATCAATAGAATGCTTGCCTTATTTTTAGTATAAATAATACCTCTAGTGCTTTCTGCAAGCTTCCGCCTGTTTTTCTGACTATTCTCCTGATTTTCAGCTATCCTCAGCCCTTGTTCATCCAACACACTTTTCTCCTTCTCCAAATCAAATTCTGCAAAGGAAAGAGAAAAGAAGATAAGGTTTCAAGGAGAAAAAATAGGAAGATTTTGAATACCACAATGTACTCATTCCAAAATACTTTCCTAATTTGTACCTATGCAAAAAAGAGAAAAATTTGACTACCAAAATGCAGCTTTCCACATGCAAGGAGCTTATGATAAAAAAATGCCATATAATGCAAAAGAAATTAACTTTTTTCAAATAATGCCTAAATAAAAAATGTGTATGGAATTGCAAAGTTTCTTTAATCTATATCCACGTCCACTATGCCACAATTGTTTTCCTTCTAAGTCCTACTGTCATTTTCACATGTTTTTTAACATCATATAGAGATATAAATTAAATACAATAAGAACTCTGGAAAAAACAAAATGATGAAAAAGCAAGAGAAGGTTACGAAACTGATCCTGTAACAAAGCCATATGAATCATGGAGATTTTCAGCAAATGCCAAACAGAATCTCGCCTCCTTTATTCTTAAAAACAAAACAGAAAGTTCCAGCCGCAGTAGCACAGACTTTGCAGCAATTTCTTATATAGTTTGAAAAAAATCCAATGACATCTCTACTATAGTCTTACTAGAGTAGAGTCAACAGGTTATCTTGGCATTTTCAACTTCTCTATTCTTAATAGAAGTTACTCAGTATTTGACAAATGTATGAAGCAAGCTCCTGTTATTTCTTTAGCAATGTCAATATGCTACATAAATCAACATTGAACCATCCAATATTTCGACGCCTATAATTGTTTCCGGTTGACAAAAAATGTAGATAGCTAAACAGTATTACTCCAACAAGTAACATTAGCCATTGATGAATTAATTCAAAAGAAACCTAGCACAAACAGTATAGAAAAATTTGAAGTTTAAGCAGATATGCTGCACTTGAAACCATTATGATTAAACATCAATTCAAGTGTACTTCTACTCCAAATTCTAAAGTAAAAAAAAAAAAAAAAATTCAGAGGATGGAACATAAAATTTACTGAACAAGAATTCAATGAATATAGAATCAAATGCAACAAATTCAAACTAGAAACCTAACCAATTCAAAAAAAAAAAAAAAAAAAAAAAAAAAAAATATAGAATCAAATGCAAACAAATTCAAACTAGAACACATAACCAATTCAAAAAAAAAAAAAAAAAAAAAAAAAAAAGACCAACTATGCAAATTGTTCATGTTAGCATAAAACCTATGATTCAACCTAAAAAATTTGAAGTTGAACTAGGAGTAGAGATATTAAGCGATCACCTTTCCAGAAATTGGAGACGACGAGAATGGGAGAAGAGGTCGGGTGGTTCGATATGTCCCTGTCGGATCCTCCTTGCGGAGCCTCCATATTGTGGAGAATTCGGATCTCTGTGCTATTGCTTTTGTGTGTATGATTTGATTCAGCTCTGTTTTCTTGCTTTAACTGCAATTCAAGGCGCCAAATAGTGATCAAAGATAGATCTGAGAAACGATTTTTTGGATTTTTGAGCTGTGTATTGTCCGTTACATAGAATTATATGGTTGTATATCTGATTTCGGTGAAATTCCATGTTTGTAATTTTCAATTTCATTTCATGGATCGTGCTAAAAAAAAAAAAAAAAAAAAAAAAAAAAAAAAAAAAAAAAAAAAGAAAAATGGTGCATTTGAGTTTGTAGATGTAGCTGCAGTATGGGCCTTGTAGATTTTTAGGCCCAACCCGAACGCGAAGGAGTGAAGGTAGCTCTTTGATCTTTGTAATGGGCTAGAATCAGCAATCTCCAGGCAACATTCCTATTTGTTTTTCTTCCTATTCTATTATTTATTTATTTATAGAGAAAAAAAGACTATACAAAATATTAAACAAATCAAAAGTTCTTTTTCGTTTTCCAATACTTATAATAGGTTTACTGCCGTTGGGTGTGATAGTGTCGCCATGATTTATAGGCAAGATGAGCTGATAGAAGGTTGCGCTTCAATTTGTGACGTTCAGAAAAAAAAGTGAATGTCGCGGGATAAATTGTTGCCAAACCCCTTTCAAAAAAAAAAAAAAAAAAAAAAAAAAAAAAAAAAAAAAAAAAAAAAAAAAATTGTTGCCAAACGACAATCTCTCCTTACTTGACGTACATTAATGTGTCGTTTAGAAGTAGCACAGAAAAGGATTCATATGGATATGCGAGAGCTTTTCTGGTTGAAAAAGAATGGTTGAATTCTAATATCACAGAGATTTATGGGTTAATGGAGGTTCCTACGGTCTTGGAATGGAATGTTGGTGATGGGATTCGGATCTGCAAGCCTTACATTGGAGGAAATTCAACTAATGCTTGTGGAGACAATGCTTTTTGTTCGACGAAAATAGGTGCAAATTGTCAATGTTTTTGTAATGAGGGTTATGAAGGCAATCCATACCTTTCTTGTCAAGGTAGATCTTATTTATTTTTTTATTTTTATTTTTTGAAAATTAATCTTATTCACTAGCTTTTTAATCCAACTTAAAACAAACTCTTCGGTATAGTTTTAGCATCAGCGGTTTCTTTGTATAAGATTGTTTGGTAAAATTAGTTATTTTTATTATCTCGTTGCATGAGTTAATTTTATGTAAAACGCTATATTACTTCAATCTTTAAAAATTAATTCAAACGTTATTACCGAATAATATAAAAATATTGAACATATCGCACAACCTTATAAAAAATAGCATTTAACATTTCGACCGTCAACACGCTAAAAGTTACTTAAAAAGTTTTTACTGAATACAACCTTAAACATATTTAGCTCAGTTTGTTTCTGTAAAATAAGTTATAGGAAAATATTTTCTAAACTTTTCCATTGTTTGGAGGCATTCAAGAAAATAAGTAAACGGAAAATATTTTTTTGGTTAAAGAAAAATTAAGTCATTTTTAAGGAAAATAACCTCTTATTTTCTCAAGAATGTAAAATATTTTTCAGATTTTGACAAACTTATTATAACTTTATAAATTTATATTTTTTTAATTTATTAATCATTGGTAGTCACTACTGAAACTAACCGCCACCGGTCACCGGCGACTCTCATAATTTACCTTTTTTTTTTATTATTTTCATATTGAAAAAGAAATTTTAGAAAACGAAATTTATTATTATTATTATTATTATTATTATTATGAGTAAAAAATTTAATATTTTTAACTAATTTTCAATATTGCAACCAAATAATGGAAAATAAGTTATTTGAAAAATATTTTTCAAAAAAACACATTTTTTTAGAAAATATTTTTCAAAAATAAATTATTTTCCAGAAACAAACAAAGTTTTAGTAAATTGAAATATATTTATCACAAGCTAACTTGTCAATATTGAAATTGTTAAAAAAAAAAAGGATGTTAATGCGGATGAGATAATTATTACGGACTTGGTCTTAGAACTAATGAAGCTTTGGTCTAGCGGCTAAAATGGATGTATTTAGGACAAAATATCCACAATCATTAATGAATTGATTGATGTAGTGTGTATTATAATTTATATTTACTATTATATATAATAATATTTCCTATTAAAAAAGAAAAGAACTTGGTGTCGTAAAAGCTCTAAGAATTAACAATCAATGTTTGTGCTTTGTAGGATGGCAGAAAAATATGATGAACAAAGCAATGCAAAATCCTCAAGTTGCTATGATGCCTCCAATGAACCAAAAGATGATGCCCTAGTCCTTGTTTTATAATTTAATTTCTGTAAGAAAATATTTCTTGGTTCTTTCTTTAATCTGTCCATTCATATGCCGAACTAATTCAATAAAATTATTTGGTGCAAATGAATATATCAATATTTTTTTTCACGGAATAAATGAACAAAATAGTAACCTAAAACCTTTATAGGAAATGAAATCACATATTTAAGTAATCAAAACTTGGTTCTCTCTATCTCATAATGATCTACAACTATAAAAATTCTTTTCAATGCTGAATTTAGTAAAAAATGGATATTATGGAATACAAAAATCAAGGCTCGAAAACCGATCCCCACATTATATTTGGGGTTTAATTTTGAATGCTCAAATCATACACAAAATTCTATAGGTTCAAGCAAGTTGAATTTACAACATCAACATAAAAGCACTCCCCATCACTACAACATTACAAACCATATAATACGAGGTCAGATGTTGATAGTTGCTTCCCATAATCTTAAAACTCCATTTCTACCACCACTGCATATCCGTTTCCGTTCGAGGTCAGAGGCCACACATCTCACCTGAATGCCAAAAGCCAAGTCGAAACAAGACCATGAAAAAAGCAGCTTAAGACGATGTTTGATAACACCATTATGTAAAATTATAATTTTTAGCGATTACTAATGTTAGTTGTTTGATAATGCTTATCTACACATCATTAAAGTTAAAAATTGACTTGAAATAACAGGTCAAATCTTTTTACATAAATTATGATAAATCATTAGGCTCTTAAACAACTTTGCAACTTAAAGAACTTTCTGAACTTGCAGTGTTAATGCTTTAAAAATCAACTCTCAAATTTTCTTAATTAATTTTCAATTTACCAAATACTACTTAAAATCATTTATTAGCATGGAACGGTAAAATAAAAATAATCAACAGAAATGAGTTACCCAGTATGGAAAAGGAACAGTTAGGCATGGTTATTAGTAACGAGAACGGCATTCAGATGGTTTTAAATTGAAGTCAATTTTTTATGAAATTTCAATGAACAAACAGCAAACAATACAGTGATTGAAAGTAAAAATGGAGAGAACCTATGCACCATTGGTGATGACAGCAAAATGAGAAAGTAACATAGGCAAGCAAAAAAGAAAGAGATTCATACCATAGCAACTGTCTTTTGTGGGGTTCTGTAAAGCTGCCAACCAGACATTTTTGAGCCGGGGCTAGAGAGGCCACCAAGTCGCTCTTGAGGTCTTTGGAACAGAGACATGGAATTGTCAGCTGCTCCAATTCCCAACCAATGTTCACCAGCATTAATAGATAATATGGCAGCAGAATGGATGGTTACATTCTTCACACATCTTATACCTCCTGAAACATGCATAACGAATGCCATTAGTGACACTATGAGGCAGAGTGAGGGATTAAATACAGTTGGAAAAAGAAAAACTAAACAACAAATCATTTATTTGCCATATCATGTGGGAACACGGAAGCAACCTGCATCAAACTGATATCCACAAACACAGGAAGAGTAATTCTGAAAACATGATTGAAGATGAGCAACAAGCCTTTATTTGAGCAACTTGCAACGTTTGCACAGATATAAGACTACAAGCCCTTCTGGCGGGAAATGCAAGTGCCTACTAACCTTAGCTAAATATATATGTAAAATACATCTATCAATATATTTATTGACATACACAGTAAAATAAGGTGAAAGTAAACAAATGGCTATTTTAATAGAATGACAAAAAAGGAGTTTACATCTTGAAGGATTCAGTAACATCCTGTACAACTCTTCCATAGAAAAACAATCACACAAAACAAAATAAAAAAGTAATGCCCTCCAATCAAGTTTTATATCCTAATGGCATATGATGTACTGCAGCAATTTTCATAGCATTGCCTGACTAAAATAATTAAATACATAGTAAATAAAAGAAAACTTTTAAAAAAGCCAAACTTCTATCACATTAGAAAAACCAAATAAGAAATTTCAGTTATCAAGAAGGTATTACTGCTCTTACCTTCCTCATTTTCCCAAAATCGGAGTAGCCCATCAGTTGAACCTGAAAAACATTTCATATGTCAGTACGCATCTCAAACTATTCACATTTCCCTTTTTATCTTTTACTTCTTCATAAATCAACAGAAACAATTTCTCCTTGTCCATAAGGGAGTTATTAGCCTGAGGATTCAACCCCCAAGAACTCAACTCTCTCAAGCACTTGTCCTTAGGTAAACTACCAATGGGCCAAAATGGCACTTGAGGTGAAGTCCTTGCATATGAGAAAAGATACCAAATAGTATGACTGGACAAAAAATAAAATGTCATGCATAGCCAACCTGTTATTATTCCTCTGTCTGAAATGGAATACTCAACACATAAGATTGGACCAGCATGGCAGGCTAGAACAGCATCACATGTTCCTCGTGAAACTGACCACATTCTCGCTGTCCAATCATCACTTCCAGTAACCAGTGTGTCTCCTACCATTCTAATTGATCTGTAATATGGACATATAGCTTAAGACAGCAAATTGACATCATCAACACTGAAGAAATGAGAAAAATTATACACTTCTTAACTTACCGAATCCATTTTGTATGCCCTAACAGCTTGTGCATTTGGCGACCAGCACGGATGTCCCAAATGTTTGCAACCCTGGTGATACAAATGTTGATCACATAAGCTTTTAGGTAATCAATTACAAATATATCTTTAGAAATTTATAGCGGTAAATTAAATTTTAAGTTTTGAAGTACTTACGCATCTCTACCAGCAGCTGCCAAGATTCCAGTGGAATCATCGTACTCCATGCATAGAACTGCACTAGAGCAACGGCCAACTGTTGCTACACAGGTATCAGTTCGAACATCCCACATCTTCACAGTTCCATCATGGGCCGAAGTAAGAACACGTTCGCCTGACAGCATACGGACACAGCTGACCTACAAGATTTAGAAAACAAGGGTTAGATCTATTAAGTACATATTTATTTTTGAGTCTTCACCTCAGCTGCCTACAGATAAAAAATTTTTAGAATATTTCAATATTTTCTACACGTGCATGCAATAAATAAAGTTTCAAGAAGGAATTAACAAAAAAATTACCTAAAGAATAAGAAAGTGAGCAACAGGAAATGTAAAGCAGAAAGAGGAAATATATAAGGAAAACAAAAAAGAAAGGAAATGGGGAAGAAAAATTACAATTCTCCTAAATATGGTTATAAACCTGTAAAAACCATCCATAAGAAATGCACGAGTAGACTGAGAGCAATCTTCTCATATTAACTATTATATTAACAATGTATGTAATTTGGCAACAGGCTTTCTCTAGTTGTATACTCATCAACAAATATAGCAAGGGTGTTGAATGAGCAAACCTGACCATCATGGCCCTTCAGCTCTTCTAAAAGCTGAGCTGTTTGCTTATCCCAAACAATAACAGACTGATCATCAGATCCTGAAACCACCTTTGCTCGATCAGAACTTATAGCACGAACAGTTCTGCAAAGGTTCCCAAAGAGGGAAGGAGAAAAAGTAGTAATTGAGGTAATTTCAAGCAAGAGAAAGAACAAATGAGAAGCATGGTCATCAGTATATAGTGACTTTCATATAACATTAACATGAAATGAACTAAGATACCTTGAATGCCCTTTCAAAGTTGCACGAAGTTCAGAACCACGAATACTGGGATCCCATATCTTAACCTGTATAATTTGTTTACAAACAAATAAGGCTAGCAATAATACAACAATGTTCGTCCAAAGATTCAGCCTTAGAAATCAGAAACTTGATACGCATTAGCTTGTCCTAACATATGCATATCAACTTCTGACTTGTGAAAGAAACATTCAAAGTATCTAATGCAGATGCAATGAGCTTGAGAACAAAGGTCCCACATATTTAGTGGTGCAGAATTTCCACGAATAAATCTTACCAGAATGTATTATACTTGAAAAAGATTTAATCACAGAGACAAATTTACCATACAATCAGTGCTTCCACTGATAAAAAAGCCTGCATCCTCACGGTCGCCCACCAGATCCCACACCTCCCTTCTTGTTACGCAATGCAAAGCAGTAATAGCACCACTGTGACCCCTAAGTACACGAACATTAGTCTGAATTTTCTTTTGCCCAGTAGCAGATGAATCTTGTTTTCGAGGAGTCCCATTCTCGTTTATCTCAGTTGATTTACGACCACGGGCAAAAGAATTTACCCTTGATGAGTCCCTGCTGAACATGCTTTGAACCCAGCTCCTGCCAACACCAGTGGCCTCAGCAGGTTGCTGATTCTCATCAGTAACATCCATAGGACGGGGGGAGGACAATCCATGAGATAACATGGACAAAGATTGTGCCTTAACAGATGAGATTCCCCAGTAACCAATACGGAGTTGCTGTGCATGTGATAAAAATCCTCTAAGTTTTATCTGAAATACAATCAAAGTAAAATTCAGTTGAATTAGATTGCAGGAGCAGGGAATCAAAAAGTAGGCAGGATATTAATTACAATTATAAATATTTATGAGAACAATTTAAATCTTTCTCAAAACCCAGGCTCATGAGAAACGTAGCATTGATGAAACAATAAATTGAGAAATAGGAATCAGGAGAAGCAGAAGCAAAGAACCCAAGAAAATAAAAAATTACAAGCATTGCTTAAGTAGAAATGTGGCAGTGTGTGCACGTGTGTGTGTGTACAAGTGTGATATTGAAAGCCTAAAGCATAGAGTTATTCCATCATTGGACAGGTTACATTCAGAGTACGGACAAAATAATCATCAAATGACATAAGAACAAGGATTCAGCTGGAAATCCCCTCTTATCCAGACACTGAAACATACTTTCCCATGATCATACACATGCGAATTGAAATAGATTTTGTGCTAATATATCCATAAATAGTTAAACAATTGCATAATACACTGTGAAAAAAAAAAAGGTTTGCTGACAGAAATCTAGCAAATGGGTCTCTCCTAAGCTAGATGGTCAACGAAAGGGATATACTATCATCATCGGACCAATTCTTCATCAAATTATTCATAAATGAAAATAATCGGGAAAATTTTCCAAGAGAGAGTTTCAGACAACCTTCCTCATTACTGCATAGTACGCAGATTTGAGAAAGCACTGGAAATTACTTTCCAGATTTTGTATCTTGTGGTCCGGTTAGCAACTACCTTGTGGCCCATTAAGCAGCTTAATTTTATATATAATCCACTAAATTGCTAAAAGTTTACTCCATATTTACTTGTTTACTGGACTTTTTGTATTTGCCGTAGGATTTGGGTTCTTGTATAGGATTTCTAGCAAATCTAGGATTTGGATCCTTACATGTTGTTGAGTCTTAATGTTTAGAGAGAAAATTTTATTCTTATTTCTCTTGATGATAATCTACACACACACACACAAGTATTCTATAATCCTAGTATAGGAAGATTACACAGATACGGAATTTCATAAAATAGGAAGTAACTCTAGTCAACAGAAGTTTATCAAATAAAACAGCATAGAGATTGAATAATTAAAGACAAAAGAAAGTAAAAATCTCACAACCCGAACCCCAAACACAGAAATTGACCTGGTTGAAAATCTAGAAAAACCTGCATAGTTAGACTGAAGAAGAGCCAGGAACAGGAGGATGCTACTACAAACAATTAAAAATGAACTTGGCCATAATCAAACACTAACTTAAGAGAAGTTGCTTACAAGTTGCTTGTATCCAATATTATTCCTCTCTGCCAAAGTCTCAACCATATACCAAGCATCAGTATCAGGAAGTCCCAATCCAGCCTTGACAATGAGATAAAAAAAAGTCATGTTTTGTAGGAAAATAAAACAGGTGACATAGGAAAAAGTGTAAGACAAAGAACACCACCATGTGAGATGCCACCAGAATTAGTTGCGTAGCAACTAAAGCTGCATAATTGGTCGACCTGACACAGAAACAGATGAATATTAATATACTACTTTACAAAATCAGCAACTTGTCAAAGCACAGAAGCCAACCATCTCTATGTTTAGAAAGGGAACACGATTATAATCATCTGTAATTTCCTACTGATAGTTCCTTAATTGGCAAAATGCAGGATCTCATTTCTTAGTTTCTTCCTCTTTAGAAGTCTTATAATTTTAGAATTAGTTTGCAACTGTAGATAACATTCATATTACTTCGTTTTTCTGAAGCATACAATGTAGAGTGTTTTGAATGATTTCCTTCAGTTCTAACCCTTTGGGATTATATGATGCGATTCTAAGTTTTTAACTAGGAGCACTAAAAGCATCTTGAGCATGATCCATAAGAAATTCAAGGTGTGTAGCTTATAGCTTTCCTTGAGCTGTGCAAAAGATCTCATGTAGTTCAAATTTAGTTTTTGCTCCAGCAAATCTCGGTTATTTATTGCTCCCACAATTACCATTTTTCTTTCTCTGGTTTCGCCCATCCATTCCTCAAGCTTTTAGCATAGATTTCATAAATAACATTGCAATACTTTGCTACCTAATAAGCTTTGAAATGCTTGTCAAAATTCCCAGAAAGCCTGCTACATCAACTGCATTGGCATGGGATTGTCAATTCTCTCTAATCGTGTTAGTTAAGAATTTACAATCACAATTTAACAAAACCACAGGTCAGTTAAATCTCCTCAGGTGCTACCCAGCCAAACCAAGTTTGTAACTCAACCAAAAATTAAAAAAAGGAGGCTGACAAGCAAAGGATTAACCGTTTGAACAATGCAAGCTGAAACCTTATCCAAAAGCAAGCCAGTCCAAAAATGAACAAAGGATGCTGACAAGCAAAGGATTAACCATTTGAACATGCAAGCTGCAACCTTATTGAAAAAGCAAGCCAAACCAAAAATGAACAAAGGGGGCTGAAAAGCAAAGAATTAACCATTTGAAAAACACAAGCTGAAACCTTATCCAAAAAGCAAGTTGAATCTAATGAGCAAATGGAAAATATACACATGGAAAAAAAATAAGAGGTTTAAGAAACCGACAAATATGAATAGAATAGACTTCATGGATCCCAATTCCTATCAATTGCAAATTGCTTCTTCATCCTCGGAAACCAATTGCTGATTATTGTTTAGCATTTCCAAATTAACATTTAGAACCAATATCCAATATGCATAATAGATAGAGCATTTTTTAACTTGACCATTGGTGTTGAGTATTGCTGCAGCAAGTGGTGAAAAATACTCTATTGTTTGTTTTTACTTTAACACCATGATAATCAAACAAGAGGCTCTTTGTTCGACAAAGAGAATGATATAGAAATAAATTAGCACAAAGTAACTAAGAAGTAAACCACATGTCAAGAAACATCAATAAAAAAAAAAAAAGATAATTTGTATTCTTACTTGACTGAAGAATGCTCCATAAGATGGTCAAAGTAGCCTTCCCAAAACCTGGAGCTCCAAAGGGAGGAAAAAAGAGAGAAGATTAAGATCGACTTACTAACTTCAAGTAATCTAAAATCCAAAATGAACAGTTGGAAAACAGAGATTAAAAAAGAACTTCGATCAATTATAGAGAAAAGTGACAGAAAGTTCAGGAAAGGTTGAAAAAATATAATAGTGATGATTAAAATAATTCAGGGAATGACCAATAATACATACCGCAGCTCCTCCCATATGGAAAGTGAAATTAGATGGCGCTGGACATAGTCGGGAACATTATTAGCATCCCTTTTATACATCTCAGCAGATACTTCAAGGGCATCTATAACAGTTGAGACATCATCCCGAGATGTTGCACGACTAATGGCTGTTTTAAGCTGAAATTGCACAGGAACCAAGTTCAGGGGTTCAAGATAAATCAATATTGGATATCAAACATAAAGGTAAGCTGAAACAGCAATCAACTCCAAGTAGGGAAAATTGTAATTAAAGACAAGGCAATATTCACTTTTACATTTCAGTAGTCCACCCAATAGCAATCATTATGTTTTAGTTTACTGCAGTGAAAGATTCCCTTTTACATGGCATAACTAGGATGAGTATTCATGGTATCTATCTAAACATTTTTAAATTCACTATAAAAATCATAATAAGGTGAGGCAATTACCCATTTTGTATATTGCAGTATTCCACCCAATAGCAATTATCTATAACAAATCAAATCCTATTAATGACTTCTACATAGTACATACCAATTCTTTCACTGCAATAAACTGCTCATCAGTCAATTGACAGTGCCATCCCTGAAAACATAAAATCCAGCCAGAAGTTAGCCCAGTCTTAAACACAACAATATTCTGCTAATTCATTTCTTTCATGCCCACATACTGAGTGTATATGCTCCCTTATACATTCAACAAATCCACTGCCACCAATACCCTCTGCATCAGATTCAATCAATGCTGCACTACCAATAACAAACACTTGGTAATTTGCTTAACTTTTTAATCAAAGTAAACTGAATTCCAACCAACAAACATATGAATATTTGCCAAAAAAAGTTAAAAGAAGTTTGACATCTCTTGGTACACTTGTACGATCATACCAACAATTGTGCCATATTCAAATGAAGAGAGGGGATCATCAGTAGCTCCAAGTTTCAGAAGACGCAGCCACAATCCCTGTGAAACAATATGAACTACAATACTTCAAAACCAGAACTATATGATAATGGAAAAAAGAAACACCTTAACAATTTCAATACCACTATCAACACATCATTTTTACCAGATTATATTTTTTCATGTTGGCAAAGCAAAAGAATATGATATAAGACACCAAGATCCTGCCGATTTTTTTATGTATTTACTCAGTAATACATCTTATGCATGCATGATTCATGCATGTGTTGCATTTATATGAAAGGTGAAATACTAATTTCTGGATTTGCTGAAATCACATTATTTGTACAATTGGTTGAACTATCTGCTGAAGCTTCCCCTCCCCTCAAAGATGAGAGAGAAGGATAAAGCATGTTGTGTTGAGAGCACAGCAAACGACCATGCTCGTCATCCAACGTTAATTCCATTGCCAAGAAATGATCCCATGGACTAAAACAGATAAAATTCCGCCGCCTCCACCTAAAAAGTTCAAATGCTGGATTACAGAAACTTGGAAGAAATTTCAAGTGCACAATCAAGCATTCTAATACGTTATATTCCAGAACAATTTCTTCATACCAAAACCAACTTTTTCGTTATGATAACAGATTTTATAGACTACAGATTTTCCAGAGGTAAACTTGATATCTTGTGTGTATAATTGAGCAACTACATTTTGATTGTTTAATCCTGCAAAGGAATCTCCCAGCTCCATTTAGTTGTAAGTGTAAATGTTAAAACTAGGCAATAAAACACATTAGGATGAATTGATGTTAAAGCTAACCAAATAAGCACATCACAAGTCAAGGTTTCACAATCATCAATGATTAAGAATACAAGCACTTAAAGCACGAATAAATAACTAAAACATAAATATCAACTCCAGCAAGGGAATCTCATTCTCAGGAACTCATATGCTCTCTGCTTGTTTTGTGGAAAATGACTTCCTCGTCAAAAATAGAAGATATTTTATTTGGCCATAATACTGAAGATCAACTGAAAATTACTCTATGATATTTGGGGTACACAAAAGAAAAGGAAAAATTGCAGCTTTCAACAATGAGAAGCAGCAATCAACTGCAACCAATGAAGGATGTTACCATCAGCAATAATTGATGAACCAGTGGATATATGCTTGTTCTATGCTTTTCCATTTTGTTCAAGTGGAACAATTTCCCAAGCATTTTCCAATTTTACATTGATTTCTAAAAGACTAGTAAAACTTGATCCCTGATTATTTATTTTAGTAATTTCATTTGTTCTCTGATAGTGATTGAAAAAAAAAATTCACACATTTTTTTGTCAGCACCACCACCAGCACCAGCATTCTCACTGTCATAACTATCACTTCAGTGACACTGACACCACCACCACGACCACCATAATCATATGTAGAGGAATAGCTACATCCTTAAATATTCATAATTAAAAGTGTTAGTCTTTTAACATTTCATCCTCATAAGTAAAAAGAGCATAAAAGAATAGAAACTTAAAAAAAATGGAATCCATTTTCAAGTTATGAATTATGGACAACCAAAATAGAAATTTGTTTTTTCTAGAGCGGACAATTAATTTTCCATTTAACCAGAATATCATTTTTTGTTGACCAATTATTCCTCTATACTTGAACACTATAAATTGAAGATTGCTTTGTCCATGAAACATTAATTTCTCAAATAGACTCTTAATTATAATCATGCAAAATCCTAGATCTATCCAGATAACTCAATAGCATTTCACAGGAAAGGGATGATTTAATGAAATGAGAGAATTTCACCTGCAGCTTAACTTTAATGTCCAAAACCATGCGTTCCCTTTCTGCCTGGAAAATATAGATAAGTATTGCTCAAGATAGTTCTAAAATTTCAATCACAGAACTATTATTGGTCTGGACATGGTTCAAAAACTTACAGCTCTCTCCATTGGACTAAGAGCATCCTTACCCACTTGCACAGATGGCGAGCTGGTAAAGAAATAAGATAAATTCAGGACCATGATATTAGAAACTAAACTAACACCAAGTCATGTGACACAAACAAACTAAACCTATCAAAAATTACAAATATACCTAGGAGCATGCTTTATATACTCAAAAGCTCCACTTGCTGCTGCAAGAATCTGCTTCCTCTTCTCCTCTTGCTCTTCAGATCTAATATTTGAAGGAAACCTATCATATGTATATTTGGCACCTGATCCTGAAGAAATAAAGACAATAAATTTCATATTACTAAATAAGAGTTTAGAAAGAAAATGTTTTAAACAAAAATTAACAGAAATACAATTGTGTCCACTTGACACTTTGATCAACAAATCTCAACACCTCAAATTTACCTGAAGTTCCCATATCTTGATCTGAAATGGTTATAATATCAGGCTCTACCGACAATGAGGGAAGAATAGAAATAGGATTTTGACCCCTTCCAATTGCATCTTGTAACTTGTCTAGGAGATTATTATTATTTTCATCAGAACCTACACCTCTCTCTAGATAGTCCAAGAAACCATGAGAGTCTAAAAACTGCATGATCTGCAAATCCAAAGAAAACCAAAAAAAATAAATAAATAAATAAATGAGGACAAGGAGAAATTTAACATAAGAAAGCACATCATAATAAAATGTAAGATAAAACAGAAAGCACAATACATAGCAGTTTAAGATTGATTAAAATAGCTTAATAGAAGTTAGTAATCAGAACCAAATGATCAACGGGAAATCAAAATCACCATGGGCTCTGGTGGCTGGTTTGTTGATCGAGAACGCTTCTTCAAGAATGCTTGATTGTTGAAAACATTTGTTGCACCATTTTCCTGCCAAAATGTTTTTTTTTTTTTTTTATCAAAAAATAAATTTCACGGAAAATTACAGTGTAAAAGTTTTACAAACAATTTCATGCCACAAGAAAACTATGAAATATACATACAATGAAATTGCGGTAGCCACCTAAAATTGATGCAAAGAACTTTAAGAATATTAACCTGCCAATAGTACATAAATATGAGAGGTATTAAAAAATAAACAATAATTGTAAAAGAATAAGACGATGCTCCATTCTTTACACAATGGAAACATCAGCACTAACACAATGAAACAGCAGTACTTATATTACATAAGCATCTGACGTAAAGTTCCACAAAAGCATACAAAAGCATTCCTCTGTTTGGGAACATTTTTCTAGAACTCAAAGGCAAGCAGCAAGCAGAAATAGTATCTGATTGACATTGCTTGAATAACTACATGCCTTTAAGTTTTTCCTACTCTCACTTAAATATATTACATGAAATTCCTCTCTTTTGCATAAGAAGAATGATTCTGACAACAAATATTAGACCATCTTTCAAGTTAATAAATAATAGAAGCAGAATGATTCTGACAACGAAAATTAGACCATCTTTCAAGTTAATAAATAATAGAAGCAATTTGCATTTTGCATAGACAAGAACTTGGCACGAATTTTTCAGAACTATTATATAGTGTACAGTTATCAAAACCATCATCTCAAGGAAAGCAATGAGTACTTCATAAAAATTTCACGTTCATCCAAGTATCACCTAAGTTGGAGGTCATGATCCTCTCCCCATGGCTTGTTGCAACCTTTAAAATATTGCTCAGATGAACTGAATGCACCAGCCTTCATTTCATCTATCTCCATGACATTACGGAACAATAACTTCAATATGTCACCACGCAAGGAACTTAATTCTGGCTCTGGGATAGGGGGTATTTCCTCTGTTGTGCTGATTCGATTATAATCGAGGTCTACAATAACTACCTAGAACACAATAAAAGGACAAAATTACAATTAGATTACATCTAAAGATATAGACTGCAAACACATAACTATATGCATATTTTCTGAGATAGTGTTTTTGTCTCTGAATTTTCAACACAATGCCTTCAAAAAGAATTTCATCATGATTATAAAATTATTATATATGTCTAAAGGACATGGGAAGTTTACTGTTGTGGTAACAGTAATTTGATGTTGTCCTTAGTGACTTTGTAAAATGACAATTTCATCCTTATTACTTCAAGAAAACTAAAAGACATTTCTGCTCTCATTAAACGCAATGCATTATCAGAGTCCAATACATCTGCATTGTTAAGTTGGCAACCATGAAGTGCAGGTCATGCTCCCCCCTTTCTCAAATATGTCAAATATACGCTTGGCAGCTTCAACAAAGTAAAAGTTCAGAATTTTGAGAATTTTATTTATTACATAGTAGTATCATTGTATTATATTTTTGAGAATTTCATATATTCAGAAAATGAAAATAAAAGTATTTTAGAACTTAAAAGTAACTTTAAATTATAAATTCTTTTGTAATTCTAAAACTTATCCATATATCAAAATTATAATTCCAATTTAATTTTAGTTAACATAAATAAAAATATAATTATAATTTTGGATTTCAATTCCAATTTTTGTGATCCAAATAGATCTAAAATTTTTATAATCCAATGTTAAATTTTATATTTTAATTTTCTTGCAGATAATTTTTTAACTTTTTTCACAACTAAACAACTCCTTTTTTTTTTTTTCACAACTTACCCTTTTTTCTCTGTTAGGTAAAAAAAATGGGGAAAGATTTATATTGGTATTGAGTTGGTAAATATTTTTTAAGGTATATGATTTAAGAGTGTGTGTGCGCGGGCGTATTTCACTTGTCTTATTATATAGTATTAGACATTTTGTTTTAAAATTTTTATTTTCCTTTATTAATCTGATATTAAATAATTGATTTTCATTTTATATTCAGATAAGTATTGATTTCAAAAAAAAAAAAAAAAAAAAACATTTTGTTTTAAAAATTTTTATTTCCTTAATCTGTATTAATAATTGATTTTCATTTTATATTTCAGATAAGTATTGATTTCAAAAAAAAAAAAAAAAAAAAATGCAGATAATCCTAATGTCTAATTTTTATCTTAATTATTCATATAAATGAAGTTGTAAATATTACCATCTAACTTTAATTTGATTGTTCCACAAATGTACATTGCCAATAAATTCCACATTTCAAAATAATAATATAAACTATTGTAAGTTGTAAATTATTTGAATATTTTACTTTAAAATTTAATGATTTTAGAAGCCATAAAAAAAAAAAAAAAAAAAATGCAGATATCCTAATGTCTATTTTTTAATCTAATTTATCATATAAATGAAGTTGTAAATATACCATCTAACTTTAATTTGATTGTTCCACAAATGTTACATGCAATAAATCACATTTCAAAATAATATATAACTATTGTAAGTTGTATATGAATATTTTACTTAAATTTAATGATTTTAGAAGCCATGAATTCAACATATTTCCAGTAATGAGATAATCCTTATTGATGTACACAAACAAACATATTATACAGCCTCAGAATGCAACACTCATAAAAAAGGACAGGTATTCAGGACAAATTCACATTTGACAATGCATACCTCTAGAATGACCTGATCTCAAATTTAAAAAACCGTTTGTTAACTTAACCACCACTATTATTACTTGCAGTTTGTTTTAAGAATTTAAGTTAGAGAATTTATTTACTATGGTGCTGATTTTTCTTTTTCCAAAAATTGTATTTGTTGTTCTTTGTTATACAAGTAAGCCACAGTGCTGAGCAGTATTTTTATAAAATTGACTAGTTATAACCAGCTGTTTTATTTTAATTTTTAATTCTTACAAGCTTTTTTTTCCTCTTTTCCAAATCCTACATTCTTAGCTAAGATTTTACTATCATTATTATGCTTAATTTGTAATTTAGCTTTTAAAGGTATTCTATTGAAAGATCAGTTTATCCTGAAGGGGCCAATTATTAAAGATAAAATTGGTAAAATTTAAGTTTTGACTTTTAATTAATGTTTACTTTTATAAACTAGTTCCTCATCTCTTACAAATTTTTACCTTCTGTAAGCACGTTTCTCATCAGTAAAAAAATTTTAAGAAAATATTTAAACAAATTGTTTAAAGAAGTTAACCAACTAAGTGTACGGTTTTCCATTTCTCAAAATCCTAGGCAGATAATTCAGTTTAGTTAAAAGAACTGCCTAAGAGTTCACCCTCAGAGGGGAAGGTACAGGAAAGGGCCAAAGATCATATAATGATGACAAACAGGCAACAGTTAATCTGCCACAGGATATCACAGCAGTAGAAAAGTCATGATGAACTATTGCCAATGCAAAAACAAATTTGATTAAAGAAATGAACAAGAAAATTCAACAATGCCAAAGCTTAAGCATAAAACTTACACCATCCATTGCAAGATATGACGTATCAACACCAGAATGGAGACCCATCATATATGGTGTAGGAGCATCAATGTAGTCTACTCCACTGAAAAATAGTAATGGAATGTAGACATGCTTCAGAACAACAAACGTAAAACAATTAGATGACAGTAAGAAATGAGAACAGTGTTAGCCTATGTAGTATGAAAGCAACTGCAATTTCCAGCGAGAGATAAAGAACGCAGAAAATAATGATGGAAAAATAAAGGTTCTATTATAGCCTGACAACAAAGTGAAAGACTTCAATATATTTAGAACTTACCTGCCACCTGAAAGGATAAATTAAATGGCATATGGCCTCTGATACTAGAGTTAAAATAGAATACCTGAAAAAAACCAGATAGAGTAAAGTTACTACCAATCACATATTTCTTGAATGAAATAAATACTCAAATGTTGCTCATGATCAAACAAAATGTTTAAGTATTTTCACTTGTATTCATATTACAATGACCTAAGCGACTTGAAAATTAGATAACACAAATACTCAAATATTCATAGTAGGATTGAATATATTAGAACTTGAAAAAATGACAAGATGAAATTTATATCAATAAGACTATGAGAGCCAACTTGAACAGACACAAATATTCTGAGAAAAATGGACTACCTTAACACGAAAAACTGATTCCAATCACGTTGCAGTTCACATATAAACTGTCACTATAAATTGGTAAATTTTGAGCCTTGTTCTGATAACAAACATACTACGTATTCATTGTTGTGGAATCTAAAGAATCAGTTTGTCAAAAAGTTGTGGAATCATAGAAGGATCTTAGCAGTTGTACCAACAATGTTTTGACAACAAACATGTTACATATCCATCAGAAATGCCAAAATCAAATAAAGGCCATTAAAATTTACAATTCGGTTTCACAAACCGATTTATGTGGAAGGTCTTATACTTTTTCCTTTTACTTTTTTTTTCGGTTCTTTTTTATATTACTTTATTAACCATTACTTATCTGCAAAAAAGGGTAAAAAAAAATTTGAGATGTTGCATAATAATGAGCTTTCGCTGCCAAGACAATTTCAGCACATGGACACAAGCACATATCTTACATTTCCAACATAGACAAGAGATACTGAACAATGTCTAATATAGCACTTGTAGTTAATTGTAATTGAGTATGTATTTGCTAGCAGAACTCATACATTTAAAATAAAAAAAAAAAAACCACTGTGAAAATTTCTCGGCATACATGCAGACAAATGTTCTAATTCTAAAGAATTTCTAGACAGAAATGACATCTCATGTAAAGCACAGCAAGAGAATAAGACAAAATGGCCCCATGATTTTTTGTAATTATAATATGGCTTATTTGCATCTTACTTGCTATGTAAGGGATATATGCAATTTCAATAAAATTTAAGTTCTTTTACTGTTTCATGGTCTACAGACTTATTTTCCTTGTGGACTCAAGGATGTTTAATGCGTGGATGTGATCTAGCCTTATTTATGACAATTCCATCCTAAATAGAGTAGTATAAAAGCAAGGTGGCTGCTGGCTTTTTGAGGGCATACTAAGAAGTTTAAAACAATCCATTCATCGACAAATATTGCAAAGGGAAGAATCTTTGAGAGTAAAGTTTTGGAATCCTAAATATGATGGAAATTGCACTAGAGATTTCAATTACAGTTAATCTACTAGTAGATTCCTGATTTGAAGATATTTTTTTATTTTTATTAAAATTTCATAAAAAGAATTAAAAATATTATTTATGGGCTTAAAATTCAAAACTCGATGAAATTCTTGAAGGCCAAAATTTTGAACTTGAGTACGAAATGATAAATAGGTGGAAACAAGAATAATTGCAATCAAATTCACCTAGTTAACTACAAACCTTCGATTGCTACATGTTGTTTTTCACAACAATCTTTGCCATGAACAACATGTAAAAGCTCTAGAATTTAATGTCCAAGTAAAAACCAAGATGAAGTAAAAAAGTTGCATGTGCTCAAAAGAGTTAATGAAGAGCTAGAAGCCACTAAAATGTACAATGTGAGAGTTGAGAAGAAACTGGAGAACAATTATTTGAAGACCAATGTTTATATGAAGAGGATCAGGAACAAGGTATGCAGGTTACCGAAACTAATATTATTGTCCATTAAATTCAAATTGAAGGTTCATCAAACAAAGAAATTTTGATTAGATCTCAAGAGCCATAAAATGGTCCAATGAATTTGCTCATTCTTTGATCTTAGGTGAGCAGCAATATATTGATTTTAATTGGCTGAAATTTTCCAATGAATTGCTGTTTCTCTTAGGGTAGATTATCATCAGTTACCAACTGTCAAGCAAATGTATTTGGGGCAACATACTTGACGAAATTGCAACCACTGCTATAGTTAAAATAATTGTTTCTTTTTCATGGAGATTACAATTTGAAAGCATCAACTCAAGGGCCAGTTTTCTACAAGTGGAGGGGTCCAAAACAGTGACTTACTTTGTAGTAACTATCATACCGATTACAATATGACTCTTTACACATTTTAAGTACAATAATTTTTCTTGTGGATTATAGAATGTTTAAAGCTTAGACATTAGCTAGCCATGTTTGTCATGCTTCTGTCTGCAAGACTATTAAGTATATCAACAAGTAGACCACATAACTTAAACAGAATTAAATTAGGAGCACTGTGCACTGATTATTCAATATAAAAAAATACCAATCAACCGAATGTTTAACAATCAGATTATTGACACAGCCCACCTCTGATATGATAAGAAGACACAGAGGTTAGGTTTTGCTTGGCAACGATCATCATGGTAAGATGTGGGATAAATAGATGACAGAATAACTAGAATGCTGTCTGGCTTTCATAAATGATTCAGATTTCCTCCAGAGGAAGTAACTTAATTAACACATGCATAAAATTCTGCATTTGAAACGATAAAAGAAGACAGAAAGGCCACTAACAAAATAACAGAGGAAGCAAACATGAACACCCAATGCAGAAAGAAAAATAATAAGGATATTACTACATATTTAACAAAATATTCATTGTTCTATAACCAGAAAGCCGTTTGTGAGCTACAGTTTTCTATCTGGCAGCTGAACAAAATAACTGCCTGCCATAATGGCAAAATATCTAACTGATAGCAACTCAAGGTCTAATAGCTTGCTAAAACAATTATTAATATTTAAATGTCAAAGGTCTGAATTATACTTATTGGATCGAAGCAAAATCCTCCTCTCAAGCAATACAGCAGTAAAAAAGTTGATCAAGTTGTCCACATCCAAGCATTGTACCAGTGGCTGAAAAGATATCTGCATTTGATGGAATCAATTTTAAATTATGATGATATAATCAAGTTTTTGGCAATATTTACTAAATTACACTATCAGCAATGATGAATTTCCGTTGCTAGTAAAATAAAGAGAGGAGTCATACATCAGCATGTGGAAGCCCATCTTTTGGTGGAGCCTCCACAGAAAGCAAACAATTCTCAATAGCAAACAAGACTCGGTCCCTTCCAGGAGTAGGCAAAGGTACATTGGATACCATGTGCGCAATAACATCCCATAATGGCTTGCTGAAATTTTTGCAGAAACACGAACATTAAATGAAACACAAGGAATACCATTTATTTCTATTTTTCGGATGTGAAGACAAACTTAGACAAAATCATAATATAAAATCCTAAAAGCAAACAAAATATTGACATGGTATTTGTGATAAATAGAATATAAAAAGTTGCCTGTGAACGCATGTCTATAGGGGAAAGTAAGTAAAACAATGACATCTGCTCCATGCTATCACTAGCCATAATATACACATGTAAGCCTTCATAACCTAAGGATCCTTACCTACTTCCACTGGGGGAAAAGCAAAGTGCAAATATCTCTTCTAGCGCATTCCGAAGTATACCGAAACTGGGTGAACGTGAAACAAGACAAATACATTTGTCAGCAAATGAATTTGCTGGTATGCGGTAAGCTTCAGCAATATCCTCACTGACTGGATCCCGAAAACTAATGCAACTAACATAAATTTTTGACCCATCGCCCTCTGCAAAAAAAAAAATTACATTAATAAGACAATAAATTTACTAACCTCGCATGAAAATGAAAGTATGCACAAAAACAAGGATAGAAAAGGCCACCCTCTGAAATAGTGCTCTACTCAACTCAATTAAGTGTTAATCCTAAATTAGTTGGTAAGTAATGTACACAGATCCATTTTCTCTACTTAGCTCCATTTAGTCCACTCTTAACATGTATGCCTTGCTCAGAACTCAGACCATTGAGTAGTAAACAAACTTTAAAACTAAAAGCCAGCAATGCTTTCTCCAATTGTCAAAGGCATCTCTTTTCAGCATTAAAATCGGATGCAGACAACTCAAGAAAATTCAAAGGCTCAAGAATTTTAGGATTATGGTCTCAGCTTTATCTGGGATTTGTTTTAGATATTATAGTATATTTCTAGCTGCTTAAGAGTTATATTTATATGCCTATTTAATAAATAAGTTGCTGGTCAAGAACTTTAAGTCTAAGGGGCAATTCTGTTATATCAGCTTTTGCTAGAATTCTGCTCCTCTTCATTAAGGAACACTTTTATTTATTTGAGTCAATTTGGAGTCCTGGTGTTCAGGATAAATGTATTCCTTTTTAGTCTATTTTCAAAGTCCAAATCCTTGAAGGATGATGACTAGTTTTGAAGTCCAATCGAGCAGGGTTTGGAGTAGTTTAGGTTTATAAATACCCATGCTTGTAATGCTTTTTAATAAGTTTTCAATCAACAAAATTACAGCAGATTATGCTTTTATCTTTGAGTTATGTGATGCAATTCTAACCTAGAAAATGTAATTCTTTAATAGGAGCTAGTCCTAGATCCTATTAGAGTGATGCTAGTAATTTATTTTCATTTGCTTCACTTTTGCTTTATTTTCTAAAGAAATTCAGATCTGCAATATGGGTTTTCAAGCCCTAATTCTCGATTTCTGTAAAACCTAACACTAGTCTCCTAAAACTTCAAGTTTTCCCAAGCTATCCTGCAACAGTCATTAACTTCAAAAATTTTATGCCATCTTAGTTGTAGTTTGCTTTTATATTTCATGCTCTCATTGCTTGATAAAGTAATATTTTGGAGATGTGGTACAGGAATTAAATAAATTTCCATTTTTCTTGATAAGGAAAGAGAGGGAGAAGGGGGGGGGGTCCAAAATCACTATCTAACTGCTAAGTAAATTTAACAATGCCAAAGTCCACAAGGTTGGTGAGAGAACAATCACATTAAGACTTATACATAAGAAGTTTTTGCAACAGTCGCTAAGGAAAAGAGAAGAATAGAGAAAGACTAATGTTCTATACTCAAAGTCTGCTTTCTATAGCTCTTGCTTCCACAATTTTCATGCCTTTAATTCCAGAAGTTAGAAAAAGAAAAAGGTGTCCTTAGTGCATAGAGCCCCCGGTTTTGCAAGGATTGAAGGATGATCATCTAACTTGCATCTTGTACAAAGAGAGTGTTTTCACAATTTGTGACCTTCCTCAAGCCATAATGGAGCAACTTCATTTCCAGAAGTAGCAATAATACTTTTCAATAATTTTTGTTCCCTTAATTCAGAATAGACTGGAGTGAGGACATTTAACCAAAAGTCAAACAAATCTTTCTCCTAATAAAGTTTAGTTCAAAGAGCAGCTAATTCATGACGCATCACTAACCATTGATGATCTAGTTTGATGCACAGACATTTATATCCAGGGTGAAATCCCACTGTGTCCCCCAAAACTTTGGCACTCTAGTCAACTAAGTCCTTTTTATTTTTACTTGAGTTAATTAGACCACTGAAGTCTTATTCTCAGTTAGGAAGTCCCCAGCCATACATGTGACTACATGTGATCATAATGGACATTAGGATTTTTACATAATTATATTTTCATAGCTGAGATGCGCCACATGGTAATGATAAGGCTGTAAAACTCCTGCCATTAATGCCTAATGATAACAATTCTATTTTATTCTCTAAGCTAACACATGGAAGTAAAGGCGACCTTTTTGTCCTGTTAATAAATTTCTACATCAACATTTCTAACAAGTCCGACTAGCACTAGAGTATAAACAATCCAAGCCAAACCGAGTATTATCAAGCTCGAGTTTCACTCATTAAATGTATATTCGAGCTCAAGCTCGGCTTCGAGCTTGAAATCTGAGCTCAAGCTTGGCTCATTCATGTAGAGTTTCAGCTCGGTTTATTTTAATAGTTTATATTTGAAAAAAAAAATTATGGCTCATTTACATGCTCGAACTTGAGATCGAGCTTGTTTACCGACTTGTAGCACGATAATAAAGCTAGAAAGCCTCATTTCAAAACTTGAGATAGGTTTGTTTATTAAATGAGCTCAAACTCAAGCTGGGCTTTTTAGCTTATCAATGAAGCTTTCAGAGCCGAGCCTCAAGCAGCTTGTCTCATTCACAACCCTAACTAGCACCGTCTAGTTGGGGACTTAAATGGCTAAAAATAAGAGTTTAATTATCTAATTGATCCAAATTAATATGATTTCCCTACTATATACCACAATCAAAAATTCAGCACGAGTGAACCTATTCTCATATCCCATGGCATATTTGATTAAGCATATGAAAAAAAAGAGATGACCCATGCAATCTTTCATGTTCCATGTTTCATTCTAGGTCCACTAAGACATACAAGGTTCCCCGTACTTTCAAATATCCTTTGTTTATTGAGTAACCAGAAGAAAATGTAAAAAATAGTAGCTCATACAAGTTGTAGAAGAGGATAAGGATATCCAAGAAATAGAATGTTGCAAGCAAGTGGCATTAACTGCAAAAGCATGAAATACAAAACTAATTATTAAAGCTGCCTTCAAAAATTTCCATAGGCAGACAAGTCCCCTTAGCCAAATATCTCTACATCTTTCACCCTCATAAGATGATGCCATCTACTTATCTCAACCTAGTCTATATAACATAGGTAATGTCACCAGCGAAAAGGAAGAAAGGACACTAACTATGCTACAAGGCATTAGCACAAAGCAAAACATTATAACCACATTCAGTTCATCATTTTACCAGTAATTTTTTACTTTGTCTTTCATGACTCCTTCATTATGTACATCCCAACATCAAGTTTCTAAGTTCATTGCTGATAAACAATATCACAGATATATTAGGATTAAAAAGACCAAATATGACATACTGTTGCAAACTATATTTAAGAGATATAAACTCAAGCTGGAAGCACGTAGACTCTCTACTTTCAAATAATGTTACTACTCAGTTTCCAATTCAGCGTTTCCCCTGATAAAACTCAATACAAGATTTAAGACAAATCTAAGCTAAGAATCAAGTTTATATTCACATTTTCTACTAATATAACAAACACTCAGCTGCGATAAATCTAAAGCTACCAATGAGTGCCTTATTTCTCACAACAAATAAGTTAGAATAGATGCAATCAACCCAGAAATGGAAATGTACCCGTCAAAACAATGGGATAGCTCCGTGGAAAAGTAGAGGCATCGTTAGCATCAAATCCAGAAGAGTAAAACAGAACACCAGCAGGCAAAACACACTGCCATTAAAAAAAGCATTAAGATCAGATCTACAACACGAAAACAACATCGATAAACAAAAACAAAAGCAGAAATAAAGAGACATACTGTTGGAAGCTGGGGAGGAGGCGGTGGATAGAGAGTGTGATAATCAGGAGGATACTGATCGAGCAGAGAAGGCAAATACATCACTTCTTTTCCATGATACCCTTTGTTCCCATCCAAAGTTCGAATCTCTGGACCCAATCCACAAACCACAAAATACTCGAAGATCCGCGCCATTTTTGCGATTAAATTTTGCTTAATTTTCTTTCAGTTGCGGAAAAATTTCCAAGTGATTACAAGAAGATGGAATGGTGCGAGATTTGTTTAGCTTGCATTTTACGGATTCTCTTTAATTATTTGAGTGTTGGAGTTGTAAGGAGAGAACCGGGAATGGAAAGAGATGAGAATTGTAAGTTTGCCGTACAGTTACCTGTTGGTTTTTGATTCAGGTTGCGAGATTCCACAACTGGAAATCAGTCTCGCATTCGTTAATGACGACGACACCAGTAAAAATCTGAATAATCTGAACATAATTTATTTTCATATTTACAGTTTGACTGGAATTGACGCTGAAAATTGTTTTTACATGCTTCTAATTATTGGTTAATTTTTATAATTTAAAATTTATTAAATTTATCTTAAAAATCTATATCTAACGAGGGAGATAAGAGATTTCTTAATTTATCCTTGGTGACATTATAGGTATCCTAAAATATCATCTTAATTGTGACTCATTAAAAAATTTTAATTAAAAATATTAAAATATCTTTAATCATTAGCAATTAAAATAAAAAAATTTATTTAAAAATCTGAAAAATATTCCTAGTATGGCCAATTAAAAATTTTTTAATTATATAATATAATATTTTAATTGAAAAATAAATAAGGCATGTCCAATTAAAATGTTTTAATTAAAAAACATATAATATTTAAATTAAATAATAATATACAGCTTTTAGAAATTATTCAAGCATAATTAATTTTATTAAATATCCTAAACCGTTAAAATAATCTGATTTATTTTTAAACTACAATCCTAAACCATAGTTAATTGCAAGATTTTAATTAAAAACATATATAATATTTGAATAAAATAAATAAAATACAGGTGTTTTGATAATTTTATTGAAAATCACAAACCATGTGTATAACTATAATTAATGTGATTTATTTTTTTTTATGTATACAAAGGAGGGGTTTACCCGAAGAACAAACAGCTAAAACTAAGCAGCTATAGTTAATCGTGGCCAAGCCACGCCCTGGACATCATTCTGCAGCAGAGCAGCAATAGCATGAGGGGCGTCTTGGCGAATCTGCTTATCAACAGCAGAGAACACGGCCATATTTGCTAACTGATCAGCAGCACGATTGGCTTCCCGGTAGTGGTGGCACATACGAACTTGCCAATCACGAGCAAGAAGAGCACGGAATTGCAGAATCGCGTTAGAAAAACAAGCATTACTCACCGGAGTATTCTGCAAAATATCCTTAGCAACCACAGAGTCCAATTCAACAAACAAAAACCTGATACCCATATCCCAAGCCAAATATATTCCATGGAGCACAGCCTGTAATTCAGCAACAACAGAGGAGCAGAGGCCGAGTCTGACACAGAACCCAGTCACCCACTGTCACTGACCCGCCGCGAGGAACCGCCGCCACCTCTGCCCGAATTTCCCTTACTAGCACCATCCGAATTTAGTTTAATCCAACCAATCTCAGGAGGCTTCTAAGAAACATAATTAACTCTTTTACCAACCAGATTGTTATCCAAACGACAACGACTCCAAGCACCTTCATTGGACCGAAGACGGAACCGAAGCATATTAAGCTTGGCATCTAAGGAGAGAGACACATTCTGGAAAATAAAATCATTCCTCCAATGCTATAGCCGTAATATTCAAAGCAGAAACATCCGGAAAACAAGAACTAGATAAATTGGTATGACGCAAAAAAACATTCAGAAAGAGGGCAACCCACAAACTGAATTAAGGAAGCATCATCCTAAATAGTCTCCCAAGCCTGACGGGCAAAAAAGCAATCCTTTAAGACATGATCAATAGTCTCAACATTAGCACCACGTAATGCGCACCTTGAATCAGCTGTAAAACCCCTCTCCATCCGTTCTTGATTCGTTTGGATCCTATCCTGAAAAACCAACCACAGGAAGCACCGAATGCGTTGAGGGATAGGAATCTTCCAAATGGACTTCCACAAATCAGCCCTCAAATTTAAACTAGGAGCCTTCACAACAGAGTAAGCCAGGCAATAAGTAAGGGCCAACTAAAATATTTTAATTAAAAATATATAATATTTTAATTAAAAAATAAATAAATTATACAACTCTTAGAAATTATTTCAAATTTTATTATTTTTCAAATTTTATTAAAGATATATATATATATATATATATATATATATATATATATATATACATGTCAATAATTAATTTAGGATAAAATCTCCTTTTTTTTATTATATAACTTACGATGGCATATGGGCTGGTTAATATATATATACATGTCAATAATTAATTTAGGATAACATCTCCTTTTTTTTATTATATAACTACGATGGCATATGGCTGTTAAATAATAATAATAATAACGATAATAGTATTTATCATGGTCATTGATAAAAGTGGGAGAAATAGTAATGAAACTAATAATAATAATCCATTAATTGAATAATAATTTTAATTTTAACCAAATTATTTTTATTGTATTGATGAATTTAAATTAAATTTGTCTGGTGGTTTGATTGATCTTTTTACTTCTGTGAGGAGTGGGAGGTCTTGAATACGAGTCCTCTCGACCACAGGTCTCAAGTACGAGTCCTCTCGACCACAGTTGCTTTCACCAGTTTAGTAAGCCAAGAGGAGGGCTACCCCTACCCCCTGTTGTGTAGAACACAGTGTTATTTTAGGGCATAAAAGCCTCAAATGAATTTATAATAATAAAAGTTTCATGCATTCAAAAAAAAATTTATTTAAAATCCATAAGATTTATCCCACATCTGATAATTAAGAAAAAAAAAGTATAAATATCAAGCGGAAAAGGAACTCAAGGATCATATTTAGGATGGTCGAAGCAGTTGGATGATGAAGAAGGCTTATGGCTATTATTTTGAGCATTATTTATTGATTTATTGATTTAGGTTTTACTACTAAATTTTCTTGCTTCATTATAAATTTTTCTCAATATTATGGCATTCATAATATAAGAAAAGATTTACTTAGACCGATGTATACACCAATTCAATCAAAATATTTTTAATTTAAATGATAATAGCATTCATTAAAAAAAATTAAAATAACAACAATATCTTAAAAAACCCTTAATGGATGCTTTAGTGTATGGATGAATATACAGACAGAATATAAGCAAGTCCTATCTCATAATATCTCTTTTGGAAACTCACATTCATATATATTTAGAAAATGATTGCAATTGATATATGACCTGCTCATACACCAAACTAAGGGATGTAAATCAATTGAGCCGGCTCGCGAGCTCTTTGAGCTCAGCTCGAATCAAGTCCTGGCTCGAGCCTTATAGAATTTATATATATATATATGTATAATAATGTTTAGTTTAAATTTACTTAAGTCTCGAACCTCGAGTCGAGGTCGAGCTCAATATTTTTCACACTGAACTCAATCCTCAAGCGAGCTCGAGCCGAACTCAAACTTTTATTGAGTTGAGCTCGAGCCTAAAAGTTGCAGGCTTTTTCAGTCTTGAGCCGAGTTAAATCATGTCAAGTCAAGCTTCGAGTCTGGTAGGTTCAAACTCGGCTCGTTTACACCCTTGCATCAAACCAATAATTAATTGTAATTTAAAATAATTATCATTCTTTATTACTATATTTTTAAACGAAAATACATTGTTATCCTCATTTGTACTAAATATTTTATCAAATTAACTTGATGTGTAGAGTTGTGTCCATACCCTCTGTATAGTCAAAGGATACGAAGACGCGCAAACTATTACTAATGCTTGTGACAATTCAGGGACTAGCTAAACATATTAGCTAAAACATAGTATAAAACTCTAATAGTGAACTTTTATTATGATTCCTTTTGAAGATTTATGTGCCTAGTCGATATTTTGGCACAACAAGCAAATGGTTGGCTCTAGGCAACGAGAGGCCAAATTTCTCATTCATATCCAACTCACCAGGCAATAATCCATTTGGTAGCTCCCAATCAAAACAATGCACTAATTGAGCTATAATAATCTTGATGATTGTTAACCCTAGCTGTATTCCAGGACACCCTCTTCGACCAGAACCAAATGGAATAAGCTGAAAGTCTTGTCCACGAAGATCTATATTCATATCAATAAATCTTTCTGGTAAAAATTTTTCTGTATCTGACCACGCATCAGGATCTCGTCCGATTGCCCAAGCATTCACTATGACTCTTGATTTTTTCGGTATATAATAACCATCGACCATTACATCTTCCATGGCTTCACGAGGAACAAGCAATGGCGCGATTGGGTGTAACCTTAAGCTTTCTTTTATTACCATATCCAAATATGGAAGCTTAGACAAATGCTTTTCCTCCACCATATTATCCATTCCAACCACACTTTGTAATTCATCTTGTAAGCATTTCATTGCATGAGGATGTCTTAGAAGTTCTGATAGTGTCCATTCAATTGTAGTGGCTGACGTATCAAATGAACCTATAATCATGTCTATTGAGATGGCTTTGATATGTGTCCTATCAATTGTGGATAGTGCATTATCATGTGATGTCACCATAGGTTGGTTCATTAATGAAAGAAGCACATCAATGAAATCACTTTTTTGCTTTTTCTCCCAATAAGCTTCTTTTTCATGTTCATCAATTATCCTCTCCAAGACTTTGTCCATGGCTTTGCTAAATGCCTTCATGCGTTTTGTTAACCCCTGCATATTCAAAGTTTTGGTATTCAAAAAATTTGAATCCTAGCTAACCTCTTACTCTATGAGAAAGACAAAGGATCATTTAATGACTGAACTCCTCAATAACATTAAGATCAAGAATTGACTTGCCTAGACTAATATAGACTAGTATCCACCCATAGATGAAAAAAAATGATTTTTTTTTTTTGACTATTCACCAAAAAAAAAATAGTAATTATATTTTAACCCATTTGTCGATAAGCTTCATGTGTGAGATCACCCATGCACCAATATAATAAAATAGAGTATTTAAGCCATGCCGCCCATAATTTGGAAAGTCTAGCCCATATAATAAAGGAGACAATGGCCCAGAAAACAGTTTTTCCTTTTAGATACATCCCATGAGGAGTAATGACGTCAATGTCAACATTTTTCAATTAAAATGATAAAAAATAGTGCGAGCAATCTCTGCAATTCATGTGAATTTAGACTATGAACCAAACAGTTTTTCTGCTCGCGATTATTCGAAGTCCAGTTAATACAAGTGATGGTTCCGTATAGCTTACGTTGTTGGAAAAACTTGTCAGTACATGTGATTTTTTTCCTTAAGAAGAAAAAATCTTTTTTAATTGAGAAAAAAGAATTTTAAAATAATAAATTAGAAACAAATCAGAAGAAAGAGATCAATGTAATCAAAGAGTCATGAAGATTTCCTTTGTATAAATAAATTTCAGAAAATTTTATGAAATCCATTTGAATTCTATTATTTGTATTTTCCTCCTAGCTAAAACTAAATTTCATGAAATGAAACTTAATATAACTTTTTATTATTTATAAATAAATCAAATTCATTTCTGTGGAAGCAATTTGGTGAGCAAGGGATAACTATCCTATGGTGTGATCCATAATATCTACACAATAAATAAATAATTTATTATTATCTACTTCAACATGAATAATTTACTTAAAATATAATATATTTGAAAATTTGAAAATCAAATATAAAATAATTGAGTTTAAGTGAAATACCTGAAGATCAATTGGTCCTAAAAAGGGGATATAATCAGCTATATTGAAAGCTCCGGCCAAAAGCAAAGCCTCCTTAACAAGCGCCTTCAAATCCAGTTCATGGTTATTTACTTCTCCAAAAACCATCCTACAAGCAATATTCTGAATCATGTCGCCGACGCCCACACTAAAATCCACCACCTTACGCGCCGCCGCAGCTCGCTTTAATGACTCAACATAAAATCCCAACTCCTCCTTCCTTATTGGCGCAAAATACTCTATTTTCGACGCAGATAGAAGTTGTACGGTACACAATTTCCTAACGCTACGCCAGTAAGGACCATACTCCGTAAAAGCCATGCCTTTAGTACCATACGACATGTAGCGAGATGCTCGTAATTTCGGACGGCTACCGAAAACAGCGTCGTGTGTCTTGAGAAATAGTTTTGCTGCATTAGCCGACGAGACTACAATGGTTTGTACATAGCCTAATCGCAACGACATTATAGGACCATGCAATTTGGCTAAGTTGTAGAGCGTTTGATGCGGAAGGTTGCCTAACATGTGGAGGTTACCGATGATTGGTAAGGGTGAAGGTCCCGGAGGTAGCTTCCGGTCATTTTCACGGTGTTCTGATGGTAGCGATGAGGTGGCGCGTAAGGTGGGGAGGAAGTATGCGAGAGATCCAAGCAGCACCACGACAACGGCTAAGATGAAAGGCAACATAATAGCGTTTCTTGTTTGTTTTGGAGATGAAAGGAGTGATAAAATCAAGTACTTTATAATGGTATATATATATATATATATGCAAAGCATACAGTGATAAATGTTATATAAGCAAAGACGAGAGCTCCAGCCAAAGGCAAATTTTTTTTTTTTTTTTTTTTTTTTTTTTTTTTTGCGTATATTTATATATATATTATATGCAAAGCATACAGTTGATAAATGTTATGATAAGCAAAGACGAGGAGCTCCCAGGCCCAAAGGCAAATTTTTTTTTTTTTTTTTTTTTTTTTTTTTTTTTTTTGCGGTGGAAAAAGCAATAGTTAAAAGAAGAAGGACAAATATAATACTAATAATAACAGTAAATAAGAATGACGGTAACTTTCCGCAAATTTAAAAATTTTTTAGATTTCTTAGTAAATTAAGAATTGACTGGCTCCTACTACTACGACTAGTAATATGAAGTTTAAGATTATTTCCTACGCTTTTTTTTTTTTTTTTTTTTTTTTTTTTTTTGCGTGGAAAAGCAATAGTTAAAAGAGAAGGACAATATAATACATAATAATAACAGTAAATAAGAATGACGGTAACTTTCCGCAATTAAAAATTTTTTAGATTTCTTAGTAAATAAGAATGACTGCTCCTACGACTACGACTAGTAATATGAAGTTTAAAGATTATTTCCACGCTTTAGACATTCGACCTCTATCTTTTATTTTTATATATGAATATATGAAATTTAACATATATACACTTGAAAAATGGACGAGACCATTTTTTTTTTTTTTTGTGTGTGTGGAAAAGCAATAGTTAAAAGAGAAGGACAAATAACGTTGTATAATACTCCCTCCATCCTAAAAAAATAGTCATTTTTCTATTTTTACATAGATTAAGAAAGTAGTAATTATTATGGTTAAACGACAATTCTATTTATATAACTTTTTTATTATACTCATCTTAAATAATGTATAAGCAATTATTATATTAGAATAAATATAAGAATTAACGAGGGCTATTGAAAATAAAATAAAATTTAATTTAAATATAATAAATAATTTAAAAATTAATTATTATACAAAAAATCATAATAACGGATAGATAAAAATAACGGTGGGCCATGGTCAAATTACATCTACCAATATTTGTTTTGCAAAGTATCCCCGGCATCCAAAGCTGACATAACATGTAAGCTCGTGTCCATCCAATTAGACTTTTCTTATAGCCAACTAGCCGCCTCTTTTGAAGGGGAGGAGAAAATGTAATAGGGGCAGTTAGTTTAGCTATTCGTACGATTTAATAGCAGTTAATAGATTTTTTATCAAATTTAATAGATGTTGCTGTTAAAATAATCAAATTTAATAGTTATTGACAGCAACATTTATTAAATTTGATCAAATATCTATTAACTGCTATTAAATCGTATGAATAGCTAAACGAACTATCCCTGTTACATTTTCTCCTCCCCTTCAAAAGAGGCGGCTAGTTGGCTTTTATATATATATATATATTATTTATTGCAATGCATTATATAAAAAGAAAATATTAATTTAAATAACGAAAAATAAAATGATAAAGATATTAATTTTGAACAATAATTTTATTAATAATTATTTTTATGATGTTAATTAAGTCCAAATATAATATAAATACAAAGTAATTACACATTATATAAAAATAATATTTGTAAGTTAAAATATTGAATATGTATAATTTTAAAAATTGAATTGTTCAGTAGTTGGAAGTGTTTAATTTTTGTAGTTACACGATCCAAGGAATCAATGAAAGATATGAAGAATTCTCTAAAATCAATAAGATCGACTGCTGGCTGCAACAAATAAGCCATGAAGAGCCCAACATAATTTCAACGGACTACATGGAGCAAGAGCATGCACAGTGAACTTAAGTTCAGCTCACCGAGGGCACATCCTATGTTAGAGGAGTCCCTTTTTGTATCGTTAAGAATGTAAAATTTTTCTACAGGCACGCCATAGAAAATGAACCATTTGGATATGCGGAAATAATTTTTGGGTTTGATCTCCATAAAATACATTTGTAAAAAGGGGCGAAAAACCTTAACTGTGACTAAAATTCAAACCGAATTAAGTAATCCCTGATAATAGAGTCCGAATACCGGTGATTAAAAAAAAAAAAGAAAAGAAAGCGAGCCACTTTAGGCTCAACAGAATTGATCATGTCCCCGATACCTATATCTAATTTATACTAATAAATTTAATGTCATTGAGTTAGTATTTAGTCATTAAATGGTTGAGTACGTCATATCGTTAATCCCTATGTGCATATTGCTTGTTTTCGATATAGCTGCTCTCGAAAACACTCTTCACATTTGAGAATACTACTTTTCGTTCATAAATACTTGTCACATTTAAGAAAATATTATATTTTTAAATATTTATCACATTTGTGGATTTCTAAAATAACAAGTTATTTTTTTGCATTTCTACCCTTTATATATGACCAATAGTGATTTCCTCAATAATTTATTATAACTTAGACAAAATAAGATTAGTATAGTCTATTCACTCAATAATTTAGTATAACTTAGACAAATTGAATGATTTTCTTAAAATATTTGAGAATGATAAAGTAATAAAGTCAAAAGTTGAAAATTTTTGAATTTCTGAATTACTACGTTTCTTTGTATTCAAGGAGTAACAAAACACGTAAAGATTAGTATATCAGTTTGCAACACATTTATCGAAAAGCTAATTTTTGTGCTAATTAATTAGCTTCCTTAATCGAAACAGTTTATTTAGATACTCATATTTTAGCTCATGCTTCCTTTAGTTTAAATGAATGACGTCTACATAATATTTATAGAGTAGCTTATCCTATGTTTTGTGCTTAAAGGTTCATCCTCTCTCACCTTTTAAAATAAAATAAAATAAAATAAAACAAAACGCATGAAGGTATATAGCAATAGCAAAGCCATGCATGGACAAAGTCTTGGAGAGACAATTGATGAACATGAAAAAGATGGTCATCGGAAGAAAAAGGAACGACAGGAACCAAAACTTTGTTGACATCAAATGATAATGCACTTTCCTAATTGGTAGAACAAAAATCAAAGCCATCTCAGTAGAGATGATTGTAGCTTCATTTGATACTTCAGCCATTACCATTGAATGTACACTAGCAGAACTTCTAAGACATCCTCATCCAATGAAATGCTTACAAAATGAGTTATAAAATGTGGTTGAAATGGATAATATGGTGGAGGAGAAATATTTTTCTAAGCTTCCATTTTTGGTCACGCCAATGCATCTTCCCTCGCGAGGCCATGGAAAATATAATGAATGATGATCATTAGATGACAATAAAATGGCGGAATATATAAATTTACTCCTAAATTTTGTTACTTTAATCTTGTGGCACCTTCAACTTTTATTTTGACCAATCAAACACTTCAACTTATAGAATTACATTTATTAAACGCTTTAATTTTCAAATTTATTTTATTGAAGACTTGAACTTACAAAATTAGATCAATTAAATACTCGTTAAAAAATTGATATGAAAATTATTGTTTCGAAAGTTATGTAAATTACATGTCAAGTCCATATTTTGCAAATAAAAGTCAAAAACCCCAAAAATTATTTATATTAGTGTTGAAAAGTGTGTAGTATTATCAAAATTTATCAATTAAGATGCACAATAGGTCATTCGCAAAATTCAAAATGTCACAAGATTAAAATCGCAAAGTTCAGTGATGAATTTATATATTCGGCTTCAAAAAAATCAAGACTTTCAATGAATTTTTGGATCAATTGAATGAGATCTTGATGCGTGGTTGAATGTAAAAAAATTTTTTCAAAATGATTTATCAATATAAATATAAATCTTTACAGATTAAATTTTTAACTTATTTCATTCAGTTATGGTCGAAAAACATGTCCTGGAATGCATCTAGGATTAACAATTATCAAGATTGTTATAAGCTCAAATGGTGCATTTCTTTGATTGGAGAGCTCGCAGATGGACTATTTGCTTAGTGATGAGTTGGATATGGATGAGAAACTTGGTCTTGGATTGCCTAAAGCCAACCATTTCTTGTGCCAAAATATCGACTAGGCATATGAATTTTCAAAGTTATAAAGACAAAAGTTATGACCTGGCATCGAATAATACCATACTCGAGCGGAAAAAAAAAAGGGAAAAATATTTTAAAACCATGTATATAAAAAGCTTTAATTTTACATTTAACTTTTTTTCTTAAAAATCAGTTATTGGTACCTTATCATTTTGGCATCTAAATTCTCAACGGCTCAACCGCTTCGTCATCCAAGTGCTGCAAGTTAGAGACGGCTACTCATTCACTATCCGCTGTATCTCTATTTCCTTCTTTCCTTTTAACTATCCATAGACTCCTTAATATCCACTTCTTGTTTCTTCTTCCAAAAACCAACAGTCAATGGCAAGCAGTACGTGTTCTTCCTCTTGGCTCAGCCCGCGCGCCCCCTTGTTCACATTTGGCTCTGCCCGGCGGCAACCTTTCTTCCTCTGCTTCTTATTATCCTGTAAGCCCGCAACCAACGCAATCTCCTGCTTCGCTACTGGCCCCACAACATCCATATCTTCTGGCTCTTACAGCCGCCGGTGGTTCAAACCTGAAATTATCCGCCATTGGGTCGAAGATGATCAACCACAAGCATTACAAGGTGTGTTTTTTGCTTTAAACGAAACATGACATTTACAACTTTAGAGTTTAGAAGTGTAATATAATAAAAATTCAATAGTTTTGTTTAATTGTACCGTTGCTGTTTGTTCTAATTTCTACTTAAATTTGTGTTCCAATTATTGGTTTACTTCTTGAGTTGCAAACTTGTAATTCTTGTGATTTTGTGTTTTTAATTTAGAAAATCGATTTACGGTTGTGTCATATAATATATTGGGGGATAGAAACGCTTATAAACACAGAGATATGTACCCAAACGTTGATCCTCTTTACTTGAAATGGGCGCATCGCAAAAGGGTCATCTGTAAAGAATTAGCTGGATGGAACCCTGATATTATATGTTTACAAGTAAGCGTTATTTTTTATTTTTATTTATTTTTATTTCAAGATTTTCTTTTATATGTAAGTTTGGATTACTATACCACTAGTTGAAATTTATGGATGCTAGTGGTTATTTTAGGAGGTGGATAGGTATTTTGATTTATTGAAGAGTGTGGAGAAACTGGGATATGCCGGTTCTTACAAGGTTAGCATTCTCTGCATGTGTCAATATTAATTGCTTTATGTTAGTTATTTTGGCAAGTACTAAACCAGTTAGTCAAATGGCAGCGACGAACGGGAGATTATAGCGATGGTTGTGCTGTGTTCTGGAAAGCTGATGAGTAAGGAAATTATGGTTTGTTTTAATTTATTGCATCTGAATTCTTTTGGCTGATGATGAACGTTCTAATAAATTTTTATTTTAAATTAGATTTCGGTTGTTAGAAGCTGAGAGTATCGAATTTAAGGCACTTGGTCTTCGGGATAATGTTGCCCAACTTTCTGTATTTGAGGTAACAATTCAAAAATATTCACTATATTGCTAAACTTTTACGTAATGTGGCAACAAGATCTCCTTGAATGTCTTCAGTATAAAGTTTCTTGAATGTTTTGATTTATTATTCATTCAATATTTCAATGTAGAAAATTGGTTAGAGATAGTGTACAAGGAAGCGAAAAATTGTGGCAACATCTTGCTTGTATGGTCTGAGCTGGAGATAATAGTCATTGATGTTGGATTATATTGTTTATATTATGACTTCTCATGGTATTGTACTGACCTAGAATGTATGTTTCTTGGATAATCAAATTGCTCTATGTTGATGTCAGTAACTTACTGATGATACCAGTACATGAAAATGAACGATATTGGGCATAAGACATTGTTGATTCATGTTTGAATGGACTGTCTTAGTGATTTTTTAATGTTCAATTTTTGGGCTGTTCTGTACCTATTAGGCTATTACAATTCCTCAAATTGAATAAACAAATCTTTTGCTTCTCAAAGAAAGGCTTTATATGGGAAATGGGGATGATAGCAGTACTGTAGCAAGCAGGTGCTGTATATATATATGTATATATGTAAAACGTATGACTGATATTGGGCTTATTTGTAAATATCAAGATCTACTTTATCTGCTTTCAACTGTGTAAGACTAACTTATTCTAGCGTATTGATAATCAATAGATCAGAGTTTGGCCTTTTCAATTTTTCTGGGGAACTTAGGTTTCCATTTATTCTGTCTTAGAAAAGTAGGCTTCAATGGAAAAATTGAGATAATTCTCTTCTTTTTTCCCTTCCCCATCACATCAGACTTCCATTTGCATTTTGTTTTAGGTAAATATCCTCTCTTTTTTTTTGTTAATTTATTTTTTTCTTCATTATGCATCTAAATAGTATATTTGTTGACATTATCCTTCCTTCCTTTTTCTGACTTCACTTCATACAGGTAGATTTGCAAAGCTGAATCAAAAAGAATACTGGTTGGTAACATCCATGTGCTTTATAATCCACATCGAGGAGATGTTAAACTAGGTCAAGTAAGTAGTTCTTTTACATCAATATCTGCATTATATGCAGAAACTGACTAGGTTTGCTTTCCATGTTGATGCAAGCTTAAATAATAAAGTTGCTTCAATGTTACTACCTTAATGACTGTTTTTCACTGGAGCATCTACTGCTCAAAATAAAAGAGTATCCTCCTTGCAATTTTTTTTTTTTTCATTGACACTTTGAACTTTGTAAAATTTGTAAGGAAAACTTCATCAGTTAGACCAGCAACCGAAAAAACATTTATCTGTGTCTGGGTACTTGGGCAGAATATGGTTTTATTGCAACCTATAAATACTTTTTATATATGTTTTCATAATCAATCATGCTTGATGTAGTAGGCTTTCCTCTTCAATTTTTTTTCTTTCCTCCTTACACTATATAACAGAGTCTCATGGTTCTTGGGACTTCAATATTCAACGGTCATCTTTAATTTGGATACCAAATTTATGGTCTCTCAAAGAGTAAAAAAAAAAAAAGAAAAGATATTGAATTTATGGCAGCGTATCAGTTATAATGTTGGCTAACTAACAAATGAAGTTGCCAATTGTATTTCATTCCTGTTGCCTTCTATTTTGTACTAACCATTAGAAGCTTCCTGATCTGTGGCCACAATCAGTTGCTTTAATACTGAAACATTTGATTTGTAGATTCGTTTTCTTTTGTCAAGGGCACAGATCCTTGCAGAGAAATGGGGTAATATCCCCATTGTTCTTGCTGGTGATTTCAATAGCACTCCTCAGGTGCAATATTGTAAATTTTTTTTTTTTTTTTTTTTTTAATGAAGTTTCACAATTGTATTTCATTCCTGTTGCCTTCTATTTTGTACTAACCCATTTAGAAAGTTCCTGATTCTGGTGGCCACATCAGTTGCTTTAAGTTACTAAAACATTTTGATTTGTAGATTCGTTTTCTTTTTGTCAAGGGCACAGATCCTTGCAGAGAAATGGGGTATATCCCCATTGTTCTTGCTGGTGATTTCAATAGCACTCCTTCAGGTTGCAATATTGTAAATTTTTTTTTTTTTTTTTTTTTTAATTTATAAAAATTTTTTTTTTTTTTTTTTTTTAATTTATAGTTGCTATTATATTTGCATTTCCTGCTTATGATAATTTAATTCAATTCTTGTCCTACTTATTTACAGAGTGCAATCTACAAGTTCTTGGCTTCATCAGAGGTGAACAATTTTTTTAAAAGTTTTTTAATGTATTAGGATCATCTTTGCTGTGGAATTATAGTACTTTAACAACAATTTTTAGGTTCTTGATTGAAATTTGAATTGTTCTGTTTGCAGTTGGATATTATGTTATATGACAAAAAAGAGCTGTCTGGGCAGAGGAATTGTAAACCTGCACAAGTTTTTGGTGTCAAGAAAGAAATGGGGAATCCATTCTCTTTGATGGACAGGTCTTTATCCATTTTCTTTACTATAAATAGTGCACTAATTATGATAATAACATAGGCACAAACAAGGAAAAGAGGCGATACAAACAGTATATATACAAATCAATTTGTTGCAAGTCTATCTTGATGAACAATGAAAATTTTTATTCTTGGTAATTTTATAGTTTAGGATTTAATTTTACAATTTTATATTTTAAAATTAATTGACATGCAACCATCATATAGTTTAGGATTAAGCTGCTGCAGTCTGCAGCTTTTAATCTTCGTTTTAGTTGTTATTTATTTCGTTTCTCTTGCACAGGAAGCCTATCCAGAACATGAACTGTACTTACTCTATTTTCAAGCAATTCAAGTCCATTGGACATGGATATCTTGTTCCTTCAGTAACATCTCAAAATATACTAGTACTTTTCATTTCAGATATTTGAAGAATTGTTGGACCAATGAAGAGATTAAAGCTGCAACTGGCAACTCCAAGTGCCAATTGCTTTTGCATCCTTTGAAGCTTAGCAGCTCCTATGCCACAGTTAAGGTCTCTAGGATTTTACTTCTGTTAGCTTTTGGTGGCTCATCATTTGCACTATGGCTAAATATTTTATGTACTATGAAAGCATCCTCTAAGACAAGTTATTTGAAAAATCTGTGGACTGCATTATATAATATTTTCAGGGCTCTACAAGAACAAGGGACTTACATGGTGAACCTTTAGCTACTTCCTACCACTCAAAGTTTCTTGGTACTGTAGACTATTTATGGTAAAGACCTCTTCTAAAAGTCTCTGATTACGTTGATGATGAGACTACAACAATTCTTGCATTTGGTACAGGTACTCAGATGGTGTAGTACCTATACGAGTTCTGGATACTCTTCCGTTTGATATTCTCAGGAGGACGGGTGGCCTTCCCTGCGAGGTAAGAACTATATAGATGGCAATAACAATTCAGTAATAACTAATCAAAGCTTTTCCATTAAAGGAGAAAATCCTATCTTTTATTTTCCTTTTCCCTGGTGAGAAACCAACTACTGAATGCTGTTATCTTTTTGCAAATTAAAACCTCAGGCCATCTTGGAAATTAGTTTTCTTCTTTTTTTTCCTTTAAATGCGTCAATTTTTGTCTCTAAGCAAGTGTATAGGATATGATACTCTATTTATCTTTTGCTTTCCTTCTTTTTGAAGTTTAAGCATAGAATAATATTGCTGATATTTTCATGACATAGTGAGTGGTTTTCTAGGTGATATAATATATTAGTGGTTATCTTCAAACCCCGACATTAATGAATTTTCATTCATACCCTTCTTTCCCAAAAGCGAGTTCTTCTTTTTTCAATCATTATGAAATGAGTAATCTCACGTTAAGAGCAAAATTCTATTTTTAGGCATTTGTAATGGTATTACATAAAGAGAAAATTCGTTTCCTAAGGTGAGACCATCTGCGCATGGACATTCACAAAATGAATATGCATAAATTATATGATGGCACTAATTAAGGTTCTGAACTGCATTATTTGGTTATTTTGTGCATCAAGATACAATTTCTGTTATTGAATGTCTCTCTCTATATTTGAATCCAACCCTTTCCCTATACAGAAACTGGGAAGTGATCACTTGGCTCTAGTTTCTGAGTTTGCATTTACACAAATAGGTAAAGAAGGCACTATCACAACTACAACAACAATCTGAGCTGCAGCCACCTCACCACCGAGAGGTGATAGTGAGTCGACATAACGGATGTATGTTTGTCGGCATAAACTTCCAAGAATGGAGTTTTAGACAACACGGAAATGAAATTTGACATACAGGCCACTTTCTCAATGGATTGCATTTCTAATTTGATGCATGTACAGCCACAGTGGGCAAGAAATTTGTGCAAATGTTAATGCATTCGCAGAAACAGTCAAGTGGTAACACACTTCAGAATTGCTAGAGTGCATAGACAATGTAATTTTTTCCTTGTTAAAGAAAGATAGAAGTATCTTTGCGGAATAGTATGAAATATGATGGGAAATGATAAGTAGCTATTTCTAACTTTGGCATAAAGATGGAAGCAGGGGCGTGTTTTTGCAGGTGACTGATCTGCCTCAACATGTTTTAAAGCAGGCTTGTCTATTAATTAAACGGGTTTGAGACAGGTACAATATTAAATTTACCACATGTCGTAGATATGGATTGGGTTCGGGTTTAAGACTTCCGGTACGGTATTTGCATACCCGCATATCCAAAGTATTTGATTTGGTTTGTTACAATTTCTCTCTCCAAGTGATAAGTTACAATGCCCGTTTTTCCCTCATTCAACTATTTCATGCAAATATTCGTATGTGATGTATATTGTTTTTGAATCATAACCAATGAAATAGTTTATGTTTGTAAATAAAATTAGTTATTTTTCATTTGCAAGACAAAAATACTCTTTCTTTTTTAATTTTAAATTTACAATAATCAAGAGCTCCACTCTTTGAAAAGGATTGGGAAAGTTTTGCTTTCCTTTAGCGTGTTTGAAGCCTGTACTAATTGCAACGTAAACATAAATTACAACGGCTGGCTCACATCTATCGAAAATTAATGGTAAATGCTGAACGCGATACATTAATATTCACAAAGACAAAAATGGAAATATTAATTATAGAAGCCGAATCACAGAGGCGGAGACAAATTTGCATCAAGAACATGGGCCTACCGTTCAAGTCCCAAACTAAAAACTTAAAAAAAAAAAAAAAAAAATCCCAAACTAAAAAACACATCACGGAGGAGCCAGGGGTGGCTCCCACCCCCAACCAAAAAAAAAAAAATATTGAAAAATTTCTTTTTACTGTTTAAAACAGTAAATGTTCTCAATTTTTTCCCTTTTTAACCCTTGAAATTTTTTTTAGCCCCACAATTTTAGCTTCTGTCACTGCCGTGTTAGATTAACAATTGCAATGGCTAATTAATGTAATGTCAACGGAAGCGTAACACTTCCACTGGAAACATTGACGGTGTGAAAATTATTAATAACAATAATAAAAAAATAGGGCATTATCTAACGTGGCTTACCATTATGTGTGATGCGTGTAAGTTTAAAAAGTAGCTAGCCACGTTTATATGGCCGACTGACATTTTACCCATGCACGCGCTCTGATTGGACCAAAAAAAAACACAGCCGTCCACTTTGCATCAACGGCCCACAGCAAATTCGTGTCCACGTGTGCAAGCTTTATCCATCTCTCGTAAACTAAACCACTCAGCACTGACTGCTTACGTGTCCTTTACTTGCCAAAAGTAGGAATCTTCAGGAAAAAGACACGTATCCCCTCTGTCCAACGAAATCTGTCCACGTGTACTTGAAGTTAACAAAAAATCTGACTTTGAAAAAGAGTTTATAAAACAATTAACCGACTCTCTTTTGCAAGGCAAGAATCGCCGTTGTTTAGCGTTTTTTCTCCGAGAAAATCGGGCAAGGAATCCGTTTTTCTAAATCCTCTCAAAATCTTTCCTGAATTTCGTAATCCACACTTTTCTCTCTCTGTTTCTTTCTTTTTCTTTTCAATTTCTTGTTTGGATTTCGATTTCAATTTGGAGGATTTGGATTTCCGATTCAACAATCATATATTGGAGGTTTAAATTATGCAGCGACTCGTCGACACCGTCCTGGCTGTGGCCAAAGAGTGAGTCGCTTCCCTTATACATATAAAGATTTCCATATATTTGTATTTTGAATTCGATTTTTGAGTTGTTGAAGAGAAATGTTCTTAACATTTGTGTTATTGTGGTCAATATTTAGATATATTAGAATTTCATATATTTATTTAAATTCTGTTATGAATTCTTGCAATTCATCCTTGTAAAATGTATTGGCTGTTACTAGTGCTTCTTTCTTAGGAGTTTTTGTTTTGGTTTTTAGTGCAGGTCGGTGAAGACGTTCACTTACGAGTCTCTGCATAATATTGTGAGGCTGATAAATGGATTTTCGGCACTTTTGTTGACATTTTTGCCAGGGAAAGCAAATATTCTTGAAGGTATTCATGGCTGGGAGCTTAGGCCAACTTTTCGTGGACCTCGATTCCCTCGCTGGATGGACAAGTATGTTTAAACCATTATGGTGAAATTTTCTTTTTGAATGATCCATTGGGATCTTTCTTTTTGATGCTGGTTGACTTCTCTAGAAAGATTGTGCCATGTTTATTTCATGCATTTGCTCGAGTTGTATTTATCTACGGTTCTACAGTTGTTAGAACAGGGGGATTATATAGGAATTTCTCTTTATGGGATCCATTTCGTCGATTTTTATAGCAAGGAGGTTTACTTTTAGTATTGATCTAAGCGGACCTGAAAATTTTATTTTCGGGTTTTTCTTCTCTATTTTGTTGCAAAGTTCGGTTAATCACTGCTAACTTGGGGTAAGTTTATGAATCCCCGAGTCAATTTCCAAGACAGAATATATGCACTATAACCTCAAGAATACCATGGGAAAAAAAAAAAAAAAAGACTTTTAGTATTGAATCTAAAGCGGACCCTGAAAATTTTATTTTCGGGTTTTTCTTCTCTATTTTTTGTTGGCAAAAGTTCGGTTATCACTGCTAACATGTGGGGTAAGTTTATGAATCCCCGTCTATTCCAGACAGAATAATAATGCACTATAACCTTCAAGAATAACCAATGGGGAAAAAAAAAAAAAAAAAGAGGTAGGCTAAACTTGGATGCTTCCTGAACCAATTTCATTTATCTTGGGTGTATCCAATACAAAGAGGAGAAATATTATGAGGAAATCCACTGTGAATGGAGAAGGGGGATAATAACTTTTATGTACAGAAGTCCTTGAAGGAACTGAAAGAATTTTTTTTCCCCTTAAATTGTCTAATTATGAAAGTGAACACAGAAAAAGCAAAAAACATATTGATAGAGGCCAACGTTACTGAAGTGAGAAATGTTGAGTGAGATTTGCCCCAAAAAAAAAAAAAAGGAAGAAAAAAATATGGTTGGCAGGATAGAAAGTATTTAATTTAGGGAATGAATGCTCCGATACATCACATAGAGGATAACGTTGAGAGATGGAGTAAAGTTAAATCTTTCTCTGCAGAAAAAATAAAAAAAAAAAAAAAAAAAGAGGTAGGCTAAACTTGGATGTTCTGACCATTTCAATTATCTTGGGTGTATCATACAAAGAGGAGAATATTATGAGGAAATCCATGTGAATGGAGAAGGGGGATAATACTTTTATGTACAGAAGTCCTTGAAGGACTGAAAGAATTTTTTTCCCCCCTTAAAACTTGTCTAATTATGAAAGTGAACACAGAAAAGCAAAAACATATTGATAGAGGCAACGTTACTGAAGTGAGAATGTTGAGTGAGATTTGCCAAAAAAAAAAAAAAAAAGGAAGAAAAAATATGGTTGGCAGGATAGAAAGATTTAATTTAGGGAATGATGCTCGATACATACATAGAGGATAAGTTGAGAGATGGAGTAGTTAAATCTCTGCAGAAAAATAAAAAAAAAATCAAGAACACGAAAAGGAATATAGATGCATGGTTTTAGAAAAGCAAACAAATTCATGTGATGCAAGAAAATTAGGGAAGAAGTAGACCTAAAAATGATGTGCATTTGAACATGAGAAAGATTATACAGAGTAGAAGGAAGTATGCATCTGAGTACGAGTGTTCCACCGAAAAATCTATTCCATCTAGCTTTCAATCAGGTTGGAATTTGGAGGTGGCAGTTGATTTAATCATGATCAGAATATAAATTATAAGTGATTAAATGCAAGAAATTTGAGTACCAAGTACTCAACCTATGTATTTGTTGATAAATTGAGAACTTTTCTTTAGTTTGATGAGAAACTATTTTCAGGATTTGTTAATTTTTTGCCAACCTGCATCATCCCCATAGGTCAGGATTTAGCCTATTGCTTGTGGAAGTGGTTTTCTTCTGAGCAGAAAAATCCAAAAACCAGATTCATAGTCTTTTTTCATCCTTGTCCTTTTTACCCGATCTTTCTGATTTCTTTGCTTCAATTCTCAATCTATAGGGCATAGCAATTTGGATTGGGTAGTCATATTGGTTATGACTTTGAATTTACATCTGGATATTTTGTGCTCGACTATCAGTGGCTAATTATATCTTGACATCACTGAGACTGAATTAATTATTTGAATTAGACCAATTTAAAATTTGATGATTGAAAGCTTAGAAAAAATAAATAAATAAAAATTAGGGTGATTGATGCTGCTTATGACCTGCTCACTGTGTTTTCACCACTATCTCTCTTGTCAGTGATTAACTTATTACTTGCATTTTGGGTGGTTATTGTACCACAGAGATTCGTTAGAGATTTTTTTTTTTTTAACTGGAAGTTCTAATTTTTGTTGGTAACTTGTTCATTTTTTTTCCTTGTGATGATGATGATGATGATAGTGGGGTGTCCTCTTTCAACAAATTCATTCATGAACTGTCCGTGGATTCTGGTACATCAAGCCCAGATTACTCATCAGCAGAAGAGGATGGTGATGCAGTATGTCCTCCGTCACCGTCTTCTTATAGTTCACGAATCTCCCGTGCCAGTTCTTTCACCAGGAATGGTGGACACTCAACAGGATTTATTATGCTCTTATTCTCTTGGATTCTCTTTCCCGTGAGGTTTCTGCTGGGAATACCATTATGGCTTTGTCATTTATTTTACAAAAGGGGGTCAACAACCTACTTAACGAGGGGAAGCAACAAGCCTTCACGATTGCATTCAATTAGAAGAATGCATGTTCCAAAGGATCATGTTATTCATCGTGCCACTGACAGGAGACGTGGAGTCATTGAGGTTTCTGCAATAACTTCAATATGTTATCCATCTTTATTCTTTTCTTTATATTTTAATCCCCTTTGCCTCTTATGTTTTTTAATTATCTGATTCTTTCTTTCTTTCTTTTTTTATTATTTTTATTTTTATGTTGGCTCTGTAGGATCTTCATTTGGCTATTGAGATATTCATAGAGGCTATATTTGATTTTTTTCACAAAGCTGCACATCTTGTTCTTTCACCATCAGAAGTTTTGAGAGTACTGTATAGATGGTTTTCATATCAGAGCAGCGGCAACGAAGACATTTGCAATAGCATTTCAGATGAGTCTGTCCCTACAGCTACACTTGGAGAGGATGATCCAGCTATTACAGAAAAGAAAACTACTTTCCAACAGTCTCTAAATACAGATGCGAGGACATGTCAGGATGTCATAACAGAGCTTGGGTAAGGGAGCTGCCTAGTTAACTTACTCACCTTATTCTACATGCTCTACTTGTGCTCTACGAGTTTCCATTTCTCTATCTGTTTTAGGTACCCATATGAAGCCATTCGGGTGATCACTTCTGATGGATATGTTCTTCTTTTAGAAAGGATACCTAGGTATTATTTGTTTCTTCTTCATTCAAAAGAGTTAATTTGCTTTAAGGCCTGTTGTCTGAAGCTGCTGTTTGATACTGCAGGCGTGATTCACGGAAAGCTGTTTACCTTCAGCATGGGATCTTGGATTCAGCCATGGGGTGAGTTAGTTCTCTTTGGTTTAATAATGATTTGTACAAGGGCAAAGTGGTTCCAGTTTCTTTAAACAGGAGATATTATATCAGCATTATAAACATACAATGGTTTGGGAGTCTTCCCCCATAAATTAGATGTTCCGTTGTTCAATCATCCTATTTGAGATGTATACCTGCTTATGCGTTTTGTGGTCTCTGAATAATATTGCTTAACTTGAAATGAAGTGGAACTTGGTCACTCCGAATTTGGGTTTTCTCGCACTCTATGGGAGTACCTAAAACAAGTGATTTTTCCAAGTAGTAGCTATGCTCTTGTTCACCTATATCAGGAGTCTGCTCCTGTCTACTCCAATGTTTTACTCCCTCCGTCTCATCTGTTTGCATGTTATCCTTTACTGGATGTTCCAAATTGTTTGCAAGGTTCCTAAATTTATACATATAAATAATTATTTTTTCTATGATAACCTTTATGATTCTTCATTAAAGGAAAAATTTCTATTGATATTTTAATAAAGCTAAGGGTAAAAAAAGGGCAAAATGACTTTTGTTGATTAAATTCTTAATATGGCGTGTTTTGTCAAACCATACAAACAAAATGGGACGGAGGGAGTATATTTTAACATACTTAAAACTGGACAATTAGATGCAGGTGGTTGGTAGCCTTTTGGACTTTGGAACTGCAGCTTCTTTCTAACTTTTCCCTCCTTTTATAAGGTTACTCTTTTAATGACTAGCACAGATCTTTTTAAATCGAACATATTGTATTTAATTAGACTAATCACTGGTAAGCTTTCTTTCATCTTGTCTCATACATTCACTTCTTTTCTTTTTGTTGTCCAGATGGGTGTCTAATGGGGTTGTTGGTTCTCCTGCTTTTGCAGCATATGATCAAGGTTGGTAACATTTGCCTCAAGACTTTATGGATCTTCTAATGCATTATTATTAAGATTGAGGCACATGCTGCTGCTTTCTTATATTGCAGGATATGATGTTTTCCTAGGGAATTTTCGAGGTTTAGTTTCTCGGGAACATGTTGACAAGAACATTTCCTCACGGAAGTAAGTAGACTTGGTCCTTTTGTTGTTTTTAACACTGGAGGTTGAATTGGAAGGAAGATGTTTGGGAATAGGAACAATATCCATAAAAGTTCTCCCAGTTGTTTTGTTGTATTTGATAAAAATTTGTATATGTTGATCGATTAATTGAAAGTAGCAAATCAAACATAGGTATTGGCAGTATTCCATCAATGAGCATGGCACTGAGGATATTCCAGCAATGATAGAGAAAATCCACCAAGTTAAAACTGCGGAACTGAAGATTAGCCAGCCTGATCTTGAGGAAGAAATAAACGGTGATCAGCCTTACAAACTCTGCGCAATTTGCCATAGCTTGGGAGGAGCCGGCATGCTCATGTATGTTATAACGCGTCGTATTGACGAAAAGCCGCACAGACTGTCCAGATTGATTTGTTTGTCACCTGCTGGTTTCCATCATGACTCCAATCTAGCATTTACAGCTGCAGAGTATCTGCTCCTTGTGCTAGCCCCTATTCTGGCACCTATTGTTCCCGGCATATACATACCAACAAGATTCTTCCGGATGTTGCTAAACAAGTTGGCTCGGGATTTCCACAACTACCCTGCAGTTGGAGGACTGGTTCAAACCTTAATGAGTTATGGTGCTGGTGGAGACAGCTCAAACTGGGTAGGAGTATTAGGGTTGCCACACTACAATATGAATGACATGCCCGGACTATCATTGTATGTGGCCCACCATCTTGCACAAATGAAACATGCAAAGAAATTTATAATGTATGATTATGGAAGTGCATCTGCCAATATGAAGGTGTACGGATCACCGAAGCCTTTGGACTTGGGCGAATTCTATGGACTTATTGATATTCCTGTGGATTTGGTTGCTGGGAAGAAGGACAATGTGATTCGGCCTTCGATGGTCCAACAGCATTATAGGTTAATGAAGGATGCAGGTGTGGATGTATCATATAGCGAGTTTGAATATGCTCACTTGGACTTCACATTTTCCCACCATGAAGAGTTGTTAGCCTATGTGATGTCCGCTCTGAAGCAAGCATTTAATCAGAAGACCTCAAAGTTGAAGAGAAAAGGGCAGACACATACTTCTTAATGGATGAACTATATACATGTTGTATCTTTAGAAACAATGTTGTATATGATTGAGTGGGTAACTGAATAGATCCAATTAGATCTATCTATACACCTTCCAGTCCAGTGTAATTATTGATAGAGCAGCAGAATGTGTAAGCTCCGTGGGGAAATATGATTCACATCCCAATCGGAAGTTGCAGTCAAAACTTGTATATTTGATGTAGGAGAGTTGCCTGTTGGTGCTCTGTAACATTTGTATTGCAGAGAAATGATTTCTGAATGTCGATGTCTCTCTCTTTTTCTTTTTTTCCCGGTCTTGGTTTAACAATGATGATTTGTTTGTACATAGAGACGATATTAAGTTGCTATATTGTATTCTGGCCTGTAGAATCTTCAATTCAGGCTGTATTCTAATACTTCAATTGCTAATAATATTGCTGGAGAGATTATATTGTTTGTTGCAAAATTAGTGATGGTAATCAAATTTTAACGTACTAATGATAGTTAAATGAACTTTGAATAGAAAATTAGTGATGGTAATAAAAGTTAAAAATGTAGAATGAGTGCTGAAGGAGCTCGCTTGTTGATAATTTATTTTAAATTATCATATGAATTGTATAAAGAAATGTGGAATAGCTTATTAGCTTATAGCGTCGTATTATAGCACTGTCGTTCGAGTTTCTTCTATTATAGAAATTCTGTGTGAGGAAGAATTAAGTGGACGCCAATCCCAAACAAATTTTTACCTACAAATTTAGAGGTACGAGATTTGGAGTCTTGCAATATTACGAGAACAAAACGTAAATTCACTATTATTGCGACATTTCACCTGAATATTATCTCAGCGGATAACTCGAGTGTACACAGAAAAAGTAAAAAAAAACAGAGAGAGAGAAGTTTATCTAGGAAAGAAAATGATTTTTTTTTCTTTTTAAATAAGAAAATGAAAATAAAGCGAGAGTTCTGTCCGCAAGCTTTAAACGGTGCGGTTTGAGCCAGAGAAAAAGAAAACGCAGAAACAAAGTCGCCGTCTGTCTCCGAAAAGAAGCAGTGAGAAAGGGAAATTATGGTGCTAGACGCGGTGAAGTGGGGTTATATACGGATCATCACTGGCACGATTCTGGGTGGCATTCTCGGCTTCTACGTTATGCACCGCACCGAAGTCGGCTACAAGGTCTCATTCTTTTTTTTTTTTTTTTTTTTTTTTTTATTATGGTGGCTAGAACGCGGTGAAGTGGGGTTAATAATTACGGGATCATCACTGGCACGATTCTGGGTGGCATTCTCGGCTTCTACGTTATGCACCGCACCGAAGTCGCTACAAAGGTCTCATTCTTTTTTTTTTTTTTTTTTTTTTTTTTTTGTCTCTTCTCTGTAAAATTAGGAAACTCAAATTTTTAAACCTTTTAAAATTTTTTTTTTTTTTTTTTTTTTTTTTGTCTCTTCTCTGTAAAATTAGGAACTTCAATTTTTAAACCTTTTAATTTTTATTTTTTCCAGCTACTGAGAAAATAATTTAGCTTTGGGGGGTTACAATAACTAGTGCGTGATTCTATTTGTTTGGATTTGCAGGAGAAGATGAATGAGAGATTGAAAAAATATGAGAGTGAATTGAAGAAGAAAGAGAAGCTGGATCAGCTTGAAGACTCCATTTAGTTTTTTCTTTTTTAATTTCAGTTTAGTTTTTAATTTTCTTTTCCTGCTTGGTTACTGAGAAAAAGTGAACAGAAGCAAACCTACCAATCTGAAATACAAGAAGGCAAGGGATTTGAAGCTGTGTATTTTGGATACTAAAATTGAATGTGAATTGGCTTGGAATTCGGTATAAATTGTATCATTTCTCTGCCTTGGTTATTGCAGTTTTCTTTCTTCTGCAAGTTGTTGCTTTACAGTGGAGTTGAGATACAATTCTGATAGAATGCCCCTTCATCTTTATCAATCATCCACTAAACTTCACAGTAATTTGGGATTAAAGGATTGCGTTCTTGAAAATTCTTAGTTTTATACCTTATATTATTATTATTATACGCATCCTGCTCTTGTAGGTGTCTTTGGAGTTATTTCATGCAATAGATACTAAAACTAGAAAGGAATTTGACAGTGCCTCCCATTTTAATCACTTTGTATACGAAGTGAAAATGAAACTATTCAGTCTTGTTACTTGTTATATGAACTTCTGGATCTTTGATGCAGGTGCAATTTTCTGAGGCTATTTTACTTTATTTCACTTTACTTTTAGGAGGAAAAAGAGAGAATGAAAGATCAAGTCTGGAAAGAAGAGGAGTTAGGAAGATTTTGTTGTGATTTTGGAGTTGAGATGTGATTAATCTGAGACCAGATGTCTGTCCTTCAAAGCATTGTTCTGGTCTGGTCAGAAATTGGGCAAGATGATCCAATCTTTAGTTCAGATGAAACTATTTATCTGCTGAACCAGCCAATATTTGTTAAATTTATAACATTGTTGAGCCAGTATGGTAGCTGAAGAGTGAAGATATTTGTTTCTGAGAGAATCAGATTCACAGAAGAAGGTAATCAAGGGACTTGCATGAAAGGAAGCAATGTTGTGAGGAATTCTTTTGCTTTCTGTTCGAAATTCTTTGCTATAGCTGCTCTCCTCCACCCTTCTCTCATCATCCCCTCTTATCTTTCTCTTCATATTAGCCAATGTACTAATTGTTTTTTTCCCTTGATTGAATGGCAACAACTTTGCCTGTGTGAGCTTAGCAAAGCATAACTGGTACCAAACCCGGTTAAAAGAAGAGGGTTGTCGTAGATTAACGGTCAGTATAAAAGATAATCAAATTGGTGAGTATAAAGATAATCAAATTCCAACTAGTTTGGATTAAACTTTATTATTATTGTATAGACACCATGTTATCTGAAATTGCACATCAAAAATGTTTCGTGTCCTGGACTCGTTCAATTTCTGGAATTTTACGGCTTTTCCATCCAATTTGAGGCCTCAAAATGTTATAATTCTATTACCTCTGTCATTTATGCCATTTCGGACAAGCGGATCATTTATGACGAAGAGGATGAGTTCCAAGAGAATGATCCATAATCAATGCAGATCATTTATAACGAAGAGTATGAGCTTCAAGAGAATGATTCGTAATCAATTTCTAGGAGAGACACGGTTGACTGCATTAAAATCAATGCAGATCATTTATAACGAAGAGGATGAGCTTCAAGAGAATGATCTGTAATCAATTTCTAGGAGAGATACGGTTGACTCCATTAATCAATCTCCGTAACTATGACGTTAAACAGATTTCAAGATTATTCTTTTATCTATTATTATAATACACAGAAATCAGCTCATAATGCTAATTGATTAAGAGAAAAATAATTTGTGTTATGTTTTCAGAAGCAACATTGAATGATTTTTGGAATATTCCAACCTTGGTATGTTTATTTCAGGTCTTCGACCAGCTTGAAAGTCATCATCAATTTAATTTATTTATTTATAAAAATTATACATATTACCCAATTTTTTCATTAAAATTGTTGAAATTTAAAAGAATGTCATTTTATATTTTTATTAATTGAAAATATATTGAAAAAACTAAAAATTTTAATTAGTGGTAATTAAAAATGTATTGAAATTTTTTCCTTTTTCATCCAACCCAGTTTTTGTCTTATCTCCTTTTTTTAGAAGTGAATAATATTTTAAGTTTACTATTTTATCTTTATTCAATATGCTTCTTTGTCAAAAAAATGTAATGGTTAAACTATTATATTATCATTATTTAAATCTTAATATAAATAAAATTAAAATATCAATATTTAATCTTCCGATAAAACTCTATTTAGTAAAAATTTGATTATAATTTGCTAAATTTTAAGAACAATTTAATAAGAATCATTTAATTTTAATGGATGCTAACACAATGGTATGTTATGGAAAAAAAAGTAGTAAAATTATAGTTTAATTAAATTAATTAAAATTTTTTTATATGTGTGCAAGTCAAATTAGAACAAAAATTACGAGCACAGTGAATATTTAATAAAAACAATTTGTTTCAGAAGAGCATAACATAAAACAAAAAAAAAAAATTAAATTGAAGAAAAAATTTATTTCAATTACTTTATTTATTTTTAAATAAAGAAATTATTTTTTTAAAATAAAATAAACAAAATTTTAAAATTAAAGCAAAGGATTTTTAACGAGCATAAAATTGAACGAAAGCCATTGTAGAAAACGCGGGAAATTAGAAAAGCAAAAGCTCACAGTAGAACAATGGACGAGTCAGGCGCGATTCTCTGCTACATCTCTTCACTTAAGGACATGCTCGATCAAGTATTCCTATTTTCTCTTCTCTTCCTTGTAATACTAATCTAGGGTTTTCTTTTCATCAGTTCCAATGCTTCACTGAATTATTGTTATTATTATTTTTCACTTATAAGGTAAATGAAGAAATAGAGGCAAATATTCAAATAACTCGAGAGATCGAGTCAGAGATCGTGAAATGCACAGAGTTGGAATCGACATTCTTCGCCAGAGAATCAGAGCTAACGAAGACGCTTTATGTCTCTCAATTTGAGATCAATGGACTAGTCTCCGTCACCAGTAAGAGCTTTTTTTTTTTTTTTTTTAGATCGTGAAAATGCACAGAGTTGGAAATCCGACATTCTTCGCCAGAGAATCAGAGCTAAACGAAGACGCTTTATGTCTCGCTCATTGGATTCAAAATGGACTATTTTCTCCGGCACCAGTAAAGAGCTTTTTTTTTTTTTTTTGTGCGTTTTCTTTGCTTATTATATTCAAATCAGTTTTTAGAGCTTTTTTTTTTTTTTTTTGTTGCGTTTTCTTTGCTTATATATTCAAATCAGTTTTGAAAAAAAAAAATTTAATTTATTTATTATATTTTTTATGTTTTATATCAGTATGCATTTAATCTGAATTGATATTTTTGTTTCAATAATATACAGATGAAGCAAGAAAATCCGTAAAATTGTTGGAGGAGGAATTGTGTAGTTTAAGAACAAAGAGGGAGGAGATGCTTAAAGGAATGAACAATAAAAGGTAATTAAGTCTTGATGCTTATGCCTTTGGATTTTGTATAATTCAAATTAAGTTTTGTATTCTTTTGGGACCAGAAACACTTTGTAATACATATGGCCATACTATTGCAAAAATGGTACCTTCGCATTTCTTTTACTTCTTTTCAGTTCTGGCAGGTGCATTTAACCTTTTTAGAGTTTCAAACGTTACACGCTTTGAATATTTTGCCAATTCTTATTTTAGCTTTCTTTACAGCAGTAGTATCTTGTGGGTGACGATGAAATCCGTACATTATATTACAATAAAAAGAAAGTGCGAATATGCAATTTTAGTGTCCGATTATGAAATTTTATCCTTTTCAAGTAAATTCAGAACTACAGTTCTTAAGAATTTAATTTTGTTGTGCTAATGTTCAACTGGTTCCAAACATGTTTTCTCATCTGCACAAAATATCAAGTAGCATTTATATATGAGTAGAACATCTATTACATGCCCTTGTCAAAGATGATTCCCACAGAATCATTTCATCTCTTGTGATTTTTACGGCTTTAAAAATTCTTTGTAATCTAATTAAACGTTCAACAGAGTTTTGGGAAATTAAGAATAGGTCATTTAGGTATTCACATTTTTCTTTAAATTGTAGAACCATAGCTACAAACAAAGTTTCTGAGTTTTGCCTTTATCTCAAGATTCGTGATGCAAATGAGCTGCGAAAAAGAAAATATTGGGGTGTATTTGTTACTTTTAATTATTTTGTTTTTTCATGTCAATATGTTTAGGGGGCTTTACTGAAGTATTCCATTTAGGTAGTACAGAGTTTTTCTTTAGTTATATTAATATTAACTTAGTTTTGCTTATTGTTGTTGTATGTGGATTTTCTTATTCTGTAATGAGTGTTGGAGCGTACATGAATGACTATATAACTAACACAGATAAACATTGGATCTACTTCCCGTTGTGGTTCTTAGCTCCTTCTTTTGGTTAATGTTATTCTTGCGTAGACACTGATACTGAAATGTTTCAGTCCTGTACAGGGAACAGTTTTCCATGCTGTGCCTAGAATTTCAGAGGGACATTGACAAAGGAGAAAACAATGAACTTGTGAAATTGTTGTCAGAGAAAGAGTTGTTTGAGAATGAAATCAGTCTCATGGATCAAAAAAATGATGCTTTAAAGAATTCAATGTTAGCATTTGTGGAAGAAGTTCTTCAAGATCTTCAGGATTCAAACTCTGGTAATGGATATTACTATACGTACCCAGGATATCCTTTGCTTCTTCTGTTTAAAGGCATCATTGCTTCGAACCCTCCTTGTTTTAGTATATTCTTGTTCTTGCTTACAGCCTTTCACTTCCATTTAGTTCTCTAGGTTAGTTGTGCTACTGTCTTAACATAATACTACTCTGATGTGTTAATGGAACAAATATGCTTTGCATAACTCATATAAATACATTTCTTGATTGATTAATTCCATCCTTTTTTGTTTATCCATATTTCAGCCCTAGGATAATAAATTTGTCTAGACAAAAAATTAAGGCTATAATCATGGGAGTATTTTTATAGCGAGAGACCTTTAAAGTGATGTTGGATTTTTTTCAGACTTATTTTCTCTTGTTTCTGGTCTCATTGATTAGTGCTTTTGAATCATCCAACATTTAGTTTCATTGGATTAGGTAGAAGTTGCCCCATTAATATTATACTAGTTGACTTTTATGTTTTTTGATATTTCTTTGTCCATTTATTTGAGGGATAGTTAGATATTGTAGATGTTTAGAAAGAAATATATTTGATAATACTTGAGCTGCTAGTGATCTTATTGAAGTTGTTAAATTGCAGCTTTACATGTTGAGATACAGAACAGGAAGCACGAGAATGAGAAATTGCTCAAAGACATTGATGATTTGAAGACTACATTACATTCAAGTTTCAATCACAATCATTCCTAATCACTAATGGTGAGCAATTTGATATGACTATTTTCTAGTTACTTGTATCTCTTTTATGCTACAATTATGGTCTTATGCGAATATAATATGAAGTGGGCATATGTTCATTTGATGTCTTACTAACTTTCAAAAGTGGAAGTTGAACAACCAAATGGAAAAGACTATAGAAATGCTATCACAATGTAAAAGATTTATTTGATCTGGTTTTCTTTTTACCATTTTTCTTCCTTTCTTTTTGCTTTCATTTTAAGGGTGGTGGATGGAGAATGGGGATTTGGTCTGGTGCTTGTTCTTCAATTTTTCAATTGGGACTTTATATATAAATTGCAGCTGCTGTTGAGAGAAACAACTTCTTATATATATAGCAATAAAATAAAATTAAAAAAAAAAAAGAAGTAAAAAGTAAAACAAGGAAATGGAAATCCAATTCTACCGTAGGTAGTAGAATAATGTGCCAAAATCACACCATCATCTAATATAATAGTCAGGCATTAGAATCCAAATTCACAGATTTTCAAGGAGTTTGGTGTGCCTAGAGGCTAGAGCTATGGTAGTTAGGTGTAAAACTGGTATAATATACATTTATTGTTAAGATCAATATATGTTTATTATTCAATCTCTTTTGTGCATTCGTTTTCATTTATTATAATGAACAGCTTTTGCTATAAGAGTAGCTTCGCACACTTTGGCACCAAGTACTGATTTCCAGAAACTGTGCGTGTGTAATGCAGGATGAAGTATAATTACCAGATGCAGTAGCAAGGTCATCATCAATTATATTTCCCCTCTTGCAATACCTACTTTAGCTGGAGCCTTATCCATCAAGCACACAAACATTTCGCGAGGTAATTGATTAAAGTATCTTTACCAGTCATAATGTTGTGAACTGCGGTAAAAACTAAAAAGCTTAACAGTACAGTAGTTGTACTGTGCTTTATTAAAGTTGGACTGTTTCTGCTCAAAATTTTGACTGATAGAATCTCAGGTAGAGGAGCTACCAAGCTAACAAGCTAACTAAGCTTTTGCAGTGATACAGAATTCATTGACAGTTGGTATTAGGGTACCGAGTCACATGCAGGGGAAAGACTGGTCAAACTTTTGACTTCCATAACTTGTAGAATCGTTATGCAAATTTCCTTTTCATTTATCAGTATTTGGGTAGGGTTCTGGCTACAGTGTAAGTTTTGCAACAGACTCGCCAAGCGTTCGTATGTTGGGTCACCTTCATGTAGGGGTCGGTTTTGGGTAAGTGTTTTTGGCCATTTATTAGATGCTTACCAACTAAGGGACATTTTTTATATAACAGAGAGGTAGATTTGCACAGGAAAATGATTAGATAAGTGGTGTATGACTGATCTTTGTTTTATGGTTCTCCCTTTTTACAAATACATGGATCATATTTAGTGGGTTCTACATTTTATGTGAGATGGAAATGGTTCTTGTTTGCATCAAGTAGATAAGGATTTGTCATGAAAAATTGTTGTTCATAGTTGAACTTTGACCTCTAGTATTAGCAATCATTTAATTTTATCCATAATCCATAATCCATAATTGGAATGGTGGTTGCCCTTCATAAGTGTTTTTTGCATATATTTGTAAAAACCCGATAATTGAACTCCAATGCACCTCACCGTTTGAGTCACGTCTTAATTTTGATTTTTATTTTCATAAGGTTGTTGTTAGATTTTGGTAGAATTTCAAACATATCAATGCTTAGAAGTTTTATTATTATAGTTCTATAGTTATGATTAGGCTTAGGACAATAGTGGCTTATTGAAATAAAAATCTAGTTATTTTATAGGAAACCATTGATTTTCAATAATCATAACATCGATGAGTGCAACGTTCATGGATAATATTTAGCTTTTCAAGGGCCAGAGTTGATGAGGTTCTTCTCATCCTAGATGTGCACCACAACCATTGACGGCATCTAATGATGTTTCAAGATGAAGGATTTCATATTTTAGTGCTTTTGTCAATTCATGAAATAGTATGAGAATATAATAATCATAATTTTGACTTAGATTATATAAATATGAAATAATTATTAATAATTTTCAAGATAAGTGAAGACCAGGTCATTTCATAATTATGCAATAAGAATTTCGTCACGTCCAGTAAACTTTTTGATAGGCAAAAACAGCTTTTTTTTTTTTCAAAAATCGGAAAAAGTATTTATATATTGATCTTTCTTAGAACCTATAAATATGAAATGTTTCTTATGTTGAGTATTTATTTTATTTCAATTTATAGAGTGAAAATTTGAAGCAAGAGAGAAGAATAGTCATCAGCCAGTGCGTTCATCGTTTGGCCATAGTTAATCTCCCAGACTCTTTGGTAGGTGCCACAAAACACACTCTCTTCGCTCTCTACTATTTTTAGCTAATTAAAGCAATTTTGAGTTTTTTTTTTAATAATAAAATGAAAACGAAATTTGTGGGGGTAAAGAAAAAATAAAAAAGAAAGAAGTTATAAAAGCGATGGGAACCTCCATGCGTGGAAAAGATAAAAGAGAACCCAGACACAAGTAGAGGTCATGATATAAGAAATGTAAGGAATGTGGCTCAAAAACATATCATAAACTAGGTTGTCTTCCATGTCAAGGACACAGACCATGTCTGTCTCGTGAAATTCACGTGTACCCGTGATCCTGAGTTGTCCGTACTATACAGCTAAGGTCTTTTCCTATTTCTACATATTTTGTTTTATAGAAGTGTGGAAACTTTCAAACCTCCTTTTTTGGGGCTTTGGCCAATGAAACCACTCTGTTTGGGGCCTATGTTTTCATGATTAATCTCTTCATGAAATTAAACAGTGTCATCTGCATTCATGCATCATTCTCCTCTGCAAGTGTAAACCCCTCTAGTTCTAATTATTAAAGAAAAATATATTTATTTATGTCATCACGTGGGACCCCATATTTTTGCTTTATGATTTTTGAAAAAGAAATTGGAGGATCGAGAGTGGGAGATTGACCTTGGTGTTTTTTTGTTGTCCTTCGAGTAACTCAACTAGTTTAAGTCAGTGTACACCTATACTATGGTTTGAACCCTTTATTATCGGGAATTGAAAATGAACTGTGCCTTCAAGTAAATTTTATTTAAATTGGGGGTTTAAAAATTAAAATTATCTCTATTTAGAAAATTTTAACTAAATACTATTCCCAAAACTGATTATGAAAACACGTGTGCTAACAAAAACATATATATATATATATATACGCGTTTGCATGGAGTAAATGAGAGAAAATTGACTGTTTGACCTATCACTCTGAGAGGTAAAAATTGTAACTAACTGAATGGCCTTTAAAATAAACCAATTAAAATGATTTATGTTGTTTTTCGCCTAATAATTTCATGCAAAATAGAGTTTTTCCTTAACTATTAATCATAGAATAATTTACAAGTTCTATATCAATAAAATAGCTGAATTATTAGTAGGTTTGACAGCAAATGGATGCATATCCACTTCCTCTCATCCTTCATAGTCAGATAGCAACAGTACCAAAATTCAGGTCTATTCCGGTATTAAAGCAATTGCTATCAGCAGCTGTAACATTTTTTTATTTTTTTGACCACGTGAATTAAATTTCATGTGCAAATGTCACTAATATTATAGTTGGGATATTTATTAGACAGCACAGAACTATTTTTTACTGTTTATTAGATGTACAGACAAAAAAAACTTCAAAGAAAGAAGGTACATATTGCTTTTATGGTCTTCATACACCTAGGCAATCTGAATTTTGATATTAGACCTATAATTGATATACAGAATTTAGTCTCAAAGCCTTTCATGACTAGAGATTACCTTAGCTTTTTTACCAACTGAATTAGGACCATCCCCATTTCTAAACCATATATAGATCCTCTTATAAAAATATAATTAAGATAGAGTTGGTAAAAATCAACTCAGAGTTCATTTCATTTGTTACCAAATTTTTTACCAACTATTTTTAGCTTGTACTTAAATTTATTACTTTTATTATTTCATAGCCTTGTTATATTTGGAGTTCACATCAAACAAGTAAACATTTATGAAATTATACCAGAAAAAGACAAAGGGGATAGAAAAAGGGAGCTTCATTTAAATTTGTTTGGTTTCTAATACATTCTATCCTTTGAATATTGCCTGACAGTAAAATTGGAAATTTAGGGGGGCCCAAAGTGCAGTCTCTGGTGATGAATAGAGACATTATAAATGTGACCTTGATTAACCACATTTGGTTCTTTTAATAGTGGGCCCTTTTCAGCTTTGGACCACCCCCCACCTTCTTTCTTCTCCCCTATAATAAGAGCCAACTTTCTGCTCTTCTGAATCATCTCCCATAATAAGCCTTTCTCACACCCACGCTTTAACATGATCCATTCAGTACTACGTATATTATAATAAAAAAGAAGAGAAAGCATCGATTCATTTTACAACATTGTCAAAATAGAAAGAAAGAATTAGAAGTCTGTATATCGGAAAAAGAAGATAAAGATGAAGATGAAAAGTTCTGCTGTTGGAGATTCTAAGAAAAGATTGTCATGTAATAAAGGATGTAGTGGTTTACTCAGAGAAGGAAGAGGCAGGCTGTACCTTATAAGAAGATGTGTTGTTATGCTTCTTTGTTGGAGTGATTAGAAGATCTATGTGTGTGTGTGTGTATATATATATATATATATATACATATATATATCATGTATGATCATGACAGAGTGATGTATAGGGCATAAGATATTATCTCTGTTGTTAGAGGTTTTGCCTTTTCTTTTCTTTTCTTCTTTCTTTTTTTACTTTTGATGTTTATAAGCTCCTGTCTTTGCTTCTTGTCTTGTTTCAAAAGATTGAATGACAAGGGATTGGATTGGATTGGCTCCTATATAACATAACTGGTTATGCATGTGAGCTTTAATCCAATTCCTACAAGTTTGAACTTCCCCCATTTTTTTGGTAAGATACCATTGTTTTTGTCTTGTATGTCATTATAACACCAATAGTCTTTAGTTGAATCAGCTGAAATTGGGTAGTTTGCCAATTTTGGAAATTCTAGGGAGAGAGGAAGGAATGCTGAACCCTAATTTATTGCATAGCAATGTAAGAACTTGACTATTAGGTTATTGTTCTAATGAAAATGTCTTTACTTATGCTCAAGCCATTAGTAATTATTGGATTCACTGTAGTCTGGCAATCAAGAAGTAAGATGGACCAGGTTTTTATTATCAAATTAAGTCAGACTGAAAAACTCTATGAGGAATGGATTTTTTAATTTTGTTTTTTGGTACATTATTCTTAACTATAAATAAGATGTGATTGAGGTAGAATCTGTTGTTTTTCCAACATATTATATTATATGTTAGACATTCGATTATTAAGCCATTAGCGACATGAATTGTTGTTCTCTGTGCATAAGGAAATCCTACGAAGCAGCAAAATTTTTGTTTGATGTTTCAAAATATTAGGTTGTTAAATCAGGTAAACTCATCTCTCCATATCTAGAAAGGTAGAGTCCTTTATCTTTTCATTTTTGTAAGTTTTCTGAAAAACAAATTGAATATGAACTAAAACTAAAAAATCAAGGGAAGAAGAACCTTTTTCTTTTATATTGTCTTGTCAAGTTTTTCATTGGATACACTGGATAAGTTTCTAATAAGACAAATAATCTTTTAACTGCTCTTATTTTTCCTTTGCTTTTTGAAATGAAATTACTTGTTATGCACAACAAATTATTACTTGAGTGAGTAAAATATCTTTACAAATCTTAAAGTGAGGTTAATCTTATAGTGGAAACGGATATAAAAAAGAAGTAGAAATATTTTTTTTATAAGTTTTGATTTTTCAGAAAAAAAAAAATATTATAATAACAATACTGGCAATGCACCAAAAATAGCTGAAGAATGATTGAGCAAGAAAGTAAGCAATATACATAGAGATGACAAAATGTTGAAATAATAGAAGGTATTTATTTGAGAAATATAAATTTGATGCTGAAAAACATAATGTGATGGCCAAATATTAGCTGGTGAAGTAATGGGTTGGTGCCTATTAAGAACACAAACACACATGATCCACATGTATACCTTACACATTTGTCTGGCTACAGCCAATAAGCTTATGCTCGGTGCTTTGTTTATGGTCCCAAACTGCAAAACTGAAGTGGCAACATTAGCATATATATATATGGAGGGAGGGAACCATCGTATCGTCTAATCTTAATCATTTCTTTGCATGTCATGGACCAAGAACTGCTTTTTTGTTTTTAAGGTTTTAACCTTTTTTTTTTTCTTTTTATTGTTAGAGATGTTTCTGGGTTAATTGTTCATGCTCTTCAATATCCCTAAAAGGGACTGATGCTGCTGGCTTATGGGATGTAGCAGAAAGGGGTGTCTCGAGTGTCTGATAATTCAGAATATGGTATTCTCATGGATGATTGCAAGAGTCTTCAAATGGAAACAAATTTTTATAGTATTGCTTGGATTAGCAGATTTGCGAACAAGACTGCTCATGGTCTAGCTAGGACTGCTTGTTTTAACGTTTGGAATTTACTTCCAAACCATGTTTTTGTCTTATGCTTTTTAACGAAGATTTTGTTTATTCTCAATAAACTGTGGAAAATACGTTCAAGATTATTTCTAATATTTTCAGAGTGTTAAATAATTAATTATTAAATCTTAATTGATAAAGAAAGAAAGCTCTCACACTTACTAACTGAACTAACTCCATTAAATAAAACTTTCATAAATAATCATTTGTTTCTTTCTCTTTCTTTTTTTTTTTTATTTTTTATTTTTTATTTTGAAGTATTGAAGAAAGATAATTGAAACTTCGGTTTTTGCCTAAATAGATACTTATATTCGACTGTAGCACATTTTTTTTTCTCCTTTTTATCGATTTATTGTACTGTTGGCATTACAATATTGATATATAAATATTTATATACATCAAAGTATCATACAAATAAGATAATATTATATTAAATGCAAAATTAGAATTGATAAAAAAATGTTGGGAGATATTGCATTTTTTGGAATGGATCAAAATCAATGGTTTTGAAATATTCGGCTAGCACTTTATTGAAAAAACATTTTTTTTTTTATAATTATTAGTTAGTAGTTATATTATTGTAATATGTTAAATGATTATATAGAATTATTCAGTTGAATTTTCTTTTAAAAGTTGTCTAATAATACAATAAAAATTATATCTATATTTAAAAAAAAAAAAAAAAAAATAAATGCAAAATTAGAATTGATAAAAATGTTGGGACGATATCTGGATTTTTTGGAATGGACAAAGATCTGGTTTTTAAATATTTCCGGCTAGCATCTTTAGGTGTGAAAACATTTTTTTTTTAATAATTATTTGTTTTTTAGTAGTTTTTATATTATTGTAATATGTTAATGATATATAGAATTATTCAGTTGAATTTTCTTTTAAAGTTTGTCTATAATCATATAAAAATTATATCCTACTATTTAATTAAAAAAAAAAAAAAAAAACAATAAGATGAAGGGTTATATATTATTGGAATCAAAATGAATAACGTCAGAAATAAAAGAAAGCATTACTCATTGAGAGTTATATATTATTGGATGTTTATATATTATTGGAATGAAAATGAATAACGTCAGAAATAAAATATGGAGCGTTACTACCTCACTCCACCAAATTAGTCATATAAACAGTTGCTAGAGCTGACAAATGAGTAGACTGATTAGCTAATTTTCTAACAAATTCAGGCATTAGGTATTTCACATATCAAATTGATATCCATTAAAATTTGTTTGTAAATATATTTATAATTTATAATTGAATTCAAAAATACCCAATTGCTATCCCTATTCCTTTGTCATCTTCTTCCCAAAAATTAAGATAAACCTAGTCAAATCACATTTTAAGGAGATCAATTTCTTATCAAGCAACTCTCAACATTTGGTGGGACAAAACGGAAAATATCAATGGATTCCTTCGTTGAAGTTGGTGACCAATCCATATAATTATTTGCCTCATGTCCAATCAAAATTCTTTAACCCTAGCTAATTTTAAAGGATTGGTTATTAATTATTTGAGCATCTTTGTTTGTCAAAAAATGTGTACTTTTTTTTTTTTTTTTTTTTTTTTTTTTTTTTTTTGAAAACTATGACCGTGAAGAAGCAAAAATTTGATGCCAACATAAATTTTGATTTGACCATCACCACCCCACGGTGGGTAATCTAATCTCCTCCCAAAAGCAATCTCATCTTCATCCCTTCCCTACTGTTTGTCTTATTCCTTTGTCAATCACACAATGGTCCTACGTTACAGGCACACTTCCCCACTCATAATGTTTCCATCAATTTTTTTTTTTTTTTTTTTTTTTTGAACTATGACCGTGAAAAGCAAAAATTGATGCCAACATAATTTTGATTGACCATCACCACCCCACGTGGTAATCTAATCCTCCTCCCAAAGCAATCTCATCTTCATCCCTTCCTATGTTTGTCTTATTCTTTGTTCAATCACACAAATGGTCCTACGTTAAGGTCACCTTCCCCACTCATAATGTTTCCATCAATTCTACTGCAACATCATCACCATACCTGACCTTCAGCTGAGTTTCCGATTTGTAATTTTGAGTTTCCGATTTAGAAAAAGCTAAACGCACACGGGTGCTATGCGGAAAGAAATTATTGGCCTTACTAATCATGGGTCCTGATTCTGCCTTTAAAGCTCAATTCATAATATCAATTTATTTATGGAAAAAATAAATAAATAAATAAATAAATAAATCAATTGAATTATAAATTATGTGCGAAATAAGAGTTTTTAGGTTCAAATCCTTTTAATCACAAAATTTTTTTATTAATTTAGTAAAAAAATGATTATTCCTGTTATATAACTCACAAATACAATTTTGATTCATTGAATTCTCAATAAAATAAAATAAAAACCAATCAAATTTAATTTTATTATCTTTATTAGGTTAATTGTTTTTAGGGGTTTTTAGGCAGAATAAATCAAATCAATAGCAGTACTACCTGATTTTTATTTTATTGTTTTAACTTTTTTTTTCCCTGTCATTTGTCGGACAAGGGCAACATGGAATGTTGAATGACAAGATATTGGTAGAGATAGCATTTTACATACCTTGAACGTTGCTAAATCTTGTCATGTGAAATGGGAATTAGAGAAGACTTGAAAATGCTGCCAGTCACGTGAGAAGGTGGAGGTTTTAATCCCCTCCCCCCCTAAAAAGGAACTGTCTTTTCTAAAAATCAAACTTGAAATAATAAAAACAAGACTTGCTCTATTCTTTACTTCCTTTCCTTGGAACACTTAACACACTCTGTTTGGATGGGGTGAGAGAAGGGTAATTAATGGAAGGGTAAGAGAGGATAAGGAGGGGGAATGGTAGGGAGAGCTATAATAAATAATATTTATGTTTGAAAATTGATGAATTATTGGAAAGGTAAAGAAAGATAATGCATATTTTGTGTTTGGAAAAAGAAAAGTAATACAAAAATAATTAGTTACCTTTTCATCTCCTTGCTTACACCCCGAATTGGGGTGTGGCAAAATTTGAAATTTGAGAGGTAAAGAAGGGTAATACCTTATCTTTATTTATCTTCGTCCTTCCTTAACTCACCTCTTTACAAACAATGATAAGTATTTTAGATATTTTTCATTCTCCTTATGTACCCCTCCGTCACTTGTGACCAAACAGAGTGTAAGAGGATAACTCTTATTTCCCATTCCAATTGCTTAGGCCTCGTTTGGTTCAAATTTACCTATTTCTCAAGAAGTTTACTTCCCAGGAAGTTACTTCGTGGAAAGTACAGTGTGAATATGTTTAGTTGATATATTGAATTTCTGGGAAATAAAATTGTGTTAATGAAATTTTACATATGAAATGATAATGATACTCCAATTATAAATTTAAATATAATAATTGAAATGGCAAAATGAAGATCGTTAAATTCTAGAGAAAGTGCACTTCCTTAGATTGAGGAGATGAAGTAACTTCCTGTACGAACAATAAGTTGAGCCAGAAAGTTCTTTATTTTTTGAAACCAAACATAATCAAACTCTATCACTTTCTGGGAAATCTAAGTTTTCAAGTTCACTTACCCTAACCAAACAAGGCTTTAATGTCATATTTTCACCGTGTAACTGTGCAATGCCCTAATTGCCCTATTCCATATGGGCCCTAATTGCACATATTCTATATGGAGAGAAATCCAACTTACTTTAGACTTACAGAGATTGAATGAACTTATTATGATACCACTTATTATGACGAGCCTTATTCAAAAAAATTAATTTATTGGGTGCAAATAATACTATTTTTATATTAGAAATAACTATTTTATACTGAATAATTATATTACCCAATGAATTCCATACTATGCAATCAACTGTTCGAGGCTTAAGCAATGAAAAATATGATTTTGTGGTGGACACCTTGTAGTGAGAATCTTAGCAAGGCTGCCCCATTATCTTTGCTTACTTTTGATTTGTGCGTGGTTTTTCTTTTATTTTTTCTTTTTAATATATATATATTTAGGTTTAGGAAGTTTAGTTCGTCCTTTTACTTTATTCATTTTTTATTTTTTATTTGAATTGAAAGAAAATTACGAGGAAGCTTTTTTTTTTTTTTAAAAAAGAGATGACTTGAATAAATATTTTCGTTTAATATCGAGTAAAATTATATATTTTAATGATTTGACAAAGTAATCTAACCCAATATAATTAATTAAACAAAATTTACCAACCATTTAATTGCTTAAATATAAAGTTTAGTCATGAAAAAATAAAAAACCTGACCAAATTGAGACACCAATTATATACTGCCATTTATTCCCAAAAAAAAGAAAAAACAAATAATGTGAAGGAGAAGGAGAGCTATTTGAATGCGTCGACCGGTCCAGGTACCGGTCCTACCCGGACCGTGTTTCGATAGACGGATAGAGTCAGAAAGAGAGAGAGTGTTGAAACTTGAAAGTTGAAAAACGCTGAAAATACGAGGAGCGATTCAAAAGCACTAAGCACATAGACTTTCTACTTTCTAATCAGAGTGAGTTTCTGTCTTTTGGACCAGTCTCCGTCATTTCTATTTGCTGCTACTTAGTACTTACTAACTCAATTACAGTAACAATTTACTGTTAGCTGCAATTTGTCTTCACCATAAACAATCTACGGTTGAGATCTTCTCTCCGTCTTTATCCAATCACTGTTCAGGTACGGCCTTTTTCATCTTATTTTTCTCTGGGTTTCAGATTTTTAGCAAGCAAAATCCTGGAATTTATTTTTGTTTTTCTTTTTTTGTATATTTTTTTCCGGGTTGAGATTTAGGGTTTTGATGAGATTCCTAAAGGTTTGAAACTTGAAGTGATTTGTTCATTTTTTGAGGGAAATTTTGATATTAGGATGATTATATCACTTATCGAGAATGAAAAGATTTTCTATGCTAAAAAAGGGGGCAAAAAAAAAAAAAAAGTAACATGTTTCCTTCTAATCTCAGAGGAATACATACATTAGTTTTAGTTTGTAGGTTTGTTAGTTTGTTTATTTTTGGGAAGGAGAATGTGATATTAGGGTTTTCTCCTACTTATTTGTTAAGAACGAAAAGGTGTTTCCTTTTGATCTCCGAAGCAATGCATGTGTGTGTTTTATGCAACGCATTGCATGTCAGTTTTGGGATGATGGAGATGGAAGTTGTTGCATCTAAATATATGGTATGGATGCAAGAGAAGGTTTAATTGGAAAATGGGTGTAAGGAGTTTTAATGAGTCTGAATGCGTAGCCTAATACCGAACAAGGTTAGGAGATTAATATGTATATACATTACAGCATTTAACTCTCTACAACTCAAACCTACTCTAGCGTGTACTGGTCTAAATGAGGAGATAAGGGAGGAGAAGAGACAAGAAGCTATCTCCTATAATTTCTTTATAAGCTACCATTATATAGAGATAAAGAGAAACAAACTCTGCTGTTGCTTTTGTATTTTGTTTTCAAATATAAGTACATCTTAAGTATCTATATTTGCTTTAAGAAGTTGTTTTCCTTCTCATTTTTTGTGTCTGCTGTTGCTCTTTTTTATATTTTACTTTTTTGTTGTGTATATCCCCTATTCATACATATTTCAAATTAAGTTGCTCAATTCCACTTTTTGGTTTATCATATTTGCCCTGTTGATAGCATGAGTATTTTGCCTTTATTTATAAGTAGTTGCCCCCGTTTGATGTAGTTTTACCATTGCTGGTTGACGTGATTGGCTCTATCATTATGAGTTTGAATGGAGAGAAGATTTTGGCATAAATTATTTATATGAACTCTGAAGGCAGCATGGTTTTGGAAACACTTCAAAGAAATTGTCTAGCTAATGGGGACTCGGAGAAGAGTCTTAACAAACAAAGTCATGTAGTTTCACAAAATGGCATCATCGGAAGACAAGAAAATTTAGGTTCTAATCGAACTAGTACTAGTTGTAGTTATGATGAAATCTTTGGTGAAGAAGATATGTTAACAAGGCACGCTAGAGATGGGGATGACAATGAGGATATGGACACACCACCTGATCTTGTTGTATGTGTAAGTGAACACACCACACCACATAAATGTCTTAACACTTTCAAGATATATGATTGCCTGTGATTTGTAACTTCCACTATATCTCTGTAACATGACTTAATCACAGAAAAAAACAAGGCAAAGAGATATGACTTTCCAAGATATGTACAACAATCAAGACTTGTTAGATGATGATGATGATGACAGTGACTGGGAGCCAGTGCAAAAATGTGTGGAAATCATGAAGTGGTTTTGTACCAACTGCACAATGGTTAATCTTGATGATGTTGTCCATTGTGAAGTATGTTAAATATGTTTTCCTTACGGGATCTTAGTGTCAATATTGTATGTTTATTTGGTGGTTTATTGTATTCTTTACATGTTAATCTGTATTTGGAGCAACCTAAATACAATATGCCTCTGAATAATTTGGCGCTATCTTTTCTATTAAGATATGTGGCGAACATAAAGAATCTGGTATCCTGAGGCATGGGTTTCTTGCATCTCCTTTTTCCGAAGATGCAGGTCTTACTGATGTTGACACAGAAGTGAAGGGAAAAAAAGCAGGTGATTTTTCTGATTGCCCCACTGAATTTTTAAGAATTTTTGCAGCGATGTTGTCAACTTGAGGAATATTTTCTTTTATTGATCAAGGTTACTTAGATTTTATTATATTATCATAGCTTTTCCTGTTGTCCCTCAATAAAAGAAGAAAAAATTTCATCCTAAAGGCTAAATTCATGAATAATAATTATGTCAATGAGATGTGTATGATTTTCCATCTATGCGCAAATCAACATTCACATTAAATATCAACTTAGGCACCTCATTTATCTTTACAAATATGTTTAATTGTGTTGTTGGATGTATTGACCTAGAAGGAATTTCTCTAATCTGATTTAGTCGGACAGCGAATGTCGACATGTATTATCTATGTGATTTGAATATGTTTGGACATAATGACCTGGTGTAAAGTTGCACCTTTGTTTTGTTGACATCTTTTAACTTAAACTGAAATTTTATGTACCTGACCTGTAATAACCATTGAACCGCTAGATTAATTATTTTTCTCTGCTGTTGTCATGCTACCTAGATTTAACTCTGATTTATTGAATGGTGTTGTTCTATTGCTTTAATCATTTATAACTCTTGATCTCCTTTGTGCTTTAATTGATGTAGCTTTAAATTAATTGAACAAGTTTGGAGTTCCTGTTAGTAATGATCTTCAGTTTATGTTGAACCATGTGTTAATTATGCTATATGCAGCGCATCATTAGTTATTTGGCTACAGATTTGTAACTTTTCTGTGGTTTCTTGGCATGCGAAGGAATGATTTTACATTCTTGCTGAAAAGGCATTTTTTTTTGGGATTTTGTGTGGTGAATTGTTTCTTCTTGAGACTTCATTTTACAACCTGAACTTTGCAACGAATCATGTGAAAGGAAATAATATTTGCTTTAAGCTGATGCCATTGAGATAACTTGTCTGGATATTGTTATCTGATATAATAATGTGTCCGTAACATATACCTTTTTTTTTTCTATTTGCTTGCTGATTTTGCAGACAAAAGCTTACAATATTCATCCTCAAACAGTTGCACAGCCATTGGTTTCGATGAAAGAATGTTGCTACATTCAGAGGTATGGTGCTTTTCATCTACTTTGTTCAATTTCTATATTCAGGCCTGCTTCTCATGTGTAGTGTACTTCTAGGTTAAATTGATTTCTGTATTGGTTGTGCTTTCTCTGCATTATGTGGGTTTTGAATTAGATATGCATTTTCTTTCTCTTTTAGAATCTTGTAAGATCTCCAAGCATTGTATTAATTTTCATATTAGATTCTGAAATAGTTGTTTTGGTAAATTGATTAATAATTATTCTTTCTTTCGCATTATCTTCTCCACTTTGCAAATTTGGGATGTCCAAAATCTTTTTAAGCATTTTTTGTCCTTTCTATTTTGTGAGTATATATGTAAATGTATATATTTTTGTGAATTTTGCAAAATGGCCTTTGATATGAATATTAAAAGAAGGAACATAGATTATTTTGAGAATTTACGGTTATTTTAGTGTATTTTGGCAAGTTTCAGCACAATTATGGATCTTCTTAAAAACTTCAAAAAGTGATCATGCATAAAGGAGAGGGAGACTATTATGTAAACTTTGAGATTAATGGAGATCACTATTTTGGACATGAACATTTATTTGTGTTTAGAGACAAACCCCCAGACTTCTGTGATATTCTTTCTGCCAATTCTTCAAAAGTTCATCCTTTTCCAGTGTTCTGTGTTATATGATGATTGAAAACTCTGCATGCAATTTTATTTCTCTAGCATGGGTAAAGTGTTCGCAGCCCTTTTAGATATGGCTTAGGCATGGCCAGAACCTTGGATTTGTGCTCACAACAAGCATCCCTAGTGGATGAACTTGTAAAGTTCCTGTTGAAACAGTTATTTGAGTCAATATAGTGCATTATGAATAGCAGAATGCTAGCAAAAGTGACCTAATGAGTAAGTGAATTGGAATTCGGAAGATGTGTCTGATGAGAGCAGTGAACTTCATTTCTCAGTTACTTATTTTCAAAATTAGTTAATTTTGGGGATAGAAACGTATCAAATTGCCGTTGAGGTTTAAGAGATGATGTTCTGAATTGATTCTTAGGTTCAGATTTGTGATTTTATTATATTGCAGCTATTTTTGTGATTGTACTCATGTAACTTTTATCTTTTAGCTGTTTTGATTATGGTATTGTCGGAAATGCCTTTGCGTGTCTTTCATGTAATTTTGGTTGCTTTGTTTTGGTAAATGTTATGTTAAAGTAGGTTCAAATGAAATCACATCCACATCCAGAAAGACCTGATCGCCTTCGAGCTATAGCTGCTAGCCTCGCTACTGCTGGTATTGTATCCTTCTCCCTACCATGACCCCATAGATTATTTTGGACTCAGGAGCTTTCCTTTGCACCAGCGTTTTCTAAGGCATTTGTTCTATCATCAAATATTTTTATCACATCACATACCATCTATCATCAGCTTGATAGGTGATAACAATTGTTAATGTGTGCAGGTATATTCCCTGGCAAATGCTATCCAATTTCTGCAAGAGAAATTACCCAAGAAGAACTTCAGATGGTGAGTGCCAGCATTATCTTGGAGGCATATAGGAGCCATTGATGGTATCTTTATGTGTTGTCTTAGAGATTGGTGGTAACAAGGAATGTGTATACCAATGTCCTGTCTGAGCTGAATTTTTTTCTTGGAATACTGCTTTTTTATCCCTTCTTTTTTCCCTGGTTGTGGTGCTGCCTTGTAATAGTGGTTAGCTGCATGATCTACTGACTGTCCTTTTCTCTGGTTAGAAAAAGAGTACCATAGGTCATGAAAGAAATTTATACCTTTGATAATTGATGTTTTTTTCTTTTTTTGAAATCTCAAGGTACATTCCTTGGAGCATATTCAATCTGTAGAGCTTACAAGCCATATTTTCTCTAGGTAAGCTAATGGTTTATTGTTTTTTTGTGTATCTGCATGAGTCTGCTCTTTGTGCATCCATATGTATCTGTTAGTTCGCATATTATGGAGATGGAAATGATGCCATCAGGAGTACAAAGAGCTTAATCAAGCCATACCAAGCCAAGCCAGGCCAATCAATTGATTGCTCTTTTCTGGCTTGAATTCAGATGAGTTTTCTTCTTTGACCTTCACTTGGACTTGAGACAAGCTCGATTCAAACTAAAGCTTGAAAGATGTTTGACTTGTTCTACACCTTTCAGGGATAGGTTGCTATAATAGCTAGCACGCAAACGGTTTTTTTGGGGGGCTCAAAACCTTATTGTTTATTGAAATAGTTGGCGAAAGTAAAAAATATAGTGATTTCTGTGCAGAAGTGACATCGTCATGCCTACTAATCAACTCATTATGCTTCATATTCTTCCCATTGTTCTTTGTAAGGTAGGATACATATGTGAATGTCATAAAGTACTTTTGAACCTATTGGACAAACACAGTGGAGAATTATATATTTGAGTGGGCCGAATTAAAACACGTGTGGATAGATGCTAACTATGATCGTAGTATTGTCTTCAGTTCAAAAAAAAAAAAAAAAAAAAAAAAAAAAATATTCTTGCCATTGTTCTTTGTAAGGTAGGATACATATGTGAATGTCCATAAAGTGTTTGAAAACCTATTGGACAAACACAGTGGAGATTATATATTTAGAGTGGGCCCGAATTAAAACACAGTGTGATAGAATGCTAACTATGATCGTAAGTATTAAAAAAAAAAAAAAAAAAAGAAAAAAAAAGAAAAAAGGAAAAAAATTGATGTGAAATATTATATCCTCTTGAGTTAAGTTAAAAAGGTGTGCCAAAATTATGTGAATTAGCGTCAAGTTTTAGATTGGGAGAACTTTGGTAGAATTTTCAATGCTATATGTTTGTTTGTTAATTTATGAGGAAAAATTAAGAATGAACTATATGGAGCTAAATTTACCAAACTATAACAATGGTAACACTAATTTTTAATTTTCAATTCCTATATTAAAACTATTGCTTTTCATATTTGTTAAAACTAAGCAAAAAGTTGTCAACCACGTGGATTTAGTCTTGGTCATAGTTATCTTTATATGCGCCCCCCCCCTGCCTCCACCCAGAAAGAAAAAAGGATTACAATTTGGGTCGTGCTATCGCGGTTCGTTTATTATCGCACAACTGGAAGTCCTCACAACAATAATGGGGAAGAAGAAAGACAGAGAAAAAGAAAAAGATGGGAGAGAAAAGAAAGATACTTCCTGTCAGAAGCCTTTTTTTTTTTTTTTTTCTCTTTTTTCATTTTGCCTTCCTTTAATTGAACAGCATGATATGTAGTAAATTAGCTCTTTCTTGTTTCCATTTATAAAACCCTTGTTTTATTTTACAACTGGGCCTTCTTAAAGCAATTCTGCCTCCTTAAAACATTATCTATAGGTCTTGTATTTAATTATTTCAATAAAAGAGTCCAAAATTTGATTAATGTTATAATATATGTCTTGAAAAATTATGCTATAAAAGTTGTAAGATTTTGTTAATTTTATCTTAATGTTAATTTTTCATTACTTTTGAAAAGACATACATGAAAAATGAACTTTGACCAATCAAAAGCCTTGGAACCTCAATTCTCATAATTCATGTACCACAATCTGAATTAAAGTATAAACTAAGCCTACCCTTTATGTACTACGCTTTAAATTAATGGGTGTATTACGTTCCTGTACAAGTACCACGACCTGGAATGTGCGACGTTCCAGGTAACTATGGTTTTGGTCTTCATGCAGTTTGTACGAGTGAAGGGTTTCCTATGGAGGAATTGCGATGCAAATTCCTTGGAAATTGAGTTTTTTTTTTTTTTTTTTTGGGAAGTCCTTGGAAATTTGAGGAGTTTTTTTTTTTTTTTTTTGGGAAGTTGTATTCATGACTTTAGATATCATCAATGTTTATTTTTTCCCTTTCATTTTCTATTTTAAAAGGGAGTGGAAAAAAAAAAAAATTTTTTTTCTATAATTTAGTCTCCAGGGTTGCTTTGGTTGTTGGTTATATGCAGGACAGGACATATGCTGATTTGACTTAGTGAATGTTGATCAAGTTTTGGTTGTTGGTTGTTGGTTGTTCTTAATGTGCAGTTACTTCACTCCTGACACATATGCTAATGAGCATTCAGCACTTGCTGCTAGGCTTGCAGCAGGTTTGTGTGCTGATCTTGCTTCAGCAATTCTTTCTGGACGCGCCAAGAACGGTTTTGCTCTGGTATGAGGGTTTAAATGTTGATGTAATTATTCTGTATTGTCCTCCATATTTGGGGGAATAACACTGAATCTTTTAATTTTGTTCATATTTTTACCTATTCATGAATCAGGTTCGGCCTCCTGGTCATCATGCTGGTGTGAAACAAGCAATGGGATTCTGCCTCCATAATAATGCAGCAATTGCTGCATTAGCTGCTCAGGCTGCTGGTGCCAAGAAGGTTCTAATAGTTGATTGGGTAATGTCCTGTCAACTGCTATAATACTTATAACTTCTCTCCTTTCTCCCTTGCTGATTATACTATGTCTAATGCTTTTGAATAATTAAAATGATTTTTTTTATAATCTTTTATGATCATTGTAGGATGTTCATCATGGAAATGGCACTCAAGAAATTTTTGAGCATAACAAATCGGTGAGTTTTACATTGGCAAAATCTTGATGTGCGTCATTGAAAAACTACTCATTCCTTGTAAACTGTTTTGTTGGAGGAGGTGCAATGGTGCTGGCTTAGGACATTATGTGGCTTGTACCTCAGTAATTTTCATGATTTGGCTGTGGGATCTCTTAAAGGGAAGTTCCCAAATATGCTAGAAATTTGAACTAGAGTTGCAGATTATTTTATGATCTTAAAAAATAATTTAAGCATTCAAGTATGCACTTGGCCCGATGTCCCTCCTTTGCTGCATTAAATATTTTCCATCACTGTACTTTTTGTCTATTTCTATGTTGAGTTTAAGTTTCTTTTGATGAGTCGGATATATCCTATAGGTTTTATACATATCCTTGCACAGGCACGAGGGAGGAAAGTTTTATCCTGGCACTGGAGCAGCTTATGAGGTACTTTAACTATTGGCCTTTTGTTTTATCTTCTCTTATATGTTGATTCAAACCTCCTTATTAAGTAGAGTAAACTGGTTCAATTCAAGTTTATGTTATGTTTTGATTTGGGGTCTGGGATTTATGGCTTGGTTGAGTCTTGTCCACTCTACTTGAAACCCATTTGAAGAGCACGATTGTACTTTACAAAGAGAGTACATGCTCGATTCATTAATAGCAACACAGTAAGGTTACTTGCATTCTTGGCCTAATGCTGGCTGAGATTGAAATATCAATGATTAAATTGACCAACGTGAAAAAAAGTTTTGAAGGCTTGATTGGGAAGAATTTTCTCAATCATGTGCCTCCTATACAGGGGCCACCTAGTTCTCTCTGTTTGTTTGACAGAGGTGAAATTTCCTCAGAATCATTACAATTTTGTTGCTAGTAGTTAATAGGTTTGTGTCCCATATAGGCACACCTTGAAAGTTCTGGCAGTCACCACACAATAAACCATACAGAATTCTTGAAATGTGGAAGATGGTAGGTGTTGGAATCTAGATATAAAAGTCTTTAAGACATAATAGGTGCTATCCAGTAGGGAAATTATTAGCCCTTCAACTTTTGGTTTGATGAGTTGAGCCTCCTCTCAGACTGTAGGGAAATTATAGATGCTCACTCTCAACATAAATCGATATTAACTTGTAATTCTTAATGAGTTGAGTGATGGCATGAGCTTTAGGATTCGATGTGATCTAAGATGAAGAATGATTACATGAGATCTGACTGACGTCGGTTAACTTATTTAAAAGTCCTGCCTGCATATGCATTTACCACATCTTTTACATGCATGCGTTTGGTTGTGCATGTCGGCAAAATTGATGGAGATTTCATAATCTGGTTAATATTGCTACAGAATTATTTAGGAACTGCTAACAGTAACTGCATATAGATAATGTTTTGCATAACTATGCCGTATACTGAATAAATTTTCACAGATGACGTTTGAGTTCTTTGTCAGGTTGGTACCAAAGGTGCAGAAGGTTTCTGTGTAAATATTCCATGGAGTCGCGGAAGAGTTGGTGATAATGATTACATTTTTGCATTTGAGCATGTTGTGCTACCTATAGGTTAATATCTTACGTTGTTTTATGCTTCTGCTCTCATTTTCACTAGATATGGTGCTTGTATGCATTATTGGTATGGTATTAAAGATGAGTTAACAAACATCATCAGTTATTCAGCTGATTATGTGAAACTACAATATTGAGAAGTCCATATATCAATGGTTGTTTAGTGGTCAACTGTTTATGATTATAGTCCACCTGTGGTGTGCAAAAGATATTTTATTTTTAAATTTTAAAAGAAATGGCATGCTGTAAATAGTGTTTTGTATAGAGCTACTGCCTTGTATTATTTTATTATTTCTTTGCTGAATCCCTTAAGTCTAAGATAAGTATTCTTTTGTGTTATCTCATTTTGGATAGTGTATATTGCTGTTCATTCTCATGATCCTGTATTTAGTTCTTACACTGTTAATATCTGCTTGTATGGAATTATTAGGATCAAGTGATTGGAATTGGAAGATGTACTGGAAGTTGTAAATGTTTCTGAAATTCTGTACAGTTTCTTATATTATCATTTTTTTGTTGTGCGTGACCTTGAGTACTGGATATTCTGTTGCTGTGGCATTTTTTACGCTGGAAATTAACCAAATTGTCCTTGGTAGGAGCATATTAACCATAATCTCTGATTTACTATGTTTTGACTGATGCCTTTTTACTCTCCACTTCCTCTTTCTCTAGATGGCTTATCTTTTGGCCTTCAATACCAGTTTTTTGTGCAGTTTGCAGCTCTTTTGTTTAATATATCAAGTGTAGTATTCTGTAGTGACCATTTCATGGTGCTTGAACCATATTATTGCAGCGGCCGAGTTTGATCCTGATTTCACAATCATATCAGCTGGATTTGATGCAGCAAGTGGCGATCCTTTGGGTTGCTGTGATGTAGGGACTTACCCTTTTGACAAAATAATGTTATTGATTCATAATTTATTACATTACTATGTATTGCTAGTGCCATGGCTATATTCACTCCATGTTAGTGTTTTTATGCATTTTTTGTTACATTGACATGTTAGCGATACTGGTGTTGCAGGTAACTCCAGCTGGCTATACACAGATGGCAGATATGTTGTACACTCTCTGCAATGGAAAGTTGCTTGTTATTCTCGAGGGCGGGTCAGTTTCCATATGTTTCTTTGGCCCATTTTCGAGTTGTTTTATTCCTCTCAGTTCAGTTCAAATTGACACTAAACCTAATTTGTCACAGCTACAATCTACGTTCAATATCGTCTTCTGCTACAGCAGTTATTAAGGTGAACATTCAGATTTCTAAAACATAGAAATTTATTATACTTGGTCTGTAGACCATTCTTTCTCAACATAAATCATTTATAAAATATAAGGATTGTCCCCGCTTAATGTTTTGAGAGACTGCTTCTATGCTATTACGTTAATTATGCCCACTGCAATTTTCTTCTTGCACTAATCGTTGAAGTTTCTTCCTGCTTTTGTTTTTCCCAAAAATAGGTATTGCTGGGTGAAAGCGCACCACGTGAGATGGGCAACATAGCCCCTTCTAAAGCTGGCCTGCAAACTGTTCTGGAAGTCCTGAAGATTCAAATGCACTTTTGGCCGTCTCTGGAATCTCGTATTGCAAAATTGAAGTCGCAGTGGGAAGCATCCTGTTCCAAGAATAAAAGTGAGGAGTTCAATCTTTTTGTCAAATTTTCTATTGATTTAAATAGTCGATAGTTTGAATTTAGAAAAATGTTTAGATCTCTAATCAGTTATGTTTTTTTACGGTATTTACCTGCAGAAGAACAAACTAAAAAGAGACGCAGGTTTGATGTGCCAATATGGTGGAAATGGGGGAGAAAGAAGTTATTGTATCATTTCCTTAGCAGGCATCTTCGATTAAGATTGGGGGAGCGTTGACTGAATGAATTTTCTTTTCTTCCGCCTCTTTTTGTCGATCAATTTTGTGAATTTTTGTATACCATTAGCTGCAAGTAACTTGTTTAGGATACTGCTCTCTTAGCGATAGTAGCACGCATTTGTTACATTGGTTGCTTCTTAATGTTCATTGTTCTCTAAACATTTGTGTTTTTGTTCATCTTCTTGGCCCCATGTTTGTTTGTTTTTTTTTTTTTTTTTTTTTTTTTTTTTTTTTTTTTTTTTTTGAGAAGATTTTTTTTTTTTTTTTTTTTTTTTTTTTTTTTTTTTTGAGAGATAAAAATATCGTCAGTAACATAAATGCTAAGAATACCACTTGGACAAGCAGTTGCAGCATCTATTTGGCATTGAGGTTGGAATTAGCGAAAAGCAATATTTCTGATATTGCAAATAATTTAAGAGTGGTTTGTTGATTTTGAAGATTAGAGCATGTAAAAAGTGAAATTGACTTCAAAAACATGCTTTGCCTGGTTGGATACTTGGTGTGAAGAACAGAAGAAAGAGTAGACATAAAAATGGTAATCATTTGTAAGCTCAACTGGTTAAAAATATCTGAGGTCTAGCCAATTGAGGTAAAAACAGATGGATTTCTAGTGTCTTATTCTTATATGCAGAAAAAAGAAAAAACAAAAAAAATTCAAAGAACCAGTACAAAGGATTGTATTAGCTTAGATACATGATTGCATACTCTTCTATGGCATATTCTAAAACAATTAGTAGGGATACAAACCTGAGGAAAATGCATTGAATCTTTTTGCATCATTGACGAAATCCGATAAACTTGTTACTCTTCATCAATAAATTCCTATTCTAATACCCTGGCTAAAAAAAATTCTCCCCTTTGCCATCCATCATAATCTGAAATTCTCTGGCCAAGCAGGAGCGACAGAGAGAGAGAGATGTACGACTATTGATGCATTGTTTGTGGCGGAGCCATAGGGTAAGCAACAGGAACTACATAGGGAGGATGAGGATGGTGTCCGGGAGGCGGAAGCATAACTGGAGTTCCAACGGCTGATGCCATATGACCTGGAGGAGCTGCCACCGGATGCCCCATCGGTGCTCCATACATGCCTAAACTAGGCATATGGGGTTGAACCCTATGCTTCACCCCATGTCCCATAGCAGCAGCAGTACTTGCCGGGTTCGTGTTAGCTTGTTGGCCGGTTATCGGTGCTTGTTGAGAAGATACATTTCCATTGTTAACACTAGTAATGTCATGAATACTAGACCTTCTTCTATCTCTATTCATTGAGTTCAACCGAATAAAGTATTTCTGAGCATGACTTGCTACTTGTGTTGGTGTTCTTGATATTACAAAGTTTCTTGATATACTTCTCCAATCTCCTTTTCCGAACTTGTCGAGTCCTAGTAGAAACAACCTGTAAAAACGAACAAAGATTAATTAGGCCATTAACTGATTTTTCCCAAAAGAAATAACCGAATATTCAACGACCACATCAAAGCAAAGAATCTTGAAGGTAGCATGATGGATAAAGATTCAATTTTCTTGTACTTACTGCGTTTCAAGTTTCATTTTCTTTGATTGCATAAGTTCCAAGATTCAATTTCCTGAACCTTTTTTTAGTACTAACAATGAAAGTGCATATATAGACACAAATGACATACCTATGTTCTTCTTCAGTCCATGGAATTCCTTTTCTTCTTTCTTGGTCTGAGCTTGATCCTCCTTTACCTCCATGACTAGATGAATTATCTAACCCTAAAAACCGACTTCCATAACCACAATTCGATCTTTTATCTGCAGCCAAAGCACCAGAAAGTCCATGAGAATCTTTAGATGAAGAAGAAGTTGCTTCCTCTCCAACATAAGTAGGAAGGGGTATATTCCCTGCCTCTATTGCACTAACATCCTCTACTAGTAATTGATAGTGTTGTTTCAATTCTTCAATACTTTTACTTGGCACCATTAGAGCAACCTTTTCCCATTGCTCTTTAGAGTCATCATCTTCAACCCCATAAGTTGCAATTGCATTTTCAAATGCTTTGTTTTCTTCCTTGCTCCAAGAAATTGCACTTGCCATGTTCAAAATGTACTTTTATTTCAAGTTCAATGAATCAAAATGGGAATGATAATAGTGAAAAATGTTAAATGGGTGGTGCATTCAAATTTCCTTGTTATGTGGGCCTGTTTTTATTAGAAGAAAATAATAAAAATAATAATAAAAAAAAAGGGTGCGTAGGATAAAGAAGAGAGGGGACATATGTTGTGTAGGATAAGGAAGTGAGGTAAGGCATCAAGCGATCAATTGAATAGGACCACTTTGTATGATTTATATGGGTACTTTGTCATGTTCATTTCATACTAACAATAATGCAGAAAAATTCTTTTTCTCACTCTTTTTTGGGCTTTGTTTGGCTTTACTTTTTTTATTTTTATTTTTCTTTACTCTCTCCCTTAGCGACACATTTTGCAATCATGAAGAGATTGCAATATTAGGGAAGATGGGTCCAAAAGAATCTATAAATTACCAACACATGCACCCTTTGGCTGCACTCTTCAAGCTATTATCATCCTCTAACGCGCCATCACCTCTTTCTTTATTAGTGAATAGTGATGCAATTGAAAATATTGTCATATAAATAAATTAATTAAGATTATTACAACATAAAAATATTTATTTTGGAATATACTCTATATAAGGACGGAGTCTTGTGGATATGCATACACACAATGATACTAATATAAATAGCTGAATATATAAATTCACCTCTAAACTTTTTTATTTTAATTTTTTGGCGCTTTCAATTTTTATATTGACCTATTAAACACTTCAATTTAAAAAATTATACCGATTAATTTCAACTTGTAGAATTATTTTATTAAACACTTCAACTTATAAAATTAAATCAATTAAACACTAATTACATAGTTGAAAATATAAAAATTATTGTTCTAAAAATTATACTAACTACACATTAAACCAATATTTTGTATATAAAAGTCAAAAATTATAAAAACTTATGCTATTAGTATGAAAAGGTATGTAATGTTATTAGAATTTATATGTTCATAAAGTTTAAGGTATTACGAGATTAAAATTTTAAAATTGAGGGGTGAGTTTACATATTTAGCCAAGTATAAATACATGTGTGATACCAAGCGGCAAAAAAAGAAGGTTAAAGGGCTAAAATTTTTTTCCAAAGTTAGAAAAATATAAGTGAAAAAAAAAATATTTATCAATTTACAATCATATTAGAATGTCTTTTGACCTGGGGGGCCAGGGGCTCCCTTTGTCACTGGTGGTGCTACTACTCATTGTAGCTCTCCAACTTTAGAAGTGACCTTTGTATTTAAGGGTGTTTGCTTGGCACCCACTTGAAACAAGGAAAAAAAAAATTGAAAAATTAAATATAAGAAAGTTATTTTTAATTTAATTCACATAAGATTCTTGTGTGAATCACATAAAATATTATAAAAAAAATTTAAAATATAAACTTCTGTATCATGAATTCTCCACATTTAGGTAATCACTGATAAGATATTATGAGGACATCAAAAGCTTGTCATTTTTTGAAGTGTGATTGAATTTTTTTTTTCCTTGCAAAAAAAATACAAGCTGAAATAAAAAATTTAGGCTTTGGTTATAAATTAGAGTTGATGGAATCAACATCAAATAAAACTTAGTGTGGATAATAATTTTCACACTAAATAGGATTCTACTTTTGAGGGATTCCCTTATTTTTTGTAAGTGGAAAAGCATTACAAAAGTTTCCCTGGGCATTTTTGACTTTTTGTGGTCCTGACCAATAGCTTTAGTCAAATGCATTGTTTTTGGAAATTTTCACATACTTTCAATTCAGTAATAATTAATTTTATTATGAGGCTAAATAATTCACCTCTATAATTTATATAAAAAATTTTATAATACTCTCGATTTTTATTTTAATTTATATAATTACATTTATTGGATATTTTCAATTTATAAAACTTTTTTATTAAAGTTTTTAGCTTGTAAATTTTAATTGATTAAATACTTATTTAATAGTTAAAAATTAATTTCATCCTTATCCTACGGTATAATAATATTTTATTCATTTCATATTAAAAATTATTAGTTTTTTGAACGGTGTAATTTTAACCAATAAACAGTTAAACGATTAGAAATTAGAGGTTCAAATTTTAGAGTGCTACTCTTGAAAAGAATTTAGATTAAAAAATAATTTTTGAGTAGTCTTTTCAAATCTTTTAACATAATATTCTTTTTCTTGTAAATACTTGGAATGAATATAATATTTTTTTTCTCACTTGTACAAAGAACATAATATTTTAAATTCGAGTTTTTTCGACTATAATAAATTTTAATTTGGTGAGTTAAAAGAAGAATTATGTTATATATGTAGCTCATAATGTTATTTCGACTCATTGGCTTCTCAGTGAATAAAAAAAAAAAATCTTTTCTTATTCCAATTTTTTGAATAATGATACTTTTTTATCCCATTTTGTTTGCTTGTTATTTATTTTTGGGATTCTCAAAATGTTTGTAATGTTTCTAAATTTATACATGTAAATAATTATTTTTCTTATGATAATTTTTATAATCATTTATTAAATGAAAGACTTTTATTTATATCTTCATGAGTTAAAGGGTAAAAAAGGATAAAAATAATTTTTATTGACTAAATTTTTAATATATGCATTTTATCCAACTGTGTAAACAAAATAGAAAGGAAGAAATATTTCATACACGTAGGGATTGATTATCACGCGCTCTAGAGAGAGTGGGGTTTATTGGATGAAATTGAGATTTGGAATGGTCTTGGATGTGAAGACGTGGCTTTATTTCCATTGCTAGTTTTTGCTAAAACGCGCCACGTGTAAGTCTTGGCTCGTTGTGCTGGTTCTCCTTCTTGTATGATCTATTCCTTCTTTTCTGCAAGGGAAAGGGTTTTTCTTTTTCTAATATTCTTGAATTCTTTGACTTGCCATCGCTAAAATACAAAGAAGAAATTTTGTCCTGAGATTTCATCAAGAAGAAAGTGTATTTTCTATTAGAAATTGTATGTTTTCAATGAAAGTCTGAGACAATGGATGGATTAGATTGTTTATCAGACAATGTGTTCTAGCCTTCTACGTTTCTAATTCTAACGTGACAGAGTAAAATTTGCCTGAAATGCTATTTATCAAATATTTTATTTTTATTATTATTATTATTATTATTTTTTTTAGCCAAGTGGTATTTGATACTCTTGTGTATTGCATATCAAATATTTTAAAGGGGAATTAAATTGTTAAAAATTCGATATTTTCTTTATGAACTATGATGAAATAGAATAATTACTACATTTTATAAAATTTAAAAATATATATTACTCAAAATAAGTTACTATACATATAGAATTTCAATTAAAAATTTGAGATTATAAATTTAATTTATTTTTGTTCGGCGTCTAAATTTAATCAAAAATCTAAATAATTATTTTATTTTCCTATTATTTATTCAGTGGATGAATCAAACAAAGGCTAAGAAAATATGCATTAACGTAGCTAAATTTAGTAGCTTAAAAGCTAAATAACTAGTGCTCTCAATTTAAATCTTGAAGGATAAAATGATATAGACCACTAATAATGGACAGTTGCTCTAAACCAAAATTCCAATTCTCTTACTATTTATCATCATCCATCTACTGAAAATGAAGTTTAACCCAATATTTTTTTTCTTTATTATTATTATTATTTTAACATTAATACGAGAGATTGAGACATATATATATGATATATAAGTTCCTTATAGACACAAAACTAAGAAAGATATTATTACAAGGACTTGTTACAATCAGATTCTCAATTTCGCAAATATATTGACAGTTTATATATACAAAGGATAAGGCTGCATTTGTTGTCCAATCAAATATGAATCTTCCTTTCCTTATCAGTAGGAACCAATTTTCTAACAGAAGACAATCTTAATCTTCTATTGCAGGTCATGCTTCAAATACAAAAGCAACAAAGATATTTCAACAATATGGACTTGTTGGCTAGATAATTATTCCTTGAAATATGGCTTTTCAATATTTCCATATTAGCTGCTTCTATCTCTAACAATTTTGACAATTGGAATGGAAAACAATTAAAGTTCTTCTCAACATTTTCTTTTTTCTTTACTTGTAGGGTGAGAATGTTGTTCGCCCTCTCAGCAAAGTGTGCTTCCCGAGAATTGAATTTGTGTTTCTCACCTTTACGGGGATTGAGTTCGCTAACCACCTCAACCAACACTTCAACCAACATTTTGTTAGTTTTGGAAATTTTCTTTACCGTGACAATTTGCACCAAAATGGCTACGATCTGCTTGAAGTGTAAGAAGGAATTTAACATCCCTGTTTATAGGGATGGGTGGCCTGGAAGTTTTGTCGGTTCTGGATTTCCTTGTAGAAGGGTTGCTCTTTCTTGGTTCATCAGAAGAAAAGCTGCTGCTTGTCTTTGAGAAGGACATTGATAATTATCTGAATATCTGAAAATTCTTTATTCAGATAAATGTTAATTTGTTCCTTCATTTATAAACTTTTTTTTTATGATATAAATGGATGCAAAATATCTTTAGGCAACATCCTTCTTATTTTTACGTGCTCGAACCATTTTCAATTTATTATTGGTTGATAAATTCTTTTTACACCATCTCAAAATGTGGCCAATATTAATTCTATAATTCAATAAAAAAAAACAGTTCAATAATAATCAATTTATTATTGGTTTATTAGATTATAAATTTAGAAATTCTACGAAAATTTTTACGCCATTGATTTAGTTTTATTTATTGGGAGGCCCAATGCGCAACTAGAGATAGCCTTTCTCCGGATTCGTTAAATGAGTGAAAACATTAATAATAAGAGGATTTGAATTCAAAATCTTTTTCACATTTATAGACGAGAAAACTCGAATTCAAAATCTTTCCATTAAAACCAATACCTGATTGGTTTCATCGATATTTTTTGCAAAGTATGCCCGTGTTATATTTTTTCTAATAAAACCCGACCCAACCAATAGCGGATGCTTGAGGTACTATATATCTTTGGTTGGACCAATATATATTTAATCTCAGTGACACCGAATGATTAAAGAATATAAAGGACTAAGTTCTTCCGGCTATGATGATTAAAACATTGGACCATAGAACCATAAGTCCTGCAAATTTATGCACTTGAATCGTAAACAAGGAACGTGCATTATTTCCTGCCATTCTTTAAGACCTCTTATTTCTGATCTTCGATCTTGACTAATGTCTTCCTCCTAAGACCTGAAGCAAATCAGAAATCCCATTTCGTTCACGGACACTGGACCATTAATCTATCGGCCTAATGTTCACATTTTGGTACTTAATTGCATCGTAATAAAGCATTATGCCATTTCTGAAACCAATGATCAAATGCAATTACAGTAACACGAGTACGTCTCGTTTGTCGAGTGCTAAAAAGGATCCTATCACCTCAAACTTAACAAAGAAGAATGACACGAGGCCTCGAGATGAGAATAGAAAGCCAAAACTGTTATCACCGCCAGCTATTAGATGGCAACTTTAAATCTAGTTAGATCTGGGTGTCGCCCATTCAACTCGAAGGATTAAATTATCGTAACCATATCCATTAAGCTTGTTGATGGCCCTCTCAGCATCTTCCTTGTTTACAAAGTTCACAAAGCCAAAACCCCTGCTGACACCGGTCTTCTGGTCAATAGCAACATAAACACGACTCACAGGACCAAAGGTACGGAACAGTTCAAGCAAGTCAGGCTCCCTTGTGTCCTCGGATAAATTGGTGACACGAACTGAATTCTCTTCATTCCTGCGCCTCATATCTGATCCAGCAGGTCTTTCTGCACCTGCTCTCATGCTTGGTGGCACATAAGCACCCTTTGTAGGTCCAGAAGCAGCAGCAGCAGCAGTATCTGATGTTGGTGGTTTATCGATGAAGGCTTCAGACGGTGAAGCAAGATCCTTGTAGGGGCATCTTGATGTCCAGTGGTCACCTTTCTTACCACAAGTTCTGCACACCATGAGAACTGCTCCAGCTTTACCTAATTGAGACAAGTTATCCCCTGCCAGCTTGGTTTCTTCCACTTTGGTACCTGTTGGAATTTTCCATATTAAAACAATGACAAAATAAGAAGGAATAACCAAGATATTGAATAGTAATTATAATAGCATCAGAAGCTTAGCCAAAGCAAGAATTCTCAAGAAAAAGAGACTCATCAAATGAAAAGTTTATGAACAGCCACGACCAAGACCTAAATACTAAATTGCAGCATATATCCAAGCAGAGCAAACCACACATTAGTACAACAAGAAGGTTGACTAGAGAATCTTTTTTGAAAATGCAACACTAAGAAAATTAACAAAGTTGATGAGACTTCAGGAAAAATATTACCATCTAACTGGATGAAACTAAAACAGCATAGACCCATCAACAATCAAGCAAAGGATGAAATTATTCCTGTTTTAAAATAAGTACACACTAGACCAAGAAAACGAAGAAAGTGAAGTGAACAACACAGAGAATAATTAAACCCAATAATAAACTCAGCCAAACAATTTCAAAAAACTCAAGAAAATATACAACAGATAAAATGTTTTACAAGGACCTCCAGCAAATATTAGACAGAATATCATATCAATGTAGTTGATGGCCTAGAAGTGAATCAAGAATTCTTGTTTACGTAGAATGCCCTCAAAACAAGCTACTTTTGGTGAATTATTGACCATTCACTTCCAACAATAGCCACAAGACAATATGTGAATGACTAATTGGTCACCCTAAAGAATATAAAGCAAGTCATAATGAAAGACTGGGCATATTATGAATTTAATTCATGACCTTAAAATCAAATTTGTTGATAACCATTAAATGCCACCAACAGAATGGTGCTTTGGTAAGCCTACTGACTGTTCACATAAAAAAGCCTATAAAGCAATAGGGGACTAGCTAATTGGCCAGCATGAGTAAATAAAAGAAGCAAATCCTAATGAAAGACTGAACATCCTATGGATGTCGATGGGCTAAAAGTGAAACTAGAATTCGCGTTCACCTTGAAATGCCATGGGTGATTGACTAATTAGCCACCATGACCTAATAGAACATGCAATTTATATGACAACAACCATAATAGGACAATAAAGTTCATAAAGCAAGATGCAAATTCATAGCAAAAGAAGATGTAGTTCATAACCTAAGTGAAACCAGACTTCTTGTTCACAATTAGAAAGTAGAAACCACCAACAGATACTTTTTGTGAACTTACTGACCATTCACATCGATAAAAGCCATATGGCTAATATGTGACAGGCTATAAAACTTTCAAGTCCCAAGGACATTAAATCAAATAACAATTGAGTTAAAGCCAGAAACCCACACCAAATGCATGAAAGAAGAAAACAAAAAATCCAGCAAAACTGCATTACATTGTGAACGAACCAGCTAAGCAATAGCTATATGTAAGTAAAATATCTTGATTACCCCACTAAAACTTCATGACACGATCTGCTTAGTCTTCTCATATAATTCACTCTTCTCACATATATAACTATAGACATTCAATAAACACAAAACAGAAAGCCAAATTTCGTTCCCATTAACAGCCTCAGGATTCTCGAGAACCAAAAATAGATCAACATCTATAAGTAACTAAATAACCACAAACAAACGTGGCTTTCACAATCTCGACATCTAAACATCTAATCAACTCTAGAACAAAACAAAGCAAAACAAGTATTCAAAGTTCTCATTTTTCCCAACATTTTCCATAGAATCATCAAAATAACCCGACTATCATTAAAAAAATTACCTTTCCAAAATCAACCTTTTTTCACCAATTCAATTCAATGAAAACCAACAACATTCAAGCATTCAATTTCAGTTCTTTACCATCCTAATGTAAGTAACCAAACTAAAAAACAATCAAATCAAACCAAAACAACATCGAATAAGAGATATAAAATACCTGGAGCTCTAGGTCTTTCAAGCAAGATCTCCTCAGTAGAAACCATGGTAAGCCTACTACCAACATCCTCATGAACAGCGTCGCCAAATTTAGCCCAATTTCTGCGCTCGACAGCACTCTTACTCAACCGAGCCTTAGCGAGCTTCCGAACACGGGTTGTAGTAGTGAGCTTAACCTTATTACCATCATCGTTAAACCTATACTCAATTACCTTTTTGATTCCATTCTCATCGGGACCGATTACTTGTTTCGGCGGCAAAAGGAAGTCTAAATCCTCGCCGTCTTCCTCGTCCAGCTCACCCCACCGGAGTGGCTTGTTCTGTTCCAGAGCAGATTTGTCGAGACCCATGGCAAAAGCAGAGAGATCTAGGGTTCGGATAGCTCAGCAGGAGTAATACAATGAAGTGAGGCGATTCGGTTAGTCAATAGGCAGATGGGTTCGATTTCTTGACTCACAAACACCCCTCCCCAATATGAAACAACAATTAAGTGTTAACTATGACATATTTATATTCTACTTTAAATGATTATATTTAAAAGGAAAAATACATACTATCTTTGGGATTTGTGAAATATAATTTGTTGTCTCTATTTTTTTTTAAATATATCAATTTTTCTTATGCTTTGCTTATGTACTATTCAATTTTTACATTTTTTTCTATTAAGTCAATAAGAAAATACAGAAGTTAGAAGAGAGATACTAAAATATTATATATAAAAAATTATAGTACGGTCCCTATGGTTTGAAAAATACAACTAGTCTAACTCTGTATTTTTTTAAAATAAAAGGGATATTTTCATTATTTTATAAGATACTTAACAGAAATATACAAAATTGAACAGAGTAACCTTATAATCTAATAAAAGTAATCTATAAAGATATTGTAATCTATTTTCTAAAAAACAATGATGGACTAGTTGTATTTCGCAATTTACAGAGATCGTACTGTATTTTTTACTATATTAAAAGGTTATTTTGATTTTTTTTTAATTTTCAGTTGATATTAAAGAGCTCTTTTTTTTTTTTCCACATAAGGAAGATAAACAAAAATTAAGGACGTAAATTATTTTTCAAAAATAAAAAGATGAAAGATAGACAGCCAAATGCATTTGCGTTTTTTATAAAAAATTTCTGCATCATAAATATAAAAATGAATTAATATATATTGATAATTACAATTGAAATTTGAAATTATAAATTTATATTATTCTCGTTCACACATATAAATTTGAATCAAAATTCCAAATAGCCATTCTATTTCCGCATTTCATTTTAAAAAATTTTGAGTATCATATATTTAAAAAATATTTATTACTTAAAATAAGTTATTATATATTTAAAACTTTAATTAAAATTTCAAGGTTATAAATTTATTATTTTTTTCCATATCTATTGAATCAAAATGAAAAAGAAAGGAAGAAAGAAAGAAAAAGAGGTGGAGAGATGGAGACCTATGCGTGCTCTTATTGACACAAAACTATGAAAGATATTATAATAAGATGGAATCAACCTCAACTATCATTCTCAATTTGGCAAAATATAATGACAGTTCATACAAAAGATAAGACTGCAATTTTTGTCCAATCAAAATATGAATCTTCCTTTCCTTATCAGTAGGAATCCAGTTTTTCAACAGAAGACATCTCATAGTCTCAGGCCATGCTTCAAAAATAACAAGATATTTTTAAAATATGAACTTGGCCAGATAAATATCTCATGAAATATGGCTTTTCAATATTTCCATAAGCTGCTTCTATCTATATCTAACAATTACGAAAATTGGACTGAAAAACAAATTAAACGGCTTAACACAATTTCTCCTGGCAATTTTCTTGACTAACACAATTTGCACCAAAAGGCAAAGACTAAAAAACAGTTGGAAAGTACAAAATCTACAGGTGGGAATTCTGCCCCAAATGATTATACACATTGATAGCTTACAGAATGTAATTCAGAACAAAGACATTATTCCTCATTTTCCAGTAGATATTCAAAACTTGTCTCCCATAAGTTCTGAACAATCCAATCTCATAGGATTGTAAAAAACAAAGAAAGGTTATCTCAAGTGCATGTGCCGTTTGTCGTTCTCACTCATCTGGAATATAAGTCGAAACAAAAAAAATTTTAGTAAATTGCATGAAATTAGTGAGGATTAGGAAGGATTTGTTTATATTAGTCTCACCAAGCAGAAGAATTATGCCCGAAATGGAGAAATCATCTCCAGTCCTTTGATTGAAGGACAAAATAATCATGAGCTGTGCCATTGTTCAGTTATGGGAAAAGAACCGCACAACCAGGTCTGACTAGTTCATACCCATGTTTTGCGTACTATCTGGGTGAAGTGGAAGAAGGATCATCCCCAGTTTCTACAGAAGGGTGGCCTGGAAGATTTTTCAGCTCTGGATTTCCTTGTAGAAGGGCTGCTCTTTCTGGGTTCATCAGAAGAAGTTGCTGCATGTCTTTGGGAAGTACATTGAACACTGCCTGGATATCTTTCTTCAGTTTCTGGCAAGTTGCTGCAGAGTCTGCACTAGCCCTTCTGGACTGCTGGAGCTGGAGATTACAGGATTTATGAAAAGATTAACATTTTATTATATCTATTTATACTGTTGCATTCACGAAAGATTGCAAAAACAAAGAAATATAATTGCATTATGGATAACGCAAACTAGTGACATCCATGATTAAGCATGGAATTTTTACTCAATCTGCAGATAGTTCAGATGGGCATCATAGTTCCGATTAATGGATTTATATTGCTGGCCTCAATTCCACAAAATAAGTGGAACAACTCGCAAGACAGACATAAGTGAGAAACTTCAACTACATGTACAACGTACCAAGTGCGATGAATAGTATTATCGCTAGGACTTTCACATTTCTACTTCACCAATATAGAACGTCTGGACTAAACCACACTATCTCCATAAATCACACAATTTCCTATTCAGTTAACTGGAATAAATTTTCATTCTCTGAGTTAAAAAGTTCCAGCATATCATCCTAGCAGTTGTTCTTCCAGATCCCATCTTCAAAAAAGAAAAAAAAAAAAAAATAGAAGAATCAAACAAACCCAGAGCCTATAATATATCTGATACACGAAAAAAAAATTATCAGAAGCTAAAAATAGGACTATATTTCTTTTATCATCTTTCCAGATCTACAGCAGTATTGCACTACCAATCAAATGATATTTACCCATTTGACATGCAACAATAACTGGCCAATAAGAATACATGATATAGTAATCCCGCACAAAGGCCATTTTGAATTGACAAAAGAGTTTCTGAGAATACTTGACACACGAAAAAGGGGAAACAGCACTATTATATTCTAAGGAGACCTAAATATAACTAAAAAACTTTTTCCAGAACACAATTAAATACATGAAAGATAGAATTGTTCCTCTCCTCAATCCTCAGTTTAAGCATTAGTGCTATTGCTAGAGATAATTTCTGGCCCCATTCACATCAAATGCACTAGTTCAAGATTTACAGGTTCATGATGAGAGTTTTTGCCAGCGACATGACCTCAATGATTTGGCTAACCCAACATTGGGAAACACCTTATCCACACCTGACTGAACAGAAGGACCACAGGATGATCCTCAAAAAGCAGGCTAATGAATGGGAACAGGGACGAAGCTACTCATTGGAAGAGGCGGTCAATTTGCCCACTCCTATCAGGAGGGAAAAAAAATGGTTTACATTTTCACAGTTCGGACCCTAGTTTTTCCACTTTTTCCAAAGCACTCCAACCACTTTGCCCCCCTTCACTTATGTGTTATATGGTTTTGCCCCCCTTCTATTTACATTTGGCTTCGTCCCTGTGTGGGAAGTAGTAACTTTTTGATTATTGTCAATCATTTGGATCAAACTTTGAATATAAGGGTGAGTTTGTGTGTCTTCTAAAATTTTGCCTGGACATGAAAACCAAAAAGAAGTAATTCATACTAACTAAAGGTAAGCAGTAACTTCAAAACTAATTCAGATCAAACTTTTGCATGAATGTGATAACTCCAAGATTTTTATGATTCATCTGGATCATTTATGTGTATCATAATTAAACTGCAGTCACTTATCGCATAATTCAGATAACTGTGGATCTAATATAAAATCAAAGCAATCAAGGTCTTTCCGTAGAAATACAATTGCATAAAAAACAAGGGTTTGTAAAATCTGGACTAAACTCGAATGAATGAACAATATACACGAGTCAAGTTCATATGGCATTCAAAAACTACCATGTCATGTCATCGACAAATGTAACATCATGATTTTAAAAAAATTTGCCAAAAAATATTTAGCTTAGATCCTGCAAATAGAAAAAGATAAAAAGAAGAAAATAATAGAAAAAGATGACATGGAGTGCAGCAGTAAGAAAGCATTCAGTGGTTCTAAGACTGATGATGTAACCTTGAACTCCAAAATGGAGGAAACAGATCCATATAACTGACTCAAACTAGTTTGGGGTTAAGACTTAGATGGTGTTTAATAACAGAAATAGTTTGATAATACTTGTCAACATATCATTTAAATATTTTAAAGCTAAAATTATGTTAAAAACGATAAGTCAAAATTTGTGCTCAATATAATTAGTAATTAGACTTTTAAATCACTTTGCATCTAACAAGTGTATAATCCAACGCTTAAACTTCACAAATTAGCTTATTCCGGTGCAGTTTTGTTGGCCAGGATTTAATTTCTGGCAGGCACAGTCTAGCTGGATCTTTCGTTACTTATAATAGTTATGTAATAGATTTAGGCTCTTGTAGAATGAAATATGGCAGAGGCCAAGAAAAATTTCAAAAAATACTGCACAACCTTATAAAGGTACGAAAGCTTCTAAGCATTCAAGTTGATGTAATAAATGGCTATTATCTTTGCGCAACGGTTGTTACATATGCCTCTTCTTTGCCTGCCATATAATTGGGGATAAAGGCAATGGGCCTTTAAATCCTTCATGTAAAGGCAATTACATAAAAACAGGGTGATGTATGTCTGAGAATCATCAGTAACAGTATTTTCCAAAACACAATCTTTGTTTGATATTTCAAAGGATTAAGGTAGAAACATAAATTTCTTAGCAAGAATCACAAAATTGTTAAAGCAACAGTAAAACCAAACAAAAGGAGACGACTAGAAAGAAACAAGATAAAAGATAAAGAGACCTGAATAAGAAAAGGGGTGACCGAGCATTCAGCCAAAATTAAACTAGTCAGAAACTAGTGCAACACGGATAGACTTTTATGTCATTCATATTCTTTTGCACCAAAAGCTTTGAAACAGAGAAACCTATCTATGGTAACAGATCATTATGTTGGTAGCCGCAAGCATGTGGATATACCATTAACTTAAAAGCATGCTTTGCTCTTGCAGCATTATTGATGTGCATGATTAATCTCTTGCAGTGGGCGACAATATGGAAGGAAGAGAAAGACACGAGATAAAATGGGAAAAAATGAACATAAAATTGGTATGCAAAATTCAATGATGCATTCACTTATGTATATGCGCTTGTGTGCAAATGCATACTGGGGATGAATGCATGTATGCAAGCGTAAACAGTGAGTATGCATCGCCATATGCAATATCTGCTTTCGCATGGAAGTTTCTTAAATCCCCTAGTGTTTTGTTCACAGCTCACACCTCTAGATGTTTAATATGGAGGGTTCACACAGGATTGGATGTACAAGGATCCAGGCCTGTCCAAGTTAACTAGAGTCTTATTAGTTTAATTTGGATACTAAACTATCATATCACGATGCATATAAAAGGGCCAGTTTCTGCTTGATTTGAGAGAGAGAGAGAGAGAGTTCAGGAAGATAAGGGTTCTGGGTGCCACTGCTATAGCTCCTTTGTTTTAAGAAATTTTCATGTCATTTTCACTTGTGGAGATAAGACAGTGGCCAAACTGTGTAAATTACATCCGGGAATAAGCTATTATTGATATTTTCTCTGATATTCAATTTTTAGACCTGCTGTTAATCACCCTGAATTCTGGAACCTGTCTTAGATTCTAAGCTGGTAAACATTATTACTTGTAAATCAGATATGCAAGCCATTTTTCTTTCTTGCTTTAATTTTTGCTTCTTTCTGGTAAGTAAAAGAAATATCTACGTTGGTTCAACACCAAGATGGGGTACCATAGACACTAGACTATATAACATGTCAAGTAACACATTTAAAAAAAATACATGAAATGCCTAGACCAATGAAATTTTGTACAAAATAAAGAAACATAAAGTGATTCAATTTCCAATGTAATTAGGCTTTTCGTATTTCAATACAATTGATTACTAATAAAATAAATGGACTTGGGATTTAATCTTTTGACAAGGTAAAGAAGCAATAATCAGAAGACATGAAATCTCTGTCACTTGCAACAAGCAATTTAAGAAATGGGATTATACAATTCTTTGCAGTAGGAAAATTGGTAACAACTTGACTTCATAAAACCCACATCTCAATGCTGTGAAAAAGTCAATCAAGTTCCCATCCACCTGGCAGCTCTTTTTTTTTTTTTTTTTTTTCCCCAACATCTCACTGCTGTGAAAAAGTCAATCAAAGTTCCCATCCACCTGGCAGCCTCTTTTTTTTTTTTTTTTTTTTACATTACCAACTGCTTCTCAAACTCAAACATTGAATTTTTTTTTTTTTTTTTTTTTCACATTACCAACTGCTCTCAACTCAACATTAAATAAGTAGGAATTTGTCATATGCTTAAGGAATTAACAACTAACCCAAATTTTGCATGGCAAGCACCATGTTTGTAGGAAGCATAATAAGGATGCTTGGAATAGAGTAGATGAAAAACATTTCTATATCTCAATCATTTAACATGTATAATTATTACATCCACCATAAAATTGTAAAAAATCTTGATTGTTCTCCAGTATGTCGTGGAACGTATGATCAAAGGGAACTCATTTTGGCAAATTTGTAGACACTTTCAGCAATAATCATAATATTACTGAAAACATGGGGTAGACCAGTCTCTGATCTCTCCTATGAGTAGAACAGAACTGGCTTAACATGGTTCAGAAAATTACCTGAATTTCTCCACTGAGATGCCTCTCGATAGCATTGAAGGAATCAACAACCTCCAATTCAGACATTTTAGATAAGAACTGTTGTATGTCAGTTTTCATTCTTGCTTGCCTCCATAATCTATGTTGTTCATGTTCAGCAACAGCTCGCCTCCTTTGAAACCAAGGCATAAAATTTGGTCCTTGCAAAAACCGCCTGAACAGTGACAAAAAGGAAAACTTAGTAACACTACAGGCATTGAAAACTTAATTTATCTAATCAGAATGAGGGGAACAGAAACATTTGAACTAATTTTAAAAAATAAGAGGAAGAAGAAAGAGAGGATTAAATAAGCAATTTTAATGGTGGTTAAAACATTTCATTACCTGTATAAGTCCAGCCAATTAGATCTCATCCGCTTTGATAAGAACTTCCCCACACCTCTTGCTGCTAAGCTTGACAAGAATTCCTCAGTGTTAAATGGAGGAAGAGGAGGAGGGTCAACAAATGGAGAAGATCCTTCCGAAGGAGTATTTGCTCTAAAATATGGGCCGAAAGGAGCTAGAAAGTTGGTGGTTAGCTCTAAGAAATGTCGTCGCAATATCTCATTATTAACAACAGACATTGACTCCTCAACCCTTGGAGAGATCCCAGCATCAATAAGTCTATTCAAAATGGAAGTGTCTGGCTTAGTTGTTGCAGCATAAGTGCTCCAAATGGCTTCCTTATGCTCTGTCATGAGGCAAAGAGGGCCATCCCTCCTTAATTTAACTGCATTCAGCAAGCTTGAAGGAGAAAACTTCTTCAAGGAGAGCTGCTGAAGTCCCGATCCTTCTGGCCTTCCAGAAATTCTACCAGTAGACCGGCTTGCAAGGGGAAGCCGATTTGAATTTGGAGCAGGGCTTCCAACTGAAACAATGTGGGGAATATTACGAAGTGCTTTGAGGAAAAACAAGTTTGTCACTCCCAAAACCATTGGAGGGAAAGTATCTCCTTGTTGAAGTGAATTCAAATAAGCAAATTCGGGGTCATGGATGGTGAAATATGGCCTAAAATCAACACTACATAAAAGTGGTGCAACCAAGCTCACAAGACTTGCAACTGCCTCACTGCACTGGGAAGGTGTTGGTCCTATTATAAGAATGGGTTCGCCAATAAGTAACAATTCCCATAACACCCAAAGTTGCAATAAAATCCCTCGAAATGTACCAAAAATATCTGAATCATGAAAAAGCCCCTGTGGGACTGACTGATTTGTTGGAAGAAACGGAGCTATTGAGGAAGCAGACTCTTCAAACATCCCATTTTCCAAGGGCAAGCTGTGTGCTGGTGGCAAGTTAACTTTAAGCATAGCATTCCCAATAGGAAGCTCCATTAGCTTACCTGGAACAGGAGCAGGCCACTTGGAAACATAAGCAGCAATATGCTCAAGTGCTTTCTTTCCAATATCAAAGAATAAAGGACCCATGATTTGCAACAAAGGCCTAAACACAGCAGAGTACGGATTATGAGATAATATCACCACAGACTTCTGCTCTCCTCCTCTCTTTAGCCGCTCATCATGTCTCTGTCTATTAAACACATAACCATACAAGTATCTCAACTCTTTGTCAGTTTTCCTAATAATAGTTCTTCGAGTCAACTTCTCATATGTAGAATTTGAAGATACTTCTTTATCATCAATTTCTGTTATCTCAGATGCAGTTACACTGCTTTGTTCAGAACCTTTCTGTCTCCTAATGCGGAAAAAGAATATGCAATCATGAATGCTTGAACGATTCTGGTTCTGGGAAACTGAATCTGGAAATGAACTAAAAGCAACATCAAGTTCCTCTTCACTTGTGAGAAGCCCAGGTGGGTAACTCTCTTCAATGAGCTGACCTTGTTCAAGATCAAATCTGATGATACAAAAAGCAACCACCCATTGCTGAAAAGATTCTCGATCAACATTTAAATTAAGCTCCTGCTTAATAGAAAACGAAGGCAATCGACTCATTTCCAAGTTATTCAACACTCTTAGTCATCCATCAAAAAAGCCAATTCTCCTTGTCAACCATATTTTCCTTTACAATTTACAAGATTAGGTGGACCAATCCTTGCCTATTCAGCAGCTTCCCAAGTCAATTTCTTCTAGCATTACTTCTGTAACAACTTTACTGAGAAGCTGAGAATCCCAATACCTACGAAAGAAAACCCACAAGCATGCATTACAAAAAAGAGTGTTTTCTGTAGCTATTGCAATGTTTTGTTTAGTCGCCGATAAATGTATGTAAAGGTAAGTAATTGAAACTACAAAACCTTAGATTTACCGAAACTCACTACTAAGCTAATAGTTTTAGCTCAGGCAAGCTCTTTATTTGAGAAACCAACATGGCACATAATACCCGAATCCAAATAATAATACATATATCCTTTACTGTTCTCCTTTTTCTCGGCAATCAAACAATAATAAACATTAAGATGCAAGGAAAGCATCATTTAAAGAGTCAGTATTAGAGAGAAGATCTAAAGAGGGTGTATCAGAAACTTACCTGAACTGAAAAACCCAGATTCAATTATTGCATGAATCAATCTGGATCAGCCAAAAATGGACACCCAATTAGCCAAATACATATGGGTCTCAAGTAGAATTAAAAAAAAAAAAATGTAAAAGGAAAAGATTTAAAATAAAAGGCAGATCTTTGTCAGCTTCCTCTCTAACTGTGCGAAATGCAAAACGTAAATGCCTGAGTCTGATTTTGCTCAACTAATTTAGGAGGTAAGCCTTTGAAATTTTATTTTTCATTTTTTTTTTTTTTTGACATGGTTATATTATGACATGTTAAACTATTTAATCTTTTTTTTTTCATTTTGTTAAAGAGTGAATATTTGATCTAATCACTACTTCGGTATTTTTTTTTTCGGGTAAATAAATTAAAACATGGTTATATTATGACATGTTAAACTATAATAAATTAAAACATGGTTATATTATGACATGTTAAACTATTTAATCTTTTTTTTTTCATTTTGTTAAAGAGTGAATATTTGATCTAATCACTACTTCGGTATTTTTTTTTTCGGGTAAATAAATTAAAACATGGTTATATTATGACATGTTAAACTATTTAATCTTTTTCTCAAAAATTTACTATTTAGCCATTAAATAATAATTAAAAAAAATACATTACATTAAACCCAATTTTTATCTTTAGGATTCGAACCAAATTGGAAATTGTACAGACTCGAATCAAAATAGTAAAAAAGAAATGAAATTAGAGGGATTTCATCAAAACCAAAACATATATTTTTTCATTTTAGATATATTATGCATTCTAAAAGCTACTATCACATTTTATTATTTTAAAAAATTATTATTTAAATCCAACCAAAATCACACAGCCCTGCATAAAAAAAATCAAATTTTCTTTTGATAGAATCATTAAACAGTCACAAGAGTGTGCTTTAAAATTTAATGTTGATGGTTCTGCAGGAGGAAAACCAGGGTCAGTTGATATTGGTGGTGTTTTGAGAAACTCTCTTAGTTTGATTACGTGTTTTTTTTTTCAATCGGTGGAAATCTTAAATTCTAATGAAGCTAAATTATTTGCAATTTTTAAAACTGTTGAGTTATTTAGTCATTGTCATAATTCTTCTATGCATCTCATTATTGAATAAGATTCTATAAATTTCATCTGTTCGTTCTTACAAAAGGATAAGTGGCCATGGCAATTGTGGAATCATTTTAACAAATTTGATTCGTTGTTATATTCTTTAGTTCAGATTAATTTCAGTTTTATCAACAAAGAACGTAATCATTTTGCAGATTGTATAGCTAAGAAAAAAATGGATGTTATAGAACCTTTTTAGCATGACTTTAAAGTTTAGTTTTATTTATGTAATCGCATAATTATGTTTTTTTTTTTTTTTTCCTTTCTTCTTATCTCAAAAAGAAATCTAATGGATGTTCTGGTTTTCTTGTGTTGAGGCATTTTTTATCGGCTTTTTCACTTAATTTTTTCAAATTAGATTCAGGTGTTTTAGGGAGCCTGTTAACTCGGATTAGATTATTTCGATAAATTAAAATTTTCCTATTTTTTATTATAATAAAATAAATTAACTTTTCACCAATAAAAAAATATATAAAATACATATAAACGTCAATAGTTAACACTTTAAGAAATAAGATAAAACGATTGATTTATTATACTCAAGGACTTTCTTGTCAATCTCATCACTAACAGCGGCTATTTGAGAGTTAAATGATTTTATATTTTCCACCTGTATTTTTCCAATTTACCCAACACCTCTTGCATCTCTGCCTCTATTTTCTTTTCTTCAAATAGCTTATGCTCCAACTCAACTTCAATCTCCTTCGTCTTACTAAGTACTATTGATATCTCCATCCTCAAAGCCTATATAATCGTCGCAGTCAAAAAGCGTTCATTTTCTTTCCAACGGCGGTGGAGTTTCTTTCTGCTGCTCTTTCTTCTTTGTCAATTCAATCTGGAATTAATCTTCAGGTAACATCTGAAAGTCTGTGAACATATATCATGCTGGCTACTATCTCTTCTTCCTATCCTAGATCATCCTTTCACCATTCCGTCAAAAAGAAAAAGTAGTATCTGAGAGAAAAGAAAGAATTAGGAGTAGGAGTTGGCGCCTGCTTGCTTACTTACTTTGCGATCCTAGCTTTACGGTCGCGAGAACGATCCGTGGTTACACGTATACATTAAACCAATAAAATTAAAAATTTTTATTTATCACGAAAACGAAACTATCTAGACTAATAAAGGTTCCAATTTTCCAGAGATTATCTATTGAATTTACTCGTACCTTAACACTTGGACGATCCCTTGTGATTGTCCATTAGGTATTCTCAAGGAGAATGTCTATTACATATTATTTAAAGGTCATTTCAGTAATTTGATGTGTAAAACTCTTTGCATATTTAAATAAAATGATTATGTAGTTAAATGGTCTATTAAATTAAATTAAAGTAATTTAACAGAGGGTGCATGAATTTATAAAATTGTTGTGAATTTATAAAAGAGTATGACTTAGTTTTAATAGGTGCGTGTTTGCTAATATTTCTTATTTAACTAATAAAAAATTTAATTAAATTAGTATGATATTATTCTTAATTGTAATTGTAAGGATCACCCGCGATACGAGTTACCAAATCTAGGGAGCCGAAAACCTGCATATGGAATGTCTGAAACATCTGAAACAACTAACTGTACTTCCCATGAGAGCCTAGTTCATCAAGAAAACAACTAATTATTGAAATCATTAAAATTTAATAAGATAAATAGAACAAATCACTAAGCACAGTAACTAAAAAGATGTTTGTCTTAGACAATATTTTTATAATTATGTAATATATTTTCATATTGTAACGATTTTCAACAACAAGCAATCTTCATATCATTAAAAGCAAGCTGTTGCATTCGTATGAAACATGAAAAGAGGGAGAGAGACAAAGAAACTAGTAATTCAAAATTGGTGGCATACCTTATGCCAGCACGTGCTCTTTTTGGAGTTAGAATTGCCATGTGAAGCACTCCATTCAATAACATATGTCTTGTCCGTAGCAGAGATGTATATAAAAAAATTAAGCCTATTAAGAATTAATTAAGCTTATTTTTTTAATTAAATATTGATATTAAGAATTGCATGGCAATATAGTCAAATTAATACTGCGACAGGCAAGCTGTTATCGCAAAATTCCAAGATAATAATACGGAAGTTGGTAGCACTCCTCTCAAAAAGTTATATTCTGAAAGAATAAATATTTATCAAAAATGTTGACACCCAAACTGCGTTATATATATATTTCTTTCCTCAATAGTTTGCTTCACATTAATTTCCATGGCTGAATTATTACCATTTCTGGGTTTGATTGTTACCATAGTCACTAATACAGTCGTCTTTACTGATGGAAGCTGCATTCCCAGTGAAAGAGACGCTCTTTTGAAGTTCAAGCAAGATCTCAAAGATGAGTTAAATTGGCTTGGCTCTTGGTCTACGCAAACCGATTGTTGCCATTGGAGAGGTGTTATTTGCAACAACGTAACTGGCCATGTCACGGAACTCCATCTTCGCAATCCTTATTTTGTAAGTGCAAGTTCTTACACAACTTACGCCGAAGATTTGACTCGTCAGAGATCAAAGCTGCAAGCTAGTAAGTTAAACCCTTCCTTGCTTGAGTTGAAGCACTTGAATTATTTGGATTTAAGCGGAAATGATTTTAAACAGATTTCGATTCCATCATTTATTGGTTCAATGAAGAGTTTAAGATATCTTAATCTCTCTAATGCTGAGTTTGGTGGAATGATTTCTCCTCAAATTGGAAATCTCACCAACTTGCGATTTCTTGGTCTTGGAGGTACAGTTTCAGGCAGTCTTTATAGCAATAATCTAAAATGGCTTTCAGGTCTCTCTTTACTTAAAACCCTTGATTTGAGCAATGTCGACCTCCCAAATGCCTCAGATTGGTTCCAGGAGATAAATAAACTTGTTTATCTAGTAGAATTACGGTTGGGTCTTTGTTATCTTCCTAATCCTATTAATCCAACATTAACTGCTGTTAATTTTTCATCTCTTGCAGTTCTTGATCTGTCTGGTAATATTTTAGATAACTCTCTTTTGGTTCCAAGTGGATGGATTTTTTCTCTTAAAAATCTAATTTTCCTTGATTTAAGGGTAAATAATTTCCATGGGCTAGTTCCAATAGGTCTTCAAAACTTGACTTCTCTGAAACACCTCGATTTATCATACAACCATTTTAATTCTTCCATACCTCACTGGTTATACAGTTTTAGTAGTGGACTCGAGTTCCTTAACCTTTTTGGAAATGAAATGCATGGCAACATACCAGAAGGAATTCAAAGCTTGGCTTCTTTAAGAATTCTAGACCTATCAGGAGAAAGTAACAATTTCCAAGTTGATGGGAACAACCTAATAAGATACATAGGCAATCTCTGCAACTTGAGGTCCATTGATTTGTCCTACATTAAGTTGAATGTCAACGTAAGAGACCTCTTTCAGATATTGTCGGTATGCATTTCAAATCATTTAGAATCATTGTCTTTAGAGAATTGTCAACTTTTTGGCCAACTCCCTAACTATGCTTTTGGTCGATTCAGAAATCTAGGCTATCTATCTTTATCAGAAAATTCCATTTCTGGTAATATTCCAATCTCTTTTGGGAGTCTCTCAAAATTGGAAATAGCATATCTTTCTAAAAACTCCATGGAGGGAGTTGTTACACAACTCCATTTTGTCAATCTAACAAGATTGATGATTTTCAAGGCTGATGGAAACTCACTTACTCTACAAGTCAGCCCAAATTGGATTCCACCATTTCAGCTTGAAGAGTTATGGCTACAATCTTGGCATCTAGGAGAATTGCTTCCATTTTGGGTTCATTCCCAGAAGTATTTGGCATCCCTAGATATGTCTAACTCAACTATCGTTACCATTCCCAGTTGGTTTTGGAATTTCTCCTCGCAATTTGTTTACTTGAATCTTTCAGGTAACCAAATACATGGAAAGATTCCACATTTAACTGTGAGTCAAATTCGATTGTACTCTCCTAGTCGTTATGGAGGAGCCACTATTGATTTGAGTTCAAATTACTTCAACGGTGTTTTGCCTCTTGTTTCTCCCGATATCACTACATTAGATCTTTCCAATAATTTATTTTCTGGAACTATTTCTCACTTCTTGTGCTCTCAAGTGAATATGGAAATTCCATTCAATGAGTCGATGAACATGGAATTCATAAATCGGCAATTACCAAAAGCAGGGTATGTGAACATGGCATATTTAAATCTGGGATCAAATCAATTATTTGGAGAGATACCAAACTGCTGGATGAAGTGGGATGGTTTGCAAGCTGTAGAATTGAGTAGTAATAATTTTATTGGAAAAATTCCAAGCTCTATGGGAAATTTGAGCTGGCTTCAATCACTACATTTACGTCACAACAATTTATCAGGAGAAATACCTTTCTGTCTTTCAAATTTTAAGAGATTGGCATCCATTGATTTTGGTGAAAATCAATTTGATGGGAAAATTCCAAAATGGATTGGTACAAAAGTTTCCACATTAAAGATTCTCAATCTCCGCTCAAACAAATTCCATGGTCCTATTCCTCATGAAATTTGTTACTTAAAGGATCTGCAGATCTTGGATTTGGCTCATAATAAGCTCTCTGGATCTATACCAAAATGTATTAGCAACTTTAGCGCAATGATCTCAGCAAATGATTCAGATGATTTCATGTCATATCCTATTATTCCTATTATTGGACACTCGGCTTTAGAGAACGCAAAACTTGTAATCAAAGGGCAACTGCGCGATTACAATAAAATTCTTAAATGGTTAAGAAGTGTGGATATCTCTAATAATCTTTTATCAGGAGACATACCAATGGAAGTGGCAGGTCTCGTTCGACTACAGGCATTAAATTTGTCGAATAATTTTTTGACAGGAAAAATTCCTGAAAATATAGGTGATATGAGAGAACTCGAGTCTTTGGATTTATCAGGAAACAAACTCTCAGACAAAATTCCTCAAAGTATTTCTGTCTTAAACTACTTGAGCCACTTAAACTTGTCATATAATAAGTTAATAGGCAAAATTCCTTCAAGCACTCAAATTGATGGCCTTAATGTATCATCTTTCATTGGCAATCAGCTTTGTGGGCTTCCATTGAATAAGACTTGTCATGCGAGCTGGGATCATGTACTTGAAGGTGAAGGAAATGGAGGAGGAGAGTATGATGATGATGATGATGATTATAAGCTGCGGTGGAGTACAATGATATATGGATTCGTGGTTGGCTTTTGGTGTGTGGTTGGTCCTATTATGTTTAGTAGGAAATGGAGGTTAGCTTACTTCAATTTTCTGAGTAGCTTGGTGCAGAAATTTAAAAGGTGCTTTTGTTTGTGACATTGCTTGTACTGTGCTGTGCTCAATAATTGCCAGATTTTTATATAGAGGTCCATTGCTTCTTGTGTATTCTTTTATGTATTTTTATTAACTGTATTTGGGTGGCTCCTATAGTCATTGCCAGATTTTTTCTCTGCAATAATTGCCAGATTTTTATTAAACTGTTTTATTCCTAACCAGATTTGCTACTTAAAAAGTCATTCGACCTCAAGCATTGAACTTGTCAGAAAAATTTTTACAGGAAAAATTCCTGAAAAGTATTGTGATATGAGAGAATTCAAGTCTTTGGATTTATCAAGGAAACAAGCTATTTGGAGAAATTCCTCCAACTATTTCTGAATTAATACATTACTTGAGCCACTTAAACTTGTCGTATAACAATTTAACAGGCAATTAAAATTCCTTCAAGCACTCGAATCGGTAACTTTGATGCTTCGTGTTTTGTTGGCAATCAACTTTGTGGTTATCCGTTGGACGAGACTTGTCGGGGAAGGGATGTACGTAAAGATGAAAGAAGTGGAGGAGAGGAAGATGAAGATGATAGTAATATAGTGCAGTTGGTCCTATTTTGTTTAGTGGAAAATGGAGGATTACTTATTCTAATTTTCTGGGTCGTTTGGTGCAGAAAGTTAAAATGTGTATATGTTAGGTTTTTGCTAGTAATATGTTGTTCCCCATAATGGTCTTCTTGTTTCTTTTATACTCCATTCATTTCATATTAAGTGTCCATTTAGTTAAAAAAAAAAAAATATTAACAAAGTGTTAGTTGAGGTGGTTAACGACTTCAATTCTTATAAGGGTGAGATCTTTGGAAAAACACCGTTTTGCTGGGAGAACGAAAAAAATATTTACGTTTTATGGCTAATGGGTTAATGCAATTAATTTTTATTTTTTTTTCTAAAATGGTAGTTTAATAAAATACTAGCCCTATTATTGATTTTCCATAATTTCCTTAATCCTAGTGAAATTCTCTTAATGAACACTTAATATGGAAGGGACAGAGTATTGTAATTTATTGTAGCTTGATTTTCTCTTAACAATGCTTTTTCTAGGCTTCTTGATCGAAGTTTTTAGCTTTTTTTATAGAAGAAAAAAAATTAATGCACAACAAAAACTAAGATCAGGACTAGTAAGTATCAAATTATTGATAAAAAAATAAAAAAAAAAATCTTATAATTTATCATATTTTTCAAGTTACAAATACAAAAGATCTCCAAGACGCAAAACAATATCACAATAATTGTTTTAAATGTTTGTTAATTGGAGTTGAGGGTTTAGTTAAGTTACTCCCTCTGTGCACAAATAACTGTCACATTTGCGAAATTATCATGTCAATAAATAAGCATCGCATGTGTGGGTTTTAAGAAATAATTAATTTTTTTCATTTTTACCTTTTGTAAATGACGAATATTAACGGCTATAATTCTTAAAAATATCTTTCTCTTTATTGTAAATAAGGGTAATCGATAAATTAAATGGTTTTTTTAAGTGACGAAAAAGTGTAAATGTGATGGTTACTGATAGCAACAAAATATGCATGTATTTTAATTTAATTCAATTGCATTTGAAGTACAAAACCTGAAATTAAATCTCATTTTCGTGATTTTTCTCTCTTTTGTTGATTTATCGTTTGAGCAATATCAATATGGGAAATTATAGTAAATGTCACTTTTTGAAATTTATTTTTACATACTGTCAGTTTGATTTTATTATTTACATTACTGTCGATTAGGATATATTTTTACTTTGTGCCCTTTTTTTTTAATTTGTTAGGCATTACTTTGTCAGTGAATCAGTGTTTTAATTGCTTAATGTTTTCTTTTATATTAATTTCCTATTGTAATTATCATTTCCTCTTTTTAGTTTCTTTTCTTTTTTACTGCCGTTTTTTCAGCCGGCCTTCTTTTCCTATTATTCATTATGCGTTTTCTGCCAATATTCTTTACGCTGATATTTTCAAAAGTGAAAGATTTCGTTTTTTCTCAATCATAAGGTATGTTGATTTTTGGCTTTGATCTGTTTTTGTTGTTGAAAATAACTCTTTCCATTTGGATACATTTCTTTCCATTTGGATACAATCACGTAATCACAGAATTGATATATGTTTTTAGATATACATTTTTTGATTTACATTAGTTTAATTTGTTTCTACATTATAATCTTACTGTTTCATATGTTTTTTTTTTTTTTTTCTGTTTATGTTTTTCCTCATGAGTTTTTATATTCTCACGGTTTAATTGTTTATTTTTTTGGTTTTGGTTTCCGTTTGTTAGTCTTTTTTATTTTCCATAATTTGTTTGTTATTTTATAATAATGTATCTCTGTATATTCATGTTTTTTTTTTTTTTTTCTGTTTATGTTTTCTCCTCATGAGTTTTATATTCTCACGGTTTAATTGTTTATTTTTTTTTGGTTTGGTTTCCGTTTGGTTAAGATCTTTTTTTATTTTCCAAAATTTGTTCTGTTATTTATAATATGTATCTCTGATATGTATATATATACTATATATATATTATATATTTGATTTAGAAGATATTCTGTTCTTTGTATAATGATCAACAAACCAAAAGGGGGCCATGAGGTTAATTACCATAAAATTCTTTGCAGGGGCTCTTTCCATGAGGTTAATTACCATAAAATTTCATTGCAGGGCTCTTTCCTTTCTTAATAAGCTCCAACATGAAAACATCTCCCTCTTTTAAGCCATTGGCCTGGGCAAATACATTCCAGCCACTCCTTAAACTAACTTCACCACTGTTATTTCTCCCCACTGACACAGTCCATGACCTTCCTCCTTCGTTTGTAAGGATCATCTTTGAGCATTTGCTAATTATATCATTTTTATTTACAAAATCTCTTGGAAATTTCTGCAATTTGACTCCATTTATGATCAACGATTCATCACTATTATTTTATAAAAGCATATATTTTAGTACAATTAGGATTGTCAGTATTTACCAGCCAATAGCTTTCAAGGGATGATGCCCTGAACATGGCATAGAAGAAGGGAGCATCTGTCCACCGCTCACTTTTCGTCTTAGTATTTGTTTTCCATCCTTTCATAAGATCATTCATTGTGTTGTGTTTAAGAGGCTAGAAGAAGAGAAAATTCAACTTTGAAAATGCTGTATTAGCGTATGCAACTTACTCATAATCAGTAGAGGCTTCTTCCCTTTCTTAGTGAGCTCAAACATGAAAGAATCTCCTGGCTTCAGCTTATTTGCATTGCGGAATGCAGTCCAACCCTGTCCAATGTAAGCTTGGCCGTCGTTCTTTTGCCCTAAATTCGCAGGCCACGATCTTCCTTCTTCATCCATAAGAACAATCTTGCCAAATCTTTTGTTTAGGCCATTTGACCTGGCGAATTTCCTTGGAATATATACTGTATTTACAGTAGTCAAACTTACCATCAGTTGCACTTTAAATTACCAGTGACATGCATATATTTACAGTTGCCAAACATAGCATCAACTTGCAGACTGAGTTACCATATATATATATTGAAGATTTTCCAAATTTGATGGAGATTTTCCAAATTGGATTGGTACAGAATTTTCTAAATTGAAGATTCTCAACCTCCGGTCAAACAAATTCCATGGTCCTATGTCTCACCAAATTTGTTATTTAAAAATGTTGCGAACCTTAGAATTGGCTCATAATAAGCTCTCTGAATCTAAACCAAAATGTGTTAGCAACTTCAGTGCAATGATCTCAGCAAATGATCAAGATGATTTACAATGGTATCACGATGGTATTATGACGAGTGTCGTTACAGAGAATACAGATCTTGTAATAAAAGGGCAAATGCGAGAATACACTGCAACCCTAAAACTTTTTAGTAGGAGAAATACCGACCGAAGTGACAAGTCTCATCCAGTTAAATGCATTGAATTTGTCAAATAATTTTTTGACAGGAAAAATTCCAGAAAATATTGGTGATAAGAGACTTGTCATTAGAAGCATATCACCAATAGAAGTTTCAAGCATTTAAAAATTTTTAAAAAAAAAAAAAATCATTTTCACTCTTCCCTGTCAATTAGTAACGGTTTTGTACCTATATTATATTTGGAGTATATAAATTTATAAAATAAGTTTTAATATTTTTTCAAATTAATAATTTATGTTATCATTCTATTTATAAATAATTTAAAATAAAAAATATTTATTATTAAAAAATCAATATATTTTATTTATATCACATCAAAATATTTTTTTATTATAAAATATTTATTTTTACTATAAAGAAAAGGTTGGTAAAATTATTAGTTACTTCGACGATTGAAAAGGACACAGATTAAAATTTAGTCGGATTTGTTTGAAAACTAAGATGTCGTTTGGAATAAATGAATTCCACAAAATTTGATAGAATTCGTTTGGAAAACCTTGATACGTCTGTCAAGGTTATTGGTACAATTAAGGTAACCATTCATTTTTATAACTTAAATTATTATTATATAATAATGGAGCATATTAAACCCCTAACATAAGGGTAAATTACCGATATAAGGCTCTGTTCGGCTATTTTAACAAGTTAAAACACGATTTCTATTAATTATAGCGTTTAATAACATAGTACTAGTTTTTAGAAATTAATGGAGCTTTTTATGAAATATTAAATACTCCGGCATTTAACTTTTAATGTATAGTGTTTAGCTTTTAATTAAATTGTTTTGAGTATCATATTCATTGTTTTTTTTTTTTTTTTCTCCGAATTCGACTAATTAAACAACTAATATCATTTTTTGTCATTTTAACTTAAACAGCTAATTAAATAGATTTTTTTTACCATCGCTACTGAAACAGCTAATATCGTCGAATAAACAGCTAGAAATCCAACTTGAAATCTTTGAACAAAATGTACAAGATCTCAGTGTTAGCTATTTGGGTTACGCCTAGGGCCAACTTAAATTAGTATTTCATAGAAATATGCCCAAACCTATTAATCCTACTCAACACTCTTTCGACACTAACGTTGCAACATAAACATGTCACATCCTAATTCTGTAACCATATTTATGTCCTTTTTCTGAGTTAAATATAGTAGTAAAAATTTATGTTTGGCAGAGATTTTTGCTGTCAGAATTAGGGCATGACATAGATAGAGCAATTCCAGTGGAGCCAGGACTTACAATGTACAATCAAAACAGAAAAGTAAAACGCTTTATTGAGAAAAATGGGATACCCTACACTTATATATGTTGCAACTCCGTTGCTGCTTGGCCCTATCATGACAATACTCATCCTTCCTGATGTTCTCCCACCTTTGGATCGCTTCCAAATCTACGACGATGGTAGTGTCAAAGGTAACTGAATTTTATTGTTATATTTACAGTCTCAATATGTAGAAAATGATGTGCAGATGATACATAAGTGGCTAAGGGTGGTGATGCTCTAGGATCCAAGTGGTAAGAGTGATGCTCTAGGACTTCTAGTCCCAACCCAACCAAGTCCAATCGTCTAAACCGCCCTTTCACAGGCTCTCAATGTAACTAGTAATTTGTGACAGTATATTTGAAAGATTAAATGTCCAAATCTTCTTCAATCTCAGCATTGTCTAGTCCAGAATGATGAATTAATACGTTTTAAGATGTGTTTTATTTACAGCATACTTTGTGGATGGGACTGACATTGAAAAATTCACTATAAAATCACTGGGGGATATTTGTAACACTCAACAAAACTCTTCATTTTCGACCTCCAATGAAGTTTCTAAACATCAATGACTTAGCTTCTTTGTGGGAGGACAAAATTGGACACAAGTTGCCCAGAGATGCCATCACAGAAGATGACCTTCTGGCTGCTGCTAAAGGTTTGATCAGTTATATACACAAGTCTGTTTTCTATTGACATTGGAAACTGCTTTAAAAGAACAATTAGATAATTAAAAAATAAATTTAAAACTGTTTTTCTGTTGTTTCAACATATTATATTGAACTTAAAAAAAATTTAGTACCCATTAATCAACTTATTCAATATAGCAAACTTGTTTTCAATATCAGCTCAAACAGCAATATCAAACTTATGCATATTTCATAAGTTTTGCAGAGATGAGAATTCCAGAAAGCATAGTTGCAGCAATTACTCACGTCATTTCATAAAGGAATGGCAAATAAATTTCTCAATGTACAAGCCAACAGATGTCGAAGTATGTTCAGTCTATCCAGACATACCTTTAGAACTGTTGACAAGTGCTTCGATGACCTTGAGGCGAAGATGTTCGCAATCCGAAAGTACTTTGGGATCATATAAAGTGACAAGTTCTAAGCAAATAATCTTTGATTTTCACTGCGTATATATAGTAATATATAAAGCCTACATCTAGAGATGGGAATACCAAACCAAACACAAAAATGCATCTTCAACAGTTACCGGGTTGTGCTATATCACGTATCATTGCAAATAACAAAAAGCAGAATCTCTGAATTAAGCATGTTAAATTCAACAGTCATTTGTATACATTAGTATAATATACAGCTCTTACACTTCTAGCGTACCTCTGCAGCAACAAAAAAGAGCTTAGGACTTGAAATGGCACCAATCAAAGTCAGAACTATTTACATTTTTCTTTCAGAAGCAAATTAAAAAGAGGTGGTGATATGTAAATACAGCAGCTATGTTTTCTATATCTCCTAATGCTTTATCGTGTTAATTTGAACAAGTAACACTCACTGTGGTAGAAGTTCTGGTCAACCATAAAAGATAAAAAAACAAGAACTTCCCTGTTAATCTTATTTTGCCGTCTCTGTGCACTCCACATCATTATATTCATAATACAAAATGGTTGAACAAGTTAGAACCTAAACATCATAGACAGGCAAGCGCTCCTCAATAGATACTCGGCAAATTGGACACTTTTTACACTTTTCACAGCAGACACTGCAACACATTAGGAATTAATAAGCATGACAATAAAAGAAAGAAAAATGATACATCACATGTTTCAAGTAAAACAATGACTAATTGTACCTGCAAAGGATACGATGCCTACAGGGAAGTAGAACCACACTGATCTCTCCCTCAAAGCAAACCCTACATAAGACTTTTTCCTGCAAAGTATATCGAAAGAATATTTATATGTCAATGAGAGTGACTGTTTTAGTGGAAAACAATACTAAAATTAGACTCCAACTGATGACATCTTAAAGTCCTACAAGTGAAACATCAATTACCGAGTAATTATACCACCTTACAAACATAAGCTCCTAATTCTGGCCAAATAAGAACAATTGAGCCTTGATTCAGAACGAGATCATGGTTGATATAAAATAACTAATTGGATTATCGTGCTAAACTTGACACCAAGAAGACACTTGTTTGTTTGCATATATGAACTTATACACATTTCTTTTATGTTGCAACAAATCAGTTATAAGCTACATAATCAAAGTCTTGATCATAGTAGCATTCTGTTTATGTACTTTGAATAGCTGTAACCATGTGATAAGTACAGAGAAAATAATATACATAAAAGTGCATCCAAATTATATCATCAAAACAAGGTCTACTACCCGATCATTTTGAGAATATTATAAACAACCTTCACATAATCAGCCTTAGTTCCAGTAATTATACAATTATTAACAGTAAGATTATTTTCACATCCAAAAATTCCAGGTTCCTCTCTTTTGAAAACAAGAAGAATATATAACATGTGTGTCTGTGTCCATATCACTGGAACAAAATACTAGGAAAGGTACATCTCTCTTTCAGGCTCCTCTACTGATGGAACTATCACTTATCCTAGAAAGATATATACCATCCTTTGAGTCAGTTAAAAGAATAAATATCATTATAGGTTGATGATTCCACCTCAACAAAACAAGCCTAAATGATTCACAAGCAAGAATAGTTCAGAGAAAATTTAGAATGTTTAAAGCCACTGAAGAAGGTTCAGGTCAATTACAGATAACAACTTAACAATAAGTGTGATATTTTTGGAACCAAAAATAGGCATATACAAACAATGAAGTTACTCATTTAGACACGTCTCTCTAATATGAAACTAGTGATCAATTATTGAAAAAGACAATGAAATTGCAAGTCACAGAAAAAATTATTACATTTTGAAGTCTTTCAAACTCTTGCTGGCTATATTTGGTGATTTCTGTTTGTTCACCAAGAGCAGCTTGAAGCCTCCAGACCTGAGAAGAAACCATGTATAAAATATAAATATAGCAGACACAAATCATCAACGACTTTGTCACTGGTTAATAAACATATTCCTGGATGAAATAATGAAGTGGCGCCTAAAACTAGAGAGGAAAAATATACAATTAAATCTTGTAGTTTCCAAGTTATGATTAAAAGAACATAATATAAAATGAACCACCTCCTCAGCAAGATCCTTTTTAGGCATTTTCTTCACTATCTCAGGAGGATAACCACAGAAAGTGTTATAGCTGCATGTTCAGAAATGAAATGTACAAAGATCAGCAACCAATATTTAATCTAATGAAGATACTCTAAACAGAATTGTAGATCTTTTATAAAAAGGAAGATATTGGTGTCAGAAAACAGCAACTAATGTCATTTGATACTCGGCAAACTATAGTGCAAATCTACCAGTCAAATGGGGCTAATTAGTTCCTAATTCTGTTTCTTTCAGCTGTATTACTTCCTAATTCAATTTCTCTCCCCAATACTTGATTTTGTGATTACTACAGTTCCATAAAAAAATAAAAGAAAAAAAAAATCAAACCATAGTTCTTACTTATGAAACTTTTAAGAGACTTCTAATTTTTTCAAGATCTTGCTTTTGTGGTTAATTAGTTAATGTCCTCATCTTTCTTCACCCTCACTGAAGGACATTTGGTTGTACCAAAGGCACACTCATAAAAGTGCACCATATGGTTATGAAGTTGCAAGATCTACATAATGTACTCACCCAGAAGCTCCCTCATGGTAAAGTCGGGCCTGTTCCTCTCGACTTCCCTCATCAATTGACCACCATCCCAGTAGCCTATTTTAGCAAATTGGAAAATGGAGTAAGACAAAATTCTGTTGTACTTGCACCAAATTGAATAGACTCACAGTGGATAAGGTGCTGCCAATATAGGTTTCACTTTTGATGGAAAGCAAAAGTCATTACCTGGAACCATGGTGTAGGAACCCCAAGCAGTCATGAGCTCTTGAAGAAAATCTAAAATATATTCCTGTGCCAGCTTCGCTCCTTAATAAAAGAACAAGCTTCTCTACCAACTTAGATGCAGCAAATAGCACACCAGCACCTTGAAGTAGGAAAAGGGGAGAGAAAAGAATTGGAAGTGGGATATTTGTAGCACCGGCAGGTGTTCCCTGATTTTCAAAAAGTCACTATATATATGCTGATAAGACAATACTAACCAGCATCGAAAATTACAAATCAATTACACATACCTCTAAATGCATGCAAAGGAGGACTTGAAACCCAATTAATGGAATTTTCATAATATGACCTCCAATGTCTTGCAGCCCACACATTCTATCCCCAGATCGATTCTCCTCTGATGAAACTACTAAGCCACTATTCCAGTCAAGATACCTAACGGTTGTAGAAGATGAACTAACTTCTCTAGTCTGGGCATTTCGATGAATTGCTGGATTTGACCATTTCGTACAAACAAGAAAAGCAAAGCACTCAGCGATACTGCAGAAAGAATGACCACATTTTATCACAACTTTGATGCTTTAAAAACTTGAACAGAACTGTCAGGTTGCTATACTCCATAACAATAAAGAGGATATGTAATTCAAAAGGAAGTATAAATGAAACTATACCCAAAATTTATGAACAAATCCCACCAGCCTAGAGCACCCACATCACCTGTAATATATTCAGAATCAGAAAAGTTATTATTATGACAGGAAAAAGCATATTTAAAGTTTATCAACAAAACTTTGATCAAACAATCACATTACATGGTTGTGTTATTATATCATGGTGCTGAGGAGAAAACAGTACAGAAACCAGTTACAGAAAATTCTAATCCATCAACAGAAAGGGTAAAGATCCAAGCCTCCAAACATTTTATCAAACTGTTTCCTTTATTTCTTTTCCTGATGGAAAAACGCATTTTAATTTGAGTGCACAAAGATGTCCATATCAGCCTTAAGTCTTGACCTTCCAAAGGAAGCCACATTGATATTCTAAACAACAAGTTCCTCTTAAGTAATATTCATGCACCTTAAATGACCGAATCATGGAAATCTGAAATTCAATTACTTTAAATCTTTTCTTTTGTAAAAGATCTTGCAAGAAAATATTTAAAAACAAGAGGATGAGATAAAATCAGACAGCCAATTTTTCACAAGGTTTATGGGAAAATATGATAAACCAAACTAGTTTTAGTCTATTAGATATAATTGCACTCATCAAGTGAAGTTAGAGAAATTACCAGATAGCTTTAGAAGGGTGAAGACTGTAGCAGCCACAAAGAAGACCATAGATATTGCAACCCAAAAGTGCTGCAAAATGATAGATGGGAATGTCACCAACATGTAACATCATCTATGCTCTATATTCAGATTTCAATTTACATTTTTATTGAAAACCAACATATTCAACATGCCAATTTAATAATTGTGGTACCTTAATCTCATAGATAGAATCATAAATAAGCTAAAGTTTGTACTGACTTTTGAAGCATTGTGTCAGTAATGTAGGATCTAACAGAATTACTCCAAAAATTGCATGCCCCAAACATGTCATAAACCCATTAAAGGAAAGAGCAGAGCATTTCAAGTTTTACACATATATTACAGTAGTTACACCATTTAAATATCTAAGATCAATTTGCATCCTTATGAATGCAACTCTGGAAGTGAAGTTACTGATTAAGAAGCTGGAACCAAAGATATGAACTTTCCTTACTGTTAAATAATATCCCAATATCTACATGATGGCAATGTTGGATCTCCATTCACTTTTTCATGAGACCGACAGAAACTGGCATAAATGATGATTTACTAACTTGGAGCAACTTGAAATTTTCATTACTGCCTAGTGCATATGAATCTACCTACAGAGTCTTGATTTGGAATGATAGCAACTTATTTGAGATGGGGACAAAAAGGGGTGGAGTGTGGAGAGGGACAGAGTTCAGAGTGCGAGGGTGTGATGCAGCCAACAGCACGAATGAGGGAGGGTGTAACAAATCATATACCAAGGATCTCTCCATACATTACCAATTCAAATAATGGTAACTGAATAAGTATGGACCACAGCATCAAGGAAATATAATATATAATCCAAAATGTAAAGATATCAGGTGGCATTTCCATAAATTTTAGAAGTTACCTGAATGAAAATTTTAATTGAATAGACAATATATCACTACTCAAAGCCTATAACACCTACTTTTCATGAAGCAAATATGATTTTCTAGTCATATTTGGCATACTGAAAACAAAATCTTGCAAGAAAAAAATTTTTTTTTTCACTGCAATAATAATATTTGAAATTGATTATTGATTATCAAGTTCTAATGATAAATCAAAATATTAAAACAAAATTTAATAAATTCATTACAAAATTTAAAAAAAAAAAAAATCATGAATTTATATGGTTTGGTAGCAGGTCATTTTCATAAATGGGCCAGCACTAACAAAAATAATAAAAGCTTAAATGAAAGCCACTAGATGCAAGGACATTAAAAGAAAGGGGGAAAACAATTAGAAATTGGGGTTGTAGAAAAGAGAGAGCCCCTTCCTCAACCTTTTCTTTTCTTCTCTTCCTTTTGATTTCACCATTACAACTGTAACCTCATGAGAAGGATCCTAAGACAATCCTTTAAACCACTAAAAAGTGATAAGACACTGCTTCTAACAGGGAAAAATAATCCTACAATGTCACAGGCAATTTTTAAAAAACCGTGTCCATATTAAGAGAACATACAAAATAAACAACAATTTCAGCCCACTAAAATTCCAGCATAGACAAACCATATGAGACATCATAGTGGACATGGGCTTTGATACAATTCAGAACACTATAAATCCATCACCCAAAATTGCTAGTTGAAGTTGTTTTTAAAGTCAATAATCATAACAAATATACCAAGGATTCTCCTGTTATACTGTTAATCAATGTGGAATATTAGGCAAGATAGAAGGATTAGGAGATAGAGAAAACAGAGATAGAGAACATAAAGGTTTTGAAAATATCAAAAACACATGCAATACAGAATATGATCAAAAGATGTAACTACATACAGCTCTTATTAAAGCTAAATTGACACAGAAAATCCTAGTATTTGGAAACAGTCTAGACAGTTGAAACAATAGAAGAAACCACCAGCCCAATTTCAATTGTTTTTAAAAGGGTGCTAACGCATAATTAAAACCGAAATTATTATAAGCATAACAAATAATGTTCAAGGAATAGTACAACCCAAAAAGAGAGATTATGTACATCATAGATGCTTATGGCATACAATGACAAATTAAATCCATGAAATACATCCTGCATTCAAGTAGACTATAAATCAACTAGATTTGTTAAAGCTACAGCCCAATAAAATTAAAATTGACAAAAAGAATTTTGGATCATTATTCTCTCTAAATTTAAAGGGTAATGCAACTCAACAATGTCTTTAGGAATTTTTTCTTTCTCCTCCCCCCTAGCCTCCAATTTTGTGATGCTATAGAAAACTAAAGATGGATAAATGCCACATTATCTGTACACATGCAAATGAATGGAAAATGTCTCTCAACCAAAACAATCACAATATTTTCAAAAAATTGTCACAAATGTTTTCCATTCTTTTCAGTCTTCATCAAGTTACCGTTTAACATTAAACATGCATATTAGGTCTTAATATAAAGCTTGAGCCTAGGACTATCAATGGGATTGGGATAGCCTGAAACCTCAAACATTTGACACCAAAATTTAGATTAGAACTTTAAGTTAACTGAAGGTAAACAAAGTTCAATCATGAAACTGAAGTCGGATTAAAATCTGAATATACAAAATGCAAGTGAAGATCACTCTGGCCCGAATATAGAAAAGAAAATCTATATACATCTTAACCATTCATTTCCTTTTCAAACCAATTTATCATGTAATAGTTTTCGGTGACGATTGTGACATTATCATTCAAGGGGTTTGAATTGTTCAGAGTTAGAACTGTCAAAATTTCAAGCATTTGCATTCCATTAAGAAAACCATCATGCACCTTCATTTTCACCCAACATTTTTGAGGGGCAATTATTGAGAAGCACGAAATAGACATAAACACAATTACTAAAAGACTTCCTAACTATAAATTAAGAGAAAAAACAAACTCATGCTTTGAGCAGCTCTGAGTTAAAAAAATCTTACAGGTAATGTCTCCCATATTGCTTCATCACTCATGCTTTCTTCTTCTCCTGGCATTAGAGCCCTGCACATTCTGCAGAGTAAATGAAAATTAGAGGTAGTATTGCAGACAAATAACTTATTATTTCAGAAAAAGATAAAAGGGATGGTTAGAGTTAGGGTAAAGATGTCAATCAAAGCTTCTAGTGCTCAATAGCTAAGCATACCTACTCAATTGAAGGCCCCCAGTGAAATATTAGCATTGGCATTCAATACATCATATAAAAAAGTCAAATTTCATACAGATGCATGCAGAATAACAATCGTGAGCAATAGTATTACGTTATCAAAGTGCAAATTTTGGTTCACTGTGAATATGACTTGAGTATGCTGCCAACTTTTAGGACGAATGGACAGACAGCCAATTTTTAATTATTAGCTGAAAAGCACATGCATAAAAGTGGTAGTCATTTCAAACAAGAAAATCTAAATGTAGAAGAAAAGCCAAGGGGGTAAGCATATGTGCATATTAAGCTCATTTAAAACCGTGTTCAACAACTTGGCATTCTAATTGATTCAGCGAAATTGGAGGAAATACATACAACAGTACAAAACTTTGGTTAATTTTGCTAAACTATGTTAAACAAGGAATTATAACCTGTTGATCAAAAACCTCCATGACAATAAGCACTAGCAGGCCATACCAAGCAGTATAATTTTCAATAGGGAAAATTATTATGGTGAATTAGTGCTAAAGAAAATACCTGAAATTGTCAATTAGAATAATTATTTCAAATGCCAATAACGGAATAAAGACAATCTTCAAATTTACAGCTGCAACACCATGAACTGCAAAAGCAGGCATGGAATTGATTAATTTTGAAGAGCAAGATCACAAAGAACTTGGGAAATCAAATCCCCAACAGCATAAAGATAATGACAGGGTATTTGCTGTATACCATAAACACTCTCGAGATAAATACAAAGAAGCAGTTCAAACGCGACAAGCAATGGTGTCGCTACAACTGCATGGCACGGTGCCCACTGTCCAAGGGAAAAAAAACCTCAATAGTTCACATTCCAAAAATCGTATCATGGACTTCAAAAGTCATTTCCACCAAAAAAAAAAAAAAAAAAAAAAAAAGAGGCATTGGAATGATTAATTTTGGAAGAAGAAGATACAAAGCAATTGGAATCAAAATCCCCCCAACATAGGCATAAAAGATATGACAGGGTATTTTGCCTGTATACATACACTCTTCGAGATTAAATACTCAGAAGCGTTCAAACGTCAACCATGTTGTGCTACAATTGCATGGCACGGTGCCCACTGTCTAGGGACAAAACCTAATAGTTCAACATTCCAATCGTATTCATGACTTCAAAAGTATTTCAAAAAAAAAAAAAAAAAAAAAAAGGCAACATTGTACAAAAGTACCTCTTTTACCAAAATAGGTAGGACAAAGAAAGAAAGAAAGAAGGTTAATCTTATACAAATTTCTCCAAATTATTAAGAAACTTATTGACATACATGACGATTGTGCGGAACTGATGGAGCAGGTAATGAAAATCTTCCACGAGCAACAACTCCATGGAACAGCCAGAGAGGAAAGAATACTAACCTGAAAATTGAAGTCAACATATAAACTAGTCAAGACTCAAGTCCATGAGTACATGCTTCAACCCAACAAAATATCATAAAATTAGCCTCTAAATAAAAATTCAAAATACATTAGGAAAGACATTCCAACACGTTTATACCTTATAAAAATTTTTAAAAATAATCATAAGTTAGAGATTTGAAGCTATTTAGCAAGTATGGGGAAAAGATTAAGTACTTCTGCAATGCACTTAATTCTGTTTCACTATCTTGCCTTATTTATTCTTTGGGTACACTCTCCATCATTATGCAAAAGATAGATGCAATTCCAAAATTATCTCGACCCATTAATTAAATGATAAAATAATCTAACCATTTATCCTTGCCTTTGACTCATATAAAGTATAACCACCAAATGCTTCCATTTCAGAACAAATGACATCACTAGATTCAACTTCTGCATCCTTCCCAACTAAACTCAATTATGTAGCTATCACAAGTAAACATGTAACAAGTTTAGAAAAATAAGAGCTCCAACTAATAACTTGGAAGAAACTCTAGATATTGTAGCAAAAGAAGTTCCCCTCATCAAACACGTTACGTTCCACAGTTAGTCAAATTCTTGTCAAACTATGAATTTCATTCACTTTCCTTTCCATTAAAAAGAAAAATCACAGAAGCCACATAGCAGTGACTATTGTGTTTTGCAAAGCCACCACAATATATCTATGCCATATCTTCTTTCCAACAATTTATAAATGCCAAACTTTTCTACTCAATAACTTAAGTAATTGTAATGTTGTCAATAACTAAAGTGATTGCCAATGTTTCCCCCCTCAGTGCAAAATAAATGCATCTCAGCTGGGGAATCGCTTCTATCCGTTCCAGTGTTCCCATACCCATTTCCCCTTTAAAATAACTTTACTAATCCCCGGAATTCAGCCATGAAGATTTCAAGAAATTCTACCTTTTCAAGCCAGTAACAATTGAACGCGCAAAAGTGAAGCCAATACCCATTCTTCCATGCCTCGCGCCCTACCCTTTCTGTTTTAGTTCAAGAAAGAAGAATTCAGCTTATTTTAGCTCATTTCTGCAACCACTGTAAATGATATTCCCATAAATGTCCTTTCCAAGGCAAAGTCATCTCCAACCAAACAACAGAACCCCATAAACTTGCCTAATCCAATAGTCCCAAAACATTTAAAATTTTCAACACTGACACATTCTCAAAACCCATATTGGTTCAATCTACCTTCAGTTAAATTAAAATTCAAATAATTCTTACAAAAGCAAACCAATTCACAAAGAGAGAGAATAAGAGAGAAATATATAAAACAGGAAAAAAAAAAAAAAAAAAAAAAAAAAAAAAAAAACTCACCACCAGGAGTAGGAAACGATATGGTCGAGCTTGAAGACAAGCAAGAGGGTGAAAAAGAAGAGAAGACTATGAGCAGCCAAGGCCTGTAAGGACTTCAAAACTCTTCTCCAGCTCATCATCTTCTTTTCGCTTCTATCTCGTTCCTTTTAACTGTTAAATAAAATCATCACGAGATCATTCGATTTCGAAAATCAGCAATAACAATGATAAAAACACATAAAAAGCAGTTGAGTATCGAATCGCAAGTAATTATACCAGAGAGAAAAAGGAAGACAAAAACCTCAACTGTAAAATTATCAAATTATCGCCCACAGTAAAACCACAACGACAAAGCTTCAGCTCTCTATCTCTCTCTTCCTTTCTGTCTCTAATACTGATTTTTTAAAATTGAAAAGAAAAAGAAGGTTTCAGCTACAGTAGGCGCCATTGGAGAAACCGCTTTCTCTCTCTGTTTCTCTGTTGTTTTCACTCTTCGGATTGATGAATAAAAAACAAGGCGCATTTACTTTCTTTTGATTTTGATTGGTAAATCCAAATCCTCTTTTATTCTTTTGCTTTCACGGCGAAGCGACGCTAATTGAATAACAATCTGGTCTTAACCTGGGCGTTTCGTTTCGTTTTACTTTTATTTGTTATTATTATTTTTAATTTTTTAATAATAACAATAAATGTATTTGGATTGGATGGAATAGAATAAGATGAACACTTTCTTTAAAGTGCCTTGTGGTTAGATTGCTTCTGCGTTGGTTAATGCATTATCTAAAAATTTCTTTATTTTGTTTTGATATGGAGATTTTAAATAATACTCTTTTTGGTTCCATTTTATTTATTTTTTAAATATTTTAAAATGTTTATAAAATTTTTAAATTTAAATATATAAATAATTAGTTTAGGGTATCAATTTATAAAATTAAAAAAATTTGTTAAAATTATAAAAAACGACAAAAATTCATAATTTAGTTTTTCAGTTATTACACCTTTCTAACATTTGATTGTTGAGTATTTTTCACGTTTTGATTGTTATGTTACTTCAGTAATTCTTTTCACTATGAAATTTATTTACTATTTGCATCCGTAATAGTTTTTGTCTCCAAACTAGAAGGTTGGAGAATTGCTCCACCAAAAGTACAGAATAAGAAATTTCCCTTACAGCTCATTTTCTAGAATAATAGTTGATATTATTAATTTTGATATATTCTAAATTAATTGTCCGTTCAAAAATTAATAAGTGAAAATAAATTTTTGAGAATAGTGTTATTTCAAATAATTCATATGTCAATAATAGAAAATAATCTATTCAAAACCCTTTTTTTTTTAATTTTAAACTATAATTATCAAAATAATTAATTTTTCTATCAATTTTAAACTCTTGTAGTTGAAAGAATTTGAATTCGAGATCTATTACTTTTCACATAACCGATTATCTTTAATTGCACGGTTCTCTTCAAGTAATATCTTTGACATTTCACTAAACTATGTTGACATTAAATTCAAGAAATTAATATTTAGCAGAAATAAAATTATTAAAAATTCTAAAAAAAAGGGAAAAGAAAGGAATATATAGTTCTCCATATAGATTCTCCAAAAAAGGGGGGAAAAAAAAAAGAAAGAAAACTGCTCCATAAATAAATATTTCTCTCACTGAATAAAGAATTAAATCAAATAATTATTAAATTTTGAGGTGAAAAAATAATATTAGATAATTTTTTAAGAAATATATTAATTAACAGAACTAAGACCGAGATTCATAATTTTAAAATTAAAATTTTGGAAATTTATTTTATTTAAATATTTTGTATGTATCCATAAAAAGTACTTTACAATTATAATAAATTCTTAGGAGTCATTTGATTATTAAAAATTCAAAAATTTTCCATGAAAATCATTTTCTTTGAAAAGTAGATTTCCAAAAAAGTAACCTTAAAAATATTGAATATCATGTTTAGTTGAAAATTAAGGTTTTCCTAAATAAGGAAGATAATTAACAGTATTAATTTTACTAAGCTAAAAATATTTTATAAAAAGTAAAATAATTAAAAATATTATTGTTATTATTTTTTAAAATATTTTCTCTTTTTTCATCATTTAAGATGGAATTTAGCAGTGAAAAATATGATTAGAATGGAAATTTCATTTATTTAAAGTTATTTTTCTAATTGTAGAAATTGCCTATTTTTCTATGAGATATCGACAGCAAACCATTCTTTTATGCTGACAGAACATAGACAGCTTTGTCTTGAAACTATTCCAAAATTATGGGACTCTAACATGCTGTAGTTTACTCCGACAATAAATATTTTAATTAAGACATTAATCCATAATATTATCCATAATGTCTGTGTATTATGATTTTTTTTTTCTTGGTCATGGTTCAATTAAAAAATAATTTAGTTAAAATTTGAATAAATCGTGATAAACAATCCGTCGTTTAAAGGCTTAATATATTGTTTACCGTCAATTTTAAGTTTTTATTGTAATTTTACTTTGATTTGACTTTTATGTTAATTTCATTTGAACTTTAGCCTTTTTGTTATAATTTCACTCGACTTTTATACAAATTTTATCATGAACTTTGACCTTCTATTGCAGTAGCACTCTAAATTATAGTTAGGACTTAAATTGTAAATAAAAAATAGGTCCATTATTAACCTTGAATTTAAATTAACTTAATACATTTGTGTGAGTGAAAGAGTTTAAATTATTAGTAAAAACAATCTCTATTATTATTTTAATATTTTTCTTTTATTAATAATAAATAATATTTTAAAATTAATTATTTGATGCATGAACTTTTTTAAAAAAAAATTAGAATATAATTATTATTATGGTTGATTTTAATATAAATTTTAAAATAATTATAAAATCTAAAACAAAGCTACTATCAATTTATTTGACTTTTGAACTACTAGAATTATAACATTTTTTATTATCAAAATAGAATATAAGATGCAATTATATTCTAATTTTCTTGAAAAAAGCATTTATGTATTAAAAAATTAATTTTTAAATATTATTTATTATCAATTAAAAAAATAATTTAAAAATATTAAAAATAATGAAAAAAAATCAGATTTATGTATAAAAAATTAAATTTTTAAGATATTATTTTATTATCAATTTAAAAAAATAATAAAATATTAAAAATAATTAATAGAGATTGTCCTTAATTATTAACCCAAACTTCTTCACTCACACAAATGTATTAAGTTAATCAAAGTCAAGTCAATAGTTGAACATATTTTTTTATTTATAAAAAATAATTTAAAAATATTAAAAATAATAATAGAGATTGTCCTTAATATTAACCCAAACTTCTTCACTCACACAAATGTATTAAGTTAATCAAAGTCCAAAGTCAATAGTGAACATATTTTTTATTTATAATTTAAATCCTAATTATAATTTAGGGTGTTATTGCAATAAAATATCAAAGTTCAAGGTGAAATTGGTATAAATAATAAATTAAAGTGAAAATTGCAACAAAATGTTAAAGTTTGAAATGAAATTGGCATAAACGTCAAATCAGAGTGAAATTACAACAAAACCTAAAGTTGATGGTGAAATAATATATTAAGCTGTCATTTAAAATTATGAGTTTATAGTTTGATTTTAATTCTTATTTTTTAAAACCAAAATCATGGTTTGTGTTTTGAATAGGAGGTTTTGATTTAAAATCATTTAAAAAACTGTAAAATAAAAAATTATGAGAACTATTCTCAACTTATTTTTAGTTTAGCCATAATTTTTTAAACCTTTTTATATTTTAAAACCTTTTTAGTATTTTATTCACAGTCCAAAGCTAAAAAATTAAAAAAAAATGAAAACTTGAAAAAAATTATTTAATTTTGATTTCAAAATGAAATTTATCTTAAGAATTGCCCAAGAACTAAAATTGACGAATTCAAAATTGTGGTGGTGTCCACTATTTAATTTTTTTTTCCATATAATTCAGATAATATTTCTATAATTGCCCTTGCGTTGAATTTTTATCTGGCAACAAGAATCAACAATTGACGGTTCAAATCGTTGGACCTTCCATATAATGACACCAACTTTTGTCTCTTGCAGTCTATCAAATAAATTATGTGCATTGGAATTTATTGATGATTGGCTTTTTTGTCTATTCACAAAATATCATCAACATGACAACATCAAATAATCACATCTATCCATTTATCAAAATCATAATTATAAATTTATTGCCTTACTATAGGAGGAGATTTTTTTTTTCTTTTTTATACATAGAAAGCCCGATGAATCGGGAGAATATATAGATTACACAATAAATATAGCTCTTTCCTTTAAATAACGTTTACCAAATTGATTATAATTTTTGTGGTGAATAGAAATTGAACACGGGATTTTTCACGCTTCACATCTTCTACAAAATATGAGAAAACGAATCAAATAATACACGGTTGATCATATAAAAAAAGATATTTATGTGCGACTTTCATAATTTTAGTATTTTAATCATTGTATTTAATTAACCTAGTTTCCCTCCAACATAAACAACTTGTTGCTTCATTGACATACATAAAGGAAAAATAATCCTTTGATTTGCATTAAGCTATTAGTTATTGGACCCTACAATAAAGGTATTTTATGCAATTTGATTGTTCTTCATTATTTTAATAACATTTTATTTAAGGATTTTAAGTTTGAGATCTCTAAAATTGATATACTTAAAAGGTGATATGAGATCTTAAAAAACAAATATAAAAAGCTTGTTTAGCATTACTGTTAAATTATTGTGAAAAAACATCAAAATTTTAATTAAAGTTCAGTAAAATAATATACTTATCATAAATTTGACATATTCTAATGGTGAAAAAGCAAAAAATAAATAAAATAGAATTTTAGATTTATAGTTTTTTCGGAAACATAGGAGGTCAATGGACCAGAATAATTTTGTAGGCTACATCAAATTTGTGATAACTTTTCGTAGCGAAAAAGATTCAAATTTGAGATCTCTCACTCTTTATATCGCTATAAAAAATAGACATATCAACCAGACCACATGATTGACAATTTAGACCTATAGTTAAAGTAACAACGGCTATAATTAAACATATTTTTAAAATTCACTTATACCAAGGGCTTTTTTTTTTTGCTTTTATTGAAACTTTCACAGGATAAAGATTATGGATAGATGTAAGGTTTATAAAAAAATTTTGAGATGTCTATGGTCGAGTACAAAATAATAAAATTTTTATTCAAAACAAGTTCAAGTTTAATATGAATTATGATTTTTGGATACCCACTATCTATTATTTGCTATATTAAATAAGTTCGGTTGCGCATATTTAGAGATATTACACCTCTCACTAGTAAAAAGAGTACTTAAATGAATTAGTTTTGAATGGTTTAAAATTTATGAATATCTTATTCATTTTTGGGAAAAACTTATTTATTTTGGGAAAAACTTACTTAGACCGGGTCTATATCTTTACCTATAAACCAAATTAATGAAATTCAGTATTCTTATTGAAACGAGAGTATTTTTGACAATATAATTATATAAAAAAAAAAGATATTTAAACAAATTTGAAAATGGATGATTCAAAATCTAAACGTTCCCATTTCCATTCCATTCATAAAATATACACCTCAATTTGGATCCTTCTAAGTCACTGAGAAAATTGTTGCGTTGCAATTAATTCTAGCACATGGCATGCATGCCTAAAATTTCGGCCTCTCTTCAGCTGTATCTAAAGAAGTTCCCAAATAGAGACCTTCCTATGTTTCTGTTCTTTTCCATTTCTTGGACTCATGCAAAAACTATCAAGACCTGCCTAAACAAGGCCACACATAGTTGGTCATTGAAGATGATGTATGATTTAGGAGTATCCATAGCTATCTGATTTTTTTTTTTTTTTTTTTTTTTTTTTTTTTTTTTTTGAGAATAACTTACATTTTCCATTTTTGTGATGGAAAATCTTCAGGCATTGTTTTTATTAAACCTAATTTCATTTTTAAATTCAATTTTAGGTTAATTAACATAATTAAATCTCTGCAATTTTTCTAGAGGGAACACTAAATATCTATGAGACAATAATATTTTTTTTTTTTTTTTTTTTTTTTTTTGAGAATAATAATTTTCCAATTTTTGTGATGGAAAATCTTCAGGCTTGTTTTATTAACCTAATTTCATTTTAAAATTCAATTTAGGTTAATTAACATAATAAATCTCTCAATTTTTCTAGAGGGAACACTAAATATCTATGAGACAATAATATGATGCAAAACCATATATATCTTGCCGTCAGAGGCATCAAACAAAACCTTAGCTTGAGATAAGAATAAGATATAAAATCAGGTGATTTCCATAAAACATGCTAACTCATATAAAGTTATTATAAGCAAATATCTGATCACCAAGCAGCCAGACTTCAAAACTCTTCTCCACCTCATCTAATGGAAAGACAGATAATCACTTTGTTAATCCTATATGCAGCATCGCTATCCCAGTTAGCAATTCTTTTTAATGCTCTGGACAACTCTTTGTTTGATTTATCTTAATTTGGCTCTCTGGTTAGGCTTTGTGAGAGTTTGCAAATCAGTGAGCTCCATTCTTAAATGCAATTGAGAATGACGTCAACAGAAAGTAAACCCTAAATGATAAAAATAACAAACTTATAGATACATACAAATGGGCTTCCCTAAGAGGGAAATAGTAAACAAAATTACAAGAGAACTCTTAAGGATACCTGAGCAAGCTAAAGCTGTGACCTGCAATAGCATAGGTTTTTGCATTTGAAATTTTTTCATGCAGGCAAAGTTGAAGGCAAGAGTAGCACTTCACTCTCTTGACTCTTTTAAAGGCCTTACACAACATTCCAACATGCAAATATTGCTACCCATGTTTACAAGGACAACTATAAAAATTGCTGGAGCCAGTGGCAATTTGCTGCATCCTTCTTTAATTCATCCTTAAGCTTGCTTACTTGTTGCAGAGCCTCCTTCAAATCCATAGTCTCCAACGGCAAATCAGAGAACTCTTTCAGAAACTGGTGAGCCCGAGCGGCACCTATAGACATATCATCAGGATCAAACTCTCTCTTACGTTTGGATCCCACCTGTAAATCATAATTTGACAAAATCAATTATTTAGCTCAATAAAATGTTGTCATGTTATGGCAACATTTTCTTCAATTTAATTTCTTATCAACGTGAATGAATAACCATAAGCACAAACAGTATTGCAAGAAAAAAGAATACAGATACACTGCATGAGAGAAAGGAGTTTTCTCATATTTCAGTATTCTTTTCAAACAAAAAAAATTCGGGTGAGCCAGGTCAGTAAATTTTCAATAATCTTATATCTTGAATGGGATACCTAGCATATTCTTCATTTCTCTATTGTCTGACTTTGTTTAACGTTGACCATTGACTACCAGAACCTTTCTTAGACTATGAGTTAATGCATAACCAAAGCCAACTTTTGAAAGTGTAAATCATCATAATCCTGGACAACCTACAAAGCCTTTCAAAGTGGGACAAACTGTTACTAGTGACCAGAAGTAAATTGTTCCATTCTACAAAAACTTACGGGGTGACAGAATTCCATAATCTTTACATTTAAAATTTAAATAATTCAAATTTTCATAACCCAAACCATGAAGTTTCACTTCTAGAAGCTTCCTGTGGTAGATGCAGTTTTTCATCGAGATAGAGACAAATAGCACAAATCTCACAACAGCTCCTACAATCTCCACTAAAATATCCTGACTAAAACACGACATAAAGAGATTGGTGTTCCCCATAGATAAGTTTAGATTACCGACAGAAAATCCATCAATTCTCATGTTAAGCTCTACATATGACTAAATGAATTTGACTCTTTGCTGTAACACTTATGGATGCATCTAGCCCAGCTGTCTTAACCCTAACAAGAATCTGAAGTGACCCTTTCGGCCTTGAGTCAAGCAGTAAATAGGTGAATTAGGGTTTTGGATGAGCCTGACATATTTGAAATGGAGGATTATTTAAAAAATGGCAATACAGAGCATAGTGACACTTGAGAACATTAAAATTTTCCAAATCCATCAACTATGAGAACATGGCATTATCATATGCATGCATTCTAAGCTCGTCAACACAAATTAATAAATGGTTCATATGACTAGAAGCCTGTATCATGTATATAAAGCAATTGCCCACTCAATGGCATTTGAAGATCATTAAACACACCTCTTCTGTAGTAACATTTGAAACAATAGAATTAGCTGAGAAATCTTCCAACTCAGCTGCCTTTTCTCGAGCAAGGGCAACAACACTTTCAGGAAAGTTTGCAAATTCTGCAACATGAATACCAAAACTTTGATCACAAGCACCTGGTTCGACCTGGAAAATATCATCATTGAACATGTATGAGAAGATACAGCATTTCAAAATAGTCAACTGAACTAGGGTCAGAGCATATGTTTTCTAACAACCTACCAATGCAAAAGGAAAAACAATTATATCAAATCACTTGATGCCACCTAGCTATGTATGACATTACTGCTGCTTGGACAATGATTGATGCAGTTATTTAGAGCAGTAAATAAAAAGTTTGTAGCACTTCCGAACCAAAAATAAAAAAAGTTGAAGATCTAGAATTTTTCTTTTCTCTTCCTTTTTCTTTTGGTGGGGGAAGCCCCTCAAATATGAAACCAGTCAAAAAATGAGAACTGGGCTAAAGCTGGTTTAGCATTACTTGTGGTACCCATCTTTGTTAATTTTCTTCTATTTGTTTGTACTTTGTGTTTAACATCAAATTATGAAATATATCAGTACCTCAGAGAACAAAATGCATAATATTTTGAGGAAGACAAATGCACTTGGAAAAGACCAATGAAAAGCTAATTAAGTCATCTTTAGATCCAAGGGATGGCCCAACATTTTTTTTTCCTAATTGAGTCTGTGCACCTACCTTGTATAACATGGTCAACTTGCGATTCACCGAGTCAATGTGTGCACTGACATGATAGTTTGCCACGCCAATAATTTGCTTCATATGGGTCTCAACTTTTTCATCAGCCAGTGCAGTTAGTTCATGAAAGTGTGTTGCAAATAAGGTAGGTGCTTTAATCACTTCAACAAGGTGTTCGCATATGGCCCAGGCCAAACCTGAAAATCATAGTGAATTAAAATAAGGTGCGTGTTACATATATATAACAATGATGATATCTGCTCTAAAAATATCCAAAAAATTTCAGTAAGGATTTGGATAAAAAAGCTAAATCACCACTTCCAACTAAAGATAAAGGAGGTTTCTTTTCATTGGACTAAAAAGATCAAATTAAAAAAAAAAAAAAAAAAAAAGAATTTGGATAAAAAAGCTAAATCACCACTTCAACTAAAAGATAAGGAGGTTTCTTTCATTGGACTAAAAAGATCCAAATTTAAAAAAAAAAAAAGAAAAAAAATAAAACAAAAAAAAAAAAAAAAAAAACCTTTCAGAGTATAAAGCAATTAGGAAAATGAACGAACTTGTGACATTCATATCTAATGTATTAGTCCTGGAAGAAGTCATATGACACTTGAGTATGTGTATGGATTAGTGCAGGGTTGTGGGAAGTGTTTAAACTTACCAAATCCATCATATGTTGAAGTGCCACGACCCAACTCATCAATGATTATCAATGACTTATCTGTAGCTCCTTTGAGTATTGAAGCAGTTTCAAGCATTTCTTGCATAAAGGTAGAAACTCCACGTAACTATAAACAAAGGAAACACATTCATGAACTTCTAAACCAAGGAAAAAAATTTCATATCCCACCGTCCATAGAAATTAACCTATTCTGCTGCATTACGATGAGGTCATAGTGATTAGTAAATATGGTATATGAGGTCAAGCATTTTTAAGGTCAGGACTAAGCAAGCATTGATATTCAGTGAGACATTAGAGGCGCCACGCTGTCACTTAAATGCTTTCTTCAATTTCAGTTCTCTGAATGCATATTTGACATGTCAATCGCACAAAAAACAAGTGCCAAAAATTCTCTCCAATTACTTTTCAGTGGAGAAGATAAAACAACATGCTTGCTTGCTGGAATTTCAAATGTTCTGTTGCTGTTGCCTCCATTTCAGTTGAGTATTTAATTGTAGAATTTATGAAAGAAAAATCTAGACATATAGTACGTAGAGAGAGAAGAAACAGAAAACAAAACAAAAGCAAATAAAATTCTATGGAACTCAAGAAGGTCAGTATCCTACAAAACAACAAGGAAATATGCAGTCTTTCTAAATGCAACATACAATGTTTATATTCAATTTCCAGATGTTGAGATCCATGTGATGATGATGAAAACTTACTTGGCAGTCGCCAGCACCCACACGAGCAAAAATGCAATCGCGAAGTGAAATGCTAGCCTTGTCACAAGGAACAAAGGAACCAACTTGTGCCATAAGAATATTTACACCTACCTGCAGGTGTAACCAACAGAAATGAATAAAATAACCATGAAAAACTGTTCTCTTAGTGACATAATTCACAGGGTCATGTTTATAAGAGGCTGAACAGACATTGGAGTCTCCCATTGGAGACATTTGATTCATTTACAATCCTCAATCTGAGGATCAGGTAATTTCCTTAACATTTTTGTATTTTTTTTACATATTTTTGTGTTTTTTTACATATTTTTTTTACATATTTTTTTTTGTGGTGTTTATTAAGTTTAATTGTAATCTGTTCATATTTGGCTATTTTATGTCCTAAATCAATTTGGAACAGAAATTGATGTAAAAAATACTTAAAAATGGATTCTTGGGCAAAAATCACGCAGCTGATTCATCAAATGAACAGTAATGTTCATCAATTTGGGTAAAAATCACGCAGCTGTTCATCAATTTTCCCAGAAATAATCTATGAACAGTAACTGTTTGTTCAATGAACAGTAACTATTCATCAATTTCCCAGAAATGATCGATGCATAGTAACTGTTTGTTCATCGATGAACAGTAAATGTTCTTAATTTTCCAGAAATTGATACTATTTATGCACTGTTCACTACTATTCATAACACTGTTCACACACTATGCATGTACTATTCACACACTATTCATTAATTTTCCCAGAAGTGATCGATGAACAGTAACTGTTTGTTCATCGATGAACAGTACTGTTCATCAATTTTTCCAGAAATAATAATAACATTTCTCAGTCCTTAAAATTTATTTTTTGATGTAAACATTTATAGTTTTTTTTTTATTATTATTCTTATTATTATTTCTGGAAAAATTGATGAACAGTACTGTTCATCGATGAACAAACAGTTACTGTTCATCGATCACTTCTGGGAAAATTAATGAATAGTGTGTGAATAGTACATGCATAGTGTGTGAACAGTGTTATGAATAGTAGTGAACAGTGCATAAATAGTATCAATTTCTGGAAAATTAAGAACATTTACTGTTCATCGATGAACAAACAGTTACTATGCATCGATCATTTCTGGGAAATTGATGAATAGTTACTGTTCATTGAACAAACAGTTACTGTTCATAGATTATTTCTGGGAAAATTGATGAACAGCTGCGTGATTTTTACCCACAGCTGCGTGATTTTTGCCCAGAATCCATTTTTAAGTATTTTTTACATCATTTCTTTCTTGTTCAAATATGATTTAAGGACATATAAAATAGCCAAATATGAACAGACTACAATTAAATTAATAAAACCACAAAAAATATGTAAAAAAACACAAAAATATGTAAAAAAAATACAAAAATGTTAAGGAAATTACCTGATCGTCAGATTGAGGATTGTAAATGAATCAAATGTCTACAGAAGCTTTGTTTCCAAGGATTTAAGTGTGTTCTTTTTTTTTTATTTTATAGTTTGATTAACCTAAAATTAATATCTAATAGCGATTTTCCTTCAAATCAACTCACAAGAGTGTTTGGAGGAAAATGTGGCTGCACGTGTAGTGTTGTTTGTACTAGTGTGTGAAGAAGTGAAGGAGTGTAAAAATTGTGAGAAAAAGATGAATTTATAGAGCTAGATTAGGACTGTAGCTACAGTAGTAGCGCTACTGTAGCACGTGTTAGCTACAGTAGCGCGCGTCTTTTTTATTTTATTTTATTTTATTTTATTTTTTTTTAAATCCTTGGATTAAAAGACTTCTAGATAGCATTATGACAATCCATATCCTCGTGTCCTCATCGGATCAGGCGGGGCATAAAAAAAACGCGTCAACAGGAGTCTTCCATTTATGATAAAGTCGATTGAGGCAAGATGATGATGATGATGATAAATCCACAATCTATCTCTAGAATGGACAGATATGGGAAAGGGCAGGGCCTGTGCCTAGCTTTACTAAAATTTAAGGCCTGGAATTTGGGTCCTCCAGGCCTAGCCCCAGCAAAAACTATTTGGGCTCAAATTTAGTATATTTCTTACTTTTCTTGTAAAAATTATTTAATAAAACATAATATAAACATAATTTTATATATATACTTTCTCCTGTAAAAATTATTTCAATAAACATAATATAAACATCAATTTTATATATATACTATAATATATTATATATATATTTAATATTATGTTATATATAAATATATATTGTATAATATAAATAACATGTATTGGCGCGTGCTTGTGCGCGCATGCGTGTGTTTATTTTATGTATCTACATATGCATGTCTGCATGTATGTATTTCAGGCCAGGTTAGGCATGGGCTGGACACCCCAAGCCCTTTAACCGGACCAAAATTTTAGGCCCCAGCCCTTGATTTTTTTGGACCAGTCTCAGGTCAGCTCACAGGTTGCCCAGTAATATCCACCCTTAAGAATAGGATTTGAGTGTCCAATGCATAAACATACTAAAATGCCATTATTAACTCAAATATCTAGGGATATGATTGAAGCAATTATTCAATTCTTTGAATTGATAGTAAAAGATAAAAAGCACACAATAGAATCATAGAAACCATACTTGCCGAATAAATGTCGACTTTCCACCCATGTTAGGCCCTGTAATTATTTGGAACCAACTCTTTCCCCTGACCTGGTTTGTGGAAAAAACCAACATAAGCAATGAGACTCTTAACAAGGTTTGAAGAAGTATTTGCTCCTACATCATTTGATACTCACAAGTTTACAATCATTTGGAATAAAATTCACCCAGTCTTGAGCTTCCACACAAGGATGTCTACTCCCTTCTAATATAATATCTCCCACATCCTTTCATGCACATAATCATATCTTGAATTTCATTTTCCAAAAGAAGAAAAGTAAATTAAAAGCAAGGAAATTGAAGCATCAAATAGTAAGTAATTAATTACTGATGGAGTGATGTCTGGTCTCGTGTAGGGAGTTGGACAGCTAGAAGCCAAATCAGCAAAACTGAGTAAGACATCCAACTCTGCGAGCAAACCAGCTAAAGACTCAAACACCTATAACACAAAGTTGGCATTAGTCCACATATAGGAGTCTAACAGCAGCAAAAAGACAAAATAAAGGACAAATACCTCAGAGAAACTTGCTGCAGTTTGAATTACTCGACCGACCAGCTCTTTTTGACAGTTCTTGTACTCCTCTACTAACTTTTGGTACTGATCCCCCAATTTCTTAAGTTTTGTATTAGTAAATTTCACTCCATCTTTTCGGGTTTCAAGGACAATAAATTGGGTTGTCAGCTTTTTCCTTATTTTTGGCTCTTCTTTCTTTGTAATTCTGAAGACATGTCCAAATTGTGTTCCTTTATCTAACTTTAATCCTTTATCTTGAGGAAGATCAAGATCACAAGCAGTTTGCTTATGCAAATTGTGTATTTGGCGCTCCAATGACTCCTGCTCATCTTTAAGTGCAGACAGTGCAGGGTCATAGCTTGGCGAAATCATGTACTCCCCATTCTCAAGTTGATCAAGGTCAACAGAAGTTTCTACGAGAGCAATGAACTTATTCAAGTGATCATTGTCAGTCAATGACTCGAGAGGGTCCAAGTATCTCTTTTTGATCAAGGATGAAAATTGTCCATCATGCCGCTCTAGAGCACTTCTAATGTATGGAAGTCTTATACTTGACTGCATCCAAAAGATGTGTTCAGTTAAAACATAGGCTTTTAAACTGAAACATCAATTTTATGACACAAGAACATGTGATAATACTATCAAAACAGTAGGTATGCAATAATAACTTTAAGTACGTAGGTAGCTTGAATACTACAGTTGGCTAGCATCAAAGGCAAAAATAAACACAACAGCCAAAAAGCATACACTACAAAAAAGTATTTTTCTGAAGATCAACGATTTTGTGGTTCTATTCTATGCCAGTAACCAGTTGTAATTCCACACTAATAACCATAAAATCATCCTTGATAAATACATAATATGAGAATAGCCAACATAATATACCAATTTCTATGCAATTATTTTCTCACATTTAATAATAAAGAAAAAAAAAATGTTAGTGCAAAACATATCAGTCTTATATCTTGAAAGAAATTGAACTTTTTCCAATACACTCTAAAATCAGTAAATAATTTCTGGTTGATTTTCAATGTTGCAACTGAGCAACAAAATCACTCATTTTCTCAGAGAATGTTCCCTCTGTAGACAAGCTATTTTCCACAAATTTAACAGGGCCTTATTAATAAAACTAAAAGATGACAGCTGGTTGCCAAAGTCACTAATAACTCGGCCATTATAGGAAAGCCTAGTTGCAATAAGTAAAGACAAGGGAAAAAAAAAAAAATACGAAATCTACCTGATAAAGTTTCACAATATGATGCAAACCAGCCCTTTTCTTCTCAAGATTGTGCACTAGTCGCTCAATATCTGAGATTCTTTTTAGGTGCTGCCTCAGATCTTGGCGTAGTGCAGTGTCCTCTACAAAAGCTTGTACCAAGTCCAGTCTACAGTTGATTTCATTAACATCTAATAAGGGTTGTTTTAGCCACATATGAAGCAATCTTTTTCCCATTCCAGCTGTACAGGTTCTATTCATAAGACCAAATAAACTAAAATTTTTGTTTGCATCAGTTTTGCTCTCAAGAACATTAAGAGCCCTCATGGCAGCAGAATCCAGTCTCATGTAGCTATCAAGATTATACTTTCTGATTGTGTAATTCCCATAATTGCTCTCATCTGCAAGTAATTCTGCATAAGACAGTAAAGCCCCCAAAGCACCAGCTGCGAATTCAAAACCAGAAACCCAATCTCTAACTGGTTCAATGGAACCTTTGACAAGCCTACTGAGGTCCTGCACCAAATCCCTTGTTTTGAACTCGTTCTTCTTTCTCTCGGTTAACATCACACCACATCTAGCCAGAGCATCATGCAAAGGTCTACATTCAGTGGATTTACCGCTCTCAATAGGCAAAAGGCATTCCTTGCAACCGAGAGCAACCAAAGCTGACTCAACATTTGTAAAGTGACTATCATCAAGAAATTCAGCCAATCCAAGAATTCTTTTTGTTAAATCAACATAACTTAGCCCAATAGTGCAGCCATTATCACGGAAGTTTGGAATGAGTGCAACAACCACAGGGGTATCCTGCATTTCATTGTTAGCAAACAGAACCTCTTCAAAACTTCCAAGATTTCCAGGGGTCCCACTTTTCACCAATCTCCAATTGGATCCACTACCCTCATAGAGTTCAAGCGTATGGTCTGTTCTCTCTAACAGAAGATCTCGGGCAATAGTTTCAAACATGTTCTTACTAATGCTGACACTGGAAAGGGCATTAGGTCCACTACCCAATTGCCGCAAGGCAGTAGTGGTGTGGTAATATGTTTTTGCAATGAAGGTTGCATTTTCACCATGAGAAGTGTAATATTCCTGCAGATTTACAAAGATTACTTGAGGAAAATTAAGAGAATATGGCAAAGCGATTTAAATTTGGCTAATGAAAAAGCACTTATTGTGGTATCTGTTCATGCCAATTGTAGCAAGTCTTCCAAATATAACAACGATCAGATATACAAATTGGTATATCCTTCCCATCATAATAACCATTCAACAACAATTGCACACACCTCTGATAATAATAATAATTCATTAAGATTTTTTATTCAATAGACATGAAACAATCAAACAACCAATCAATAATTCAATAAGGCCACAATGAACATAAGCATGCAAAAAATCTTAAGGAGCTAAATATGCAAATTCTCCTGGAAGTAAACACACAGTCTCAAGGACCTAAAAACTATTGCTTTAGGCAAATCAAAGCTTAAAAAGGAAATTGCTTAAAGATGCTTCCAAAATGGATATTTTCATAGTTGCCAGCAAGTTCAATTAATTCCCAGCTTGCTAATGAAATTAGGATAATACAACAAAAGTTCTGTCAACCATAGAATATGGAACCAATTCATAATCAATCAAAATAAAACCATGTAATGTAACAATCATTAGAATATGAACTGACCCGCCTATCAAACACTCGAACTGCCCTGGGGTCCTGCAATAGGAGAAAGAAATAAAATTCTTAATATTAGAACTTTAACTAGAATATCCATAGAAATGTCGATAAAACACGGTCGATTTCTTCATTAAAAATTTTTGCTTAGAAAAAAAAGAAAAGAATCCAGAAAGAAACTTTCGTTTCCGTCGATTTACTTTCCCAGCAACCAAACAGCCAATTTCAAGAACAAAATTTTGAGAGAGTAAGGAAAAGAAAGGCTTACATCAGGTAGGGTTTTAAAGAAAGAGAGAAACCCTTGAGCCTGCTTTGCATCTGTTAATATGCCATAAAATAAAATCATTTCATTTCCAAAAAAATAGAAAAAAAAGTAAATCTAGGGCTTCACCTAGCTTGAGTTCAGGCAGCTTGTTCTCTTCATCCATCGGCTTAACAATTGATTAACAGTTTGTAGTTCTTCTGTTGGGTCCGATTATATCTGTGCAGCGAATTGGCGATGGCGGGAAAGAAAGCGAGGATGTGGCGGGGTTTTACAGACGCGTGTATTCACTCGCTGCGATCTTTTCCCTTGACGAGTTAATTTGTTGATATTTTATTAGAAAAAGAAATAAATTACAGTTATAATATTTATTTAAGAAATAAATTTCAATTTACCCTCTAGAAGTACAACCATATACAATTTATCCAAAAATCAACAATTTACATAATTACCACATCAATTTTACACCAAATTAGTAAATAAATTCAATTTTTAACAGAAATATATAAGATAATAATTTTTACTCATTAAATTGATGAAATTCTTGTCATCCATCCACGTAAGTAAGAAGACGAATCAAGACTGACAATTTTGATTTTATTTGACAAATTGATAATTATTTATATATTAATTTGATGGTAATGATATAGCTAAAGTAGAAAACATATACTAATATCAGCTTATAATTTTCCACTAATATTATGATTATCTACTACGAAATATATTTAAATAATTCCCTTTTTTTTTTTTTTGACCTTTTATTTACATATGTACTTTTCTTTTCGCGAATAAATGTAAATTGAAATCGAGTTACTATCTCAATATAAAAATAAATTGCGAAAAATATGTCAATAATTTTCTTTTTATTCTCTCTGTAGTTTTACTTTTTCTTTCCTCCCCCATTTTCAATGCTTTTGCTTATAACTTCGAATAGAACCATAGAAGAAAGAAAGTAGAGCAAAACCTTTGAAGCAAAAAGAAATGGAGAAATGGAATGAAGAGAAGATGGATCGGTTTGGAGAGAATTCATCGTTCAAGCCAAGAAGTGTGCGAGTTTTTTATTATACTTCATCCGTTCTAAAAAGATAATCCACTTTATATTTTCATATAGATTAAAAAATAAAGTTAAAAATAATTTTATTCATATAACTTTCTTATTATGGTCATTTTAAATAACACATGAGTAATTTAAAATACTTGGGTGCAGTTTCTCGAATAAACTAAACTTTTTCCTGAATTTAAAATAATAAAATAAATCCATTTTGCGAATAAAAAAAAATATAAAAATAAAAATGTGCTAGGGACTAAGATGGTCAGCCATTATGCAGTTAACCTAAAAAGGTGAAAACTCAAACGCCATAGATATACAGAAAATGTAAAGACATAATATGCAGAGATTAACAGATAGAGGGGCAGTTGGCTGCGTGGAAAATCTGCCTGAAATTGGGCTGTGCAGCGCAGTGCAGTGCAGGTATAGAGGAATCCACGCGAGGCCAGTAGCAAGAGAATATAAATATTAGCCCATAGAAGTTCAGTGTTTTCTTCAACTTTTAAGGACTAACAGTAATAATGTACATGAAGATTTGTATATGATTTCAATCACATAATCATATGTATCAGTTGAATTTTTAAAAGTTATATATCATCAACTGGATAGTACATTGTTGCAGATTTTTTTTATTTTTTATTATTTTTTATTATTTTTTTGTATTTGATCAAGGAAATTCTAACCTATATCTATACTATAGCACTTGATATGGATAAGAAGACATTTTACCTGAAATAAATTTATATTTGTACTTGAAATAAATTTTTATTTTTATTTTAATTTTCTGTATGTGGATGAGAAGTAACCATGAAACAATGGACATGACATTGAATGTTGGTGAATAGCTTCTTAAAGTAGGTAATTCTGAGTGTTCCTATCTTAGAAGTTGTCCTATCTACATATCTTGTTGGTATCACAGACTCGCATCAAAAAAAGAACAAAGGAAAAGACAATGCTGTGAGAAATTTGATATATAAGACCAAATGGTTAGGCAGATAGATGTTGTTTTCCATATTACTCTTATTGAAAATAGAATGTAGTGCAAGTCCATTATTTGCATTATCTCCTTCATCTCTGCACCATTGCACACATATAACTTTTTGCTGTAAAGTTTTTCCCACTGTTTTAGCTGAGCTTGTGATGTATATATAGACCCCAAAAAAAGTGTACTATGTTGCAATTTACTTTTGACTTTTAATCACACTCAAGAGACATGTCACACACACACAAACAAATGCGCGCGTGCATGGTCATGGTCTTCAAACTTTTCAAAATATAAATTCTATTTACATTTTCTAAAAAATATACATATTAGCTCCTTATATTTAAAGTCTAGATCTTTTATTATTATTATTATTTTTAAGCTCCATAACTTTTTAATAAACAATATTTTGAAATATGACTCATAAAATCATTGGCTACCGTAATAGATTTGGTTCACTTTCAAATTTTGGTTTAATTTGCAGATAATCTAATATTCACTTTCAAACAGCATAGAAACCAATAAAACAAAGAAAAGCGATCGTAGAAACAATAAAAATCATGAGTTTTAGTATTTGAGTCTACTCATATTGAGTATAGATAAATTTCATCCGTGTAATTATACCTCAAATTAAAATCGGAGTTAAGATTAATTCATGGCTAGCGCCATTCTTAAAATAATTAATTAACACTTGTTTTGATATCCGTATGTTCTTCATACTTTTGCTTCACAGCAAATTAAGGCTCCTCTTGTCAATATTACTTTCTTTAAATACTCTCTATATTTTAATTGGTTCTAGCTAATTTTTAGGTCTAGGGTTTCGGTTGAATATGATGTACTTCTTTATTTAAAAATTGAAAAAAAGAAAAATAGGGTAGAAGGCGAGAAGATTGCATCTTTCAAAATTTTTTGTTACTAACTTTAATCCTAATTTTTATTTTGGGTGCAATTATATTTAAACTTATAAATTAGGGTAATGAATGTTAAAAATATCAATTAGGGTGTAATCAGTAAATTATAAATTTAAAAATGACTTACCTAAATTCAATTTATGGATCTATCCATAGACTACAATTAACAAAAATGATAGAAGATCCAGAAGAGTTATTATTTTCTCGTTCAAATCACTTAACGGACTAGGTGCTGATATGAAGATTTATATCTTTTATGAAGAACGATTCCATGTGGAAAGATCGCATATTATATTTTTTAATTTTAATTTTATTGTTTAAAAGAATATAAATTCTTTTGGTTTATTAAAAGATCATAAACTCTATTAACTATTAATAATAAAATTTTATGTTTCGTTCATACGAGTATTTATAATTTTTAATATTTTTATCAATAAATTATATTTAAAAGATACAATACGAAAACATCAAATCAAAGGGGCCCTCCAATATAGGCATGAACATGGTTAAAATGGTTATCAAAGACTTTATGGCCAATCTAATCAAATCATAACTGAAAGATTGAATAATGCAATCGACAAAACCTATCTAGTTTCTTATCATTAATTAGATGAAAGAGAAACATATTCCACAATGTGGTCTGAGTTGGGATTTTTCATTTCTACCAAAGCCTAGTTCAATTTTACAATTACAAGTTATTAATTATGTCATATAACAAAAGGGACATGTCACACCAAGCGTGAAAATGGCATAGAAATATATACTTTTAATTAAATAGTCTCTTGCTTTGGTCAGCTTAATTAGTGTGCCGAGTACCTTCATTCCCTTTTTTTTTTTTTTTTTCTTTTTCATCAATCAATTAAGGGCAATACAATAATATATTAACTCTGAAAAAATAGAAATAGATATTATAATTAAATGGTTAAGCGTATGAAAATTGAATTTAGAATCCAATGTATTACTCCTTGCCACTAAGTTAGAGGATCATTTGCTATAATTATCTTAAGTTCTTAATTCATTTATATCATTTATGATATTTTAATTTATTTAGATTATAGTTTTTTGTACAATTCAATTATTTTATGATATTAGAGCTACTCGTGTCCAATTGTAAAAATAATGAGTTAGTTGATATTAACAAGGATGAGACCATTACACATAATAAACTTCATAAAAAAAAAAAATCCTTTTGATAATTTTAACTTGCAAATTTGGATTAAAATAATCAATTAATTTATAGAAATTAAACAATTTCATTTCAGAAATTTATTTTTTTTTAAATTTATTAGATAATTATATACAATAAGGGATTAAATCTAACCCTTCTAAATACCATCTCATCAAATTAATAAAACAACTCTTTTTATCCATATGGCAGTAATTAGGTTGGCTGTCACAATCAATACCTAGATTTGAGATATTCAATCCCACCAATTATTATTTTTACAGTTATTAATTATTTTATTAGCGTAAAATATTAAAAGAGATATTTTATAATTTTTCGCTCAAAATCTAAACATTAATAATTTTGTATTGAGCCCCAATGATCTTTAGGTCTACGTCCACCTTCAGGGATAGTCCTCCAAATATTTATGGTGTCATGGAAATCATATATGTCCCACAGAGATATTTTATAAAAGGCAGAATGACTTTTTTTTTTTTTAATTTTAATTTTCTTTTTCTTTCAAAGCCATTGGATAAATTCACATTTCCCTTTGATCAAGGCCTTATTGTTTTTAGTAGTTAAAATCTTATATTTAAATTCCGACACTCTTTTAAATTTATGAAAAATTAAAGCTCCATTGATTATATATTTTCAAAAAATAATTTTTTTGTAAAAAATATTTTGCTAAATGACTCGCTTTAAAAATATTTGTAAAAAAAAAAAAAATTGCTCCCTGCATTGTCTTGTTAGTTTTATCATTTACGTGAGGAATAAAAAGTCTCGAGTTCGAGTTCTTTTGACTAGAAGAGTTTTCACCAATTTGGTGAGTTAACGGGAAGATTATCTCTTAAATTATGAAAAGTTTCTTATCCTAAAAAATTTATTGTTAAATATGAGAAAAAAAAAATAAATTATGGTAATTGTTGGTGATTGATTTCTATCAGTAGGATTAATAACAATAAATAGTAAATACAAAAACATTTGAAAAATATTCTCCTATTTTGAAAAGGGAAATTCATTTTCTTTTTAAAATGGATTAATTTTCTTTTAATTAGGAAAAAATATTTTCTATTAAAAAAATATATTTTAGTTAAATTATTCTATGAAAACAAATGTACCAAAGTAGAAATTAATATTCTCTTTAAATTAGAATTTAAGATTTCCTTTCTTGACTAGGAAACAATCATAAAAAAATGCAAAAGAGTGAGAATTATTTTCCATTGACAAGTACTTGGACAAAAAAAATATTTCTATACATATGTAGTCCTACAAGTTACTGGATCGCTGCTTTAAATGGAAAATGGTTCATCCCCCAGCAACCAAACTAATATGGAATATGGGAAATAGTGAAGTTATTTTTTGAGCCACAAATTGGGAGTTTTTGGTACAGACAAAGAACTCACCAGAGAAATGAAAGCACTTAGAAATGAAAGCAAGACTTTAGGGTTTTATGCTCTCATTATCACCCACTTCTTCAAATAAAAAATAAATAAATAAATAAATAAATAAAGAAAGAAAGAAAATGGTACGATTCACCACTTTTCTTTTTAGTTCATAGTTATCATCTTCTTGAAAGCAACCCCAGAACTAACCCAGCTAAATGGTAAATGTATATATATAGATATTAGATTAGATGGATAGATAGAAAGATAGATAGCTCATCTCCATTCCAATATTCCATATCATGTGGTCCTCCTAATTGTGCCAGTCTAGCTAAAAAGGTCACCGTCATTAGCTAGAGAGATTGCAAAAATAAAAAATAAAAAATAAAAAAAAATAAAAAAGCAAGAAGATATTATAAGTGGAGGAAAAAAACGGCATGTATAAATAGCAAAACTTTCTTTTCTTTTTTTTTAAAAAACAAACAATAAAAATTATATCGCCTCTGCAAAATAAATTGAAAAAAAGTTTGTACACATATATTGTGGGCATAGCTATTGCCATTTATATAGACAGAGATAGATATAGAGTTGCATATATGAATCTTGAAGCTGTAATGGCAAATGGTGATTGGCATAGGGTTCTTGAAGCTAGTACAATAAGCACCCACACGGCCACAGAAAAACGCAGTAACCCTTCTTTGACATTGTTTGTATATTTATTATTTGTGTGTCTCTGTGACTGTGATGGAGAGAGAGAGAGAGAGAGAGAGAGAGAGAGAGAAAGCTTTTTTAGTTTCAGATACAAAGAAAAAGAAAAGGTAAACAGATAAGCACGCATGGGTTGGGGGAGAGAACCCAATTTCAACACCAACAAAAACAAGAACAGTAAGAACAACATTCTCCCAAGAATTGATAGAAAGAAAAGAAATTGGAGTTTCTACTTTTAGCTGAAAGTGAGATTTAGAGACTCACACAGTCAAAGGAGCATTGCCCTCTTATGACAGGCTCGCAGTAGTATTATGCCCTTTGAGTCAAATAATTGTCCTTCCTCCCTTTCTAGGGTTATTCCACTCAGCCACGTGTATTTCCCTTCATTTTATTTTTATTTTTTGAAAATTTTTTTTATTAGGAAAAGTTATTAATTATAATTCTTTACTTGTATTATTCTATTTTATTTTAATATTTTTAATGTTATATGAATCTTCCCATAACTGGTCATGGCCTTGTCACTACATAGCCAACCTTAACCCACACGACACACAAAAAATAATTTCCATCCTTTTGGACTCCAAATTAAAGTGAAATTATTAGTTTTTTTGGTTTCTAATATATAATAATTCCCTCTTTGATTTAATGGTACTATCATGCAAATGTTAATATTTGCATATTTTATTACTTAATTTATTTTTTTAGTTTTATTAATTATAAAATATTAATGGCAATATAAGAAAATAAAGAAATCTCATTTATATTTTGCTATCAAGAATTTAATATATGAAATTTAATAAAGACTATATAACTATATATTTATTTCTTAACGTTGCTAATTGAAATTGCTATGGTTTTAACAACAAGTGTATCTTATTTTTGTCAAAGAGGCAATACCCTTTGTTTCTTTTTTTTTTTTTTTTGTTTAAATATTAAAATCAAACATGTTCTTAATGGAATTAAGATGACTCTTTAATTGGTTTTAGCACATTGAATATATACTTAAAAATGAAAAATAAACTATCAAAATCAAAATTTCAAATTTTTGACATGATATGATAGAGTGTAGGGAAAATACTTGCCATGCGGCTCTCCACTTATGGACTAAATAAATGAAATTAAAAATTTTTTAAAAAGTGTTTTGACTTTTTTCTTCTAAGTGTATGGTCCGAAATACTCATATTTTAATAAAAATTCTTAATTTTATTGATTTGATCCATAAATGCAATCATAGATCCAGTCTAGATAAGTTTCTCTAGTTCGGAGAAAGTACACCGTTAAAATACTAAGATAAAACTGGTTGATTATGGCCAATAGCTGAGCTATTATGATGTTTCATTTAATATGGGCTATCTATGTATGTTATATTATATATCATGGATTCCATGCAATTCTTGGTGTTTCCTATCCACTCAATATCTTTGTTCAACTTTCTTTCTTTCACTTTCATACTTTTATGCCCAAAAGCCAACTTCTATATACTCTGTCCAGTAATTATAGCATTAATAAATTTTTTTTTAAAAAAAAGAAAAATTAATTATAGCTATGGCATCTATGTACCTCTCTTTGTCTCCAATAAATTCTCCTTCCTTTAGGTGCCTTAACTCCTACCATCATTTTTCAAATCCCTTTCTCTCCTCTCTCTCTCTCTCTCTCTCTTACAGCCCCGATGGACATATGGTACTTGTGCTGTGCTGTCTTTCTCAGCCTCTTGTCCTTGCGTTGTAGTAAGGTAAGAATGGTCTATAATTAAACTTTCTCTGTCTCTCTCTCACTCATGCTTGTACTAAATCAAACACAAAACACACTCGCAATACATAAACTGTTCCAGCTATATCTAGCTATCAGCAAAAATGACTGTTTTTCTCACTAACTGGTTTTTTTCATTATTTGCAGCTGAATTGAAAAAGACGGAACTTCTTGCTGCTATCGAGAGAGCATTTGGCTGTCTAAGTAATTAAGCTAATACATGTCGTTCTCAACCTCCTGTTGATAGCTAAAATTAGCTAAAAGCTAGGTTTTCTTTTTTTATCTTTATTTTCATTTCTTCGCTGCAAATTCAATCTCAAATGTTCCCGTCAAGCAACAATGGCTATGACCCCATTTACTATTATAACGAACAACAAGGTTTCAATAGGCCTTTTTTCAATGATATCACTTTCAATTCCAAACATGATCAAGAACAAGAACCTCCTTCTCCGAGTCTTTTTTCTTTCTTTCACTTGCCTCCTTTAAGTCCTTATGGTCACTTAGAATTTCAAGATTATGATCTTTCTTTGCATCAAAATCATGATTGCTTACTTAGCCATCATCAACAACAACCCTTGATGATATCTTTTGATTCTGAGACAACAACCATGTTGGATTCCGATAAAAATGATTTTAAGAACAAGAAATGTCACAATAACATTACTACAACAACTGCTACTCTTACACCGAAGAGATCTTCAAAGAGAGATCGCCATAGCAAGATTAACACAGCTCAAGGACCAAGAGACCGCAGAATGAGATTGTCTCTAAAAGTTGCTCGAGAATTCTTTGATCTACAAGACAAGTTATGTTTTGATAAAGCAAGCAAAACTGTTGAGTGGCTACTCGATCAAGCAAGATCAGCCATCAAGAAACTATCTAGTGGCGGCATCCCTAATTACAGTTCGAGTGTACCCTCAAAAAGTTCATCATCTACATCAGAGTGTGAAGTAGTATCTGGAAATGATGAATCAGCTGCCATTAAAGCTACCATTGCTAAAGGAAAACCGTCGTCGTCGTCTTTCCTTAACAATAAAGGGGTCAAGAAGGCTAAAACATTGCGTAAAACTGTGTTCCATCCTCTTGCAAGAGAGTCGAGGGTGAAGGCAAGGGCGAGAGCGAGAGAAAGAACAAGAGAGAAGCTATGGAATAGAAAACTTGATGAATCAAAACCATGTGAAGAAGGAAGAGACCAAGAATTGAACCAATTGAGTATTTGTGATCAAGAATCTGGTAATAATACCATTAACAATCCTTCTTTAATTATGCAGCTAGCTCACGAGGTTGAAGCCCCAAGCTCTCACGGGCAAGACCATCATCCACTAGTTACTATTGCTAATACTACTACTGCAGAGAGCATGAACATGATTGATGATTCTTTGGTGATCATGGAAAAATGGAATCCATCTTCTCCCATGATCAATTATCTGTACAACACTGGAATGCCGCAAGAGGTAATTAGTTCTTGTGATTTGGATGCTTTATTATAAGTATTGAAATAGCATACAAATATTCAATTTTGCTCTTTCTTTATATACAATATTCTGGTGCAGCATCAAGTCACAGACTTGCAATCTTTTTGCTAGTCATGGGAGGCTTGTAACAGTTAAGAGTGGTTAAATTCTCTCCCATTTGATCATGATGTGGATGATATCTCAAAGCGAAGTGGTTGTACAAGAATTTCAAGAATTACTATGTATGGGTTTTCTCTTTCTGTTTGAAATATAATGTAAAATAGAGAAGTCTATCTTTCTTTATGCAATTCTTGTGAAAGCTGTTTTATCAATGAGTAATTGTTCATTAGCACTCTTTAACTAAATCATTGTATCCATATTCTGTGTTTTTATTGTTTTTCTTTATTTTCAATCTTTCTTTCTTACATACTCCTGTCCCAAATTAACATTTGACATTACTATTTTGAAATATCCAACACATGTTGATTTCATTGTCATTTTTCACTAAAAGAAAAAATTAATGAACTAACAAAAATTAGTCTCATATACTTAAAGAATACGAGGATAATCTTGGGTAAAAAAAAAAAAAAAAATCTATTTGAATTTTTTTTCTTAATATTATAAGTAAAATAAACATTAGAAGATTTTTAACTTTTTATCCTGTGAATGTTAATTTCTGAAAGTAAGAAGACATTTTGAGTCTGCTATTTTATTATGGTTGATTTATATGAATTTTTTGACCCACGCATTGCTTTTGATGTATCTCAGAAGAAACTTCTTAAGTGCACTCAGACTGTATGAATTCAGCTAAACTTTTAAGGAAAAAGATTGTGACATATGAATTGAGACCAAGTGTCATGTTTTTATAGCCTGTTGACTGACTGATAGTGCCAGAAATTTCAACACAGCTTCTTTATATGTATATAAATAATAATCTTTTTATCTAATGCAAAAAAGAGAGAGATTATGGAAATTTATCCATTGAAGGTCTTGAACTGTTAGGATAGACTTATTGCATAATCTTTTTTTTTTATTATTATTATTTTTTTATTTTAATAAAGAGATGCTTTGAAGTGTTTCTGCTTATGATTAGCAACTGATAATCTATATATGGTTCTATACTTTCTATCTGCTAGTGCATATGTTTTAGAGGGTTAATAACCTTTTGTTTTAATGCTTTTGTTGCCATTATAACAACAAATTATGGAATATATAGAATTAAAATAAAGACAAAGGCCATATAGAATTAACATACCAACAAAGGCAATCTATGTATATGTCTGTGTTTGTGTGAGCAATTCCTAAATTAATCTGTAGCACTAGCTATATATGTTGTTATGCTTCACTATAAATATATATGGAGTAGTGCATTACTTAATAAATAAACACAACTTAATTAATATTTATTTGCTTACACTGAGCCTAATTAATGATATGATTAAAATAGGCCTATCATTATAAATTTTTGTTATATTTTTATCACAATAATGCATAAATTTTTTATGCAACAAGATTATGTTAAATTGATATCCATATGCAGATTGGCTTCATAAAAAATCTTAGTAATTAGTATGTTTCTGAGAAGAAGTATGGATTTTCTATGATTAATCAGGCAAAGATTATTAATCTTTTGTTTTACCAAACTAATTTACACAGTGATCCTTCCATAACTGGCAAATTATAGTTTTTAGGATTAGTTTGCTAATGACAATCATTGTCCATGAAATTATGTATATGATAAAAAATATAGCATTTAATTTCTATCTCGATAAAAAGAAGGCTATGTTCGGCAATAACTTTTTAAGTAGTTTTTAGTATTTATTATGTTCGATAACATACTATATTTGAACTAGCTTGAAAAGGTTAACATAACATTTTATAAAAAATTAAATTCATGTAACGTTTAATTTTCAACTTTTTATGAAAACTCAATCAAACATCTAACAGTTAAACGCCACTAAAATAACTAACAATAACCAAATAGTTAATTTTGTTGAACAGACCCGAACACTTATATATACTAATCTAATTTCTATGTTAATAGACAAACGCGTGAAATTATCTAATTTCTTTTTCAAGAAACATTTATCTACATCTAGCGTATAACTTCGTAGCACACTCTTAAAACTCTTCACTAAAACTAGTCAGCTGATGTAATTGTGAAACTAACTAGACTAATGGAATGAAGCATAACTAAGCTAATTAAATAATGAAACCCAGTACTTTTATTTTTATTTTTATTTTTGTTGATTGCTTTATTTGTAATCCATTAATAACACAGCAAGTACCATATCATAGACTATCCAATGTTTAAAAAGTTTCATCAGTTACTATTTGCTCTCATCCAGAAAATAAAAAATGTAGCATGATAATTTCTACCGTGGTTAAAAATAAACTGATGATAGATGCATATATAAGACATGTTATATGCACATAGAAATGTTCTAATGATGATGAGTAATAGAAATGATGAGGAAAAACAGAGGCCCACCATCTTCAAGTTTTATGGTTGGCACGTGAAGATGATACAACTTAGAAGGTGATTGTCATCATAGCGATTTGCCTGGTTTCACTATCATCAGGCCTCCATTTTCCCTTCTTATCCTTTCTTTTTTTGTCTGCTAAAACGTACAGATATTTTTTCCCATGTTTCTCAATGACATATTACTATACTTTTGTTTAATTCTGCACTGCATTTCTATTATTTGCTATATTTGGACAATTTTGGATAAGGAAATGATTAACTAGTTCATATAGATTATATAGAATGTTAAGTTCTTTTCTGAGGAAAAATACATAAGATTAAAGAGCGTGGTACTCTTTTCTTTTTTGCTATATTTCACAAATTTTTAAAGGAAAAAAAAGGATTCGAAATTAAATAATAGACTATATATAAAGCCGATATGAATCGATTTTATTTATTAGACTACTAAAGAGATGTCTTTTTAGAGAAATTTTTAGCTTCTCTTTCGGAATAAATAGGAGCTCTAGAGATTAGTGAAGATATAACTACAAACAGAATATATTGGAGGCTAAAGATTCATATACAAGATACTAGTTATTAGTTGTTACATATTTCAAAAGTATTTAAGATTTTTTTTTTCTAACTTATTTTTTGCTTTTTATTGATTTTAACTTATTTGAAACAAATGATTTATTAGCCAATTCCAAGTAGAATATAGAATTTATAGTAAATAATAGAACTTAATTTATTTATCCTGAATGAATCTCCAATTTATGAATGAAATTTGGTAAACTAGTTTTAGGATTCTGATCCATCGGGACTGACAGGGCTCGAACCTGCAGCTTCCGCTTTGACAGGGCGGTGCTCTAACCAATTGAACTACAATCCGGAGAAAATGTAATAAAAAGTCTGAATCTAACTAGGGTTCGCGATGGTGGAAGAACTGGATCGAAAAAAAGAGAGATTCTAGTTGTAAGATATCAAATATCTGGAATTGTAGGTAACAATCCATTTTATAATTTTACCTCTTACGGGAAAATGATCCAACAAAAAAATAGTTGTACATCACAACATAATATAAAAACAGACTCAATTCATATTTCTACTACTTGGGTTAAGGGTATGATCACTATTTAACAACAACTTTTTAATTAGCTTTTAGGGTTTTAACTAAGTCAAATCTCCATCTCTATTAATTGTAACATTTAATTTTTTATAATTGTTTTTAGAGATTGGCTGATCTTTTAATGAAATGTTAAATATTTTAATGTCTAGTGTTTCACATAAATTAATTAAATTTTTTTTGACAACCATATCTATTATTTTTCCCTTGAATCCAGCTAATTAAGCATCTAATGTGTTTTTTTATCATTTTAAGTTAAACAACTAATTAAATAATTATTTTTATCCAACCCTTCTAATTTAAATCTCTATATAAACACTTACTAGCCAAAAGTTAATAGCTAACGACATACAATTACTACAACACAACAACTGACATTGTTGAACAGATCCTATGCATTGGGATATGTTTAGTGTAGGGGCAATGAAGGCACTTGCTTGGCTCTATGCAAGTCCTTTTCTCAGTATTTTCTTTTTCATAAAATTTAATTCGTTAAATTTGTCTCAACATTTAAATATTTGTATCCTGTTCTCATATCAATTTAATTAATTAGATTTGATTTTATATTTTTTAATCAACTTAAAACTAATTTGTGTTATTTGAATTAAATTAGACTTGTTATATTTAACTTTTTGACTTGAAAATCAACTTTTCTATCATAAATGTGTTGTTAATTTAACTTCATTTGATCTTTATTTGTTTTAATAATTTCTAAATATAAGACTTCATAATTAATTAATTTATTTATGTTACAAGTTTAACTTTCAAATTATTATTATTATTATTAAAATTAACTAATTGATTGTTTTGATAATATATTCTGAAAATCATCATAATATTAAAAATAAACTTTGGGCTAGAAACCAAGTAGTATTGTAAACATCTTTAGAATTGTAAGGTTGCATGTTTAAACTCTAATCACGCTGGACAAGTTTTTGGTGGTCATGAGTTCAATTATTGGAGGTGTTCAAGCAATTGTATTGGACATTGACCGGTTCATATGAAGGGGGCATTTGTATAGACCTAAGGTGGAGAGCAGGAACTACGTTTATCCGCTAGTCAGTTAAGGACTAGACACCACCCCGATATCAAAAAAAAAAAAAAAAAAAAAAAAAGAACCGGTTCATTATGAAGGGGGCCATTTGTATAGACCTAAGGTGAGAGCAGGAAACACGTTTATCCGCTAGTCAGTTAAGGACTAGACACCACCCCTGATATCAAAAAAAAAAAAAAAAAAAAAAAAAAAATCCTAACCAAAACAATTGTATTTTTATTAGCAATAGCAGCTTAAAAATAAAAATTAATGATAAAAGTGGATAAGATTACGTGTGGACTGACATTAAAATCAATTTTAAAAAAAAAAAAAAAAAAAAAAAAAATCCTAACCAAACAATGTATTTTTATTAGCAATAGCACTTAAAAATAAAAATAATGATAAAAGTGATAAGATTACTTGGGACTGACATTAAAATCAATTTTATCTCATTCTAGTAATGAATTGCAAAATAAAAGAAAATACTTCCATTTGGAAGATATAAGAACTAATCTGTGAAAATTTGCGATTTAAATACTAAGATGTAGGGATTTTTTTCTTTTTTCTTTTAAAATTAAGAAAGGAAAAAAAGAAAATGTGAAAATAAAAAATTAAAAGTAATAATGATTACATATGTTGCTGAATTTTTTAGTTAGAAACAGCATAAATTTTTGACAAGCTTTATGTGTGAGTGTTTTATGAGTTGAGGGTGGAGAGTTCCTTGACATAAACAGTTAGCAATAAAGTTATGAAAAACAATAGCACACCCCCCCCCACCCCACTCACCCACCCACCCCAATTATCTGGGAAGGACACTTAAAAGCTCTAGAGATAGAAAATGTATGGACTGGATAGTTTTTCAGTACTGAAGAAAGCAATCTAATACTGTTGATCTGGGGTATATCTTCCAATGCTGATAAAGATATACCTTAGGCTGAATTATATGATCTATCTATTTGTCGTATCATTCATAAATATTGTCATGATCACCAAACCCTTTCATCCCATGTACCAAACTCTGTATAATACTGATATTCCAAAATGCAATAGCAGAATGGTACTCCACAAATAATTTAGTCTTTGATTGTGATCTTGGTTTTTATATATATGCTGCAAATTTTGGCACTTATATATCCATTCGACCTAATTTTGTTTCAATGGAATTAATTCTAAATCATGAATTGTTTATAAGGTACATTGCAAGAAAGAGAGAATTAGTTGAAGAATATTTGTTTTAAAATTGATGAATGATAAAAGAAAAAGGAGAAAAAAAATGTAAAGGGAGATTATAGATGAATAATGAATTTATTATAGGTGATGAATTTTCTACATTTTAGAAAAGGAAAAGCTTTTAATTTAATTTTTTATTATTCTTTTAAAGAATATTATTGCATTAAGTGATATATTTAAAATTTTCATTTTTGTATTAAATTAATTTGTGAATTATTTTATTTAACTCGATCATGCTAAATGCGAAAGAAACATATATATTTATATAAGTGAGTTTTGACTATATATTCTCACATGCTTCTCATAAAAAAAATAAAAAAAAATTCTCACATGCTTAGATTTTAGTATTTCTTTTTCTTTATTTACTGGCATGTTTTTATATTCATATCGAAATTGGTGTTTATTAATCATTTCCTTCATTTAAAATTATATAATTCAAGATTGTTATTTATTAAGACATTTTATTTATTGCATGATATATTTAAGCATCAAGGCATTTATTTTTACACAATTCATTCAATTACTAAAATCAAGAAACGTTTATTTTTAGTAATAAAATTTATACGACCTTTTACCCTTTCTTTTATATTGCCAATTCAAGATGAAATACATTGCATCAAGAAAGTGAAAGTAACCAATACATGATCTGACACTCCATTTAAATTGTACACGACAAAAACAGCCGCACTTGATGAATTCTAAAAATAAACACGTGCCGATATATACATTTTTTTAACTTATTTTGATTTCTTGCTGGCTAAATGCTTTGCCTTTCATATACAATCAAGTAAATGATTCTAATTGTATTACTAATTAGGATTAATTAGAAGGAAGATACTTTAATTTCTATTAGCCAACGGCAGGAGATTCCTTATCTTTTCCTTCTTTCCAATCAAAAGCAAGCTATATGTTTTGGAATCTCAATCTCTCACTCTCTCTATTTCTGTAACTGACCAAACCTAATAACTAAACAGAAAGGAAAACATGGAAGAGGCTGTAGTTGATATCTCTTTCTTGCCCAGAAACATGCTTCTCTTTTCTTTTTTTTTTTTCTATCAGCAAATAAAATATTTTATTAATTTTTAACATATCCAGGAAAAATTTAACATTCCAAATTCTTTGGATATAACTCCAAATTTATTTCTTATTACTGCATTTTTTGAGGCTTGCCCTACAACTTGCCTTCTTTTCTTCTCTCATGAGAGGTAGGCATTTTTTTTTTTGGGCTTTTTCTACACTGTAATCTCTTCACTCCAGTTCTTAGATCTTTTTGGGTATAGGAGTTTCTGGTTAAGGTTCTTTTGAGTTGAGTTTTTCGTTCTTCTAACCTCCCAATTTCTTAATAATTCATCGGTTCAAAAAAAATAGTGTATTGTACACATGATGACTTGAAACTGTACCCACATCTTACGTGAATTACCCATCTCATATATATCCCGGTAAGAATCATCTTATTTATATTTAATTATATACATACATGCACACACCCACATATAGCCTTGGCCAAAAAAGGGTTTAAAAGATTTTGACAGAAAAAATGGAAATTTTGTTGCTGTTTTTGTATTTCTGCAGATCTGGATAACTTTCTGCACAAACAGCCAGAGATCAAATTAACCCTAGAGGAGCAGATCAGTATGTAGCAGGATCTGAAGCTTAAGGTGGAGAGAGAGAGAATAAGGAGATGAAAGCAAATTAATTAGGTATTTTTAGTGGAAACAAAGACTCCTAACACAAATCTGTGAACAGAAACAAAAATGACCCATATATCAAGATTTGATCTTTAGCCAGCAAACAATTACCCAAAGGAAAGAACTAAACACAGCCAAGGAAACCCAAAAAGGAAAAAAAAAAAAAAAACCCTGACTTGTATCTAGACCATAATAACATAATTAAGAGGAAAAGAGATAGACCCACCTACAGCAAACCCTAATCTGAAGGAAACCGTCAACACCATCATTAGCATGATTATGTATGGGGAAGTATGTAATGGAAATTATTCTTGAATTGAAAAGAATTAAAGAAAACCCTAGAAGTGAAAGAAAGAAAGAGATGGGAGAAGAAAAAAGAAAAACAAAAAAAGAAACCCTAGGAGAGAGAAAAAGGGTTAACACAAAAAGTAGGTTAGAGACATAACTCGAAGGTTTGCACCGTTAATGGCGGAAATCATGGTTAAGCAGAGCTATGCTTGCCATAAGAAGATTGAAGAGACCTTTCTCTTTTGTCTTTGTGTGACTTTTGTTGTTTGTCTTTCAGTGCTTGGACCATTTTTGAGGAAGTGGAAACCACTAAATAAGGTAATGACCTCTCATTCCAACTAATTAAAGAGTAAAAATTGATAGCTAGATATATTACATTTTGATATAAATGGTCAGGTCAGGGCACTATAAGGTACACTGTACTGTAGTTATAGATGAAAGTAATTTGTGCAGAGAAGAGATAGATAAAGAAATGACTGACCCTTCTCTTATTTGGTTATGTGCAATGTAACTCATTATTTGAGTTCTAGAAAATAATTGCTCCACCAAATTGCGAATCTATTACAACAATCTATCATCACAAATTTTGCCACTTTGGCTTTGTAGTCTTTTTGGATGCCTAAGTACAGGGAGGACCGCAACAACTATTTGTCATTCAGACGTCAGAGGAATTTTATTTATTATAAAATCTTAATAGTTGCTCACCAGTAACTCAGTAATGGAATGCATGTGTGTTTTATTAGTCTGATACTTTATATTTGAATTTCTATTCATTATAAACTTAGATAACTACAAATTACTTACAGTTGTAGGAATATATTTTTATCTATGTATAGTTCATTCACATTTCTTTGCCTCTTCCTTCAAAGTTTCTTGTAAAGGTTAACAGACAACACAAATAGCTGGGGTCTCTGGGAAGCCAAAGCATATTCCACACACACACACATATAAAGCCCTAGTTGGATGAAGTATGATTAATTGGAAGGCTAATTTTCTTCTAAATAATTCAAGAAAATTTATCACCAGAATGAAATAAATAAAAAATAATTTTCAATTGCTTACTCAATATATACCAGAAAGTGCTAATTAAGATTTTCATTTCTCCATCATGGAATAGCCTTCATGGTGCAATAACCTGCAAGAGATTTATATAATTTAGAAGTTATAATGGAAGCTCAAATTTATTCTTGCTACATGATTTGTGCAGGACTTGTTCATCCAATATTACACTTTTTAAAAGCTTTCATAAAACTATTGATTAGTTCACTAATTTCATATTAATGGCCAATTTCTTTTTAAACTAATTTTATAATGAACATTTTATTTTTCAATTTAATTTCTTCAAGGATTATATGCAACTTCAACCTAGCAAATGTTATAGCCATAAGATAGGGATTATTGATTCTAATAAAGCAGAAAAACACAAGTTCTTGCCATAATTAGAGCTGTAGAATTTTTTTCCTAGCTATCACTTCAGATGTTTCTAGCTTATTGTTGAACATTATTCCAAGAATGCAATTTGTTGGGCTACTTGTAAGGATAAAAGACCTTAGAAGTGGTGGGGTATATTTAACACATTTGACAATCTTTGTTTTTCGATTCCTAATATCCAATTCAAACATGTTGAGATTCTCAAGTTTTTCTTACGTAGTATATACGAGATAGGTTGGATGCATGATGATTCGGGAATAGATCATTGAATACGCTAGATTTTTTTTCTAGATATATAATTAATAAAAATAAGTTTTTAGTCGATAAAAAAATATCTATATATATATATATATATATATTGATTCGGGATAGATTCATAATACGCTAGATTTTTTTTCTAGATATTTTCAATTAATAAAAAATAAGTTTTTAGTCGATAAAAAATATCTATATATATATATATATGATATATTTGAGAATCATTAGAGTTTTTTTTTTATTTTTTTATTTATTGCTGACCTAGGGTACATTAGGCGAGTATATATATATATATATATATTGAGAATCATAGAGTTTTTTTTTTTATTTTTTTATTATTGCTGACCTAGGGTACATTAGGAGAGTAAAACTCTCTAAATTTACAGTAGTTGATTTTTTTCTTGCTTGAGAAAATTTTACCTTTTAAACATTTGAAATTTAATTAATTTCTTTTAATATTTTTACTTGCAATTCAATTATTCTTTTTAATACTTCATTTTGACTTTTCTATTTACTTTAAATGTTTAAAGTTTAATTTTCAAAATTTAATTATCATTGCTACAATTTGAAATTGATATTAAAATACAAAAAAATAAATAAATAAACTTGTATATTTTTATTGTTGCCAAATCTTTGATCTTCCTAATTGAATTTCACAAAAATTCTCTTATTTTTTATTTGAATAAATTAAAATTAAAATACTAAAAATCCCTTTTTCAATAGGGGATGAGTTGATTGCAATTGGGCTTTTAGATTGTCACTTTACCTAGTACTAAAGAAATCCATGAGAGAATTTCTTCTAAAGAGACGGTAAAATTTCCATTTCCATCTCTCAGTCGATCAACAGATTTAATGGTGAATAGTTCTTACTTTTTTCCCTTTTTCTCTTTTGATTTGTTGGATTGTGATTTTTAGTTTTTGAGTAAATTATCAAAGTATTAAATTTATTTTCCTTCTCATGCTAAGTTAAATATTTTATTGTCAATAATATTTGAGATCTTTAAATTTATTTTATGGTTTGTATACTTGAAGTTGCATGATTCAAGTTAAACAGAATTTACCATGAAAATGATTGCCTATGAGTTTTTTCTAAGTTTAATTTAAAATGTAAAAAATTGAGTTGACGTGGAATTAATGGTTTTAACTTTTAAAAATTATATATTTTATAGCAAATTAAAATTTGTGATATTTATATAATATATATATATATAAAGAAAAAGTTCGATATTTTTTCTTTATTCACTATTCTTTTTTTCTTTTTTTTTTCAAAATTTTAAATTTAATTCTAATTTAATGGAAAATTTAATTTGGTATTTTACTTTACTAGTTAAAAGAAGAACATTATAATATTTTATTGCTTTATTTGTATTGTCAGCTTAGTTTTGTTTTTTTTTTCAATTTTGTTATCATCTTGTATTTTGCTAATTTTAGTTTCTTTTTGCTTATTTTTACGGGGATTGAAGTGTGTACAATTCAAGATGATCTAATTATGTTTTATGCGATAATAAATTAACAATTATGTCTTAATATGTTTCTTTAGTTACATACACTCAACCAGAAGAAAAAAAAAATAGAAATCAAGTATTTAAATCATTTCAAGTCGTTTACAAATCAAGTATTTAATTTTTTTTTAAAAATTGTTTTTTGATAATTCGCTCAACACAAAAGTCTTACACTTACTCTTGAAATGAAAAAGCACCAAGTATTATACGATCGCACGTGCCATTATATATTTTGTTGTTAATTAATTAGATTAAACACTCACTCGCAACCTTGTAGTCTTTTAGACAATTTCAGTACCACCAAATGAACTCTATTTTCGATCTCTCTTTGCACTTTCATTATTTGATTTTCTTCAATGAATTTCTCTATCCGTTTTTTTCTTTTTTTTTTAAAAAAAAAACATTATTTGAAATCTATGTTTGAAGGAAGAGAAGCTGTGATAAGAAAATAATTAAAGAAAGAAATTAAATTGTACAATTATATTATTAGAGCAACATAAGCTTTCTGTTGAGTATGCGGGACTTCAGTAAACTTATGCTGCTCTAATATATATCAGTAAGCTTATGCGTTGGGTCTAGGACCAATTGGTTTCCTCTCTATACAAGAAACTTGGTTTGGGTTTGGGTTTGGGCTTTACTTTAATACAGAAAATTTTATTTTCAGATAATTAAAGTTTTAAAAACTTAATAAAATTAATCAACATTAAGCAAACATATAATATAAATTAGTTTGCCATAAACATAATTTTGCATTATTTATAAACTAAATGAATTTTATGCATCTAACGATAGTAATAAAAAAGAATAATAAGTCAGGAAAAGAAAATGAAATGAGAAAAATAATTATATTAAGTAAAAATGAAATAAAAATGTATTTTTTTTCTTAAATAGTGAATATTATTCAAACTAAACAAAAAATTTTAAATTTAACTAAATGAAGAAACTTTATGCAAATGCTGGAACAATGAACCCTATATTACCTTAATCTCATAAATTTATAATATCCTAACATTTATGATCTATTAAATTATAAATATTGAATTTGTATTTTAGATGGTATTTTCAATTTTAAAAAGATGAAATTTTTAATTTCATCATTTCTTTTTAATTTTAATTGGATTGACAGTTATTCATTTTAAAATTTCATTTATAATAATCTTCATTTAAAATAACAAGTTAGTATTTCTATTAACTACAATAAGTAAGTAAGCTTTTGAAAATTTCATGACCTAGACTTTTCAACTCTTATATTGTTCAATATATAAAAATCCTAATTTTTTTTAATAATTAGTTTCTAATTTTAGCATATAGGTATCATGTTCTTTAGGCCTTGTGTTTTTCCTCTGAGTTTGAATTTTGGGTATCCTTTCATTGATTTTGGATTTTGAAACTTTATTCCAATTATTATATAATTGTTTAAAATACTGCAATGAAATATAAAAACATAATATTAATTTTGAAAAATTATTATAATTTACAAAAAAAAAAAGAAATAAAATTATTCCCAAAAATAAAAATAAAACTTAGTTTTGATTGAGTGCAATAGATATTCAAAATTTGACATAATTCCTCTATGATTCTTATGTTAAAAAAGAAAAATAAAATTCAATGAAATGAAAAAGATATATAAATAATTTCAATTGATTTTGTTTTCTACCTTTCTTTCTATAATTTCAATTGATTTTGTGTGTGTATATATATAATTAGAAGAAGAAAAAGAAAAACATGAATATTAGAATTGTGATTTATTACCTTGGATGATATACATGTTTGAGTTTGAGCAACCTCATTAAATATTTGCATTCTCTGCCTCTAAATGAGCTTTTTACACTCTGAAAAAAATAAACAAAATAAATAATGATAATATTTATCTCTTGCAATACAACACAATCTATTATCAGAAGCACACACAGCAAACATACGTAAGATCAATTAAGATTTTAAACCTTGATATCTTCTTTTCTTTTAGGAATTTCTGTTATGCAAAAAGAAATATGAGAGAGAGAGAGAGAGAAGAATGCTATTATGCTTAGGCTAAAGATCATATAGATTTATACACAATAGTAGGAAAAAAAATATATTGTGCTTAAGTAAGATATAAATAGATGATCGAAGAGAGGTTTTTGTTTAAGAAGGGTAGGGCAAGAGTGTTAGAGATGATACACAAAGAAAGAAAGAAAGAAAGAAAGAAAGGAGACATGCACACTGAGAGTGAGGAGCTATATATAGAGTGTTTAGAGGATGGATTACACAAAAAAGAAAGAAAAGAAAGAAAAAAGGAGACATGCACACTGAAGAGTTGAGGAAGCTATATATATAATATATATATATATTATATATAATATTTATAATTAAAGAAGGAAGAAGAAGACAACCATAAAAACACAAAGAAAGAAATGGACAAAGCATGAAATGGAAACAAATCTAGAGCATTATAATTCCTCCACTATCCCAAAAAAAGACGGAGAGGAAGAGGAGGGAGACAAGACATCACAATACAACATCCAAAATATATAATCATTGGCTGGGGCTTATTACTTATAATTAACATAGTTTGTGGCCCGAGAACTTGAATTCGAATTCTTTAAACCATCCACTGCTCTGCTTATAATTGAAAATGAGTAATTAATTATGTGTTTATTACTTAGAATTTAGCTAGATTTTTGTCTCATATATATATATATATATATATTATATATTATATATATATATATATATATATAGTGAGAGTGCGTAGTAAGCACATGAAAAGGCTGTTTTCAGGTAGTGATACGGGAATGGTAGGGACACTACCTGTTTAGACTCGTACGGTATTTCCTTCCTGGTGCATTCATTGATCGACACCTTTGCTTGTGGGGGCTGCTCTTTCTTTCTGCCTCTATGCGTCGTTTAGTGTGCAATCTCATCTCTCACAGTGTCTTAATTTCATTTTGTAAATGGATTCACCTTCTAATATGCAAATATTTTTACTATGTATTTTTTTTTTTTACTTAGTACTAGAAAATTAATTTATCTTTTTCATTCTTGTTAAAAATAGACCATACAATTCCGAATTATAAAATTTGCAAAAGAAAATTTTTAAAAAAATATATATATAAAATGTCTATTTCTTTTTCATTCTTGTTAAAAATAGACCATACAATTCCGAATTATAAAATTTGCAAAAGAAAATTTTTAAAAAAATATATATATAAAATGTCTATTTCTTTTTCATTCTTGTTAAAAATAGACCATCTATTTTAAGTGATAAAATTTTCAATGGAGCGTGGTGTAAATTTACTTATCTTATATAAAATTATAAAATTATTTCACAGTATATTTATCTTGTTTCTAACAAGTCCATTTTTTTTTTTTCAATTCTTGATCCTTACTAAATATAGAAATTTATGCATATGATACTTTTTTTTTCCCGGGTATTCTTGTACCTCTTGGATATGAAACAAATTTCATTTCACATTCATAATTATCTCTCCACGTAAGTGCTTTCGTATCATGTCTGTATATTCATATCATTTTTATGTTCTATGACTTTTACAAAACTGAAAGTCTAACCGAGTCCAGTGACATGCACTATTCAAATAAATGATGGCATTGGAGATTAATTTTAAGATAATTTTAAAAAATTTAACCGTAAAAGATTAATTTCTTTCAGATGAGTCACTAAACTTTAATTTTTTTTTTTTCAATTTGATCATGTTGAGATTTTCCGCTGAATTACTCAAATTATATAATTGAGATAATGGTTGATATCAAAATTTAATGTATAGTTTCTTGGGACGAAATAGGATTTGCTTACATCAACAAAGTCCTGCTAAGAAATTATGAAAAGGAGTCGTCTATAGTGCACGAGATGGTTGCTTCATTGCTAAACCTTTCAACATTTTCTCAAGTGGTTAGAACGTAAAATCTCTCGAAAATCCTAAAAATAAAGGAAATGTTAATGATTGGTAAAGTTTTCTTATTAAGAAATTAAGAGACTTATTGTATTTTCTAGTAGCTGAACCAACCCAAAACTATATGTTATGACAATTAAAACTATATTTGATTAGCGGGTAATAGGCATTTCTAATATTGTTTACTATATTTTTAATTATACTATTTTATGACAATTTATATTTTATGAGCCGTAATGAAATATAATGTAATTAAAATGTACAATTTTTTATTTTTTATTTATAAATATATATTTAATTATATACATTTTAATGTGTGTAGATGAAGTGTATGTCGGATTTCACGATGAATGCTGAGGAGTTCCGGTCTACGATGATAAGTAAGTGATTAATATTATTGGAACTAAAAAATAAATATTATATATTTAATTAATATTCAAAGGATCAAAGGATTGTATCTACTAATAATTGTGGATAAGTAAGTGATTAATATTATTGGAACTAAAAAATAAATATTATATATTTAATTAATATTCAAAGGATTGTATCTACTAATAATTGTGGAGTGGCATACCAACTTAATTAAATATTAATCAGAGATTGTAATCTAATCCAAAACAGCAAATTGTTCGAGCTACTTGCCTTGTCTGGTATGTTGATGGACTACAATTGGACTGAAATTTAAAAAAGAAGAGAATTATTCAGGTAATTATTCTTTTTTTTAAAAAAAAAAATCATTTTGTTATTTTATTATATAAAAACTGAATTATGGTTTTTTAGTAAATAAATCCATAGAGAAGCTTTTGCTGGATTTGATCCTAAAATTGTTGCCAAAATGGGAGAGAAGGAAATCACAGAAATAGCCTCTGACAAGACAATCATGTTGGCTGAGACCAGAGTGAAGGCAAATGCATAGTGAAGGCAAGTCTTTTAACAAATATTTAAAACCTATTTTGGTATGAATGAAATTTTATAAAAAGAGAAAATCGGATTTAATATATTCACATATTAATTAATATTCATCAATTAATTTTAATTGGGTTTTAAATGTTTTGCAGATTGAGAGGGAATTTGGATCATTTAGTAGCTATATGATCAATAGATACAAATATACAAATAGTAGGAAAAAATATATTGTGCTTAAGTTAAGATATAAAAAGATGATCGAAGAGAGGTTTTTGTTTAAGAAGGGTAGGGCAAGAGTGTTAGAGATGATACACAAAGAAACAAAGAAACAAAGAAAGGAGACATGCACACTGAGAGTAAGGAGCTATATACATTTTTAATTATAAGCAGAGTAATGGATGGTTTAAAGAATTCGAATTCAAGTCATCCGTCCACAAACTATGTTAATTATAAGTAATAAGCCCCAGCCAATGATTATATAATTTGGATGTTGTATTGTCATGTCTTGTCACTCTCCTCTCCATCTTTTTGTGGGATAGTGGAGGAATTATATTGGTAGAAATCGTTATAAATGATGAAATGAAATGCTCTAGATTTGGTTCCATTCCATGCTTTGTCCATTTCTTTTTTTTGTGTTTTTATGGTTGTCTTCTTCTTCTTCTTCTTCTTATTATTATTATTATTATTATTATTATATTAATTACGTGTTTATTACTTAGAATTTAGCTAGATTATTATTACTACTTATGAAAAAGGCAGTTTTTGAGGTAGTGATACGGGAATGGTAGGGACACCACCTCTTTAGACTCGTACGGTATTTCCTTTCTGGTGCATTCATTGATCGACACCTTTGCTTGTGGGGGCTGCTCTTTCTTTCTGCCTCTATGCGTCGTTTAGTGTGCAATCTCATCTCTCACAGTGTCTTAATTTCATTTTGTAAATGGATTCACATTCTCATATGCAAATATTTTTACTATGTATTTTTTTTTTAATTAGTACTAGAAAATTAATTTATCTTTTTCATTCTCGTTAAAAATAGACCATACAATTCTGAATTATAAAATTTGCAAAAGAAAATTCTAAAAAAATATATATGAAATGTCTATTTTAAGTCATAAAATTTTCAATGGAGCGTGGTGTAAATTTACTTATCAAAATTAAGTTCATGTATTCAAGATAAGTTCATGACTTCAAGATAAATTCATATCTCGGGGTTGTATCTACACAAGATTCTCAAAGTATTCTTTTTTTCTTAAATCTACTTCTGCTAATCTTTCTGAATTTTGTTTGATTATTAGTGATCATAAAACTTTAATTGATACTAGATCTAATATTGCTATTAGATGAATTAATTAGGAGACAAATAAATTTATTCGAAGCTCGTACTCTTACTAGAATTTTTTATATCACGCTCGTTTTCAAGAGTGTGGTTCAATTCCTCAAGAGTTATATAATTTTATCTTTACGATTCTTATTAATAAATTAATATTTCATCTTTAAAAAAAGAAAGAAACATTATTTTTTATGATCATTATGATTATATAATAATTTATATATCGATTAAATTAATTATTGATATATAATGATAATTCAATCCCAAAAATGTAGATGGTTCATGGGATCCATCTTATTTATATCTACTACAGGTGTGCTTATATGTCTTTTTGTGGTATATCTTTCTCCCTTTCCTGCTAATTTTAAGCCTAAACCCAATTTTTAAAAAATTAATAAATAAATAAATAAAAACCAAGTAGCATGAAGTATTTGAATTATGTATAATTCAAAGAAAATCAAGTTTCTTGCTTGAACATGGTGGGTTATTATATGAGGTTTAAATCTGAATTTACAAGGAGGTTTGAGATCACAGGGCTACGCGTGCATAGCAATACAATCCTATCACGTCATTTCTTGTCTCTTTCTTTCTTTATATACATATATATATTACACACTTGTTTTTGTTTCAAAATACATAAATCAAAACTAGGCTTAAATGGAAAATTCCAAAACTTTCATTTATTTCCATCCAAACAAAAAATTAATACTACTTTATTTTTAGTAAAAACTGATAAAATATTAAAATTTATACAATTTAAAAATGATAAAAAATTATAAAAAGTAAAATCAGAAAAAAATTGAATCACATTATCAAAATGTAAATATATAAAAATAAAAACAAATTGTTTTCAATTTTTAATTTTAGATCTTTTATTATTTAAAAATAAAACTTAATATTTATTATTCTTTTACCAAAACTGGCAAAAAATTTGATAATAAATTTAAGGCTAAATTTCTTAATTGATTCAGAAGTTAATCTTAGATTGAATTGAATAAGTATTAAAATCTAAAAATAAAAATTTAACATTTATCGAAAATTTTTGCATGAAGAATTGTAATTTCGAAACCGACAAATCATGCCGGAATTGATCTGAACCAGAATCGAAACTGGAGATTTTCGATTCGGTTCCGGTTTCAGTTTTGTTGAAACCGCAAACCGGTGGTTCCACAAACAGGTCGAAATCGGATGGAATCGTCGTTTCTCCGGCCAGTTAGAACCGCCGGTTCGAACCAGTTGTTCTAGCCGATAGAAACTGTTAGTTTTTTTTTTTTTTTTTTTTTTTCCGGTTCGAACCAGGTTGTTCTAGCCGATAGAAACTGTTAGCTTTTTTTTTTTTTTTTTTTTTTATAAAATTTTTGTAGTGATTTCTTTACACTATTCCAAGGAAAAATCAAATACACTATCAAGAAAATCAAACAGTCATAGACTTCCCCTTCAAACCCACCACCGAACTAAGAGGTAAAGTCTTTTTCTTTTTTACCTCCACGTCTTTTGCTTATGCAGTCCTTCTTCTTCTTTATTTTTTTATTTTTATCAATTGTATCAAGTGCTAATGGTTTGGATCATCTTTTTATTTTCTTGTTAATTCCTTTTTCCCTAATGGGTTGGTTGGATTTGCGTTTCTTTGTTGTTGTTCAAGTTTTTAAAAAAATAAATTTAATTGAAGCATTTTTTAATTTTTTAGATGTATTTTTTTTAGAAATAATTCTCACAAATTTATTAAATTTTGAAAACCGGTCTTTAAAATTTAAAATTTAAAATTATGCGATTTTACCGGAAAACCGATTGGAAAACCGATCGGAACCGTCGGTTTTGAAAACGTACCGGAACCGGAACCGTTCGGTTCCAAATCGGAACCGAAAATTTTCAGTTCCAATTTTTTTTGAAACCGGAACCGCCGGTTCCGGAACCGTGGCCACCCCTGGCACCCCTAATCCAAACCCGGAACCGTTCGGTTCCAAATCGGAACCGAAAATTTTCAGTTCCAATTTTTTTTGAAACCGGAACCGCCGGTTCCGGAACCGTGGCCACCCCTAATCCAAACCTTACAGCAGAACACAAACTATATTATATGTATATATAACCTGATCTGGATAAGTTCATTTTAGCTTTCCTTTACTATTCTTGTTTGATCAGATGATTCAAAACCAGTAACCAATGGCTCATACCAAATGCCACCAGAAGATCAAGTAACAGTATAATAGGTTGCTATTAGTCTATGAGATGTCTTGTTGAGAGATTTGGTGAAAGTAAGGCTAAGATTGATTTAGATGGTAGCAGGTGAAACATTGAATTTGAAGAATTTATTTTTGATCAGTAGTACTGTCTGATTCAGTTGCAGGTGTCTCTTTTTGACTGTGTGACTTTGTACGACTGAAAGAGAAATGCAAGAACTTGAGAACAGAATCATCTTATCTTTAAAAATCAGATCTTTTGATATGTATGGATCTATATAGTAGATAGATACACTCTATAACCCTGTAATCTTACCTTCCATAGCTGTGGCTTTGCATGCCCTTCCTTCCCTAGCTGCATACTTTGACTGACTGTAATATAGGGATGAATTTACTTTTTGCAAATAATGGAACAATGTTCCTAAAATGGAACAAGGAAGGTTATAGGAAACACAGGCTATGACATGACGATTGAAGATTCTGTTTTTCTTTATTCACTGTTAAAAAAGGAAAGTAATAGAGCATCATCATTATCATGAGCATTCTCAAATTTCCAAATAAAGGGTTGGCAAAATCATTTATTTTAAAGAACAGGAGAAGAAAAGAACACAGAAAGAAATAAAACAAAAGGTAAAGCATAAAATCCTAATTAACCAAGGTTTTTTTTAAGCCTAATAATTTTAAATATAACTGCAGGTTTAAGGAATGTATGTAAACTTTATAAAATAAAAAAATAAATGAGAACATTCTATTCTTCTTTGAAAAGTTAGTTTGAATGAAAAAATAAGACTGTTGAAATCAAATTATTTAACTTTCAAGACTATATAAATGAATCAATACTTAGATTAGACATATGGTTTTGTACAATATACACTTTATACACTAGGCAAATAAAAATAGGTAACATAATAAATAAACGAAATGTAACTATCTCAGCCCGAGGAAGATGCCTTATACTTACATATATACATAAAAGGTAATAAAATGTAAGCTCACGCCACAAAATTTCAAGTCGTCCACAGAAAATGAATAGTTGCTGATTTGATTATTTCATTACTAATCCATTTCTTCTGTTTTCAAATAACTTATTTTTTTTTATTTAATTACAATATTAAAAATTAATTTAAAGATATAAAATTTTAACCATAAAAACCGAGACAATTTAAACAGTAAAACAGCAACTGCATCAAAATCAAATATGGTTTCCCCCTTCAACTCATCTCTTTTCCTTGTGATCTTAGACAGTAACACCTCAGATTCAAAACCAAACCAAGTAACACCTTACAGTTTAGCACTTCAGCATACTATTACCATCCCCATCAATATCAAGCACAAGCATCACAACAACAGTCATTCAACAAAACCTTAGATCTTGAAAGCTATTCCTCACATTGGCAAAGTTGTACTACACTTGTTGGAAATATACAAGCCAAAAATTCATAGAAAATTTGATCCCATCAATTTCCATAATTGAAAAGAGCTAACTGCGTACATTAGGATTTATTCAGCGTCCTATTCTTAATTTTAATTCGAAATCTAGGAGCAGAGTTACCTTCAGATGGCTCAGGTTTTGTTTCCACATTGGGGTTCGCCATTTTGGAACCACTGGATTCGCTTGGCTTCACTTGAACAGTTGCCAATTTAATGCTGCTGGGTTCCTGTATTTTAACAAGTCCTCCCATTGAAGAAGCATTTGCCTCATCACCAAGCAACTTTGCCATTTCCTTTTCCCTCCGTTTTTTCTCTTTCTTCAACCGCTTCCTTTCCAGGTACTCAGGATCATCCTTGTGCCCTTTATGATCTTCCCGTTTCCGTTTCTTTTCCTTGTCTTTTTTCTTGTCCTTTTCTTTCCTGCAGTGAGGAGATACCAAAGCTCCTGATGAACCACCATCACAATCTAATCTTCCAACTGAAAGGTTTTGAAGACTAGCATATTTTTGTGCCCCAGTATCCACATTATTATCTTGCATGACACTAGGTGATGGTGGATCCTCTGGCCGAGAGAGCACAAAAACTTTGCTCGAATCAGCAGTGCACTGAAGTTCCTTCCCATAATTGTCCCCATCACTTGCAACTTTCGCACTGCCAATGCTAGCAGTCATCCGAGACCCATGGTCAAGACATGAATTGACTTCCTCAACGTTTTGATTGTTTGCACTCACTGCCTCAGTGGAATTCCTAGGGGGTGCATCCACAGAAACAGAACTGCTGGCCCCACGATCAATTTCACGATGCGCACCTTGAGATCTTTCAACAGTTTGATTATCAGCCTCATCTGCTCTACTAGAAGCAGCAGATTTTTTTACTCTAATCTTGACAACTGGCATCTTACGCTCTTGATTGTTAGAGATTGTATCTGCTTCTTTTAAAGGTTCAGGAACGGTCAAATCCATCTTCTGGTCATGATTATTGGAGATCATACCAGGTTCCTTCATGTTTTCTGTAATTACCAAATCCATCTTTTGTAGGTGATTACTGGAGATGGTGTCTGCTTCCTTGGGAGCCTCTGGAATAGCGATATTATCCTGATCAGATTTTGAAATGACCACAGGAGGATCTAGAGTCTTTGGCTCCAGAACAAGTGTTGCAAAAATGTTCCTCGGCTCACCCAATGTTTCAGTATTACCAAGACATGATGTTTTATCTCTGGGAACCCCATAAAGTGTTGGCATCCTGAAAAGGCAAAGCATCAAGTCAGCATTTTCATGCAAGCATGTATACAAGTATACGCCCATATTCAGAGAGCCGTGGCCCACCCAAATTATTTGGCTTTTGTCAGTCCCAGCCCATTCAAGCAAGTTGAACCAGTTGGGAAAAAACAAACAGCGTGGCACATAATCACCCTACAATGAAAATATCTGGTCACATGAGGAAGAAGCAAACCTACCTTCCTGCAAGGATTTGTAAGATGCAGAACAAGTAGTGCCTAAGATATATGTTATTGAACGCCACGTGGCACTCAAGCACACCAAGCAAAGCCAGAAGAGTTGCGTTCTTGATGACATCCTTCGAATTAGATCCATCTCGTATCTGGCATAACCGCATAGCATGCGCAGCAAGTTTTGCCTGCCCTGCAAACCAAGGAATGTAAAAGAAGTAACACATGAAGTAAAGCACAAGATTTGAGATATTAAAAATCTAAAAGCTCAAGTAAACAAGTGAAAAATGAAAAGCAGCTCAACGAGAAGAAACAGTGCAGAACCTCTTAGGCTTGGTTCCTCCTTCAAATATATGATGAACAAAGACAATGCTGCATCAATGCCCCGGCAGTGAAATTCCAGATCAAGGAGTGCTCTGCTTGATTCAATTCGAATTTGCCATATTGTTTTAAAATTTCGAAAAGGTTTTATAAGTTCAAAAACGTGATCCTGCAGGAAATAAGGTACGCTAGATAAGAATGCGTAACATGTTGAAAAGCAGCCTATTAGCCAACAGAATAAGTAAAACCACTTACAAGATGAACAGATCCAGAAAGCTTTGATGCGATCTGTACCAAAGTACGGATGCAGCTGATTGTCAAGATCCCATTGTCGCTAGGCATCAGCCTGGTAAATTGCCAAGTCGGTCAGTAATACTTCTTATAAAATTTCATTATATCCAACAAATCAGAAGTTCCATGTACCTGTCAAATTGCAAAAGCCTATCGATGCGCTTGAGAAGGGATGATAAAAGCATCACACTCTGCAAACAGGTTAAAGAAGCAATTTAGGGTAAGACATCAGAACCTTGTGGATTCATAATTGGGGGAAATATATTTACACCCTCATTTAACATCAATCTAGACATCATTAACACCATCGTTGAGGAAAGAATAATCAGTCCAACTACGGGATTGGATTTTAGCAAGAAAGTTGGACAAACAAGATGTACAAATTTCTTGTCTAGCAGTATCATGCAATAATGTCTTTCTTGTGTCTGTGTGTACGAAAGAGAGGGGAATGTGGGGGAACAGGATGAAGATAATAATTCTAAGTAGGCAATACCCACAAAAATGAAAACAATTTCTTTCCAAGTTGAGAATATGAAGGACAGCAAAAATAGAAAATTAAAAATGATTGAACATAAAAAACAGCCAAGAAGAATTAAGAACAGAAATAGATTAAAACAGGGTTAAGCCAACAAGAAAATTTGAGATTCACTATCAATCATCAACAATTAAAAGATAGGGAAAATGTTCACAAACCTGTTGCCCAAATTCAAGTTGACCCACAGACTGGACCAATGCAGCAAGCCAGAACACATCAGAATAAGGATTTCCAGTATTATCATTATACTGCAAAACACCAGAACCAAGCCAAAAGATTGTGTTAGCCACTAAGCATATTGAACACACAAGCGACGCATATAGATACAGAGATAGATAGAGAGAGAGAGAAAGAGAGAGAATGTTCGGTTTTCATACACACTATTTTGATAATGAATTTAATGCAAATTTTGATACACAACATAATCAACAAAATGCAGCTATGAGAGTGAGTATATCGTCCATTTTCCTACAGCCAAAAAATTGAATAAACTATCTGATGAGGAATTCAATGCAGACACAACTAATCAATACAGAAAATGCATCATGTGCAAGCATGTTTGTCAGTTTACCCTGTAAACAAACAATATAATGATGATTAGGGTATTACTGGGTGTTAATGTGAATTCTTGAACTCTACAGAGTAACATTCAACCACAAGTTCAGAAGCTTCTCTATATACAAACAGACTATGTGCTGGTTTGGCGAGTGCCACTGTTCCACTCCACCTACTTTCTCACCCTGTGATCCTGGTTGGACAGATTGAAACAGAAGATATGCAGATTACCTGCAAATAGTTTAACCCAATTCTCCCATTTTTTTTTTTTTTTGTTTCATTTTTAAAAAAATTTCATTTCCACTTGTCACTGTTCCACTCCACTCACTATCCTCTCATTGCCAAATATAATAACTTTTCAAGCATTGACGATAATGCTCTGTAGAACATCCTTTTTTTCCAGATCTGAACTGTAGCCACAACACTTGTCATCTGACACATATTTATAAAGGCTTGCGAAAGGCCACATCCAAGAATAATGAGACAAGGAGAAGTAGTTTATTCTTAGGAGCAGTGTCACCATGTGGGGATTAATTTTGTAATACATGCACACAAGTCCAAAGGTTCTCCAAAAGAATTCTTTGAAATCAAATGCCACCAATTTGTAGGGATTGCATCATTAACCTTCTTGCAACTTTTATTTGCCATGCTGCATTAATCAGTAGTAGAAAATCTTATATCCATAGATGAGGTGTAGTGATCTCACAAAGTACAAATCTCAAAAGGCTCTATTATACAAAGAAATGGTGGAAGTAAGGAGGATGTCAGTCCTAATTTTAAAGCAGGATGAATGAATTGAACTGCAACATGATTCTGAGTATTTGATCAACAAACATGGTAAAGACACTACACAAAATTAGCATGGTAAAATAAAATGCAAAGACGAACGATAGGAAACACAAAAATGAACTGGATGAGAATGAACTGAAGGATTTTGCTTCTCTAATATTCATCTAAGGGCGGCAAGAGTACCTAACATTTCCTAAGAAAGTATTTCTTTGGTATGATGAGCAAGTCCAATTGCATAAATCCAGAAACAGTCACTTATTTCATTCTATGCTTGCACTTGCATGAGGTTGGAAGTGGCACTTATTGAAGAGAAGTTGAGAGAAGGGAGATTGAGATAGTTTAGGCATATGCATCTTGGACCAACGAATTCACAAGCGTTGAAGGTTAAGCACATCAAAAGGTTGAGAAATAGTGACACTATATCTTTCTGAAATGTAACCTTAATCTGGATCTTTCCGAAATTGTAGTCTTAATCCAGATGGGGCAGAGAAAATGATTCTATCCAGCTGAAACTGACCAAATTGGGTTTAAGACTTAGTTAAGTTGGAAAATACCATGTATTCTTAGATCCACCACATATTGTAAAAGCAAAGGAAAATCACCAAAGAATCTATCCCATATCATAACTTTGAAGGAATGGGGAAAGAAACAACCTTTAAAAGTTGCAAAACAAATTCAATAGCTTCCCTCGGGCTCTTTTTGTCTGCAGCTCTAACCATTGCCACAGCTTGAGGAATGGCCTAAATTAACGAAAGAAATAAGGAATTCATAAGCCTTTACATAGAAAATATAACATCAATAACAATAATAAGGTCTTAGTTCAACATCTAGCAAGACGAATCACATCCCAACATCTAGTATTAAGAGCCCCAAACCAGGCATCAACACCTGAAAAGCGAAAAAAAAAAAAAAAAGGGGAAAAATTAGTTATTAGAGCCCCAAACCAGGCATCAAACACCTGAAAAAGCGAAAAAAAAAAAAAAAAAAAAAAAAAAAAAAAAACTGAAAAAAGAAAAAAAAAAAAAAAAAGGGGAAAAATTATACATCACTAACTAGTCATGAACTGCAGTTTTCACTCCTTTGACCTTCCATAAGAACCAGTACACTTCTGTAATACCACAGCTACTACAGGCTAACTCTCTCATTTTTAAATTTACTTTCATCAAGCAATAACTCATACAAAAGATTTCAGCTTTAGAAACAGTTTGTAATAAGAACTGTAGCTGGTCCAATTGGAGAAGGATTCTCAAAAGCAGAAGCATCATACTATATTTTAAGAAAATGATAGGCATATGCTTGTAAATAAGAATCTTCATCACCAATTCCAGTTCCAAGAATTTAATGCTATCCGAGTTGACTTTCTTAAACAGAAAAAATTTAACGAAAACCCCCTTAACGAAAACCCCCAGCCTAGATATTTACCCGATGTTCAACAAGTCAACACAAAACATATAGTGGTAGTAATCAGCAGACTAAAGGACCCATTTTTTTCTAGTATTGTTATTGATACAAGTATCCTCTAGGCTTTACTCATTCTGCTAGCAGAGGACATCTTGGTCTAGTTCTTTGAAGGATATGAATTACACAAAGCAAATACATAAAGTAATTCCATCAGCATATTTATGGCAAGAAAACCTAGAAACTATTTTACACGAGCAGGGTCCCAGAAAATCCACAACCTGTTCACCCTAGTGGCAACAAAAGATTGTTTCAGTAAATGATAAATAAGTAATCTAGCAAGGTTCAAAAGAAGTAACAAAATATCTTATAGTTATATGAACTAAGAATTGCACCACACACGGACTAATTACACACCCTACCTCATCGCATTACCTCAAGAACAAAGTACTCTGGAAAATCATGAAAGTCATTTGGCCTGCGATATCAACATAAAACAAATTCATGTATCTTATATGCGTAACCCTCCATGAGTCAGACCAAAGGAGCAAAGAATCTCACTTGGGGAGTCCAATTGTTGCATCAAACCTTTGACTTTTGTAAAATTTTACCAAGTGAAGTAAACCAGACCAATCAGTTTCCTGTCAGACAACAGAAAAAAAAAAAAAAAAAAAAACAAAACAAAAAAAAAAAAAAAAAAAAAAAGAATAATACACTTAAATGAATCATGAGTCCAAAAGTCTAAATGCAGTTTAACATGGATCTTTCAGGAGAAAAAAAAAAAAAAAAAAAAAAAAAGAATAATACACTTAAATGTAAATCATTGAGTCCAAAAGTCTAAATGCAGTTTAACATGGATCTTTTCAGGAGAAACAATCTAGTGGCCATTAGCATATCGTAAAACATTGTTCTAATTAGGAGATTAGAGATTCCACCACCTTGAATGTGGTTGACTTTAAAAACAGTGCAATAAAAAAGGAAACCATGAAGGAAAAATAAGGAAAAGGAAAAAACCTATGATTCAAAATGTGGTTGCATCAATGGTTTGTGGTGGAGATGAAAAGCCACAGCTGGTCAGCTAGTTACCCTAGTGCACTATTTTAAAAGAATAGTAAAGTTATCTGTTCATAATGCTTCATTCTTCAATAGAATCAAATGAATTGGAGAAACTTCCCAGCACTGCTTCTTTGGCAGAGTTTCAAATGATTCTCGTCATAAGTATGATGCATGCAGAATACTTGAGCATGTTATATGTGAAAGTTTAGAATTTTATAATCTCAAGTCTGATAGACCCAAGACAAAAAGAAAAAAATCCAAACTTCCACTTTATTTTATAATTATATCTAATTGTTTAATATTACCAATTTAGACCATAAATCATTATACTATTGTATGGTTTATTAGATGTCCATCCAAAACTTTTACTTTCTGGTGGAGATGCAAATAAGGAATTTGAGTAGATTGAGTAGAGTTGTTGGGATGACAGACCCCACCACCTAGAGCATATGTGGCACACCACTGCCACATAGGATTTCCACATCAAATAACTGATGTTCCAGGGGTAAAGTCAAAGTCAGTACAGTATGGGCCCTACAACCTCCCACACACACACACACACACACACACACATGGAGAAAGAGAGAGGTCCTTGCAAACGCCATGTCAGATGTTTTGGAGTAGGGGGGAGAGGGGGAGGAAGAGTTTAGCTCACAATAACATTATTACAATACCTCGGATGCTGTATTAGCCAATGCAAAAGCCGCCTCAATCCGAACTCTCCAGAAGGCCTGGCCAAAACATAGCAAATTCAGATAAGACACCAATCAACACAGGAATCACAGGCAACCATTCCATTGCAAGCATGAAAAACCTTGGAGTCGATGAGGAAACTATTCAGGGCAGTTACAACAGAAAATGGCAGCTGTGGTAATGCTTCTAGTGCTGCAATTGCTTGTGCCTGAGCCACAACATCCTCATCCTTCTCCAGCTGATTGATCTGATGAACAAGGTCAATTTACAAAGTCTGTCAGCAGAAACTCATATGAGGCCAAAAAAAAAAAAAATGTAGAAAGATTAAAACAAGAAAACAGATAAAATTCACATCCTAACTTGTGTAATTAAAGATAAGCTCTTGAGTTTGGATGCAGAATGGGAAAAATGACTTCACGCTTGAAGCAATCCAATCTTTTCATCACAATTAAATTTCCAAAACAAGTGATCACTGATATAACTAATGTTTGAGGTTTGGTAAGAGGTTCATACATCTATAACGTAGTAATACGTACCAAAACTTTTTAGCACCATATGTATTATTTAACAGCAAAAAGATTAAAAAAGGAAACAGGAAAAAGATCCAATCTGGCAGTTACTGTTTAGGGACATTCATTTCCAGTGTCTAATACAAGTTGAACTCAACAAAGCCTCACACTAGTTATGTTGACCACAGGTCTCTTTTTCCTTCATCATATTCAGTTTAAGGGGTAATATTCCAAAAACAAATGGAAATGCTAATTCCTTTCCAACCACTTTGCACATTTTCATCCTTGGACAATCTCTTGTCTTGTTAATTTTTACTTGGATATGCTTAATTTTCCAGACCATTGCACCTACCTATCTATTCTGAACATGTCTAACCATATCAACTATCCTATATGCACTCATTCAGCGGTGTTAAAGGAACACCTAGTTAGGTGCATAGGCTGAAGGAGAAACTAGGCAGAGCCGCCTCGCCTGAACCATAGCCAGGTGAGGCGCAAACTTGGCATGCACACCTATGCCCTTCAGGCCCTCAGGCACAGCCCTGCGCTTAGGTGCCCCTGAAAATCTTTTGGATGTTTTGCCCTGTGTCAAACTATCTATATAGGATTTTGAAAGTAGAACATTCCATAATCCATATTTGAAACAAGGTAACATTTAAATTTTCCTAAACAATCTGTCAGTTCATATTTTAGAAGTAGATTCCTTACTGAAATCCTTTCAAACTTTCCTAATACAACAATTACAACAAAATTTCACATAAAAAAGCACTCAGTAGACGCATTATCTTTATCCTCCAAGATGAAGCAAATGGCGCATATTCTCCATTCTCAAGCAATAATCTATTTTTCTATTTTACACATTATTATTCAACCAGGAAACAGATATATGTTTGTGAACATGCACCTCATGCCCATCACGCACACACCTTATGCCTCAGGCTCCAGAACCCTTTGCACCTTGGGACTTTAACAACACTGCATGATTCTTTTATCTGATATTATTACATGGAAACCTACCATGTCAACCATTTCAAGTTCATTCCAATTGAGAACATATAAAAACACCCAAGACTCAGGAAGAAAGTTTATTCCAATGACCAGTTGTATGAAGACTCAAGCAAATCCTTGGGCTTCTTTTTGAGAAAAAAAAGTGGGTGGAAAATGCATTTGGATTTTACATTTTGTCGAATAATTTTATTCCTCAGTGTATCTAGTCAATATTATGGCCAAATATATTTTCTCCATTTTCTTTCCTCTCACTTTCAACCATCCAGAAAAGGCCTTAATGCTAATATGTCATTAATACCAATTACTTAAATACAAATTTTAATATCACAAAATGCTTCAAAGTTTTCTAGTAAAAAGAACCCACAATCAATTAAACTAGAATGTCAATCATGGAGAAAGACAGAAGAGTTTTACAAAAAGGGCCAGAATGTCTTACCCACATCTGTACAGGCTGATTAAAGTGAATTTCAGCGAGGTATTCCATTTCTGGATCAGCTCTAATCCATAACAAGGGAGATTCCAAACTGCAAAATGAAAAAAGGTCAAACACTACAGAAAATACAGTAAAATAAGAAGAGCCTCCTGATATTTAGCAGAAAACACACTTGAACACTTGTATTATATAGGGTAGTCTCTAAGCCTTTACTATCAACGGCATTTTATTTCAATCCTTTAATCTACAAATGAAACAACTTTTTAACCTCCAACGCGTTTAAAGGTGAGTCACTAAATTGTTGTTTAACCTATAATGTGTGAGAAAATAGGAAGTTATTTCACTTCAAAGATGAGGAACTAAAAATGTAATGTATGGACTAAGTGCATAAATACTATTTATTTCAATAGACTAAGTTCATAAGTTCCCTTTACTTCAATTTTAGAAAAGCAAAGATGCAAGTGTTAATTCAAGTTAACATCAGTTTTTTTTTTTTTTTTTTTTTTTTTTTTTAGGTGCATAGCAATTACTATTTTTCATATAGACTAGAGTTCATCAAGTTTCGCCTTTTATCTTCAATTTTAGAAAAGTGCAAGATGCGAAGTTGTTTATATTTCAAGGTTTGAACCAATTCAGTTTTATTTTTTTGTTTTTGTTTATTTTTTTTTTTTCGGGTAAGTCTCACCCATTAGAAAAATATGAGCCAATATCAAGTAAAGATAGAATCAGAACACATTCAAAATTGCAATTTGTACCTGAGGCCGCTCTCTCTGCGGCTTGTACACATTCCGCATTTTCATTGCAGAGCACCATGCAGTTAGAACCATTTTTACTTGGCATATGCGGTCTAGCCAGCAAGCTTTTTGTTCATATTGCCGCCTGTATTTCCAGAATGGCCTGCCACATCTTCGTCAGCATGCGGAAGCGTAATAGGGTGCGTCATACATACGGTCAAGTCACTAAAACCACCTTGGGTACTCATCGATCCAGTCCATCCAATATTATCAACCAGTCTCGATCATATATGTCAGAATCAGGTAAGAACTGAGCGTGCTACTCAGGCATCAGAGCATGCCTGTACACTCTCTTAGACTGGCCGGCCAGCTCTCAATTCATTTTTGTCTTTTTGTATTATGATAGATACCCTCTCCATCCTTTAAATAATATTGAAAAAATAAAGGAGGCATCATTAATAACCATAATATCAGGAATTCAATAATAGGTTAAAACGTAGAAGTACGTATTGTTAATCAACTAATTGACGCTCAACATTGGACACCGCATGCCCAACTCCACGAAGGAGAATAATTCCTTTCAAAGAACGGAACGTCGTCAACTGATTCCAACGGCTTAGTACGACGAGTAATTGGCCGATACAACTATCATCTCACAGTTAATGAGCATAAAACATATGTACATAGAGACCATAAGGTTAAACACCGTACAGCAGACTTCCATGGTGTTTAAGAAACAAACAGAAAACTGAATTGTAAGAAAAGGATGTAAGATCTCGGCAAATTATGGTAACAATCGACTAAGCATGCTGCCATGTGTAGTGTTTAATATATGGCCTTCACTAGTACGAATACAGATACAAACCCATCAATATGCAAAGTTGGAATTAAATATAGAATTTTTTTTTTTTTTTTTTTTTTTTTTTTTTGGGTAATCTACCCTAGAAAATATGAGCCAATATTCAAGAATGATAAACAACACATCAAATTGGCAATGTACCTGGAGCGCATATCTGTTGCAGGTACAACATCAGCATTTTCATCAGAGCCATCAGGTTTAGAACCCTTTTTAGGCTTTTGGAAGCGTCTAGCAGCAAGCTTTGAATGGCACTGTATTTCCAGAAGCTGCCACATTTCTCCAGCCAAGGGAAGAATAGGGTGGTCATACATACCGTCAAGTTCATAAACCCTGATACTCATCATCCCAGGCCATCCAATATCACCATCTCGATTATCAGAATCAGGGTTAAGAACTGATGCACTAGCATCAGGAGCAGCTGTACACTCTCTTAGAGCCGCCAGTTCAATCATATTTTTCTTTTTGTTATATGAGAACCCCATCCTTAAAATTGAAAAATAAAAGAGGCACATAAACCAACAGAAATCAAAAAAGGTAAAACGTAGAAGTAACATATGTAACTCAACTAATACCTCAACATTGGACACCCGCATGACCCAACCCACCGAGGAAAAAATTCTTTCAAGAACGGACGCTCAAGATTTCCAACCTTAGTAGCAAAATGCCGAAACTACATCTCACAGTTATGAAAAAATACATAGATAAGTAACTAAGCAACCTCCATGTGTTTAAGAAAAAACCATGAATGAAGAGAAAGATGTAAAATGACCAAATAGAAAATCGACCAACGCACGCATTGTAGTTATAATGCTTACTAATAAAACAAAACCACAATATGCAAAGTTGGAATTAAATAAAAAGCCAAAGTAGCAGAAGACAGAAGACATGTTGATAGATGATTCAGATATAAGATAGAACGTAATCACCTCCTTTGTACTAAGAGATCTCACAGGGATTGTATCTTGAGCCCGCAAGACAACTTTCTGCAAAATCTACAATTAAACAGACAAAAATATTATGCATATAGATATGAGTAAGGAAGACATCTAAATTCCACAGCCCATAAACAACCACTATTATGCAACTCCAAATTGCTTTTTCCCCCCAAAAAGAAGGTATATCCTAACAAATATGATGAAACAGTCAAACTATCAACCCCAGCTCGAGCCACCCATAAAATAACCAGCTAAAGCCACATAAAATGTTACAATTTTTTCATCCATCAAAATTCTAAGTGTACAATTTCAACATACTAGACCCATTTCAACATACTAGACCCTTACTTTGCGAAAGGATTCTGGCCCCATTTGCTTTTCCAACATTTGCAGAATTGCCACCTTTTCCAAAACCGATGTGTGAGTTCAGAGTGAATGCAAAAGAAAACTACATTTTGAAAACAGATTCAGAAATGAACTCACAGACTTCCAAGACCGTATTTTCCCATATATACCAATGCAATTGGTTCCATATAAATCCTTACAAGAAGCAGAGGAGCTTAAAGTTGTAGCACCACTATCATCTGCTTTGCAAACAGCACAATTAGCCTGCAATTCCACAACATAACATTGATTTTGCACCTTGGAATGCTAGCAACAAGCATGTAAAACAGAAAAGAAATTTATCCAGAATTTTTAAACTTAGAAATACTATCATCTCCTTGCAGTTTTATCTTTTGCCAGACAACAAGAATTGTAATCAGCATTGATCAGAAAACCTGACCAGACCGGACGGTTCAACCGGTTTAAAAACCAGTATAAACCAGATGAAAACTGGGTAAAAACCGGTGAACCAGACTGGTAACTAGCACAATTCAATTCACATTCTTGGGTTTTCTAAAATATGGGCCTCTCTAAAATCTGAGCATCTTAAAAGTTGGGCCCACTGATTTTTTAGTTTTCAGTCCTCTTTATTTCTAAGCCCAAAGTCTTAATTTGTTAATCAAAACAACTAAATTGCCCAACTTTAAAGCCAAATGTAAAAAACAATATTATATTTTATGGTAATTAATTTTTTTTTTTTTTGTTTAGCATTAAACTTCTTTTTGCTTAAAATTATTTACTGATCTTTTTTATTCTTTTTGCAAAAGCCAAACTTTAGATTGTTTTTTATTTGATATCAAAGTTTTTTTTTTGTAACCTATATTTTCAATTGTATTTAATATTATATACAAAAATCCGTTTAAAACCGTATTGAAGGTGGTTGAACCCACCGGTTCAGTGAACCCTAAATTCAGGGTTCTCAGAACCCTGGTAATCACGTTTCAAATTAAAAAGAACACAAAAGAGAACAGATGATTAAAAAAAAAAGATTAAAATTAACATAAGCTGAGAAGTAATGAGAATGACGATGCAATGAAAAAGGACTACCAATTGATAAACATCTACCTACAAGTCCTAGCCAGTCCATCCTATAGTTAAAGCACAGCCCTTCGACATTATATAGAGCATTCAATATAAGGGATAGAGTTTAACTCATACACAATGATCATTTATATTAAAAAATGAATAATAATAATGAGAGAGAGAGAGAGAGAGAGAGAACAAAGATCAACAAATGGCACAACTCATTTGCAAGTTACAAGACAGCAACCTGAATGAGGGAAAAGAAACAAAATCTTGACTCAAAAAGATCCACAAACTCCATAAAGATCCTTTCAAAAATTGCATCCAACCAGGAAAAGCAATTAAAAAAACTCTACTTAGCTACAGTTAAGAATTCAACCATCTGATTAAAAGATCTACAAGTAGGTCTTGCTGCAGAAATTCCAAAAACACACAGCTGTATTGTCCTGACAATTTTACAAAATCATGATGGGTGAGAATACATTATAGAACATCAAATGATACATTCCTACAATGGTCCCAAAAGTAATCAATTTTGTACAATAGGAAACTTTTCTTATTCCATCAACAAGAGAAAGAAGGACTGATATATTTTGTTCCATTAGCTTTTGAAGTTTACACCAAGGTATTCATTTTAACCAATTCCGTGTAGCTAATTGCTAACTGTTAAACACCAATACATTTTGGTCAAGGAACTATGTGATTGTCTTCATATTTGTTCTTGTGTTCTCTACCTAAGTTGGAGTATCAATGATTTAGGTCAAGTTCTTAAAAAATATTTGTAATTGCCCTGTGCTCTTCCATAAGTTATTACTTAATAATGAATTTTCTTCTGTCAGAAAAAGAAAATTTCTAAGAATCCATATCAACTAAATTATGCATCACAAGAAACAACTTTACCACCAAGAATTTGCCACCCATCTTCAGGCAACTGTACATTTGGGCAGGGAATACAACTTAAGAAGTTAAAGCAACTTTATCCAAAATTACTAAAATAGAATGCTTTGGCTCAAGTCTAAAGTCTGAACACATACACAAGCATAAACTTAAATATGAGTTGATTGCAAGTTAAACAAGATTTGACTGAACTGTTAGCCATATTTCATCTGGTGGTAGTTACTGGCTACAATTCACGATGAAAATATAACGTGTTCCTTAATTGCCAAAAGCCCTCATCATAAGAGGAAATGGATGCAATGGAATCAAGGAAATCTTGGAACTAATCAACTAATAAGAATAACTTCTGCATTTATTATCAATAAAAAAAAGGTTTCCTGTAGCAGTTAAAAAAGAAGTTTAATGTGTTTCTGGTTGCCAGGATAACTGGGCCAGTGTAAGCATTCAGCTTATTTTAAGTTAATCTGCCATAACATCCGCCACAGCACTTTCTGTTGTCTGGAACATTTCCACGGAACAAGATCAAGTGCATCCTCAATTCATCAACTTCTAAAAGAACAAAATTTAAAAGTGGAATCATGTAGCATGGGTAAACCATTCCAACTGTAAACCAAAGAACCAGATAGTGCCAACCTGACTCGATCTATCATAAGCATATTTAAACCCACATAAGGGGCACTGTGTTATTAAAGCTGCAAGCAGATATCTATCAACAACCAACCCATGCTACCCCAAACAAATGGAGATAATGACAGCAAAAACTAAAAGAAAGAGGCATCAAAGAGATATCTCAAACAACAGGAGAGGGTTAAAAGAACAACTTCCTTGCAAGAAACTGGCATCAATTGAATCATAATAATTGTAGCAATGATAGTAAAGTCACACATGCAGAGACCTCTTTTGCCCACAGATGCAAGATCTCTCTTGCTTGCATTTAAATAATTAACTAAAATTTAAGCAGTTAATATGTTCTAACCTTGTATCTCCTGTAACGTGCTTCATTATTTCCTAAAAATTTCTTGATAAACAAATCCGTCAGAAAACCAGCAAGCCCATCCAGAAGCCATTCTGAAACATAAGCATTAAGGAACTACATTAGTGTAATGATTTAATCATTATATTCCTCATATTATATTAACAATCTACGTCCCATAAGCAGCACAGAGTATCATGTTCTGCCAGCTTACCGTCATTGGGTTCCTCAGGAACTATATAAATTCCAAACCACTGTTTCGCAAGTGCAAAAGCTAGTTTGATGCTCGTGTCTATGGCCTGTTACAATAAATATTCATGAGTCAGCATACTGCAATAATTGCAAATAAAGATTGATAATGCAACTTTGATAAAAGAATGAACCTGATCAATAACCCTGTTGTCATATAAAACTTGAGAACTAAAAATGCTAATGGAAGCTCCCAAACTACATGAGGATAACACCATCTCAGGAGCTAAGAACACTTGCGTATACGATCCAAAAGGAAATTTTGCATCAAGGTATTCTTCATAATGGCTGTTGAAAATACATTGCATAGTCAAGAAATAGCATAATAAGTTCATGTTTTAACTCCCGGTGGTAGTAAAAGATGAAAAATTAAACAAAAAGTAGAATAACAAAGACAACAAACTTGAATGCATTGTGAAAAAATTCCACAGTATTCTGAAGCTTTGCTAGATTAGCTGGCAAGCACATGTGTGATATGAAACCAACATGAGGATCAGGAAGGATCTCAAATGGTGCAACCACTAATGATATCCATTGAGCAGTTACTGGAACATCTAATCTGTAGACATAAGTTTTATGAGGAGGATCATCCTTGCTCAAAACCTGCAATTAATGATGTGCACATTGTTAAAATCAATGAATACTAAAAGTCTAACATATGGAACTAATATATGAAACAGACAACACCACAAACTTATATGTATCCAAAAATGTTCACGATCGTAGCCATGACAAAATACAAATTCCGAAAAAAAATGCCTCTCTATTTATCTGTACATTGGCAAGCCTCGTGTGGAAGATGAAGATGTTAGTCATAGCCATTCTCTATAATTCAAAATTCCAACCTTTAGGAGACATAGCACAGACTAAAAATACACTCAATTACACAAGTTCACCATTAAGAAGCAACGAGAAGGCTTGTGATAAAATATTTAGATAATCAATTGTTTAAATTAACTAAACAAGCAATTAGAAAAATAATACCAAATAAATAAGCACTCACACGCAAAGTAAATTTTCATTTGGGACTAAAAAGCGTATCTGTGAGGGAGGCTATTTACACTTCTTACGTTCGTACTCTACCAAATAGAGATTAAAAGCCCTTGCAGAAAAGCTCAACACTTTGTGAGTACAGGTGAATATCTCCCTTATCCGACGTGGTGCATTTCTACAATTTTGCATATATAAACGATGTTAGCTTGCAACATGTTTCCCATGAGTTTGCACCATACCATTTTTGCTACTGGCCGAGCACATTATTTAACCCATGAACTTTTATAAAGAAATTTTGTGACCTCTGAACTTTGGAAACTTTGTAGCCCCCTAAAATTCACTTTTAACCTTTTGGCCCCCTAAATTTCAATTTTTTTGTAATAATCTCATACTTCACAGATCGAAAAGTGAATCAGTTCTAAGGGGCGCAAATACAGGAAAGGTGAATTTCAGGGGCCACAGGGTCAAAAAATCTGTAGCACTTAAAGGGGGAGACTAAAAAATCTGTAGCACTTAAAGGGGTACGAATTCAAATAAAAAAGAACATTCACAAGACAAAAACAGTGACGCCCCAGATTACTATTTTACATTTTCATACTACAAAGAATGTCAGCTACTTACAATAAAAGGCTAGAGTAACTTGAATACGCAAAAAATGTCAAGTCATTAAACCAAAAAGCTCGGTGGATGAACCCTTGATTTTTGAATATCATCAGACACAATTCCTCAAGCACTCTACATTTCCTATCCCTCCATACAATCTAAAAATATGGTAAGAAGGATTAAATTCAAGACCCTTTTCCCATCATTTTACAATCAGTTAGACCATGCAAGTCAACAATTGATGCTGAATGGGTTCAGCTGCTGTCCAACAGACTTTAGTAAAATTAATCACCACAAATGTTTTAAACCAAGAAAAACCACAGAAGAATGAACTGCACCAATTCGTCTAAATTCCCAAACATGTAATATCTGCTGCTAAAGGATAAATCCTTCATCCCCCTGAAGAATGTCAACAATCAAAATTACACCCCAAAAATATCAATGCTACAACTGCTAACCAGATTCCTGGACAAATAGAGGGGAATATCCGAGAAATGAGATCTTAATTATCTATTATACTTTGCTGAAACATAATTTTGTATGCCACTAGTTCCTCAAATTTGAAGTAATTGCTAATTCCAATACTTAACTTAAAACCAAGTGTAGAGATATCATCTAATATTTCAACTAAAACAACCAAGCCTGATTACTTGAAGCCCCCAAATAATATTCCAGTACATAACTTATCGAATATGAATCCTCAACCTTTCCTCTCACTTGCTTAATATCATATAACGCTTGACTCTTGCCTCTCATCTGCATCACTCTGTTACAATTCATGAATACGGACCTCGTACATGATGCAGCCTTTCTAGAATTAGATCTTATTTTTGTAAGTGGAGTCAAATTAATAACAAGTAGTGAGAAGGTTTTGCAAGTAAACAATTTAAAAAGCTCTCTATAAAGACCACTAATACAAAATTTATAAAAGCAAAATAATCTAAAGAAGTTTCCTATTACCACAAATGAGGAGTGCACATCCAATTCCACCTGCATATGTGCAATGGACTTTATGCATTCTAAAAAGCCCTCAAATTGCATTCTCTCTGGGTGGCCCACAGAGACCTTAAATTTACCACAATAAAAAAGCCATTAAATTTACCACAATAAAAAATTTAAATTTAAGCCTCTTAACCTGAAAAAATAATGTCCAGATGTTTTTTGCACCAGAAAAAGGAATTTTGTTAGAACCAAAAGGCAAAAAATAGAGACATAGTGTACAAGCCTATAAGCAGTGCCCTTCAAAATTCTCTACACTTTAAAAAAGCAAGTCTGCAAAGATTCTGGAAAAACAAACAGAAGGCCATAATTTAAATTTTGAACATACATGCATTTCTCTCCCAAAAACCACAAAAGCACTTCCCAACAATTTTGACATCTTCCCTGCCACTGATGATTCTCCATTCTAAACTAACAAAAATTTCTAAAGATTCCAGACAGATGTATGCCTCCTCAGACTGCTAAAAAGACAATTCCAGATTTACCCAAGCCTTTTAAAATTAAAAGAGCAGTCAGAATAAGCTTCACACATGCAACACAGCAAGTAAGAGATAAAGCAAAAATATAACAGATTATTAATATTCATCGTCATCTTTTTGTAGAACTGGAAATCAAATGCATAAAACTATTACTCCTAAGCCTTTTCCATATAAGTTCATATCAACTCAGATTAACCTACTTCAAAGGCAATATGGTTCAAATTAAAAGGCCTTGGAAATTGGATAAAAATACTCTCCCTATTCTATATAGCGGAATTCTATTTGATTCCCTTATGAGAGGGAATGGGATCTCACAATGTGGGACACTCAATTCCCTTGTCCATCCTAGTTAATAACATTTCCTTTCCCACTGGACTCAAAAATTCTCCAGTATACGTACACAGAGATCAAAATCCAAAATTTAATTATGATAGTAGAATTTAAAAAAAAAAAAAAAAAAAAAAACTATCAACTCAGAATTAAACCTACTTCAAAGGCAATATGGCTTCAAATTTAAAAGGGCTTGGAAATTGGATAAAAATACTCTCCCGTGATTCTATATTTAGCGGGAATTTCTATTTGATTCCCTTATGAGAGGGAATGGGATTCTCACAAATGTGGGACACTCAGATCTCCTTGTCCATCTAGTTAATTAACATTTCTCTTTTCCCACTGACTCAAACTTCTTCCAGTTAGTACACAGATGCATCAAATCCAATCAAATTATCTCAATTATTGATAGTAGAATTTACAAAAAAAAAAAAAAAAAGAAAAAACAATACATAAAGAAAGTTACTAAGAAAACTAAAAACACTTAATTAATCAGAAATAGAGATAGTAGAATTTAAAAAAAAAAAAAAAAAGAAAAAACAAACATAAAGAAAGTACTAAGAAAACTAAAAAATTAATTAATCAGAAAATAAAGTATTTTTTAACCGTTAGCCAATCACACGTGGAAACTAAAGATTATAAATTAGCATAGAATACTAACAACTATTAATATAATAGTAATATAAATAATGAATCATTAATAAAAAATTGTGATCATTAACTGCTCTCTATGTCCTTGTGAAAACTTGAGAAATAAATATATATTTAAAGAACACTGAGAATAATTAAAATTGTAAAGCAAAATATGAGTGGATAGTATTTCATTAAAGACAACATACCATACACCAATTAAAGTTTTTAACGAATTCAAAATCTATTAACTAATGAAATTAATTTGAAAATAAAAATACATAATTTAATTTAATTCCTTGAAAAGTAGCTCCTTGTCTATGCAATTACATACTTCCTGAGATGCAGATTTAGTTTTCACTGATATTAAAACACTTTTAAAGTATCAATCAAATTCTGGACTTGCTTTTATCATGGATGTAATTGACCGACTCTCCAAGAGATTGATATGTTACCATCCATACCACATATCCACTAGCAAATGATTCTTGGTTCATAAACTAATTGCAGCTATAATTAAAAATGATTCTTGATTCATACACTAATTGCAGCTACAATTAATCTGCTTGTATTCCTAGTTCGAACTCTAACCTGATGCATCAAGGTCACATTTAAGACTTTGCTTTGCAATTTCCTCTCAGAATTCTCATTGCTTCAATAAGCATGTTAATCCATGACGATCCACCAAAACCAGATTACGTTGTCCCCTCATCAACAAAATGGCATATTCTAGAATAACACATCAACAAAACGGCAGATTCTAGAATAACAAAAAACAATTATTGGCGCCTTATCTAAACATTGGAAATTTGAGTTCAACCTTAGTCTTCAGTTCCGCCATTCTATTCTTAGAAGTTGAATCTTCTCAGAATATTAAATTCCTTGCTCATAAGAGAAACTTCAAAAATTAAGCAGCCAAATGCATTGAATTGATTAAACTTTGCAATACCTACACAAAGGAGCCTATGATGTTTATATACATGCCCCACTGGTAATTTTCTTTCTCTAACTTTTGTTTTATAAATAATTTAAAGTCCAAAAATAAACAGTATTGTGTTGCAACTATTTAACATACAGAGATTAAAATTAATATGAGTGTACATAGCAAACCCAACAAGTAAAGCCATCATTCCAACAAATGTAAATAATGTTATAATGATTCTTGGAAGCTCAAGGGAACAACTTAGAGATAATCCCTTTCCTCATACATGGTATTGTGCAAAGCAACACAAATTTCTTGTGAAGGTTAATGAATCAAAGTCTTGAAGAGTTTTCTCCCTCTATTTGACTTGCTGCAGGGTCAGCAGATGAGGACAGGGTAACACTTGCCCTTCATGGTTAACAGATTTCTTGTGAAAGTTACTGAAATCAAAGTCATGAAGAGTTTTCTCCCTCTAGTTGGCTTGATGCATGCTTAACAGATTGAGATAGGCAACCACTTGCCCTTCAGTTTCAAAGAAATCTATCCTTTGACCCCTCAACCCACAAAAAAAAAAAAAAAAAAAAAAAAAAAAAAAAAAAAACTATCCTTTGCAACCTCAACCCACACAAAAAAAAAAAAAAAATAAAAAAAAATCAAGATGAAAAAAAAAAAAAAAAAAAAAAAAAAAAAAAAAAAAAATCCTCCTCCTTTCCTCTTAATGAAAGGAAGATTCAATTCATAAAAAAGACTCCCAAGGACAGCATCATGAGTTCGCAGGATCCTGCCCCCAACCCCCCAAAAATAAAATCTCTCTCTCTCTCTCGATAAAAGGAAGACTCAAGGACAGTATCATAAGCACACAGGAAGCATACACTTTTAGTACCTCCACAAGAGCAAAGAGGAAGAGAGGAGTTAAGCAAACAAAAAAGGCCATGCCCAATATTTACAACAGAAATATCACCCTTAAAAATTTAAGCTTATTTTCACTGGATTGAAAGTGTTTTCCTAGCCTATTTATTTGCAAAATAGCCGCTTGAATGACATTCCATATTGCTTTGCATTTAGCTCTACATCTCCCATCTCTATGTTATCTGCATAGAGTCAATTGATCCCAAGATTACATCTTACATGTATCACAAGAAAATTCTCACCCATTCTCAATGAATAAGTGTATGATTCAATAGTTTCTCTTCATCCCTGCAAGAAATATCAATCAATCTATATTCATTTTGTTTCCTCATCATATCAGCTTGTCAATTGTTAAAATATTTTTCCTCACAAAGCTTCCCAAGCCAAAAAATTATGCCCGTAAAAGGTTTCCAATCTAAAGGGACTCTTTCTAATGTTGCAAGAAGCATCACTTTAGCATGTCAATAAGTTCTAGTAAACCTCAGCTCCAGGAACGTATAATCTTCAACTCACAAAAACTTTCTGTGAAGCAAAATCATCTTGATATAGTTCGGATATTCCTGGTAAGGATTCCCTTTTTTCACGCCTCTTGTTAAGATTTACTAACAACATTCAATGGATTACAAGTTATATATTCACAAGTTTAATTAAACTCAAATAAAAATTTTCTGAAATATAAAAGAGTACTAAGTACTGGCCAGGTTCACAATCTGAGTTTTTCTTGCCCCACATTTATTCCACGATTAACATAACTATTATCACTTCAATAAACAGGGAAATTGTGAACCAAGCTCCCAATTTAATCAACTCAACAGAGTCTCGATCCCGAAGATGCGTGCGGTGAGCGTGAATTGAACACGCGACCTTCAGATCTTCAGTCTGACGCTCTCCCAACTGAGCTATCCCCGCAAATTATGCACCAACCGGGAATCGAACCCGGATTTTAAAGTAAGCTATCTAACAAGTTGGAACTGCGAGTAAGGTTCCCAAGTCCCCAAATGTAGTGTAACTAAGAACATACCATATGGCTTGGAAATCCAAATATGAAAATAGAGATCATCTATAAGCTCCTTACAAATTTGCTAGAATGAATTTTCACCCTTACCTTTGGTAGGCTATGTATTGATATTTATATGAGAATTACACAGAAGATAATTACAAAGGTACTTCAGATAATACAAAGATAATACAAAAATAACTAAGAGGAAACAGTCTAAATACATAATATCTATCACTCATGTCCTTCAAGCATTTTCTCAACAAAAGCCCATATCTTAATGCTTTGTTCAATAAGTTCGACCTTGTCTTCTGGTACTTCAATTACAAGACAGGACTGGCGAACTTAGAACCAAATGTCATCTAGAAGGAACAAGAGAACTATATAATTTTATGCACTCAAGGATCTTACACGTAAATGTTTCAACTGCACATTTTATAAGGACTCTACAAACACCTTATGTTATGTAATTTATAAATCCCGTGTAGCATTTAATTTTTTTTCTCTTCGCATTGCAGAGCAACATTCTTATGACACTGAAATCTTGATCCTAATATCATAGAAGGATGAAAGATATGTAAGACTTTTAGCATACCCTTCGTTAATTGGTCATCACATAAAGCCACAATTCGAATATATTACTCCACTACAATTACCCAAAAACATTACTTTTAATTTATCTAACAAAAATCAACATCTTCATAAGCTAAATTAATATCAAGATATGAACATATGATTCAATCAAAAAAATTACAATTAATTAAAGCATTACTAGAAATTCCAATAGTCCAGACAACGCAGGAATACAGTCTCCTCATTAGCTCACCTGATATAGTAAGTTGCCAGTACTGACGGCGACAAGGTGATGTGCAACAGAGAACTCCAGATCATAACTGAAAAAGTAGCATCATAAATAGACATATAGAGTTGACATGGGGCACAAATGTTACAAATTCTTAACTAAGAATAACAAAACCATGCAGTTCATACCAGCAACGCTGAGAACCTTCATCCACACAAGGGAACCAACATCTTGCACGCCTAATCTGGTTATCTGTATGCAGCACATTTTCATTAAATTGAATCCCTGTTTCTGCTTTCTCTACCCAATAGTTGATACGAACCAATTTCACATTCTGCATCCAACATCAGCCTACATGAGAAACCACAAAGGCGTAAACCTCATAATGAAAACTCATGCTCAATGAAGCATATCAACATTCTAAGTCAGGTAAAAGGATGACACATTACGGGAGAGTGAGCACATTGAAGTGGCAGCCTAGAAAAAGTTAAGCAAGCAAGGAATAGGCATATAATGACTTAGTGGGGAACAATGAGAAAGGATTTACTGATCTTAAATCTCATTTTGAAGAGTGGCTCTATACTCACTGATCTGTATTAAGACATAATTGTAAGCGAAGCAAGACAAAAATAAATAGATAATGGCTTACTTAATTTGAGTGGCTGGTCTGTTCACCTTCTAAATTCTAAGGATAAATGTGACTCAAATAGCCTTCATGCTCTGTAGAAAGATGAAATACTAGCATAGTCACATCTGCCCCTATAAGATTTAGTCGCCGTAGTTACAACTTACAATTTGTTACCCCATACAGGTTGCGGCCCTTTATCACATATTTCTCGCCAAAATTCCATAATGACTAGAATATGAAAGAGTACAACGAGATTTTTGACTAGCATATGAAAAGCTAGAGTAGAACCGAAATTTTAAAATAGAAAGAGTTAAATAAGATTAGCGACAGTAACCTGCTTAGCTTCACCATTCTCTGAGTTCGCTTGATCCTGTTGTTCAATGGGAGCCCTAAAGGCTGGCTTGCAACAGTTAATGAGTAAATTAGGAACCAGTTCTTTCTCGAGCGCCGAAACATAAGCAGAGCCTGCAGCATCAGCAGCTGAGCTAGGAGAAGACACCCAACTCCATCTCTTTTCGCATTCTACCCCATCTTGCTGGCGCGGATAGTATTCAAACTCCGTAAGCTCACCATCCACAAACACATTCTCGATACCTAAATTCTCCGCATGTAAACCCACAATTCCTATATCTGGGACAGCAATTTCCAACTCCGTATAACTGAAAACCCCCAAAAACCAAAAGACAAATGAATTTGAAGCTAAAATACCATAAATTCAACTCAAACACAAAAATTTACAGCCAATGGGCATAAATTAGCTCCAATTTTACAAATAAAAACAAAATAAAGAATAATAGCTAAACCTAGAAGAAAGCATGTATAGGAGAGGGAAAAAGACAGACCCATAAATTTGGCGCTTATCCATGTCGATAGAGAGGCAGAGCTTCTGATGACGGACTACAGCTCCGGAATTATCGGGCTTAGCGTCCTCATTCTTCGGCTTACGCGGCTTCGCCATGGCTGATCTCTCAATCTTTGAGTGTCTTAGCGCGCTCGAATGGCTGATGCGGCCTTTGATTTATAGGAGTCCTAGGGAGCTCCCTGTTTTTCGGTTACGACTGCACCCTAACTCTGTGTCACCTTATCTGAACCGTACACGTTGTGGACGTGGTTCTTTTGACGGTAGATTTAATGTCCTCTTGACTGGGCCGCTAATTGAATCTGGTGCCGTTTGATATTTTTATAATTGGTAACAATAAAATTACGTGGGTACCCTTCCAAAATTCCGTCAAATATAATTCTATAAAAACTTTTTATTAGCTTATAATTCGATTGGAATGGATTAAAATGACCATGTGATATGTTAAGTCAAAAAGATTTTTAATACTTTTTTGGAAAAAAAAGTTTTTGAACGGAAAATTTTGAAACCGTGTGATATGTTAATAAACATAGTAGAGAATAAGATAGACAACAATTCATCAGAGTTTGTTGTATGAAATTTTTGCTTTCATTTTGTTTCGTTTATAGTTATTTTCTCAGTAAATGCCTTAAATCTCTGTGACAATTTATCTCTAAAATGACCAACCTCTTCTCTTTTTTAATTATCTCTACTTCATAAGTATCATATTTATAAACCAATTCATTGTATCCATTTAAAATTTTACGACCCATGTCTGAATTCATTTAAACCAAGTGATCGTATCCGTTTAGAATGTTATTACCTGTATCCAATTTATTAAAATTTTACTCTTCATACTTGTCCAAAATCCGTTTAATTCTTTAAATAGGTATCCAAATTTTAATTTATCCAAATCAGACTTATTTAAAATACATATTTTTTACTAAAAAATGAGTAGGACACCTGCAAACACCATAACCAAATTTGTTTAATGTAGCAGTTAATTGGTAGTGGCTACCCTGAAACTTACACTCTTATCCTACTCGTACCCATTGCGGTAGCAATTTTATTATAAGTATCCATCTCAAACTCATTTATAACTACTTATATGCTCGCTTCCATCCCTAATCATTATAAACGACATTCTCTCATTTCATCTCCAATTTATGCTTTGCACCTAAATTTACACGGATACCTTAAAATGTTCAATGTATTAACATCGGACGCTAACGCCTCTCGGATACTCTCGAACATGTGTCAGAAACTAAAAATGTGTCATGTTATTTATTTTATTAATTTCAGACACTTTAAAGACATATTTGAAGCCACTTTTAATGACACATGTAAGTACGCTTTCAGGGATTAGTTTGATATTTTTCAATTTATTTAGATATACTATAAGTTGATAATGTTAACTAATTATATTGAAATAAAAAAAAATATTTTTTTATTTTATATTTATGATTGTTTATTTATTTAAATTATTAATAAATTTATTTATTTAGTATAACATTCTTAAATGTATTGGTGTTCTATTTTTTTAATCGTTATTATGTCTTGTGTCCATGGTGTCCTATTTTTTTAAACATTATCATGTCTTGTCTCCATGTCATGTCCTACATGTATCATGTGTCCGGTGCAATAGAGTTTGTACCTTTTGTCTAATGTGAACAACTTTAACTTTGTCTAATTTTGTATATTAGCATTCACATCTCTGCAATAAAACGTTTTGTGAACATATTGATGTTTTGGTGTCATTGTTCACTTTCATGTAGCATTGCAAGTCTCACAGTCATCTTATAGAACTTACCTTTCACTTTGTTTGATATTTTCTCATGGCATGGTACAAGTGTAGCACTCCTTAATTTCATAATTCTAGTTGATTTTTTATGGAAAATATATTAATTTCTGCGAACTCATTTTGGAACATAAATTGATTCCACTTAGGACCACTATACCATCAAATTTAACCTCATTTTTAACTTCTTTCTTAAACCAAAAATACAGTGCATGTGATTTTATAAATATGGTTTACTTAGTTGATATGATATGCATGGTATTAATAAATTGATAGTACCTCTGTACTTGGTATTAATACATCTATACTCTAAAACCAACTGCTAGCGGTAACCGGTGGACATGAGAGTTCGACCTTTCAATCGGTAATCATACATTTATAACAAAACAAAGCTTGTGAAGCTTGCAGCTTGAGCGTTTTCCGATGACATAACGGCGAAAGAGGATAATCAGCCTAAAACTGGAGTAGTGACAACAGAGGTATTGTCTTGGTGGCGCTTGATGCTCTCAAAAGGTTGGTACTTGGACTTGGAACTTCAATTTTTTTTTTTTTTTTTTTATTTTAAATGGGGCGCAAGGGATATCAGCCTAGAAACTGGGTAGTGACACAGAGGTATTGTCCTTGGTGGCGCCTTGATGCTCTCAAAAGGTTGGTATACTTGGACTTTTGGAACTTCAAGATTTTTTTTTTTTTTTTTTTTATTTTAAATTGCTGATTGCGCTTCTGGAGAAAATTAGAGTTGTGGGGGGTGGTGTTTGGTAGTCAGACAAGTTAGCAAACCTGGGTTTAAGGGTTTTGGGCTTTTTCAATTAAGAGCTTGTAATATTATAGTTTTTGGATTTCCTATTTTAATTTTTAGGGGGGGGGGGGGGTGTTTGGTAGTCAGAAGTAGCAACCTGGGTTTAAGGTTTGGCTGGTTAAATTAAGAGCGATAATATTATTTTGGATTTCTATTTAATTTTAGAATTAGATTTTCGATTTTATATGGGATATTGGTATTTTACTGTGAATTACTAGGATTTTGATATTCTGGTTTAGAATTGAGGTGGACGTGGTGTTACATTATCATACTGCATTCTACTGAATACTTTAATGGCAAAAACTCTTATTTCTTTTGTGGGGATGATCTTTAGAATGTGGTTATGGTTATCTTGAGTCTAAATCCAGGATTTATCTAAATGATTTTCTTATGTCCCATGTTTAAAATGATTGTTTCTATGTGATTGTGCAGTGCTCCCTTGGTATTGGGTTTCTCCAAGACTTGATTATATAATTTGTAGATGTTAGTTGTAATTTTTTGATGTGCCAAGTTCCAGACACAATGAGTTACGGAATAAGATTTAGCAAAATATTTGAAATTGCACGCGCAGAGCAACTCTGCAAACCCCTATGGTTTTTGGGGAAAGAAACTGGTCACACCTGGTCATAGGAAAGAGGTTGGAGTTTCATTTATTTATTCCATGAATTTATTTTCTTTGATGCTTTTCAGCTGTTATTTGGTTGAATGAATAATTTCTCTAGGCTCACTCAATTATCATTGAGGTAGATGGTTAGAAGTCTCTAACATAACATGTTGATAGTCATTTGAGGGATTACCAATTAATAGAACCAGAAACAATGGAAGTTCTTCAGTATTTGCAGTTATCGACTCAAGATTCTTCTTATTTCTGATGTGCCCCGACAGCATTTTATTTTTCGCTGTTCAGCCCCATGAATCATAGTCCCCATAGCTCATTACATTTGTCAATTCCAGTAAGCCAAACCAAACTGATCAAATTTTTTTTCCAACCAATTGGCCCAGTCACTTTGTCCGTATGCTGGCATTGCTCTTTGATAACTTATAAAAAGCTGAGGAGCAAAGATATATGTGCTGCCATTGCTCTCACTGCTCAAGGTTAACATACTGCAAAAGAAGGGAATGAAAGATAAAAGCTATACACGCAATCTTAAACTATGTTTAGTATGTTGTAATATAGTACAGTCAAATGCAATTTTTTAGTTTGATGTTTTTGAATTAAAAGTGCATTTGATTATGTTATGTTTCTTTACTGTGTTCCAAATACAGCCAACTGTTGTTTGGATTATGCCCAGGTTTGTTACTCTACAAACTCTTCATTTTGATTGCTTTTACTGTTTAATTTTTTCTAAGCGAACAGCCAGCTTCTGAATTTGTGAAAGAAGCCTAAATCAATTTGAATTCCAGAGTGATGATGTATCTCAATGAATTTTTTTATACCTAAAATTTGACATATTTCCTCATTTACAGATTAGGTATGATGCCTTGCATGCACTGTGATTGATTTCTCTAGAAGGCAAATAGTTTCATTGTGAGAATTCTTTTATTCCTAATCCATGTTTTGACGTTTTCATCTCTACTATTTAGTAAAAATTGTGAGTTTGAAGACAAAAGTATCGAACCTTTTTGATTTTTGACTTGCTAACTAATGCGAATGCATGTTCTCTTGTTGACATCTTCATTTTCAGTTTTCAGTCATTACTAGTGTTTATAATAAGAAATGTTGGATGATAAGAGTACTAACTTTTGTTGATCAATTTTACCTTGGTGAAAGTTTGCCTATAGCTGCAAACAAACACCGCGAAGCCACATTGTGCAGGGCCTGTGATTTATAAACCCAGGACTTGCAGGCCTTTCCTTTACTCCTTTTAACTATTTGTCCTGTTTGATTTCTTTAGTCCAAGGTTTGCCCCTCCCCCCAAATTTAACATTCTGGCTTCATCCCTGCGCCAGAATGGAACTCATTGTCCAATTGGATTTTTGTGGCAGTTGTTTAGGTACTTTTTCTTCAAGTCTTTATTCTTTCATTGGTTGGTGATCACCTCTGCTAAGATATTGTAATGAACATTTACAAGTTATTTTGTTATGTCCACTCATTTACTTCTAGTTCTAACCAGAACATATCATTCACCATACTTGAACTCATAATGCACACATTTTTTTTTGTTGACTTTTGGCTTGATAGGTGGTTGACTCTGGATGCATAGTTGGTATTTGAATCACTTTCTTTTCTCATAATGGCCAACTGCTCCTTTGACACCCCTTTCTACCATTAAATAATTAAAAGGGGTTACCCAAAATATTGGTTTTAGTGTTATATATATATATATATATATATTTCTTTGTATTAAAAGACTTGCATGATCAGGTGGTCAATAGTGGGCCATCTGAGCCGTCCCCGTGGTAGGTGGTGGAAACAGTGGTGATCCAACTTCTTGGTCTTCCAGACAAGAGCCTCTCATTTCGCAAAAGGCATTCAAAGTCCATTTCCACTTCCGAAAGATATGGAGTTAAAGCCGTTTGGTTTTGGAGACAGTAAATTTGTAATTAAGCACACACAATCAAAATGGAACTTTGTCCTATGAGCCAGAGAGAGAGAGAGAGAGAGAGAGGGTTGGCAATTCAAGTTTGAGATGGTGTTGATGAATTTGTTCAAGTTCTCTCGAAAAAATTGGTGACATTACAGTGATGTGTATTTCTAAATGAATTATTTTACGAAAGATCAATAGTTCAAAATTTAGAATCACTGGGTTTTTTTCTCTCGAAAAAATTAGATTTTCAATCAATACAATTTGAGACATACCATTAGCATGTGAAGTCTAATTCTCGATGCTACATTAGCACAATGATAATAATGATGAAGAAGAAGAAGAAGAAGAAGCTATTTGTGGTCGAATTTTGTGCGCACAAATTGTGGATGCTCCTATCATTAACAGTTGATTTGAAAAGCACTCCACTCGTATCCAGGCAGCAAGGGGCTAAGGGCTTCCATTCCTTGTTCTCTTCCATGCTTTTTATTTTTAAAATTTCAAGATTTTTTTTTTTAGCAAACACTTCTCTTGATGCAAAGGTCAACTCCATTATCCATTAGATGCTGTCAATTCCATATATATGCTTATTATTATTTTTATTTTAAAAAATAAAAATAAAAATAAGAATCATATTTGGATATATTGAGGAATGAGTTGTATTTGTTAATTTGGGATGTGAGTTTTGTCTGAATTGAATGGGAAGGGGATAGTGTGTTTTTAAAGGTAGACCAGACTGGTTCAACCCTGGAAAATCAAAATTGTGAAGTTTGGATTTGGATTGCCGTGTAGCGTGTGTTTGACTATTTCTTTCTTTTTATTTTTTTTGGCCTTTTCATACATATAAAAAAATTATTAATTAGTAAGGTACGTACAAAATATAAATTTTATAATCATTATATATATATATATAGAAAAAGTTATCACCCTACTGTGTAGTTCATGTATTTTTCCAATTCATTTGGTTTTCTATAAATAATTAACAAATAAAAAAATATCAAAATAAAATCATAAATACAAATTATTATGGTAATAATTACTACTTGAAAAATTGGGTAATACTCATGGTAATATAAGCATTGTTTGAATATAATATTTTGAAACTTCTAAAATAATAATTTTGATGGCATATTGCTAAAAATTATAGTTCTTTTTTTTTTTTTTACGATTAATCAAAATGAATTTTATTCTAATACATTCTTTTTTTTAATTTTTCACCACCTCATCTATAAACTTTTTCACTTACTCATAGCTTCAAAATTTTCACTTTTTCCCTCTTGTTGCAAAATTTTCCACTTTTTCCCTCTTGTTGTAACTATATATATATATATATTATATATTATATATATATATGTAAAATTAATTTAGATTGTAAAATTAATTTAGATAAGTCAATTATATAAAATTAATTTTGTTTCGGCATTCATGTCTGTCCTATTAAATTTTAATTTGTAAAATAATACTCTCAATGAATTACATTAATTCAATATTAGAGGATCTAACCCTCAAGATTATTTAAAAAGGAATTTAATCTACATGGTATATATAATATTAATTAATGTATAATACGAGGGAGGTTTGACAATCTAAGGTATTAATGGCAGATAGCTAAGTTCCTTGAACGGAAAGGAAGTGTCATTGGAAGAAGAATGCTCGACAATTCTGCTCCCTCTCCGCATCTACTCTCTCTCTCTCTCTCTCTCTCTTTCTGCCCTAATTAAAATTAAATAAACATATAAACTTCCCTTTTTGTATCTATTAAATTTGGAATTTTAGCATAAACCCAGCATAGATAAGTCTCCTGTAAGCAAACTCATCACTCTCATGGCAACTTTTCCTGCAACTCTCTTTAATCTTTCATCTCTCTAAATTAAAACCCATCTCTCTTTTTTCTCTCCCTCTCCATGCATTCTCTTTTCTTTATCATAATTTTCCTCTCTGATTTTTTCTCTTATGGCCATCAAAATCTTCTTTAGTTCCATTCTTTGGTTCTCCTTTTTTCTTTTATTCTTTGTTTATGGTAAAAGGTGCTTCTTCTTTTCGCTTCTTGATAATAATAATAATAATAATAATAATAATAATAATAATTATAGCAGTAGTAATCTTTCCATTTCTCATCAATCTTTGAGCAACAGAAAAATGTTAATGGCTACCAGTAAATTTAACTTCACTCCATTTATCAAAACATCAAACCACCGCCACCGCCACCACCGGCATCATCACCGTAGCCACCTGCCTCCGGTGCAACCTCAGCCGGCTGAAACTGAGATTGATCCACGTTATGGTGTTGAAAAGCGGCTTGTTCCTACCGGTCCAAATCCTTTGCACCATTAAACTGAGGTTTTTTTTTTTTATTTTTTATTTTGTTGCATACAACTCTTGTATTATTCATGTGCTAATCTGTAATCACTTATTTATTCTTCAAAGAAAAGAAAAGAAAAAAAAAAAAAAAAAAAAAAAAGAAGAAGAAAAATGTCTTTTAATGGGATCAATTAGTTGTATAATTCTATACTTGTCAATTAGATAATGAAAAATCTTAATGATCATATGCATTAATTCTTTTTTATTTAATAAAAGTGTATATTAAGTACTTATCTTTATTCTTTTTTTTTTTTTTTGAGAAATTTTTTATTTTTATGTTGGTATAAATTGCAAATTATGCATTCTTTTAGCTTAAAAGAATTTTTTTTTCCCGTTCCTATACACCATATCTGTGCTTGGATCAAGAGTAATATTCAAATAAAAGTGGCAATATGCTGTATATTAGAAAATGACATGCAAAATACTGAAATTGTTTATTTATTAATTTAATTATGATTTTTAGTCCTGTATATGATTCATTATAGTCACAGAATTACATGTTTGATCATGCAACTAAATAATTGTAATTTAATTATTATAATAATTATGATTTAGTTTAAGTATGAGAGAAGCATGCAATAGTAGCTGGAACGGCACGGCACGTCGTGGGAAACGAAATTTTAGCACCATATAATTACTTGTAGGGATTATTTAATATATAGTTTGAGATTAATTTAGATTTAATTACATAGCCTTTGGTAATAAATAATGCACCTAGCTAGCTACCTATATTACCTTAAAGGGTTGACTATTATTAGCTAGAGAATAGAGAGATCTGTAATGCGTAGATCATAAAAATAGACTTTAGTGTTATTTATCAATTATTCTAATGCTAAATTTATATTTTTTAGACTTGATTGATTCTAATGCTAAATTTATATTTTTTAGACTTGATTGATTTCTAATTATCTGTAGAGAGAAAAAACACTGGGCATCATACGGCAACATGACATCATCTTATCTCATCTCATATAGCCAATTGAATTTAAATTATTTTAGAGCTTTACTAGCAGAAATTGAAATCTGAAAAAAGCTACACTTTGATGCATGTAGTTCTTAATATTATTTCAACTACGAAGTTTCTTTAATCTAGGACCCACCTGGCTTTAATAAATTTTAAAAAAAATATAATAATAGTACTAATAAAATAAAAGGAAGGGGGCATAGGATCCTCTAATAGGGCTATATTTTGACAGGAAACAAGGAATTTTTTTCCTATGGTCAAAACCCAAGGGTGTGTTTGTTGCACTAGTGCCCTTATTTTTCTTTACATGGTGTTGTTAAGCTTAAAGATGTTCAAAATTTTCAATGAAGGGTGGGTATTAGTTCAGATAAGGTTAAAAAGTCTAAAACCAACTTCTTTTGTGTGTTTAGACTTTTTTTTATTATTATTTTATTTTATTGGTTTCAGCCAATCCAGAAGCATCATGTGCTCAATGCTCATTGGGTTTTGTGGGCTACTTTAACCAGCAAAATTTCAATTTTTTTTATTTTTTTATTTGGGATTTACTAATTTGAAATCATTCAAGTTCTGTGAGTCTGTGAGTGAAACTGTTGCATAGTTTATTATTGGTTTGACTTTCAACATGGTTAGTGGCAACAACACTTGATGGTGGAGGATTCTCTTCCTTTTGGTCATGATGAATGGGAGATTATGAGAAATTTTATGATTATGAGAAATTTTATTTATGGAGAAAGAGAGAACATGTGATAACCCTAATTTCAGTTCAAATTGAACTGAAATTGAAATTGTTAGTTCTCATTCAATTTTCTACTTTAAGAAATCGGAACCATATTTATTGAAAATTGACATATTTTCAATCCGTGTTTAACATTAAATCTTTTTATATTGACTTACACGTGAATTCAAAGTCTTGATTTTAATTTCTAAGATTACGATCTAATCTAAATTTGACCACTTATGTTATCCTTTGCAATATGGGATATTATTACAAGTTAAAGAGGCTGTCTTTTTCAATGAAATATAAGATTCTAAATAGATAAATAACACTTTAAGCGGTTGAGATGAGCTTAAAGCAATAAATTTCTCATAATAACATTGGATTTAGTAGCTACAAGTATCCATCACATAGTCAAAAAGTCATATTTAAACACCAACAGTTTTCTTTATTCAAAAATTCAAAAAAATTTCAATTCATTGCTCTTTTCATAAGAATTACGAAAATAATTAGAACTCATTAGTTTTCTAAAAATATGTAATAAAATGTTTGAATTGTCATTACTAAAAGTAAATATAAAAATAAATGACATCTAGTAAAAATGAGTAATTGAAAAAAAATAATTAAAATAGTTTCAAAATCTTGAATGAGAACTTAAAGTGAAACTAAATAAAATATTTATTAAAATGGAACAGAAGGAGTATATGCTATTGAAAGGGACATAAAATAAGAATAATGAAATCAAATGTATCTATTCTACTTCGTCTAATAACCCTGGTTATGAAAAAAGAAAAACTAGCATTAAACAAATGGAGTACTAGTTGAAGATATTCAGAGAATAGAGAGCTACATGATTAGATCTGAGTGGGAAAGCTTGCCATGCATGATGGTGCGCTTTCACAGGACTCATGCAGTTGCATTTAGAACCCAACCAACCAACTTGCGAGAGACTAAGAGCTAATAATAAATACTTGCAGGAAACGATTCTTCAGCATTAATTAATAAACTAGAATTATTTAAAAAAAAAAAAAAAAACAAATGAAAAGAAAAGAAGTAGAATCATCCGCATCATGTCACTCTTGAGAAAAATTACCAAAAACCCTCTACCATAATATACCAATTTAAAGGCAATTAAAGTTTAAAACTTATAAATATGATACACATAAAATTAAAAAGTGTAAAATGATTAAAGAAATCATCAAAGATTAACATAATTAACTTCAAAATAATGACAATAGAAGTAAACACATTATATATCAAATCCAGGAGGAGGTGCACTATGTGCAGTGATGGGGCATACAATGAGTTCAGTGTACTCAAAGAGAGAGAGAGAGAGAGAGAGAGATGTAAGAAAAGAAACTTCAATTAGTTGCCTGTACAAGAAAATGGATTGCAAATTGATGGCTGGTTGGCTACAGCTACAAAGATCTGGCTCCTTCTAATTAAGAATGATACAGGCAAGTGCACAATCATTTTGAAGACTCTCTACAATTTACCAGGCAAATAATAAAATAACAGTTGACTCAAAATTATTTTGTTTCAAGGTAGATGAGGGCAGGGGGCCAAAGCAGGCAAAATGGTATGGAGAAAATATAAATATGACCAGCACAATGGCAATTCAAGGCTTCCATAACTTCATTGTTGAGTCTTCACTGTATGTAGCAACAAGATTCCGATGGGGATGATGAGTTACGCCAATTACATCCTTCTCATGAACCTGCCATTAATAAGAAGTCGAAATACAAACATATGCAGTCATGAGATCATTGTACAAACGGATGAAATTAACAGTCTGTTTGGCATTGTGGACACCAACTTGCAACTTTGCACAACACGTTTATGCAAAAAATCTAAAGCTAGCACAAGTTTTCAAATACAAACAAAATCTGAATGCTTGCAGATTGCAAACACACAGGGTTCCTTTGATTAGATATTTTCAATTTAGCCTTTATTCATGAACCTAAGTATTTGAATCCCTCATTTAACAACATTCCATCCAAACATTGTATGATTCATTTTCATGGAATGCAGACCAATTGTCAGTTACCCTGACGGTGAATGAACGTGACAAAGCAACAAGAAGGCCTATTGAACCACATTAACCTCCACAAATTTTACTTACCTTCATTAGATGCTCCAGTTTACCAGACTGCTGGCTGAAGCAGTACATATTCCTGCATACGATTTTCAGAAGATATCAGTAACATAATCAAAAGCAGTACCAAGTGCCAACGGCTGCCAAATACAAAAAGATTGATACTGTAGAAAATTATTAAAATAAATTTGTTGCAGATTTCAACAATGATGGTCAGTGCAAATTGAATCATCAAAGTAACATAGCAGGTATACGATCTTCAGTGTAGCAGTAAAGTTCAACGTCAGAAAGCCATCCAAGGATATAGAGAACAGTGGACACCAACAGTCACAGTTGACAGGTTTGATCTTAAGAGCATCACAATTTCCATGCAACATGAATTTACCTAAAAATCTATACTCAAAAACCCATAGACCTATCCATGCACCTATACTTGCATGGCCTGTGAAAAGATAGGCTTAAGCAAGAGCTTTTTTCCCCAGTTTCAACTGACTCCTGCCTTCAAAGTGGCTTGTGCTTGTTTTTACATTTACTTCGTAGTTTACAGTAAAAATAGTAGCTAATCAAATTGCAGCCACATTATAGCTTATTGGATATGCTAGCAAATAACCAAATATAACAAGCATTGATAGTTACAGATGTCAGCGTGCAGACCGGCTTGTTTACCTAAAGCCTCAATCACAATATATCTAAGTTGCTTCTACATTACAGATTCAAGAACAATTGAACTTTGACTTCTTTCTACCAATCACTCACAAAACCTTGGAAATCTTAATGCCATAATGTCTTTGAAATCCTCCTAGCCATTGTCCTGCTGCAATAATTCTTGCTAAGAAGAATGCCCATGTTGTGGCAATTCCACCCAGAAGGTAATGTTTTACTCCGAGAGAACGTCACTGTTTAATGCTCAACGCTCTAGGCTGAGTAGCATGAGCAACTTTTAATTTATTATGAGCCCGAATGATTGATTCTGTAAGTTCTGCCAATAACCACGACTACTGAATAGAAATATTAAACTAAAAGCCCATAAAAAATGAGCACCTAGGAAAAAAAGGCCACTGTTTTCTTCGCCAAAAGCAGGAAAAATGAAAAAGAAAAAAAATGCATAGCAAACATAAATAACATGCTTAGCAGCATATAATATTTTGGACCTCCATATAAATGTTATTAGAACACAAGATAAATCTTTATACAAGTCAAACAAAATTAAGAGCAAATATAAATCAAAGTGATAGAGGTGAAAATTCATATTTCATACCAAAAATGTAGAAACTTAACAGTGAAAATACCAAACTAAAGCAGTACCTGTCTTCACCAACACAGTATATCCATTCACCTTTTGGTGATACACATGCCGCAGCAAAATCTCCACCTTCTCTTTTACCAGATGAAAAACTCTTCACGACCTGTGTTATAATGGTTCAAAAAGTAAATATCAAATAATAATATTCCCCTCTAGCATTAAAAGGATTTCCTTCAATTTATGGAAACTCAAGTGAAGTTGCTGATTTGTGTTTGTACTTTGCAGTGTCCCATGTTCATTAAAATTATTCAATATTTCAATGCAATAAAAAAAGGAAACCAAACTAAAAAATATATCACATCCTTAGTGGTGCATATCACGCCAATGTTTTCTTTTTCTAATTTCTGATAAATCATAAACATTTTAACGGGAAGGGGATTTCAGGGTTTGATCCCTTGATCTCTTGCACTGCAAGGCAAGCGGTCAACCATAGCTCTACGACTACTAGTCCATGACCAATATGGCAATATCTATATTCCTTTAAAAATTTTAACTAAACAACTTTAAGCGCCCATGCTTTTGGGTGTTGAGAAAATATCCAATAGACTAAAGGCATGTATATACCTTAATAGTGCAAGAAGAAAAGTATTTCATTAATGATTTGGAATTTCAGTGTAGATTAATATTCAAGTCATCTGATCACAATGAGACATCTTAAAACATAGAAACTAGCAACGACCACAAAAAAATATAAATAAAGAAATAAATGAGAAAAAAATTCCAGATGTGAGCAGCCATGAAGTAGCAAGACAGCAGCAGCAGTGAGTTATGACATGTTACTATTCCAAGAGCCCAAACATACAGCAAATATAATAGGCATCACTTTTATCTTATTTTATTTTCTGGGTAAAGAAAACTATAAAAAAGCACTGACGGTGCTATCCATGGTGGAACATGATGTTATTGCATTAGTTCGAGTTGAGAAGCTACCTGTCCTTGAAGTGTCATGATGCAAATCGAGGATGTCTTATTACAGACAATAATGTGATCTGTGTTTTTAGGGAAAAGATGAACAGAGTTCACAGAAGCATCACCCCCCTACAGTTCAAATAGCAACAATTAGATATATGGAAAAATGGAAAGAAAAACAATATAATATTACAAATAAATGTTTCATTCTAAACCAATACATAATACAAGATAATGCAGCTAAATTACTCAATCCCATTAGAGTGCAAATTGAAATGAGGGAAAATACCCTTAATGGAGGTGGTGGCCTAAATGTATGTATACACTCTGTACTCTTCACATCCCAAACCTACTAAAAGGCAACAAAAAATCTGTTATGCAAATAGGGGAAGATAAAAGATAGATGCCTTGGGCCCAACACTTAAAAAATCTAACTGTGGAACTTACCTTGACTGTGCAATCACTGGATGCAGTGATAACACGAGTTCCATCACTTGTAAAGATGGCATCATTCACATAAGAGGTATGGCCGCGGAATTCTTTTAACAACTTCCCGGATTTTAGGCCATGTATTCTACATCAAACACAATGAATGGTTATTCCTAAAATGGTAGCCAAGGGAAGAAAAGAAATTGCTGTATGAATATGGAAATGAACAAAATCACAAATGTCTTACATTATGTGATATCTAGATATATGCCAATCTATGGTAATCAACATAGTCAAATATGAATAATAACTAATAAGCTATAATGTGCCACAGGGAAGAACATGCAACAAGAAACAGTCATTAACCAACCTGGCTGTGTTGTCAAAGGATGTACTTAGCAGCTGGCTTCCATCACGAGAGAAGGTAACACTAGTGACTCCTTGAGAATGAGCACGCTCAAGACGGCGCAAGCACTGACCAGTCCTTATCCGCCAGACCTATATTATCACACAAACTTTTAGCCACATTTCAATATTGAAATTCCAAGTTTTACATATTTTTGTCAGATTTTACCTTCGATTATGCATAATCTAAATCTAAACACTATAACTAAACTTACTTTGATCTTCCCATCTTGGGAACCAGAGGCAATCATCTCAGAATCTCGGCTAAAATCAACACATAGGACAGGATCATCATGCATCATAAAAGTTTCCTGAAATGGTTAACCATTCATCAGAAATGCACAAGATAGCCTAATCTACTGCAAAGCCAGCATATTAGAGATACATTTACAATGCTAAAAAAACAAATAAATCAAATAAGGCATGCATTTGTGACAAAATAACTTCATTCTTGACAGGGAGTTTTAATAGCAGCAGAAAGAAAAAAGAAAATTATTAGTCCTAATTTTTAGTGGTTTTACTGGTGGAAAGACAATTTCAATTATCATCAAATTACACGAGGTTTTTTTTATCTAGTTAATTAGGATTTAGGGCCAGCGAAAATTTAGTTAAGAATTTTTAGGTAAGCGGTTAAGAAGTACATTAGAAATATCTAGAGAGACTCATGGTGCCAGGCTACACAAAGCTATCATTAGTCGTTGTAATAATTTTGCTTGGAAGATTAGTTCTAAAAGGAATGGCAAGGGGTTCTATACTTCTACCTAGGGGATGCTAATGGACCTAGGCTTACTTCCCAAATTCATATCAGGTGGCACTAGATAAATATGCAATAATGGATGATATTTGGTCAGACAACGTTGGAGACAGCTTGTAAAATCAACCTATATCAAGAAAAAACAAATAAGGACTTTCTTGTTAATTCTAGAAAATAATAATTTAAGCCGTAAAAACAATACTAGAACGAAAAGAAATCAAAGTGTGACTTACATCAGCCTGGTACTGAAGATCTTTCTTCAGCTTTCCAGTTAGGTAATCCCAGACCTTGTAATGACCAAGAACTCAAAAATCAATAGAGATTCATTCATCAATGTTTAGCTGTTGGAAGAAACTTCCCCAGAAGATACCTCAATAAACCCATCAACAGAGCACGAAACAAGGAACTGCCCATCTGGTGAGAACCGAGCACATTCAGCGTGACTTTTTGTTCCAAACTGCAGCAGATAAATTCAGGCATAATATGAGGAGCTTATGATTTAGGGTCCAACCAAATATAATAATATACACAGGCAATGCATGCAAACCAAATAAAGCTAATAAGACATAACAAGATATTAAATGGAATTGCCTGTTCAATCAGGAAATATCTAATTACTCTACCATCGTTCTTATAATTCACAATTTCCACATATGTTTCAAACAGTTCATATTTTTCTGAATATTGTAGAAGCTCTGCTCAAAAGTCAATTGTGATCTGGGTCAACATTGCAGAACTGAAAGATATAGCTTTGGCAAAAGATAAATTACATCCTTTCTCAATTTGCTATCCAAATGGAGATTTCTTCAGGCGGAAATGACTATTAGGGGCAAAGTCAATACTATGGTGACCGAGAATAGATGAGCTTATCCAAGAACTAATTGACATAATTTGCTTTAATTAAAGATGGTAAAGTTTGGCTCAAATCAAAATAAACTCATATGGCAGCCAGAAGTGACCCTCAATTTTCTATTAATTCAATATGCCACATCGAAATTCATAGCAATAGTTGGATAGTGCTGCTTAGGATTTACTGTGACCGTTAGGGCTGTTAGTGGATTGGTTAAAGCAAACCTAAGTGGCTGTTTAAAAGAATTGAAACCAAACCAAACCTTACCTTTAGTGACAGTTTGGTTCGGTTTGAAAAAAGCGAAATTAAACTTCCTCATTCATCTAGTTAAGAAGGAAAGAAAAATGATCAATACTATGTTAAACATGAAAAATGGATTAATACAAATGATGACATAAAACACAATTTTAAATAGATGTTCCAAAATTTTTGTACTTAATAAGATGTTAACTTAGCAATTTATTAATATAGAATTTACATATTTATTTATTTCTATACTTATTACTAAAAAATCATAAAAAACTATAATTTCACCCATGTATAAGTTGCATATAATGTCTAATAATATATTTTTTTATGAATTTTTAACATTTGAACTTTTCACAAACTAATTATATAATTTACCTAACTAATATCAAATTATGGTATAATTACTACCCAATATAAACTAAGCAATGCAAAGAAAATTTCATTCAAAAATTGGATTGAATTATTTATCATTTAAAAGTTCAAACTTACACGCACACACACGCATATATAGAGCGGTTTGGTTCGGTTTGGGTGGTTGTGACCCCAAAATTGTAAAACTAACTAGAAGCTCAGTTTTAAATTTTAGAAATAAAAACAAATCACCAATATTTAAAACCGTGGTTTTGGATCGTTTAGATTGGTTTGAATTTGAATAGGTTTCAGCAGTTTTATAAATACCCCTAGTAACAGTCTTGGATAAACCAATCACCGGAGAGAGGGTTTAGAAAAGTTGCAGAGGTTCTGTACATCAATGGGTCATTATAATTTTCATTTTTTCTTTAGATAGCTGTGGAAAACCATACCAAGCAGCACCCGTAACCATAAAAACAATGGAATAAGTAGTCTGCAGCATCACTGCACACAATTCGTCAACACAGGTGAAAGAGTTTAAAATGGATGGTAACATAGGCAACAGATATACACAAACCTTAATAGTGTGTGCAAGGGTTGTTGGATACATGTCCTCCACATCCTGTTTCATAGCAGCTGTTCCTCGGAATAAATCGAATTGTGTTCCCGGTGGGAGCAACCCTGAAGGGGCAAAATACACATGATTCATCATCTAGTTCTGAAGTAAAGATAAATGGCACGAGAGTAATTCATCCCCAAACACCTGGCAGGTAGAGGTAGCAGCCATATTTTTGAAGATCATAGAAACATAAATAAGGATAAAAATATGCTAAAAATCATTATGATACAGGAAAGAGCATAAGAAATGTGAATTGGTAAACAAGTTTAATTGCAAACTATAATCATCTACCCAGCAAATGGAAAAAAAAATTGTAGCATATATTTTTCAATCGGATTTGATATAAAGTTTCACATCACAATAGAATATGGATATAAGCGGGTCCAAAAGCTCACCTTGGTGTTGCTGCCATTTTAAAGCCTGACCAATTAGAGCCATTAATCGAGAAGGCGGAACAACACTAACTTCCGTGGCAAGAGCTGAATTCATAAAAGGTTTCAAAAAAATCTCATTAGGTTAAAAAAACTGAAATACAAGCATAAGGACTAAGGAGAGATGGATTTAAAGTACTATAATTGCAAAGTTGATGTTTCAGAGAATTAAAAAATAAAGAGAAAATGGTTCTAGTTTCATGCTACTGTCCTATACCTGTAAGCAAATCTATATTTATAATATTATCAAAGTACAAATATACCCCTATAAAGTCGGATCTAACATAACACAATTAATTCCTAAACTTAGGTTATATACAGCTATCGACACTCTCTCACGATGGTGTATGCATATCTCTCATACACCATCTTGCATACAAAAGAATGGAAAATTTTGCTACACAAACCCTTATTGATTTTCTGAATTTACCTAGTCAAAACTCAGAAACTGATCATTTAATTTTTCTTTAAGAAAAGTTCAATCAGTCTCAATGTGCTTCGTGCAATCTGTTGAACTGGATTGTGAGCAATACTAATGGCAGCCTTGTTACCACAATACAGGAACAATGTCTTCACCTCGAACAGATGTAATTTTTTCATCTGTTTTTTAAGCCATAAGAGTTTACAACCACCTTGTGCCATTGCTCTATAATCAGCTTCTGCACTTGACCTTGCAACCACACTCTGTTTTTCACTTCTCCAAGGAACCAGATATGCACAAAATGAACAATATCCTGAGGTAGAATGCCTATCCTCAGGAGATCCAGCCCAATAAGCACTTGTATATGCTTTTACCTTCAAATGAAGATTGTTGGGAAAAAAGTAAGCCCTTCCCTGGCAGACTTTAAGCATCAAAGAATCAAAATTACAACACCTAGATGAACAGTTCAAGTACTATGCATAAATTGGTCAACCACATTTAAAGCATAAGTATCAAGACGAATGTATGAGAGATAAATTAGCCTCTGAACCAGCCTTTGGTACTGACCCATATCAATTGCTTCTCCAATATTTCCTTTCGGTTTGTGATTTGCCTCAGTAGGAGAATCAGCAGGTTTACAGCCCAACACACCTGTCTCTTCAAGTAAATCAAGGATGTATTTTCTTTGGGATATGACAATATCTTTATCCAATCTAGCAACCTCTACTCCAAGGAACTACTGAAGTTTTCCCTAGTCCTTAATTTCAAATTCAGTTGCAAGATACTTCGTTAATCTAAACTGCTCTTCTTGATTGTCTCCTGTCACAACTATATCATCAGCATATGCAATGAGAATAGTGATCTTACCATAATGACGTTTGATGAATAGTTTGACCTGCATTGCTTTGGTGATAACCGAAAGTTTTCATAGCTTTACTAAACCTGTTGAACCAAGCTCTAGGTGACCGCATTAAGCCATATAAAGCTTTCTTCAAACAACAAACCTTCGCTTTAGTTTGCTAACAAGCAAACCCTGATGAAATTTCCGTATAGACTACTACTTCTAACTCACCATGTAGGGAGGCATTTTTTACATTAAACTGCTGCAAACCAACCAAGATTTGCAGCACAAGAAAAGATAATTCTAGTAGAATTCATCTTTGCAATCAGTGGAAAAGTTTCTTGGTAAACTATCCCATAAGTCTGAGTAAAACCCTTCGCTACCAATCGAGCTTTAAATCTCTTAATAAAGCCATCTGCATTGTGTTTAATATTGAACACCCATTTACACTCTACCAGGTTCTTATCCGAAGGAAGATTAATAAGCTCCCAAGTACCTTTTTTGGATAAGGCTGTCATCTCTTCAACCACAGGTTCTTTCCATTAGATCATTAAATTGCTTCCTCCGATCCATATGGAACAGAATAAGAATAAGGACAACTAAAAAGCTCCATAGGAAGGAGATAGAGATTCGTATGAAAAGGAAAAATTAGAGATAGGATATTGGAGACATGACCAAATTCCTTTGCCAATAACAAGTGGAAGTTCAAGATCACTATCAAGGGAATCAAGAATAGGGATCTGAGTAGTAGTAGGAGATTTGCTACTTGATTCTACAGGGTTAAGTCTGGGATTGGCGCTTGACTAGGTAGAGTATTATCGACAGTATATCTATTTTTTTTTTTTTTTTTTTTATTATCATAAATTTACAAAATCTACCGCTGTTTAGTATTGTAACAGTGTTCAAGTACTATGCATGTAAATTGGTCAACACACTATTTGATAAATGCGATAAGTTATCTGATATGACGAATTGTTATGGAGGAGAGTATAATATAGTGCCTCTGTAACCAGCGCGCCTTTCTGGGTACTTGATCTCCGCAAGTGATTCGAAATTGCTTCTCCAAATATTCCTTTCGGTTGTGTTGAAATGTTGCCTCAGTTTAGGAGAATTACGAGTTCAGGTTTAGCAGCCTTCAAACACATCCGTGGCGTTCTTAGTATTTCAAGGATGATCGTTTTATCTTTTTTGGGATATTGAAACATATCTTTACCAATCTAAGCTAACGCGCGACTGCCAGGCACTTGATAGTGTTAGTCCCTTTATGTCCTTAATTTTCACCAATTGTCTAGTCTGTCAAGATTACTTCGTTAATTTTCTAAACTGTCTTCTTTCTCTTTATGTGCTCCTGTTCACAACTTATCATCAGCATATTGCAATGAGGATATTAGATTTTATCCTATAATGACGGTTTGATGTAGAGAGTGTTGGACCCTGCATGTAGCTTGTTGGGTGATAACGGATTTAGAGTTTTGCATATGTGACTAAATCCTGTTTGCAACCTAAGCCTCTAGTGTGTTTACCGGGGGCGGATTTAAGCTCCATAGTAAGCTTTTTCTTCAAAACAGACAAATCCTGTGCGGCTTTAGTGTGCATAATCAAGCAAGAATCCTGATTAGAGATTTTTCCTGTATATGAAGCCACTAACTTCTAGCTCATCGCATGTAGGGAGGCATTTGTTTTACATTAATCTCTTGCTGGGCAGAACCGACCAAGATTTGCAGCGGAGGCAGAAAAGGGGATAATTCTAGATTAAGAAATTCATTCGTTTTGCAAGTCAGTTGGGTGAAGTGGTCGGTTGGGTAATGACTAGCTCGCGATAAGTCTGAGATAAGAACCGGCGTTTCGCTACCCGGTGGAATCGCGGAGTTTTAAATGATGATTTCTTTTACATGAGAAGCCATCTGCAGGTTTGGTTGTTTTCATATTAGTTGAACAGCGCCGGTTACACTCTAGCCGGAGGCTTCTTTATTCCGGAAGGATTAGGAGTTAATAAGCTCCCTAGAGTACGCTTTTGTGAGGTAATAGGCTGTGCAGTCTTTCTTTCAACCACTAGTTTCTTTCATTTAGATCTCTTTAAATTTTGGCTTCCTTCCGGGAGTCCGGAGTGATTGGAGATAGCAGAATAGAGAATAAGTAGCGACTAAAAGCTTCGCAATGGAGGGAGAGGTGTAGATAGAGAATTCCGTATTGATAAGGAATAAATAGAGATAGGAATAATTTTGGATGACTATTGACCATTGTATAATTTCCTTGGGGTTGCCTATATGAACAATGTTGGAAAGTTCAGTCAATGATCACTATCAATGGGAATCTAGGGAGAGAGGGGATTTCTGCAGCTAGTAGTTAGGATGATTTTGCCTACTGTTGATTCTACAGGGGTCGTACTTAGTTCTGCAGTGAGATGGCGCTCTTGGTCTATGGTAGATGATGTGAGTTGATCGAGTCAAGGTGATTGATCGCGCTATGTTTTTGGTTGCCTTTTTTTCGTTTTGTTAAGTGAGCCATCCGTTGCACTTCTTTACAAATCTAGCTTGTCGCAATCTGCCTAATCTCTGCACGGAAGTTCACGGGTCGCTCGACGTCCGTGATTCTCTATAATATCGGTCCTAGCATCTGCCCTGCGATTATCGCGCACGTTTTGGACTATTCTAGACATTAACAATAACATCTCTGCCTATTGACTCATTCTCTGGGATTACCCGCGAGACGTTCTAAGAGTCACTCTTTCTTCGCACACGAACTCTTGCTCGCCCGTATAGAGTGACAATTGCGAGAGAGAAATATCACTCTCTTCTCCTAAATATGTAACAATTACGGTCATACTAAGTAAGAAATGTTTCTTACGTGGAGGTGACAAGAGAAATGGGAGAGGTGAAGCGTCTCTGTGAATATATTTGGTCTTATGAGGACTTGTATAATTTAAGAGTCCTTAGGGGCTAGGTTCAATTGAGTGCAGGGTGTCTATCACTTGAGAGTAACTACGGCTCTTCTGGCGCACAGTACAAGTGTCTTTGTGGGAACTATTCATGAGATTGAATTGAAATGATAAAGGCAATCTCTCTAACAATGTCTATTCGTTATTTTTTTTTTTTTTTTTGTAAGGACACCTTCACCCTTCACAAATCTAGCTTGTCCAATCTGCCTAATCTCTTCACATTCACGTCCTCACTCTGATTCTCAATATCTCCTGCATCTCCCTCAATTAATCGCTTCACGTTTGGCTCTAAAATACAATAAATCTCTGCTTTGACTTCATTCTCCCCCTAACCAAGAGTCACCTCTTGCACACAACTCTTCTCCCCTTAAAGAGGTGACAATTCGAGAAGAAAATATCACTCTCTCCCTAAAAGTAACATCCATACTAATAAGAAATTTTCTAGTGGAGGGACAAGAGATGAATTAGTACCTTGAATAATTTCTAGAGGACTTGAAATTTAGAGTCCTTAGGGGCATTCAATTGATTAGGTACACTGAGAGTACTACGTCCCCCACAGTAAGCTTTGGGAACATTCATAATGAACTTGAGAGATAAGGCAACCTCTAACAATGTCTATTCCTCCTCTCAGAGACACCATTGTCGGCAGCACTTTTGACATAACTAGTTTGATGTACAATCCTATGACTATCTAAATACTTTTGAAAGGCACTCTCCATATATTCTATACCATTATCAATTCATAACACTTTTCTTCAACATTGAATTGCAAGCTAATAATTTTATGGAAGGACTAAAAACAAGAAAATACTTCATTTTTTGCACACATCAAATATACTCAAACTACAACAATTAATAAATGTAGCAAACCAACCATAACAGATAAAGGAACCATAGGACTAGGACCCCACACATCCAAGTAAAATAATTACAGAAGGAACAAAACTATTATTGGTAGGAGGATAACATGTTTGGCAAATCCACAAGCATCACAAACCAAATACTCCTTATTACATTGTCTAAATAACTTTGAATATACTTTTGCTAAAATGAAGAAAGAAGGATGTCCTAATCTCATGTGTCGTTGACTTATTTGTTGATAGGCAGACTTCGAATCACTTAACATAGCTCGAGCCTTAGATAAAGATGAAAACCTACTTCCAGTAAATATAAGCCACCTCGTACTCTACCATAGCCAATCATTTTCCCTGAGTTAAACTCCTGAAGAACAAAATAAGAATAGGATTTAATTTTACAATTCAAATCTCTAGTAATAGCACTAATTGATAATAGATTATGAGGAAAACTAGGAATATGACAAGTGGTGAAGTAATGGTAGAAGTACAATTATAGAACTTTTCCCAATGATGGAAGATAGAAGACCCGTCAATTGTACGGATTTTATCTTGACCTAAGCAAGGAAACTAGCTTAGAAAATTTCATGTCATCCGTGATAAGTTCAAATGCTCTAGAATCTATAATCTAAGAGTTACAATTGACAATAGGAAGAGCAGTAATTGCTAAATGTTCTATACCTAAATGTGCAAAATTGGAAGAGGAAGTAGAGGAAGAAGCCATGGTTGATGAAGCATCTAGTCAAGCCATTAGGTGCCTGAAGGTTTGTATGTCTTCTTTGGATAATCCACCAGTCGGTTTTTCCTTCAAATTGAGTGGTCTCCTTAGCTTCAAACATATAGGCTTGTGATCTAAGGGCACCCGTTCTTTTACCACCTTGCCTTCTCGTTGGCCTACCATGGAGTTTCCAACAAGTGTCCTTAGTGTGTCTCGTTTTTCCACAACATTCACATTTTAGGTTGTCTTTTTGGATGAACCTTGATCCATTTCCCGAGTCCATTCTCCTTTTTTAATTCTACGGGATAAGTCTTCCACCTTTGAAGACCTGTCTATAGGAGTGATATGCAACATAACATTGCGTCGACTCTCTTCTTGTTGTGCATAGTCGTAAGTCTGCATTAAGGAGGGGAATGGATCTCTCCCAAGAACCTGAATTCGAATTTGATCATATTCAACATTTAAACCAGCCAAAAAATCATACACCCTTTCTTTTTCAAAAAATTTTTGAAATTTGATTGTATCAGTTGTACATGATGCTTGAACGTCTAGGTAATAATCAAGCTCCTGCCATAACCCACTAAGTTCAGAGAAATATTGTGCTATTGTCAATTCCCCTTGCTTTATTTCATGAACCTTCTTCCTCAACTTATACACATGAGCATAATTGCCCAAATGGGAATAAGTTTGAGCAATAGCATTCCAAATCTCTTGAGCAGTATTGAGAAGGAGATAGCCATGGGCAATTTGTGGTTGCATTGAATTAATTAACCAAGACATGACAAGAGAGTTCTCCGATTCTCATTGGCTAAAGGATGAATCGTAGATTTTTGGTTTCTCTTTGTATCCAGTAATATAACCTTGCAATCTTCGGGCCTTAATAAACAACAAGCAAGAACGCGACCAAGCAAGGTAATTTGTCCCATCCAACTTAATAGGACTGATTTGGAGAGAAGGATCATCATTGTATGTCCCAATCACCCTGTTATCGCCATGTTCATCAGACGCGATGGGCTTCTCTCTGTCAAACATGTCCAAGGAAACAAACTGGGATACTAAAAGAAAGCTCCAACAATGCTATTGTTAGAAGCAACTCAAAACCCTAGGGGACGATGCTTTGTTACCATGATGATTGAGAGAGAGAGTTAAACAATACAAAGAAAAATGCTCTAGTTTCATGCTACAATCCTACACCTGTAAATCTATATTTATAATATTAGTGAAGTACAAAAAAAACCCCACAAAGTCAAACACAACACAAAAATCATTAAAACCTTATTATCATATTACCTATGTTTAACTGTTTCCTCTACTTTTATCTTAGACACGATTCATTAACTGCATTCAATGATAATGATAAAAAGCTAGATTCAAATAAATGTGTTGTAATGCCAAAGGGAATAATAAGAAAAAAGAATCAGCACACCATAAAAAAATAAAAAAATAAGTAGTTCCATGGTTGGAGGGAGTGCTTGTGTTAGAACAACATCAAATTGGGACAATGGATAGTTTGAAAATCTGCCCAAGTCACTCCTATGAACCATAATTTAGAAATTTATACCATTCTATCTTCATATTTTTTTATGCTATCCTTCCCTTCTTTATCAACACAATGGTTCCTTTTGGGCAAACCAATTTAAATAAGTAACTAACTTGTGATCCTAGGGACTTCTACAATGATGATTTCCTTTTTTTTCTTTCAAGTAAGAAAGCAAAAAGGGTAAAAAAGTGGTGGGGCCATGGAAAGCACCATCGAGACACAACCTGTACATGCAAAATACATATGAAAGAAAACAATATCCCTTAATAATATTCAAATATCCAAATCACTAAGAAAAGAAAAGAACAAAAATATAAGTCCAAGCTAGTATCTCAAATAATCTTCATGAGCATTAAGACCTTAATTTCATCAAATCCATGGCTCCATAATTGCAAAAAGCTTATTCTTTCAAGCTATATTTCACATTCATCCACTACTCTTTGTTTCCTCTTCTACATTTAGAGACCATAGCCAACACTTGTAAGAGTATCATAAAGGAATCAAATACTGAAAACCACCCATGTATTAAAATACCCCTATGTTGTGGTGCCGCCATGGCAATAATACTATAGTGCTATCACATTTAGCAATCTCAGTGCTCAACTCTAGGCATTCCAAAGCCTGAAGCAAGATAAGAAAGAAAATGGAGAAATATTCTAATATTCAAGCAGAAAGCAAGAAAATACAAGGAATAATACTTCCTACAATCAAGGAAAAAAAGCCAAAATAAACCTTTAAATATCAAGGAATCCACCGTCAACTAAGAAACATTCAATAGAAAATACATATGGGTAATCTTCACAATTAGATCTAATAACCAAAATGAAGGAAAATGAGGTAAAACCTTGGGCGATCTGTGCACGGCGTTTCTCCTTTGTTGAATCCTGATAAGCCTGTCAAATTATGCATAGGTCTTAAATATTAGCCAAGAATGTACTCACTGACTTGATGGAAAAGAAATGTGATGCATTATAAAGCCAAAATTAAGCAACAGATAACCAGTTTGATTAACTCTTCACTGCAAAGGATCCATTTTTTCAAATTAATGTAAACCCAATAGACAAAAATATTAGTGCAACTCACATAAAAATGAATTATGAAAATAAAAAATTGGACACCAGTTTATAATTAAAATCAATAGAATCCCATCCTAGGAACAGATTAGAGGCAGTATTTCCCACATCACCCTTACTTCACTAAAGAAGCTCAGTAACCTTCATTTTTGTTCCCAGAAACCCTAAGGTGAATCACCAAAAAATTCCATCATGCATGTGAGGGAACCTACTGTTCACCAACCATGACAAAAAGCTTATTCCACATATCACCAAAAACTAACTTGGCTAAATATATCCATTACCATACATTGATCAAAATACTCAATAAGAATAGTTTTTATTTTTGAACAAGAAAAGAAAAGGAGAACTTTGTAATTGAAACAAAAACGTCCTTTTATAACTAAAAGCAAACCAACACATTCTATATAGATTGTAAGCTTCTACTAAAGCAATAATGGCTGCCAGTCAACTTATACATGCTCAAGTTTCAAGTTTGAGCTAGTCTACAAACTTGATCTGGGTTCATTTTGAACCTAGAAAAGAGTCTCATAGTATCCATCAAATCAAAAAGGTCAATCCAGTTGTCCTCATTTAAGGAGGAATACATGCAAAAGCCTCCCAACTCCCCATGGTCTTCCTAAGTCCACTGCTCTAACATCTAGTTAGCAGGATAGCCTAATCCTTACCCTTTACCAAACTTTAAAGAAAGACAAACAAATATCCACAAAAGCTATTCATCTTGTCAATTAGCTTCTCATTGCTTGTCAAATGGCATTAAATCTCAAGCCCCATAATGTTACCTACATTATGCTCCTCTAATAAGACCAACATATGTAGGAATTCTGAAGACTAAATAACTATACTACAATATGATATTGATGATCAAGAATTCACTTTTATGATTGACAGTTATTAAACCCTTACTTGGGTGCACAAACCAACACAAAGGATAAGTAAATTCAGGCATATATATACATTTGTATAATGTTTTATAATGAATTAAAACATCTTTCACATCCATAAAGAGATTAAGTACTATCCACCAACAGGCAAACCACATATCATTATAGGTTAATAAATGTTCGAATATAGATAAAAAGAAAAAGAAAAACACACATAAACCATTCGGTATAGTTCCAATTGAACATAAAAGATAATTGGAGAAAAGAAAGCAATGTATAGAAAGCAATGGGAAAAAAAATGTAATCCTTAACCTCATTTGGATCAAAATAAGTTCTAACTAGGAGATGCTCAAGTCGCAAGTATCTCTCAGGTTGCTCCTGCTTCATGACACCCATTGCCTGAGTTTGTCTTAAAATGGCACGTGCAGTGTCCAACTCTCGAAGTTCTATCATTTCTAATACAATCTGCAACATCAAATGGTTAAAAAAAAAAAAAAAAAATAGCGCCTACCTATTCCTTAACCTTCTTTACCAAATATGTTAAGTAAGGAGGACATAACAATATTATTCGGCGACAATAATCTATTCGATTCTTCTTGTCTTAAGCTCTCCATGTGTTCTTGTCATTATTGCGATTAAATCTTCCAGCCCCATAAGGTGTAGCTGTACTATTATGCTGCCCTCTAATTAGTACCGACATATGTTAGGAATCGTGGAAGACCTAATGAACTATATAAGGAGGGGGTGCTAACTAGGGTGATGAGTAGTTGATTAGATTTTCTAAGATTCACCTTTTATGATTGAGAGTGGTAGTTAAAGTCTTACTGTTGGTGCAGCAAGAGCTCAAAAGACACTAATCAGTGATTTAAGGTATAGGTGTTCAAGGAGCCATTATATTATACATTTTTTCTGTGGTGGATTCATTTTTTATTATATGTTGTATTTAAGGACGATGCGCTTTGCCACATGCCGTATTATTAGAAGATTGAGAGGTACGTATCCAACGCAACAAGGCATAGACCACTGAGGTATCATTATAGGTTAATTTTAAATGTTCGAATATACGATATTTATGTAATATAAGATAGAAACACACATAAGCCGATGTCGTGTCATAGCGTTCCAGATTGAATCATAAGAAGATTGAATTTGGGGAGAAAAGAAGCAATGTATAATGAAAAGCTAATGGGAATAAAATAATATGTGGTAATCTCTTATACTGCTGCATTGTGGGGATCAAAGATATTAGAGGTTCTTAAACTAAGAAGCATGCAGCTCAAGGTCGCAAGTGTAATGCTCCTCGAAGGTTTGTGTTTGATTTTGTCTGCGCCGCTGGGCTCATGGAGACCGCCTATGCCTGAGTTTGTCTTGAAATTAGTGGCAACTGTGGCCTAGTGTTTCGCCTTCGTCGATAGGTGTCTTAGTCATGTTTCTTTACATACAAGTTCTGCAGGATCATCAAATGGTTAAAAGTTAAAAAAAAAAAAAAAAAAGGAAAACAGAAATGTACTTGAAAGAAATACTATGGCACATATCAAGGGCTTGCACCTCAACAGTCCTGAGGGGGGCGACTTCACTTAGGCTATCGCCTCTGGGTAGAGGCATGAGCCTTTTTGCGCCTAAGGCTCGAGAAAGGCACGCCTTTCTATTTTTTTTGTTTTCCAGAACAAGTCACCTAGGGTTTTTTTTCAATATAAAGCTATCTAGCCAATATCAGCTTACACAAAATAAATAAACAAATATAAAAGAAATAAAATGCAACACAAAAAGCGGTGATGTGCTTTGTGATCCAACCTCCACTCCTTCATCTAGCAGTCACCTCTTGGAATCTAGTCTTTAGCCTCATTCCATCCAGATATAACTCTTTCAATTTTTCTTCCTATATTTTCTTTCTATTTCTTTTTTTTTTTTCATTTTTTTGATTATACTCTTTTCTGTCTTAACTCTAATATCAATATAACTTGTCGTGTTGCCATTTTTTCTGATTTATGAGTGTTTCTTTCCATGTTTTCTACTTTTTTCTCTTTTTTTTTTTTTTTTAATTGATATCTTAAGACTCTTTTCTGTCGATTTAAACGTCTATATATCAATATAACTTTGTTCGTGTTTGGGCGCAATTTTGTTTTCCTTGATTTATGTGATAGGTGGTTGTGCGTTTCCGAATGTTTTGTTACTGACTCGTTTTTCTCTTTTTTTTTTTTTTTTGGTAATTGATTATCCCTGTAATATATTTTGGTCAGATTTGATGTATTTAATTCTTTTGATGTTTTTTTTTGTTGCTTGCGCCTTGCAGCGTTTCCTAATATCGGTGGTTGCTATAGTCGCCTGTCTGCTGGGGAGGCTGAGTGGCCGGTACGCTCGCAACGCAGCGGTCCTCTTTGCGCCTTTGCTCACCTTTGCGCCTGTTAATTACTATGCTATGGCAACAAAGCTGCCTTCAATGGAGGTGACAAATGAATGCATAAATAACTTTTTTTTTTTTTTTTTTTGCGCCTCACTTCAATCGGGCACGCGCCTTCGCCTGGAGGCTAGTGCCTACGCTCCAACAGCCCTTTGCGCCTTGCACCTTGCGCCTTTAATTACTATGCTATGGCAACAAAGTGCTTCATAGTTGACAAAATGAATGCATAAATAACTTGGGATCTTGCTCTGGTAAGTTTCGGCTCAAGCTCATATTGAGGCCAAAGTTGGATGGGAGCGAAAAACAGCAACGGCTTAGACTATATAACAAGCACCTCGTTGAGGACGGCTCAAATGCAAACAATGACTTTGTACCAAGACAAAGACTTTAGCCAATCAAGTGAAAAGGCTCAACTAAAAATTAGGTGACGCTTATGAATAATATAGAGGTATCGCAGTTATCATTGATTACATTTGCCAGTATTTCCACTTTTCCTTTTTTTTTATTGAACTATACACCAAATTCATGCCAAAACTAACTTGCAAATTCAATTTAAAGCAAATAGAAACCTAATGTCAAATTATAGCAATTACTGGTCCAATATCATAAGTACAGATAAGCACCCCATTTGACTAGAAATTCAGGCGATAAATTTTGGAGAATTAGGTCATTAAAAAAACATTGGCTTGACAAGAACCTTCCCATAAAGAAACACAAAAGCAAAAACAATTTCTATAAGACTATAACCAGATGCAAATACTGAAATCCAGCCAATGCAGCAGCAGGACACATTAACAAACCTACTGCACATACCTGTTCATATAAGTCCTCCAATTTATTCCTAGGAAGCTTAAGTTGAGCCACTTGAGGCAATATGGCATCCCATCTTCCACTATTGATATCAGCAACAAATGTCTCAATACTATCTACTGTATTGAGCGAGACTTGGCACTCGTTCTGCAATGTCTGGAATGTTTGGTGCAGTGAATTTTCTTTGCAGAATTGAAGCACAATCTTGATAACACTGAAATCAAAATTTATCAGAAATCAGTATATAAAACACATTAGTCAAATTAAAACCGCAAGTTGTGATTAAGCAAAAAGGAAAATAACGAATTTGAGTGAATGAGGGTAGAAACTGAATCAATTTTTGAAGATGACTTACTCTCGAGCTTCTATTTCTAGAGCCATTCTTTGCTGTAGCAGGTAGCAAATTCGCGCGCTCTGTTGGAGAGATAGATACGCACAAAAGGTTAGGGTTTTCAAAGTTCACGGAGCCTATTTGTTTGAAGTACAGAAATACGTTGCAGTTCAATTAAAAGCTCAATGTCCAAAATTCAGAGTATTAAGGAAGGAGATTGTAAGATTGTATTTCTAGGTCTGGGCTACCCTCCATTTTTTTACTTTTCAGAGGTGAATTATAATTTAGTCCTCCTTAGAGGCTCAAATACACTTTTTTTCCCAAAAAAAAAAAAAACACTATTTTAAACATTATAATTTGTGTAGTATACCATATAGAATGTACCACACTCAAGTAATAATTAAATTGACCCAAATTATTAAATATAATTATTTTAAAAAATTAAGATGTTAAATTGGCTAAAAAGGTTAAATCTAATGTTTTTAATTTTGCTAAACAATTTTAAATGCCAAATTAGCTTTTTTTTCTCTTAAAATATTATAATCATGAGAAAAAAATTTTGAGAATGGCCCTAGTTCAATCATTGTGAATAATTTATTTTTTTAATTTTATGGAATGGGTGGCAGTCAATGATATCTTGTAGTCTTTTTTTTTTTTTTTTCGCCAAATTATTAAATATAATTATATGTTATAATAAAATTTAAATGTTTAATTTGGCTAAAATAAGGTTAAATCTAATGTTGTTTTAATTTTGGCACCGTAAACAATTTTAGAATAATGCCGAAAGTTGAGTTTTCTTATTCTCTTAAATGAGGATGTGAATTAGATCATGCAGTAAACAAATTATTTGAGAAGTGGTCCCCTAAGTTCATAAGTCTATTGGTGAATAAGTTCATTTTTTTTAATGTTTGAGGGAATGGGTGGCAGATCAATGTTATGATTTGTAGTCTTTTTTTTTTTTTATTTTGCTTATAAGGTAGATAGAAAGATTCTTGTAAAATCGAAAATCCTATTATAGTACGCTTTATGGAAAAGATCTGCTTAAGACTTTACATGAAAAATCGTTTATATGGACAAAGTCTGTGTGGTGTATGAATTGTGTTTTCTGTCTTTTACATCTTCCCATAACCTTGAGTCATCCCAAACTAATGTGTGCCTTATGTGTCATAGTTAATAGGGACTTTCCTAAATAATTCTTAACTTGAATAACTCTGGTGAATAGGTTGTGTGCTGTGGTCTTTATTGGAGATATGATGTTGAGCAAACGTTCTGTTAAGAGTATATAATTTTGATCAATTTTTTTTTTAGAATGTCATTTTTGTAACTCAGTTTTTTTTTTTTTTTTGCATTTAGAGATAGAAAATTCTGAAATCAAAATCTATTATAAACGCTTATGAAAAGATCGCTTAGACTTAAGAAAAAATCGTTCATACAAATGTCGTTGGTGATGATGGTTGCTTTTACATCTCCAAACCTTTGAGTCATCAAACTAATTGTCCTAGTGTCATAGTAATGACTCCTAATAATCTTAACTTGAAAAATTGGTATACTGCTTAATTGAGAATATTTGACAAAGTCTTTAAAGTATGTAATTTTGACATTTTTTTTTTTAGAAATGTCATTTTGACTCATTTAAGCACAATATGGTCATTACAGAAAAAATTGGGCATGAATGACTATTGAGGTCATCTTATTTGGTTTACTATTGCGTAAAACCTCACGAAGCTTGACTTTTAACAAGTACCAAAAGATGCATGGCTTTTAATAAACCCTATTGACGTATTTAATTATTTTTATAATTAATGGATTTAGAGCCTTCTAATTTGGTTTGTATTTGCTCCTAGAGAGGTTGACATTTGTATTGTACTCTGCACTAATTTAATTTAAAAATATACTCCACTCGTTTCATTCTATTTGCTCTTGCAAAGTTTCTAAACTTAATTTGCAAAATGTTATGTTTAGATGTGACTGTTTGCAATTAGTCCAAACTCTCTCAAAATCTCATATAGATGGATTTTACTTTGGAAAAATAGTATTTAATTATCGATCTCTTTTAAAAGAACTTATTAATTGTTCTTTCTCTTTTATTAGAAGATCGGCGAATAGAATTAATTTTCTCATATCTTCGACTTATTTTATGTCTAATATCCATGAGCGAAGTCTTATCCCTTCCATAACTATCGTTGATGTTGTTTCTTGAATGATCTTATTTTATAAAAACGTGTTCTCTAATTTGCAATGAGTATAGAAATTAAGAATGTGGTCAACTATATTAAAGGAAATGGAAGTTGACCTACAAACAGGAAATGGAAGTTGACCTACAAACAAGAAATGGAAGTTAGCCTACCATTGTGTGATATAGGGTCCTTAATCTGCTTATATTAATTCAGTAACCTGCCGCCATTAGTCGTTTTCATTTATAAGCATAATATAAAAATTCTTGTGCAACCTAACGAAGGAAACTAATTCGGAATCAATTTACGTGATAATGTTACAATTTATTTATTATACATTTTATTGTATGTATTAATTTCTGCAATAATGTAACTAATTAGAATTTAGATATTAGATTATTAATTTAATTCGGAATAAATCCAACAAAAACTAATTTAAGAGTTTTTTTTTTTAAATCAAACTAAAAATTTCATTAAAAGGAAATTGTATACAGTTATGAGATACAGATTAATATATTTCTATATTTGTGTATAAGAAATCTAATAGTAAACTATTTATATAAAGAACAAAAAAATACAATCTTGATTTGAAGTATCTGATAGAGTATACTTGATTTTAATTCTTGTTCCTTAATTATTAAAATTAAAATTGATTTGAAATATTCGCGACCTCTAGTTTGAACATTGGAACATGATTAACAATTAATTAGAGTCTTGAAGCTTTTTTTCTTTTTTTTTTTTGTAAGTAAAAAATAAGGGACAGCAAGCTTCACACAATTTGCTCTGGTGGGACCTAAGGAAATGAGAGACACACAAAGTTCAAGTTGCAAGCAAGTCCACCATTGGAAGGGGTAAGGACCAACCCCACTAGCAGCACACAATTTAATTAATTAATTAATTATTTATTTTATTTCATGAATAATTTCAAAAGGAAGACTGTAGACTTGGTACTTGGTCGACTCAGCCACCCTCTTCCTCTTCCTCAATCCCTCGTCTATTTACGTATTTGCCATTGCAGCAGAGTGTTTGACACGTAGAATCCAATTAAAACTGGATTTTATCTTTTACTACATACGGAGAAAAATGGATTAAGATCTTCCTCCACTATGAAATTTAGTGGCAGATAATTTTTTGTTATGGACATTAGGATTATGTTAATGCCAATATTTTTGTTGTTGATTCTCATTTTCCAACTAATCTACACGTAACACGTTTTCTTATTTTGGTTTCTTACACCATTACATGTCTTCTCTATCATTTTCATGATCTTCATATATATATAATTAAACGGTGTAATCTTCCTCAAGCTATAGAACGCAAAGATTTTGACCATCTCAATAAAGTGCATTTTATGAAAATCGAACTTATGTTCTCCTTACTAAGATTGAGGTCTCTTACTGCTTCAAACAACATCTTAGGTCTATTAAGTAAAATTAGTTGTTTTTGTAGCTGCTAGCAGTTTTAGTAACGTTTAGCTATTAGCTGTTTGATCGACTTTTCATGAAATGCTAAAAACTAAATGATACATAAGTTAACTTTTCATAAACGCTACCATAATCTCTAAAAATTAATTTAATGTTATGTTACCGAATAACTTTTTAGATAGCATTTAGCGTATTGACTAGCCAAAAGTTAAAAAGTACTTAAAAAGCTGTCGCTAGACATGCTCTATTTTTTATTAATTATATATTTTAATTTAAATAAGATGTTCTAAATCCATCATGGGAATTAAATATTTGTATAAAATTCTCAATGAAATATTCATTATATTTATATATATCTATTTAACTATATTAACAAAAACAATCATGTGAAATGCACAATATATATATTAGATAGCCAATAATTATCTTACTTTTTTTTTATTTTCAAATTATTCTTCACGATCCATATGATAATTTTTTAATCTTTCTTTTAGTAAGTGCGTAAATATGTACATATATTTTGGTAGGAAAGATTTGTGTATATTATACTTTCCATTTATGTTGATTTTATGTTAAGTTCGGTTTTTAGGTAAGGATAAAAAAAACAAAAATGGAAAAATAATAATCAAATATGCAAATCAAGTATAACATCTCGTATTTAAACTTGTTTCGAGAAAAAAAAAAAATTCACTCAAAAATATAGTTATCAATTTGAACAAAACGAGTGCTATTAACTAAATTAAGTAATTAATTTAGAGAGGTAAATTCAATGCGTGTTTAATGGGTTTAGGACCTATTTGATTTAGTTGTTTGTACTAACAGAAAGCTGGTAATAATTGTGGATAACCGGTGGCCGATAGCAGTTAGTTGATAAATATTGGTGTTTGTAATATTTTGGTAGGTAGTTGCTATTAAAATGTAAAATGACCATTAAAGAGATAATTTTTTTTATATATTATGATATATGATGTATATATATATATATATTTTGAAAGTGAATATATTATTTTTTATTTTAATTATTGTATAAATAAAAATATTAATTAAATTTCTAAATAACTATAAATAAAATAATTACAAAAAATTATTAATACAAAATTTTTATTAATATTTATTTTTCGAGTTTAATGGATCATAATAAAATAATATTTAAATTAGCTACTAGCTAAAAAAAAACAAAAAAAAGGTAAAAAAACGTAACTGATGGAATCAACAACTATTTGGGACTTTCGATTGCTATATAAATCAGCTGAACCAAATGACCTTAGATCCTCCTTCTAATTAAAAAAAAAAATTAAGTAATTAATAATGGCAATATTTATTATACTTTTATTTTAAACTTACAATTAATTTTTAAGAAAATATAGTGAAACTTTGTGATTTTTTTTAAGCATTGAGAAATGAAGATTTCGAATCTAAATTTTATAATTATTTTAAGTTAAAAACAGAGATTTGAATTAAATTTTTGCTATAAGTTGGATATGTAGTTATTACTATTCTAAATCTGAAATTGTAAGATGATTAATTTTAACAAAATCATTATTTTTTTCTTTTAATTACGAGGGAGATAATTCTTCAATAGATCAAACTTAAATTCCGATAATTATTTATAAATAACTTCAATTTACGATTATGTTGGGACACCAATAAAAATCTTTTCAAAAAAATTTTAATAAGTATTCTCACATTTTTGTTTTCAATTTTTAATTAATATTTTTATAATTTGTAGATTCGAACTTATAGTTGTCTGTCTTTATAAATGTTTTTCCTACTGATTTTATAGATATTATTAATTACATTTAAGCGAATCTAACCACTTGAATCACTTTTTTACGAATTAAATTATCATTTTTTATTATATGACATAAATCTTGTTTGGAACATAGCTCGATTTCATAAGACACCTATTGAAATTATTTATTCTTATGGATAGATAGAAAAATATAAAGAATTCGCTCTTTTCAAATTCTTTAAAAAAATATATGAAAAAAAAAGGAAAATAATTAAAAAGAAAAGAAAAATAAAAAACAAGTCAACTGCCAAAACCAAATATCCACCGGCTATCACCAGTCACTTTCCTTTCCCTCTCCAAAACGTTAAACGCCTATATATACACCTCAAGCCCAACCCGCCTTTCTTCTTGCTAACAATATCAAAACGCAAAATCAATAAAACCAAACAAACATGGTCTTAAAATCACCAGAAAAAGAATCACCGGAGCACACCTCCGGCTCACCAAAACGATTATCTCTGGTCTTCCTTTTGTCCTTATCATCCTTCATGGATCTTTGCGCCAAGCACGCAAACCGCCTCTCCATCAAGCTGAAGACGACGGCGACCAAGCCCAGTAACCACCACCATCCCCACCACCACGATGGCAATAAAAGTCCAAAACTGCAATCCCTGAAATTGCCGCCGGTCCGGCCTAAGCAGCTGCTAACACAAATAAGCAATAAAGCAATCAAGTTAATTCACCATAAGAAAAGAGTAGGAGACGGAAACGAGGCCGTTGATATTGTTGCGCCTGATGAGTTCGGAGATGGTGGGGTCTGGCAAAAGGAGATCTTGATGGGGGATAAGTGTCAGCCGTTGGATTTCTCGGGTGTGATTTATTATGATGGTACTGGGAAGCAAATTAACGAAATCCCTCTTCGGTCGCCGCGCGCTAGTCCTTCACCTAGATACTTGATTCGAGAAAAAATGAAATACTAATAAATAAAAGTTTTATAAAATTTGTTGTTCTCGTTTTTTAATTTTAAAGTTTTGGTTAATCCTTTGTTTGGGACTAGTAGTTTAATTGCTGTGGCTAGTCTTAAATTGGTGATGCTAAACTAAAGGCAGTTAGAGGTAAGTTGCTATATTATGTGACTGAAGTTTCTTATTTTCATTTTTGCTTATAGTTTTTCTTAACTTCAACTCTCATTTTGTACCCAAGAAGAAAAAAATTGTATATCCTTAATAAAATATAAGAAAATTAAAATATAATCTAGCGATGAATGTATGTATTAATCTTTTTTTCCCAATATTAAAAAGAAAATATTTAGTCTTTTTACTATTTTTATAGCATAATTGTTTTATTTGTATTCAATAAATACATGTAAACTTGTAAGAAAGGAAAGGAAAAATGGGTTATGATACCATATACTCACTTAAGGTCTGTTTGATGTTAAGTGTTAGAAATTAATCTACAAATGTTTATATAACGGTTTAAACTGAAAGTGTTTAGTAAAAAATGATTGTTTTATTAAATGAAAATATGTTTTATATTACGAGTAAAGTTCATTAATTTGTAAAATTTAATAGGTACGTGTCAAAAGAGCATCCATTGATTATTGTGAAACACTAAATAATAAACAACAAGTGAGGTAACGTTTGATTAAACGCTCTTTTAACCTCTAAAAATTACTATATAAATCAATTTTCCGAATACTATAATTAATAAAAACAGCGTTTTGAACTCTTCAAAATGTTAAAAGCTATCTTAAAAGTTAGAGTTTTACAGAATTAGATAATTATAAGAAAATTTTAAAATTTTTGCGCAAGCAATATAAGATAAAAAAATTAAATAAGCTTTTTTCTAAAAGAAAATATTGTCACATATTCAATTTCGCAAATTAAGGAGAAGAGAAGGAAGAATAAAACTTAATGTCTCTTGGTTCCAAATAAGGGTAAACGCCTTTTAGAATAAGAAAACTTAAGAGTTTTCGTGAATGATTGCCAATAACTACGTCATAGTCTTCCATTAAGTATTGAAAATTTTGAATATTTTAGTTTATGCCCATGTTAGATAGAAGCTGGAATTGGTACTCGTTCAAAAGGTGGAATCAGTCTTTTCTGGCAATAGCATTTTTTATCGCCATTTGCTTATCCTCTCTTCACGTGTATTGAAAGCTTTTAAATATTTATGCTTTCTCCTACAAATAAACCTTAAAATAGATGTGAGACCTATATGATATTTCCAAGTTCATCAATGGATATAATTGGAATTACAGTAACCACAGTTAATGAATGAGTTGGAATTATGTTATACTTGGCAAGCCGTGATATAATATAATATAATCAAATCAGTCATTTATAATACAATTACGTTAGAAAGACCTTTTATTGCCTTATATTATGTTTTATAATGGCTTACCAAATAGTTTTAGTATTTCCAAATTGGAAGTTTTAGATTTTTTTCTTTTCTTTAATTTGGGTATATGAAAATTTTAAATTGTGAAATTTGAAGATAATATTTACTTTACATTATGTTTCACAACAACTTACTAAACATAGCTTTAATATTTCCAAAAATTGAAAGTTTTAAATTATTTTTTTTTCTGCATTTAAAATTTATATTGTGAAATTTGAAGATAATTTTGAATATGTTTCTAGAAAAGTGAGATAGAAAATCCAATTTACTTGTTACCTAACCGTTGATATTATAAGCATGTATCAATGTATATATATTTTATCCTCCTCACTTAACATACACTAATATTTAACAACGCGCCTTATATGTATTTACTCGTTATTTATTTTTTAATAATTATAATTATAAAATAATATAATTTGTAATAGATAATTATATAGATTAATTTCCATAATTATTAGCTAAAATAAAAAAAAAAGCATAAAGAGAATATATATATATTGGTATCTGTTAAAAATAAATTAAATATTTTCTTGTTAATTCTTTAATTTTCTAGTTAACAGCATATATTTAATATCAAAAGGCGCACCTTTTGCAGTCAATGAGAATTTATTGACTCAACCCTGGCCTGGCTGCCAAAAGAAAGGAAGGAAGAAATTCAACTTAGGATGAAGTCAAAGCAAATGACTTCCTTTATGTTCCAAGTAAATTTCTAGAACAATACAAGTCAACTTACAAGGTTGATTTACTCTACTTCCTTTGCAGACCAAATTTACAAATATTACTTTAATGATTTAGAATTTATTTATATATAAAAAAAAAAATATGAAAGCTAAATACTCCCTTTATGCACTATTAATGAGATGGCTAAACTGAACCCAAGCTCTTGTAATGTTAGCTCCAAGCCCAGCTTACCCAAGGATTGGAGTCCGATTGGGCCTACGGTAGCATCTAACGTGAGAACCAAAATGCACGTCCAAGCGAATTGGGCTTGAATCGGTCCATGTTGACCGAACCCCTAGGTAAGTGATCGTATCTTTCATTCAAGAAGGAATTAGTTAAGTTTGATTTATACATTTATAAGATCATTGCATTTCTTAAAAAAAATCAAATCGGAGTGAATTTTATAAAATGTAAATCAAATCAAATTGAAATATTTGAAATAAAAAATTGGAAATAATCAAACTGACTGAAATTTATATACACATGTATATTACACTTTTCTTTGTACTTGTATTGGCCTTTAGTTACGTGTAAATAAATGTTAGTGGCTCCTAGAGTATGCTTATCCGGTGAGTGATTACAAAGAATTAGTATTTTTTTAGGCTATGTTTCATACTTCCCGTAACAAAATTATAATGTGATTAAAAATGGTTTCTTCAATTATGTATCAAAAAATTTTTGTTTCAACTCTTAATAAAATCCATCCAAACCGCTCGCTCCACCCTAATATTTTCTAGTCACATGAATCAAATCAATGGCAGTAAAAAAAATAAAATCTAATCGTATGGATCGAATCAAATCAATGACTGTAAAAAGAATCCTGATTTTATCATTTATCTTTTTCCTCGATCAAAGTTAGAAATTCCTCGTTTCAAGAAGAATCCTTATTCTAGTTGAATTGGTCATTTCAACAAGAAACTTTATTTGGTGTATGAAGAGGGCATGAACCTACTCATGAACCTGATCGAAGTAAAATTTCCCCTATGTTTATTCTCATGTGACCGACCCGACCAGTTGCCATCATGTACGCATCTCATAGCATTGGGGAACCAATTAAAACGACAATGGAATCGAATCCAAATAAAGCACCAAACCCTCCATACAAACATTAAACATTTTTTATAAGCATTAAAGACAAAGCACTAAACAAAAATATTCCACCATTAATTATAAATGGACAAAAATTAAATCATAACCCCACAAAAAAAAAAAGAAAAAAAAGAAAAGAAAAAGCATGAAAAAACCAGACCCATTTTCTGATCCGATCATATCATGCACCAGGAGCTGCATCCTTCACCTTGCTCTGCAAATACCCACCATATTCTCTAGCATAATCCTTCACATGACTCGCCGTGTCATAAATCCGGCTACGTGCATAATCAAACCGGTCAGAACCAGGTGGATTCAACCCTCTAAAATATCTATAAATCCAAGATAACCCACCCACGACCGCCGCCGCAAACCCACAAATGGATAAGAACCCTGCGACGGAGATAAAGAGAAAGATTGCGACTGGAATCCATATCGGGCTAGAAATTACGATAAGAGGAGCGAAAAAGATTAGAGCAAGAACTGTAGCAGTGACAGTAAGGCCTGCAAGGAGGAGAAGAATGGAGCCGGTAATAAGAAGAGTCAAAAGACCGACGAGTTGGGTTGAGTTAGGCGCATGGGCTCGGAGTTTACGTAGAAAAGTGGAGCCGTTAACGGTTGTTGAGGCAGCTGAGAATCTTGATGGTCTCTGAGGAGGAGTACGGTCAGCCATGAACGAAAAGGTGAAGGTTTTAGAAAGAAAGAGAGAGGGAGAAAGGGGAAGGGCTAAAGAAGAGAAGAGGAAGTGGTAAGGTTAGATGATGATGATGGTGTGAGAAGAAAGGGCAGGATAGGGACAGGTGTTAAGAATGGTTGGGTATTGGAGACATGCAAGGGTACACGTGGAAGGTTCGAGTTTTTAGAACTCCTAGATATGGGTGTGACCAGTCTGTGTTTCTCTGACTTTTTCTTTATTTTCTTGTTGTTAGATGATTCACCGTTCACGGATTTCCTATTTGCTTTAAGCACTTTTGTGGAGATGGTTTTAGTTTTGGGCCCATCAGGCCTGGCCCATAAATGATTAAAAATTTGGAATGGGTTTCAGCTGCAACTCTGGTCCAAGAATTGTAATCTTTTTTTTTTTTGACATTTTAGAATTGTAATCTAATGTCAAGACTTATGAACACTTTACTGATGATTTACAAAATCTGAAAACTTACTTACCCTTTGATACAATTCAAAATAAGAAAAAATGCGGTTAAAAGGTACTGTAGTTTAAAAAAACTAATGCATTTATTATTAATCTCATCTATATAATCTAAAATAAAAAATATGAAAAGAGATCTTTTGTAGTTTGAGAAAGCAAACTCATTTGCCAATATTTACATGCTGCTTCAATATCAAATTCTTATTGTTGAAGAACATCAAGAAAAGGAGAAATTTATATTCACTAACTTCTACTAGTGAACCCCAGCAGCAAGAAGCAGAAAACAGGCAAGTAATATGAAGCAAAAAATAAAGAAAACAACAGAAATGTGGACATCACCCTTGTTTTCAGTACTTGTAACCTTATTATCTGAGTATCCACTTCCCTTCCTCTACTCAAACTTGGTATCCACATTATTATCTTTTTTGTTCAGACATATTTCTGGCAATGGTGTTAACTCCTCGTTTTCTTTTGGACTTGTGTAATTATTGCTTGAAGTTTCTTTTTTATCCAGAACTCTTTCTGGTACTTATTCTCGCTCTTCTTTATCAAGAAACGCTGCTGCCAAGTCTGTGAAAGAAACCCTCTTAGTAACATTATCACTTTGCTTTGATGGAACCATTGAAGTAGAAAATCTGCGATTTAGGCCATTTCTTCCTCGAGGATTTACTCTATAGTGCCTTAAACTGGACTTCTTTTCGCTGCTTGAAGAAGAACTCCTCGTAAAAATACTGCTGTTAGTCTTTTCGCTTTCTGTCGATGAGGTATTCGACGAAATGTCATCCAACACTAGCTGTTGGTCTGATTTCTCATCGAAAGGTTTTTGGTTTGAGGAATTTGTGCTGAGAATTATGTTCCAGTTCGAAGGTTTGCTCGAGATCTTTGTTGGGTAGGATTGAATTTCAAATCTCAAGCAAGCATTTAGCCATCGTTGATAAACTAGCTGTTCTACCATGTCAAATTTGTTCTCTTGCAATCATTCCACTTGCTTTGAAAGCTCTTCATTTGTTTGTTTTAAAGTGCTTGTTTCCTCCTCAACCTTTGCTATAAGTTTTCTCTGCAAGACTCAAATAATCACCATTTGAATTGAATTTTGTCTAAAATGATTCTACTCTTAAACATTACATAAATCAATGGTGAATTCAAATTTTTTTAATTTTTTATCTATTTAAAGACAATTAATAATATTAAAATTTTAGGGAATTCTACTTGCCTCTGTCAAGTTACTGGATAGTGAAGTTAATCTAGCTTGAGAAGCAACTAACTCGACTGCCAATTCCCTTTTTTCAAACTCAAGTTCTTTATGTTGTGGGGTCCCTCCAATATGTGGGACCCACGTACATTTGAAAAAAAGAAGATATTCGAACGTGTGGGACCCACACACGTTTGAATGAAGAAAAAAAAAAAAACACGTTTTTGTTTTGGTGGCAGTCAAAGAGGACAGCGTCAAACCAAAGAAAGAAAGGAAAAAAGGAAAAAGTGGACGCGTGATTAACGCGTCCGCTGCGTCCCCTTCTCCTAGGAGAAGGATTCTCCTTAAACAGATGTACAAAAACAAAACTGATGTGGAGGCGAGTAAACAAATGAGATGAGTGAATGAGAAGAGTAGTATATTTTAAGGAAAGGGTTCCTAAAAAGGGAAAAGAGAGAAAATGTTAGGTAGGGTAATTTTTGGTTGTTTTGTTTTAAACACTTAAGAAAGATGCCATATTTTTGTAATCTTTTTTTGTTACCTACTATTCTTAGAGATATAGAGTCTCATGTTGTTGTCCAGTGGATGTAGCCCATAACAGGTTGAAGGTTGGAAACCACGTAACATCTTGGTGTTCTTACTTTTTTCACTCTGGTCTATTACGGTAATTTATTTTAATGTAGTGGTGGATTATTATTTTGTCTTGGTGGATTCGATCGTTCAATATCTGTAGTAGTAGTGTGTATATTATTGAAGATATATGTGGTAATAGTAATTTTTATTTTTATTTTTACCACCGTATTTTTCGCGCAGGGCCCCGTACTCGGGATTAATATACGTAAGGAGATGTGATGCTTAACGTTGTGGTTGGTAATGTGCGTGTCAAAGTTTTACTATTCACGTGTATATAGTGAATTCTGGGGAATAGTGATTTTGTAGATTTAGGAATTCCAACATGGGCTAACGACGTGTGCCGGCTGATGCATTCTGAGAATTGCGGTAGGTCGAATTATTCAATGTGGAAATTCAGAATGGAGGGAAACTACCTCTGAAGAGTGTGCGAGAGGTGAGTGGTGTTATTGATCCAATTTGGAAGGTGACAGTGCAAAGCCGGGAAGGAAATGAAAGAAAGGCAGTTGAGAGAAATTTTGAAAAAAGCAGGGACTATTGGGGTTTACAATCTACGCCAAAATGGATAGATGCTAAGCCTATAAATGTGTTGTGAGAAAATGAAAAAGATTCACCAATTCTCTGGAAGAAGAATTAGAGAATAATGTCGAGGCTACGAAGGCTCAAGGAAAGGTGGGATGGTAAAGTATGAAACTTTAAGCTGTCATGGGGATGGTGGGGGGTACGATCATTTACACAAACACCTGAACCGATTTTGAAGGACTCGTAACTAGAAGGTGTAAATGTGTGACAGTTAGCGTTATGTGTCATGAAGACGAGATCGCACAGCATGCCTACTGTTGGGATCGTTCTACCGGATAGCTGAGCACTATCTGCTGTAGGTATGGTGTGAGTAACTCAGTGTTCTGTGTCGTGGGAGTGTGTGGCCTCATTCCTGACTGGTGCTGTTGTGTCAGAGGGTAGTGTAGTGGTGGCGTGTGTGTGTGAGTAAATACTCTTGTGGTATCATTGAGTAACTTAGCTCCAAATGGTGTGGTAACAATATCTATGGTAAAGAATAGACTACTCAATGAAGAACTATGAAGAAGAGACGTTGCCAGTACTAGTTCACAAAGCCCTTGTCACAGAGAATAGGGGCCGGAGCAAGAGTAGAGGTCCAAGACATGTAAAGTCAGGTGGTAGATCCAAGTCCAGAGAGATGAGAAAATGTTATCATTGCGGTAAAGAGGGTCATCTCAAAAGAAATTGTCGTTTACTCAAACAGAATAATGCAGACCGAAGATAGGAGAATGACAGAAATACATCTGCTACAGTTTCAGGAGAAGATGGTGAGGTGACTTTAGTCACTCATGATGCAGATTGCTGTCATGTTGGAGATGCTGTAACGTCCCATTTTTCTATTGAATCGGGTCGTTGCTTAGAGTCGAGTCGGGCTGATCCAAAAGCCCGGTTCGATCCATTAGATTCTAGAGTGGACTAGAATGGGATGTAATTGAAATAAGGAAAAGAAGTGGACCTACTTGAAGGAAACAAAAAGATCAAATGGACTTACTTGAAGGAAACAAACAGATCAAAGTATAAGGATTAGGACTTACTTGCACTAAAAGAGAAAGCTTAGGAATTAAGTTGTGACATAGTGACACTTGAGGGACCATTTGGTTTACACACAAAATCATGATATTTTTGGAGTATTCCCGAGACTTCCATTCCACTACATGTTTCATCTTTATCTTCTTCATCTCCTTCATCAACTTTCTTTTCTCCATCACGTTTAATGGTGGGGAAGATTTTAATGGGAGCTAAGCATTAATTCAACTTCTATTCTATCCAAGAGAGGTGAGCCAAAGGTCTTGAATCTTCATAACTTGGATCATTGGTTTGATCCTGTTAGATTAATTTATAAGACTTTATTGTATAGAGAGGTGAGCAAAGGTAGAAGGAAAGCTAAAAGACAGAGTTAAAGCTTCATTGGCGTAAAATGGCTGTGCTATCCTCTTTTGTTTAATTCTCTAATATTCTTTGCATGAGAAATTTGTGTGGTTGTTTTGTTAATGGAGATAATTTATTGCTTCACGTTGAGGTGGGTAGGCATGGCGTAATGTGAGAAAACAGGGGATAGGAATTTTGGGTTATGCTTGACAACCGAGAGTTTGCTGGAAAATTTTACGCAACTTTTTCTTTGATTTTTGGTACCCCCATTTATGATGAACTAGGAATTGTCCATAGAAGAGTTATTGTTCCTCTATGTGTTATCTTACGTGGCGCTTTTCTGAAGCATATTTCAACTTTGGAGTTGTATACTTGAAAGAGTTATAGCAAACGAACCACAGGGACTGCACAACTGGAAACAACGTCGGCGCGCTCGCGCGGTCTAGAAAAGCAAGTCCGCTAGCTCCGCGACTTTTCCACATCTGCGCGGATCGCGACTTTTGGCTAAGAAGCTCTCTGACTCTCAGTGTAGCGGCACTCTGCAGCTCGCGAATCACACCACAGACGCACGCTCGCTGGGACTTCATCTTCGCGCTCGCGACTTGTAGCTGCAGCGCGGTCGCGACTTTCAAGCCAGGAACAAACACACTGATCTCAGGATGCACACAGTCGCGCTCGCGACTTCCCACATACGCGGGTCGCGACTTGAAGCCAGAAAACCTTCTGACTCTCGCGACTTGAGCCAGAAACCTCTCTGACTCTCGATTTCACTTCTCGCGCTCGCGAGGTTTGAAGACGCGCTCGCGACTTCTCCCTGGGAAGCATTTCGCGCTCGCGACTTGTTCCTGCGCGCTCGCGACTTATGTTTTCATGCATTTTGGACTTCTTTTTCTATGTAATTACATTTCTTTGCTCAACATATATGCATCCAATCCTTCTACAACAAA